GTCAACACCATGGCACAAACATATATATACACCCCCCCATCATAGTGAATGAGTGGATCTGGCATCCACTCTATTCTAAACTAAACTATACTCTACTGTAATGTATACTTAGTTGTTCTGTCACATAGTGCAATTGCAGGCTGTTGCTACTAAACCGAGTGGGTGTGTTGTATCACCCTCACTGACAACATCTGTAGGCAGTAGCTACTGCAGTCCAGATAACTATCTCTCTGAAGGCAGTACTCATACTGTGGTCCAGGCTTCTCTCACCAATTCACTGTCTGATCATTGACATCTTGAACACTCATGTTGAGCCAACAGATTATCACCCCATATACTAAGTGTTCTGCAACAAGCAGGAACCAACTGTGCCATGTTACCACTGAACCAAGTGTTCACAGTGGTTAGCCAAAACTCATCAAACAAACAACTCTTCAAGCAGTCTCAGTGAAAGTGGCTGACAGGTGCATCCTCAAGAGTGCTCACTGAAACTGGTTGAAATCAACCAAACCAGTAGTTTTCGGGTTCCAGGCACATGACCGCTGACACATGTATGCCTTATATGTGTCATGGGCCTAGATGCTCAAGAAGCAGGAGGGTCACTGGTTCATATGGAAGGAGCACAGGTATCGAAGATCTAGTCGATACCAGTAGAGAGCATGGTCGTAGTGCAGTCTCCATGGAGACTATGGACTCCTACAGACTCACATGCAAAGGAGGACTGAGCCATATGTGAGGAGGGCCAGGCACAGCCATGAGGAGGACCAAGCTCAAGGAGCAGGCACAGCCATGAAGAGGACCAAGCTCAAGGAGCATGCAGATGGTTACCACTCAGGGGCTCGAGAAACAAGAGTCGAAGGAGTTGACACCAGGTCATGAGGAGGAGGAGCAGTGTCGAAGGAGTCGACACCACTCAGGAGGCACAGGGGTGCCAAACAAGCAGCAGGATAGCAAGGAGGAGGAGCAGTGTCGAAGGAGTCGACACAGCTCAAGAGGCACAGGGGTGCCAAGCAGGAGAGGCCCCTGAACAGTACTCGATGAAGAAGGTACTCTCTGGAGAGAGAGCAGGAGCAGCATTGCTGGCGATGCTGTGAAGAGGTATATAACCATGCTTTCTCATCATCAAAGGTCGAGTGGATCCTCATCCACTCTACTCACCATACAACTAGTCAATACTTTAGAAACATAAGTACTCATTAGTTTCAGTCAGCATAGCAGCAATCTATCAAGGTTGCTCCTCATCATAGTGTGTGTGTTGTATCACCACTACCTGATGTCCAAAGGTGCCCCATAGCAGGTTAGTGGTCTGGATCAAGATAGAACTGAAGGCAGTAGTCCACTGTGGTCTGGGGATCACCTCAAGCATCAGTCAACACACTGGACACTCATGTTGATGCCACCAACCTTATCACCAACACCATCAACCTCATTATCATCAACACCCACCAACCTTATCACCAACCTCATCAACCTCATCATCATCAGCACTCACACCAGACCTTGGTGTCATCATAATCTAAGCATTGATATTGATCGTGCCGAGCTACCCCTGAACGGAGTGTCCACAGAGGTCAGCCGAAACCTATGATAGTATATACACAAACGCCACCCATTGCACAACTTGATAGTCGCCGAACAACTAGCTCGTCGAGACAGATACCGAGACAATAGCTGTCGCACAGTTTGATAGTCACCGAGTACCTCAACAGACCGACCTGGGTTTCAGGCGCGAGACCCCTGACAATATGGATGTTTTCGCAGGGTCGCCTGCAACCCTGCTTCTACTCTAGAAGGCCCATTCCAACACTGCTCACCCTCCTGTTGTCTCTCCTATGACATCCTCCTCCTTGGCAGTACTGTCTCCTGTGCTCCCTGCAATAGGAGGATGTTGGGCCCCTACTTCATAAGGTGGTGGCCCTGTCCATATTGTTCCACTATTGCTAAAGGAGGTGTCTGTCATGGGCCTGAGTGCGCAGGAAGCAGGGAGAACCGCTAGTTCATATGAAGGGAGCGCAGGAATCAGGGGATCGGGCAGATCGTAGGATTTGCAGCAGAAGTCGCCAAGATCTGCAGTAGAATCGGCTCTATGACAGATCTCAGTGAGATCAGTACGAATAAGGATGATATCACGAATTCTGATGAGATCAGTAGTAGGAGAGGTTGTATAGTAGATTCTGCAGAGATCAGTGACAAGGATGTTCGTATGATGAATCCACATGCGCAGAGGACCAAGCTCTGCCAAGACGGGGACCGAGCTCAGTAGATTGCAGCTGGTTACCACTCAGGGGTTCACAAGATAGGAGTCAAGAGAACAGTCGCCAGTTAGGAGGAAGGAGAACTGTGGCAAGGACACCAGTGTATAGTTCATGAGGAAGAAGAGCTGTGTCGAGGAGGTCGCCACGCAGCTCAAGAGGGACAGGAGTAGGGTTACAGGGACTCCTGCATAGCACTCGACGAAGGAGGTACTCTCTGGAGAGAGAGTTGGAGCAGTGGCGCTGGTGGCACTGCGAAGAGGTATAAAGCCATACCTTCTCGTCACTAAGTGGTTGAGTGGATCCTCATCCACTCTACACTCATCAAACAAACTAGTATTACTTCAAGCAATAAGTATCATTAGTTCACAGTCAGCATAGTAGTAATCAACAGATTGCTCCTCATCAAAGTGCATGTGTTGTATCACCGTTTCCTGACATCCGAAGGCGGTTCTAGCAAACCAGCAGTCTGGATATTGATAGAACCGAAGGCAGTCATCCACTGCGGTCCAGGGATCACTTCAAGCATTAGTCGACACACTGGACACTCATGTCGACGTCATCTATCCATACTCACACCAGACCATTGGTGTCAACATCAAGTTCACTTAGAGTCGTATCGTAGTTTGATCGTGCCGAGCTACCTCTGGATGGAGTGTCCATGGTGGTCAGTTGAAATCTGTCACAACATCAATACAACTACAGATTCCAACGAGAAAAGTGGCAGAGATGGTTCTGTCGCATATTACACTAGGAATCGTAATACCACTAGTGCTGTCGCATAACTCGACAGAATCGGTGATAGTACTGATACTACTACTGATCTCAGGTTTCAGGTGCGCGACCGCTGACAGTGTCTTCAACCCAGCTTCCTTGAGATCTGTCATACAATCATGTTACTACTGATCCTGCTGAACTCTGTGACAAGACCTTTGCTTCTGCTGATCCTGACAAGTTATGTCATATGGTCCTTGATCCTACCAATCTCGCTGAGCTCTGTTGGATCTCCCCTTTTGCCCAATCCACAATCACTGCGCCTGGCCCTTCATATGTATCCAATTCTTCCTGCGCATCCATCCGGTCCCATGACAGCTTGCTCCTGCTCTGAGAGACCTCCTCCAACACTGCTCCTCCTCCCCGCTTGTCCTTCCCTTACGATGCTACTCGTTAGCACCGCTTCCCAGGTCTTCTGCAGATGGACAGTCCTTGTGCTGCTTCATAATCAACAAGGGCCATTCCCACTTCATCTGAGTGGTGATTCATGGCCCCTTTCATCTCACCCATCCCCCTGCCCTTGGGTTCATTGTCAAGTTGCCCCCCTGCTTCATCAGGGTGGTGAGTCCAATGTCCTCAGCATCTATCTTGTCATGATACCTGTGAAATTGTTGCCTGCTCATCAGTTCCTGCGAGATCTATCATATGATTGTGATACTACTGATTCCAGTGGGATTCGTTGTACCATACTGCTCATGCTGATTTGGACAAAATCTGTCATAGAGTCTCTTCTACTACAGATCTTGATGAACTCTGCTGTAACCCCTTGTTTGGCCCAATCCTGTGATTCCTGTGCTCTTTCTCATATGGCTTCGGTTCTTCCTGCTTCCTGCACATCCGGTCCCATGACAGATGGTCTTTTGAACTGCTGTCTTGGAAACACCACTTAGCTCCGCAATTTGTCAAATTGGCAGCCCAGTATCATGCATTGCAACAATTGAAGCACGCTGCATTGGAGCGAGCTCATTTCCACAGACCATGTTGGTGTTTGAAGTGTTCTTGCTTAATATGATGATAGTGCTATTGCTCAATGACGACAATGACCCAAATGCGGGGTATCCGGCAATATGGGGAAATAACCCAATTGTCCTCAAATTTCCACACAGGGTCTGTACACACTCTGTCAACTGCGACTCAGTGTGAGCCTCAACTGGGACAAACTAACAGTTCCTGAATTGTTGTCACTTCCAGTTGAAGATTTGCCGGCATTCAAATCGGACTTAGAAGGTTTACCCGAGACACTGATGGAGCAAGGTCGCGAATAGGCAGTGTGCATACGAGAACGTATGAAAGGTTGCCATGGCAACGGCTCAGGGGCATCGCAGGAGGAGCACAACTCATCTCAGTATTGTGTGCTCAGGAGGAGACCCTAAGGTATATATATGCTCTCAAAGTCGCACTCATCTATAGTAACATAAGTATTCAAGAAGTCATACGTCTGTGATAAAGGAGCCTGATCGTGGCCCTAGTCAGATTATATTAACTCGATATCTTCAATTCTTCCCTTTTACAACAACATGTTTGGATTTACCTGGCCAGACGTTTCCACCACGACAGTGTGTGCTTGGGAACGGAACGGTCCTCGCAAGGGTGATCTACTATGGTACAATCCTTGACTAGCGGTCTGCTGCTCTCGGATGGAGTTTGGACGGCGTTGTTTCCGGCTTTCTTGCTCACTTGACTGGGGAGTCACAGTTAAAGTCATTCGTCAGCGTCTTGGAGTCATTCGTCAGTGGTTGGGGTTGAGGTGTCTTTGTTGATGATGATGGTAGGAGAGAGAGAAAGAGCGAGAGAGCTAGGAGTCTATATATACAAAAGAAGAGTGGCGGAGAGCCGCATTGACTGCGGAGCATAACAAAGCATTTGCCTTGAGTAGGTTGTGACACATGTGGTCCGTGCTAAGATGTTCAGGCCTTTTACTCGGCCGTAAGCACTACCTTCACTGTCTCCACGCTTTGTGCGGCTTTATCTACTTCAACTCCCCCCCTCAACAGCATATGTACCCTGTTCATTATGCTGTTGCTTCAAGGTGTGACCTCCGTTCTTCAACACTGTCGCATAGCTCGGGGACCCCGTTCCGTACACTGCTGCCGGTATTTGCAGGTGTAGCCCAGATCTTGCTTGCTGCATTGCCTGCCTCCCAATGGGCTTCGTGAGTACGTCTGCCAAGTTTCTTGTGGTGTCTACGTACTTGATCTGCACCCTTCCCTCTTGTACGTTGTTACGGACGAAGTGATACTTGGTGTCGATGTGCTTAAGCTTCCAGTGCTGTGCTGGGTCCTTACTAACCTGTATGCAACCAGTGTTGTCCGAGTAGACCGTCGGTGTGCCTGTGGCAATGCCAATTGAGCGTAGCAGTTGCTTGAGGAAGAGCACCTCACGTGTTGCTTCCGTGGCTGCAATGAACTCTGCCTCGACAGCGGACAATGACACGCATTTTTGTGTCGCTGACTTCCAGGCTACTGGGTTCCCGTACACTAATGCCACTGACCCCGATGTGCTTCTTCTCTGTATGGTGGCATCGCTTGCCCAGTTTGCATCGCTGTGTGCAACCAGTGGCTCTTGCGACTCACTCGCCCTATAAACCAATCCAACCTGCCTTGTGCTTTCGAGGTAGCATAAGACTCTTTGTGCTGCCTGATAATGCTCCTGCGATGGTTCACGCATGTGCCTAGCGAGAACACCCACGGTGAGACTAAGGTCGGGCCGGGTGCTGTTGGCAACCCAGAGCAGCTTGCCAACAATCACCGGATACTCCTTCTGTTGTGCTGCGCTTGCGACAAGGGTTCCCTCCGGTATGCTCTGCATTGGAACCATGGTTGGCTTCGTACGTTTGTCCAGGTGCTTCGCCAGCACTTGGTCGATGTACCCTGACTGACCAATCGTCATGGTGTGCATCGCACGGTCTCGACTGATTTTGATGCCCAAGAAGTGAGAGACCTCACCACTATCTTCCATCTTCCATCTCTGACTAATCTGCTTCTTAACCTCTAGGACCGTTTCCAGCCGTGGTGCTATGACTAATGTGTCATCGACGTAGATGACCACAATGGCCATATCTTCACCCTGTCCCTTGGTGTAGATACAGGGAGCGCACTCTACCTGGAAGAATCCCATGCGTCGCAAAGACCTGTCGAACTCCTGATTCCATTCTCGCCCAGACTGCTTTAGGCCATATAGGCCCTTGACTACCTTGTACACCTTGCCAGGTGCTACTCCTGATCCTTCTGGCGGCTTCATGTAGATTGCTTCCTTTAACGTGGAGTTCAAGTAAGCCATAGTGATGTCCAGAGCATGTACCTCCCAGTTGTTCTGCACCGCTAGTGCTAAGATGGCTCTGATCGCTCCGAGGGGTGCTACTGGAGAGAAGGTTTCTTGGTAGTCGATCCCCTCTCTCTGTGTGAAGCCCCTTGCAACCAGTCGCGCTTTGTGCTTAACAGGTACACCGTCAGCATCAAGCTTCAGCCGAAGCACAACCTTAGAGTCCACAAGTGGTACTCCTGGTGGTTGGTGCACCACCTCCCAAGTCCCCATTGCCTCAAGTCCTTCTAGCTCCTTTCGTATTGCCTCCTTCCAGAGCTGGGCGTCCTCACCATTCATTGCTTCCCCAAGCGTTGGGTCCAGGTTCAGTATTGCTGTGTTGGCGGCACCCACTGTGCTGTCTACGGCTGGTAGGAGATCCTCCACTGCAGTCTCTGATCTGGTCTCCTCCTCTACTATGGCTGGCGTGACACCCTCCTCCTCGACCTCCACGGTCACCATGGGCCTGACTGCCTCTTGTTGGCGATCACTCCATCCTTTGTCCTCATGGAACGTTGCTGAGTTGCTCCATTGAATTGACGCGGGCTGGTCCGGGTTGCAAAACTTCCATGCTTTGTGTTCGTCGTCATACCCAATCATGATGGCTGGCTTTGCTCTAGCTCCGTGCTTGCCTTGCTGGTCCTTCTGTTGAACATGAACCCATGCCAAGCATCCGAAGACTCGCAGTTGCTGGGCCAGCTTGTGCGCAGTGGTTCCATAGAAGGCCTCGTGGGGAATGGTTTTGGTGGCTGACGGGGTAAGGTTCATCACGTGTGCTGCTGCTGTGATTGCGTACGGCCACAACTCTCTAGGGCAAGCTCGACCAATCAGCATCGAGCGCATCTTTTCTTGGACCGATCTGATTGCTCTCTCTGCCCGTCCATTTTGGACGCTGATCCCCAGGACGCTCTTTTGCCACTTAAAACCCTCTTGAGTTTGCCAGTCTTCGGCTGCTATGCTGCACCATTCTCCTCCATTGTCGCTGCGGAGTGTTTTGAGTTTCCTGTCCGTTGCCCGTTCCATCCTGGCTATCCACCTTCTCAGCGCCGTGAGTGCAGCACTCTTTGTGCAGAGTGGTTCCACGTAGATCAGAGAGGAGAAGTCGTCCACAGCAACTAGTGCATAGTGGTAGTTGGCATGTCCTTTGAAATCTGTCATCAGGTCTACGTGTACCAGCTCTAATGGTGCCTCCATTCTTTCCGACTCTGATTGGCTCATCCGTGCTCGAGTCTGTTTTCCTTGACTGCACGCATTGCAGTGCTTCGACTCATGTTCCATTTCCTCATCGGTACCTAGGTAATGGGCCCGGATTTGTCTCGTTTTGTCTCGTCCTGGGTGTCCGAACCTCTCATGCCATAGGTAGCTGTCTCGATGCTTCGTGTCCTTATTGCCCTCTGGGGCATTATCTAGTTTTCCTGTGTTCTGGTTGTCCTCTGGGACGCCATCTCGTGTTTCCTCCAGTTCCAAAGCCAGTGCTTGTCCTCGCACTTTGAAGTGGCCCTGTCTTCTGTCCCTTTTGAATTGTGCTTGGGTACCATCGTTCTGCTTTATGGTAGTTCCAAACTCATCAAAGATTACTCGTGCACCATTCTCGATCAAGCCTTGTACGGACAATAAGTTAGCATTCAGTTTCGGTACATAAAGCACATCCAATAGTTGGATGGTGGCCTCACCGACCCGAAGGGAGGCATCTCCTATAGCCTTCACCTGAAGCTTTTCGTCCCCTGCCATACTGATTTGGCCGACCTTGTTCGTTGAGGTGAGCAGCATTCTCTCATCATTTACCATATGATGGGTTGCACCTGAATCGATGATCCAGGTGTCGCATGCTGATCGCTCGCCCCTGTCGACTGCTAGAAAGGTGCACCCGAGTTCCTAGTGGTTCACCTCCTGTGTCGTACGAGCGACAGGTTCGCTTGTGCCTCGTGCGTTTGTGCAATTTCGAGCAATGTGATTTGGTCCTCCGCAAGCATAGCACTTTGGAGGGGCCAAGGGATTGCGAGGATCGCGCCTTCCCCTGGGTCCTTGCTCCGCCTGGTTGGCACTCCCCTGTTCCGCGTTTGTGGCGACCCTTGCTGCTCCTCTAATACGACCAGTGATCTCACCATCCTGCTGTTTCTTGGCCAGTGCATGGTAGGCTTCGTCATACTTGCAGTCTGGTTTGGCCGTTTTCAGTGCATCGACGGTGTTGGCGTAGAACCAATCTTGAGCCGTGCAGCGATAGAGAGTTGATTTCTTGAGGTCCTCGTCGAAACGCTTTCCGAGGCGTGCCGCATCGTTCCAGATCGAATCAAGTTCCTTGCCTAGTCTGACAACGTCTCGATTGTGCAAGCGCACTGTGTGGATACGATCCTGCAGTCCTGCTCGCTTTACAGCGTCGTTTAGTGTTAGTGCCTTCTTGAGTTTGGCATAGAGTGTGCTACCAAGTTGAACTTCTTCATCCACCCCTCTGACGGTGTAGGTGTCGATGCGGCTATCCGGGCTGTTATCGCAGCAGGCGTGGATGAGGCCCACAAGTGCCTTGTCTAGGTCTTCATCGTATTCCTCGCTCCCGGGTACAACGGTACCATACAGGATTTCCTTCGCGTTATGCACTCTCTGGAGGCAGTCGATAAAGGTGGGTTCCCAGGTGTGCCAATTGCTATCGCTGAGCTTCTTGATGTGAGCAATGGAGCTCGATACGTCCTTGGGGATCTTTTCGGTCTCCCCGCGTGGAGCTTGGTTGCTAATGTTGACCAGACCCATGGCCCGTACTATTGCTTCCTCTGCCGATAGTGCCGGGTTCGCCAGCTGGAGGATCCTGACTACCTGCGTGAGCCATCCTTCCTCCTGTCCATTGCTTGTGGTCGTTTGATCATCATCGCCCCTTCCCGTATGTCCAGCTCTTGTCGATGGCGGCATTGCGTTGAGTGTCAGACTCTTAATCAGTTAAAGTCATTCGTCAGCGTCTTGGAGTCATTCGTCAGTGGTTGGGGTTGAGGTGTCTTTGTTGATGATGATGGTAGGAGAGAGAGAAAGAGCGAGAGAGCTAGGAGTCTATATATACAAAAGAAGAGTGGCGGAGAGCCGCATTGACTGCGGAGCATAACAAAGCATTTGCCTTGAGTAGGTTGTGACACATGTGGTCCGTGCTAAGATGTTCAGGCCTTTTACTCGGCCGTAAGCACTACCTTCACTGTCTCCACGCTTTGTGCGGCTTTATCTACTTCAACTGTCACCTCTACTAGAGGACTCAACGCTGGAAGAGCAACATTTGCTAGTGGTTCGGTCCTGCCTTACTTCGTGTTGCAAGTTCGGGAGCGGCTGTGCAAGATCCTCTTGTGGAGCCCACAGCCCGAATCTTGGCCGTTCAAAGCGGATGTATCACAAAAACACAGACTAAAGCCTGCCATCTGCTCTCGTTTACATTCATTTCTGAACATCCTCGGCTCACATTTCCGCTGGCTTGCATCAGGAGCGTTTCTGTGTGTGTGTGTGGTGGAGCAACGGCGAACCAAATCATTGGACCCAAATCAGATTCACGCGCTTGTGTGGCTTGAAGCCTCTCAGTTTTCTTTGCAACCCCGCTCATTGTCAGCAAGCACACTCAGGCCATCATGGTCACATTGGGCATGTCGTGAGGCCTCACCCTGTCCAGTTCAACGTAGGGTCAGGCCCAGTACAGTAATGTGATGGCTCAAATGTCGATCAGCGATGCGAGTCAATGAGCTTGTAGATGTGAAAGTTTGACATGAGCTTGTTTTGTTGGTTACTGACTGACACAGCCGCTGCTGAACCAGGATCCCCAGGTTACCGCCAAGCTCAAGCGAGCTTTATCCTCTGCTGGATCTCTGTGCGGCAGCAGTTGAAAGGCACGCGAAACACCTGGCGCCAAAACTAGACGAACTCGCAACAGCAGCATGCACAATCATGCCCGCCTTGCCTAGGGTGAGCCGCCCTTGCTCGCCACTAAATCTTTCCAAGAGCCGCGCAGTTACGTGAGGTAATGCAACAAGCCCAGGGACAAAGGACTTTCGCCATTGTCCACAGCGACTCTGTGTGGGTTCAGCATTTCAGTGCATTCCAACCTTCTCGAAAGTGCACAGAATCGGGGAAGCGGATTCGGCGTGATGTGGTAGAGCAGACATCAGGAGCCTCTTACATGGTTGTACGAGTGTGTCCGTGTATCTGTCTGTCGTAACAAGGCATCGTAACAAGACGCATTTGCTGTTCCGCTTAACGAGCGTTGAGCTCCTTGCCGTGTTCAATTCCCCCCGCACTTTCAGCTTTCAGCCTGTTGATGATGGCAACTTCTTGTCGTCTCACGGTCCTTTGTTCACACACTTGTCCTTTGTCTTCCCGGTTACCGCCCCCTTCTCCCTTAGGCTGACCAACACTTCACAATTTCCCCGCACAGCTCAGCCTGCTCTTGTCGGCCTCCAGCGTAAACGCTTCTCTCACAGATACTTGCGCCCCCCATCTCATACCTTTCCCATACTGCCACCCTTTCTTCCTTTCACTCCACAGCCTCTTACGCCGGCCACGCCTATCCCTCCAACTTCCTCATCAATCTAAGGCTTCACCACCATATCACCCCATCCTCTCTAGACGTCAACATCATAGAGCTACTTTATACTCTACACTCGCCCCTCCATCATCTGACCATTCGTGTCACCCCATCTGACAACATGTCCGTCTCAACTCAGGGAACAATTCCCATGCCAAAGGTCATCAAGGCCGAGGAGTATTGGAATGAGGCTCAGAGAGAAGCCTTTCTCGCCTTCGCCGACGCCATCATCCCCGAACTCGATGGTGCAGAGGCCGCAGATGTACTTTCTCATCTGCCTGCCGAAGCCACCGACCGTCAACGAGAGCTCGCTCCTCGTTTCGCAAAGGAAGGCTTCAGATCAACGCCTCGTCTGCTCGACTGCGCCGCCCAGCAAATCAAAGCATCTTCCTCTTCCAAGGTCGCCGGCGACATCAATCGCTTCCTCACTCTGCTTTCCACTCGACCAGGAACCATGGCTCTTTCTGGCTATGTTGGTCCTTTTGCTCAGCTAGACCGTGCTACTCGCGAAAAGATCATCTTCGGCTGGTTCACTTCTCGCCTTACCCTCTTCCGCAAAGCAGCTTCTGGTCTTAAGGGTATCGTCCTTCTTGTCTACTACCGCAACCACCAGCCCGCTTGGGAGGCTATCGGATACCCGGACGGCCGTCCAGACGACTGGACACGCCCAATCCAGGGCGGCGAAGCTGCCCCCGCTGCGCCCGTCTACGACTACAAGTTCGAGAACGAAAAGATTGCCGCCCAGCCATCCGGTTCGGAGATCATCGTAGACACTGAAGTTCTCGTTATCGGCTCCGGCTCTGGAGGTGGTGTCGCCGCCAGCTACTTGGCTCAGCGTGGCGTCCGCACCTTGGTTGTCGACAAGGGCATCTACCTCCACCCCGACAAGGTCGTAGGACGTGAAGATCAGAGCTACGGTCTTCTTTACGAGGGTGAGGGTATCTTGCCTTCTGAAGATGGCTCCATCAGCATTCTAGCCGGCTCCACCTTCGGTGGCGGTTCCTTGATCAACTGGTCCGCCTCGCTTAAGCCCCGCCACTTTGTTCGCAAGACTTGGGCCGACAAGTATGGCGTGCCTTACTACAACAGCCCCTACTTCACCTCTGACCTCAACGCCGTCTGCACTCGTATGGGCGTCGCTGTAGCACCTATCCGCCATAACGTCGGCAACTCTCTTCTGGCCCTTGGAGCTCAGCGTGCTGGTCATCCTGTCGAGCCTGTTCCGCAGAACAGCGGAGGTCACACTCACTACTGTGGCAAGTGCCAGCTCGGCTGTGTCTCAGGTCACAAGCAGGGTGGTGTTGTCTCATGGCTCAAAGATGCTGCTGAGGCTGGTGCTGCCTTCATGACCAACTGCTATGTTGAACGCATCCTCTTTGACAGGAATAAGCGCGCCGTTGGTGCTCTCGCTGTTGTCGACGGACGCAAGGTCAAGATCCTTGCTGCTAAGGGTGTTGTCGTCTCGTCCGGTTCGATCCAGACCCCCGCCTTGCTCCTTCGTTCGCCCGAGCTCAAGACCAACAAGATGATCGGCCAGACCCTCCGACTCCACCCTGCTACCGTCGTCACCGGCTACTACAACTTCCCTGTGAAGCCATGGGAAGGTGGCTTGTTGACCATAGTGGACAACTCTGCCGAGATGGTTGACCCAGCTGGATGGGGTTGCAAGATCGAAGTCATTGCCTCGTCCCCCTCGGTCCACGCCGCTTTCCAGAACTTCTCCAGCTCTAAGGAGCACAAGGCACGCATGCTTCAGTACAGTCACAGCTACACGATGGTCATCATCTGCCGTGACCGCGACAGTGGTCGAATCGTTCTTGACGAGAAGGGACAGGCTCGTATTGACTACACTATCTCTTCGTTCGACCAGCGCACCTTGCTTCAGGGTATCCTGCGTGGTGCTGATGCCCACCTCATGGCTGGTGCCGAGGCCATTGCAACTGCACAGGCCACTGTTCCCATCTTCTCTGCTAGCTCCCTCAACGCGCCTAAGCCCGCCAAGTCAAACGGACCTGCTCCTGCCTTGCCCGTGTCAGACAGCATTTACACTGAGACCACCCAAGTCCCTGCTACCTGGACACCCGTCGAGACCGTTCCCCGTGACCTCAACGACCCTGCGTACAAGGAGTGGCAGAAGAAGGTCATCGCTGTCGGTACCAAGCCCTACGTCATCTCGATCGGCTCAGCTCACCAGATGGCATCGTGCCGCATGGGTCGCGATCCCAACATCTCTGCGCTCGATCCTGAGGGACGTGTTTGGGGTGCCAAGAACTTGTGGGTTGCTGACGCTTCCGCCATGTGCGAGTCAAGCGGTGTCAACCCGATGATCACCACTATGGCCACCGCTCGTGGTGTTGCGCGTAACGTTGCTCGTGATATTGGCGCCATCACTCCTCTTCATTTGCAACAGTCGGCTGGTCACCAAGCACACCTGTAGATACCACATTCTTTGTCGTTCCGTCTTTCAATCCTAGATCTTTCTCGTTCTTTGTTCAGATGCTTGTGAGGAATTTTGTCCATCGTTTGCTCGTGTTCTCTCTGTGCGGGCTAACATCCCTGAGGGAAAAAACGATCGGACTAGCGGATCAAGTCCGAAACTCCACTTCTTTGCAGCAACGGTTCGAGCTGTATCATGGTTCGTTCGCAAAGCTTTTGCTGCCACCGAGTCTTTTGTCCCTGACTATCATCACTTCCATAACGATCGATAGAACAGCGTTCACCATGGCGAGCGATCTTCATCAAGAAGACAACGATCTTCCACCTGCAGGCAACCCTGCTGAAGCATCGAACAAGGACGTGCCACCTGCGATCGCAAAGTTCGTTGAACGCTTCTACCAGGTCTCGGACACACCCGGCGTGCACGAGCAGTACGCAGACGACTTCTTCATCAACGACGAAGACCGACTGAGCTTCCAGATTGGACCTATGCAGCCAACCAACAAGCGTGACGGTATCGTTGCATGGAGACAAAAGGGCTGGGAAGGCGTGACACGACGCAAACATGTTGTCAACGGTGTCTTCATCAGCCCCAAGTGGGAGAACGAGATCATGCTCGATGGTAAAGTCGAGATGGACAAGAACGGCTCAACGCTCAAATTCAATTGGGCTGGCAGAATGGTGTTCGACCAGGAGAGCCTCGACGAAGGCTCCCCGAAGATTGAGACATACAAGGTCTGGTTGGTAAGTTTCGGCGTGATACGATATCGCTCGCGATTTCCACGGTACACCGCACAGAATGTTCGATTGCAGGCCTCACAGGCGTGCATGGGTACTCACACTATCTCCTCTTGCATCTTTTGCTGTGGTTTAACTTGACTAACGTTCCTTCCTTTGCTCATCTTGCCTTCTTTGTGGAATCTAGAGTCAAGACTGAGAGCAGCTCAAAGTTCAAATTTGGTCGCTAGCATCACCTTCCACCACGCCGAATCTCAAAGTGGTTGCAGCGATATACGTGGAGCCAACATCTCAACTCGAGACCCGGAAGTTTGTTCGAATGTGGGCATTAGTCTGAGCCGGATACGGACGCTGTGAATTCAGGTAACATTAGATTTGACAAAACGGGAGCAACGCAGAAAGTCGCCGACCTTGATAGCCCAAGGATGAAGCTTGAGCTTGAGACAAGAGACCCTGACGGCCAACGCGGCGAGCGTCCGAGCGATCTCTTCGGCAATCCTATTTACCACCCTGATCGTACTACAGAACATTTCAACTTGCTTTGCTTCTGTTCGAACTGTTCGCCGAGATCAGCGAGGGTAGGCAACAAAGCTTCGAGATGAAGCCTTTGATAGCCGTGACGGAAAGGCTCGGCGGTCGGACACCGTCTGGCGTGTGCGAGCGTCAGCGGCTGTCCAACTTTCTCCACTTTTTCTTTTGTGGGTTAAAGCTGCATCTAAGGCGGCAACTCTGAGACCTTGAACAACACACAAAAGGTTGGTAGCTGTTTCGGTTATAGAAGCCACAACAGTCCGACGTGAAGCTTATGGCCAGTGTTGTCCACGCCCCGCAAATGAGCCGAGCCGAGGTCTTGTTTCTGCCTAGCCGGACCAGATGTGTGCCGAACGGGCCCTCTCCGGATATTAGCAACGCTGGGCGGGCACAAGAGCTTCTCACAGCACCCACATATAAGCTCGTCCAAGTTAACCCTTCTTCCGTCTCATCTCAAAGCCATCTATACACTGTCATTTTCATACCACATCGATACGTCCGCTACAATGTCGCTCATCGCCCTCGAAGAAGCTTTCAATATCCCCTCCTTGGCGGAGCAGTCGGCCTATCAGGCGCGGCTCTTCGTTGCCGATGGTAACGGACAGGCCCACGCAGACCGTCTGGTCGACATTCACGGCGAGCGACTGGCCAAGATGGAGAAGCACGGCGTTGCTCACACCATCCTTTCGCTCACTGCTCCTGGTATTCAGGATTTTGATGAGCCCAAGGCAGCAGCATCGGCAGCCAAGGAGGTCAACGATTGGGTCTACCAGCAGGTGCAGAAGAATTCGAAGCGGTTCAGCGCGTTTGCTTCGCTCTCGATGCATAATCCTAAGGACGCCAGCGAGGAGTTGAGACGCTGCGTCAAGGAGCTCGGCTTTGTCGGAGCGCTCGTCAACGACAACCAGCGTCTCCCTAACGATGAGGCTGCATGGTACGACCAGCCCGAGTGGGATGAGTTCTGGAAGACGGTCACCGAGCTCGACGTTCCTTTCTACCTTCACCCGATCGCACCCAAGGGTGAGATTCACCGCCGCATCTACAAGGACCGTGCTGCCCTCATTGGACCCGTTCTCTCGTTTGCCAACAACGTCTCTGCACATCTGCTCGGTATGATCGTCAACGGCGTTTTCGACCGTCACCCGAAGCTCAAGATCATTGTCGGTCACCTCGGAGAGCACATTCCATTTGACCTATGGCGTATCAACCACTGGCTCGAGGATGGTAAGTTACAACGAAATTCTCACCTAGTCATGCTGTGCTGCCTTAGCAAGTATACTGACGTCCACCGGTTGCTTCTGTCTTCCTTCTTATAGTCCACAAGCCACGTGGCGCCGTCTCGATGAGGAAGACCATTCGCGACTACTTCAACGAGAACATTTGGGTCACAACTTCGGGTCACTTCTCCACCTTGACGCTCAAGTACGTTCAGGACGAGATTGGCATTGACCGCATCCTATTCTCGATCGACTACCCTTATGAGAAGTTTGAGGATGCCTGTGACTGGTTCAAGACACTGGATGGAAAGTTCTCCGCAGAAGATCTTGCCAAGATCAGCCACGAAAACTCGCAAAAGCTTTTCCCTCATCTGCGTTCTTAGTCCAGGTCACAATGAAGGACAATCCTCTTTTTATTAGCAATACATTGTAGCTTCTAGATAGTCTCTTTTGCAACCATTTCTGTGTCTGATAACCGCTTCTCCATGCATACAGATGTGTCGCCTCCTGCGTAGTATCCGAAGTTGGGGACGATCTTGTATCCATTTCGGCTGTAGAAGCGTTGTGCCTCCATGAGCTTGTCTCCTGTCTCGAGCAGCAAGCGGGTAAGCCCGAGAGAAAGTGACTTTTGTTCCAAAAATTCAAGCACTGCTTGTGCTGCTCCGTTGTATCGGGTCTTCTTTGTGACAACCATCCTTTTGAGTTCAGCCGATGTATTGTCAAGCTTGCGAAGTCCTCCACAGCCAACAGGCTTGCCGCCCTGATAGGCTACACAGAATGAAGTGATGTCGTCAGCAGTGGGAGGAGCTCCTGGTTCTGAGTCGACTCGCTCGTAGAGTACAGCTATGTCGATGCGTTGCTGTTGTCGCCGAGTGAGTCTTCTGATAATGGTAGAGGCAGGTAAGATACTTTTTCAGATTCGATAAGCCGGACTACAGCTACCACTGGAAACACGGTTGTACTCACCGTCTGCCATGGTTCCGAGTTGACCAATTTAAGCGGACGAGGGAAGATGGGCAGCGACTAGCCCTTCTGGTAATGGCGGCAGATTGCTACCTTCCAGCGGTGCAGAGCATGGTTCGATCAACCGGCACTAAGGCGAGCTGCGTCGGACTTGAAGGGTAATTGAATGTCGATCGTACAGCCAGTTAGAGACATTGGAGTGGTTGCTTTCGAGTCGTGTCGGTTTTTTGAACGGCAACCCTCGGTCAATTTCCTGTTGAAAAGTGAAGAAGTTTTGGTCCCGATACTGGCGATCGGGGAGAGTCTAAGTACGATGTCACTGCTGGTTTAGACAGAAGCATGTATACTCACTTGACTGAAGTGAACATGGTGAGGACCTAGAGTTCTCAGCCAAATATATATACATCTCTGAGGCTGATACCGAGTGTGGGTGCTATCTACTTAAAGACAATGTCTGACAACAAGCAGGACCAGGTTGCATCTGATCCTTGGAGAGATTCTCTCTCTCCCTAATCTCCGATCAGATCTGCTTTTCCTGATCTCTCATATTGCCTTATGTCTGCTTACATCACCATGTTGGATTGTCTACTTTCAACATTTCCATGGTCAATTTCCATGGACCTTCTCCATAAACGCAGTTAACGGATCACAGATTGTGGACAAGATTGGAAAAGAATTGAAGATGCATCGACATCTCAAGTGGAATGCATGAGCTATAGCCAAGACACCAAGGGGTCAAAAGCATGCATAAGCAAGAGACACAATGAAGCACATGAAGGTTGCCATAACAAAGGCTCAGGGGCATCACAGAAAGCAGCAACTCAGGGGGTTACAGAAGAGATGATTCATCTGGCTTGGACATGACCAAGGGTGGCAATAGGGTATATATACATGCTCATCATTAGGATGTAGATCAAAAAAATACCAAGCATTACAAGAAGACATATGACTGTGGTAAGGGAGCCTGATTGTGGCCCTGTTAATGGCATATACTAATTGTTATCTTCAATTGATTAAGAGTCTGAAGAAGCTACCAACCAAGCTAATTGAAGCCCATCAACAATCATGGTAGAAGACACTGAAACCCAAGCCAGTGCCAGTGCAAGAACCAAAGGAGGCAGGAAAGACAAGACAGCCCAGGTGTGAGCCAATAATGAAGCTATCAACAAGAATGAGCCAGAAGTTATTGACAATGAAGCTGATGAAGAAGCTGACTCTGACTCTGACTTTGATGGTGGCAATAAACAATATAACTTTCACACCTTAGCAAAGCTCCTTGAGCCTGTACCAAAGCTTATGTCGTGCAGCTACTACAGCTGGAGTGCCAAAATAAAGTCATTCCTTTGTTCTGTACCTCATGTGTCATGGGCCTGGATGCTCAAGAAGCAGGAGGGTCACTGGTTCATATGGAAGGAGCACAGGTAGAGATCTAGTCGATACCAGTAGAGAGCATGGTCATAGTGCAGTCTCCATGGAGACCATGGACTCCTATGGACTCACATGCAAAGGAGCACTGAGCCATATGTGAGGAAGGCCAGGCACAGCCAAGAGGAGGACCAAGCTCAAGGAGCAGGCACAGCCACGAAGGGGACCAAGCTCAAGGAGCATGCAGATGGTTACCACTCAGGGGCTCGAGAGACAAGAGTCAAAGGAACTGTCACCAGTCAAAGGAGAAGGAGCAGTGTATAGGACACCACAAAGCAGGTCCTGAGGAGGAGGAGCATGTCAGGGGTCTCGCGCCTGAAACCCAGGTCGGTCTGTCGAGATACTCGGTGACTATCAAACTGTGCGACAGCTATTGTCTCGGTATCAGTGACTATCAAGTTGCGCAGTGACAGCAGGTGGCGTTCGTTGTATATACTATCGTAGGTTTCGGCTGACCTCTGTGGACACTCCGTTCAGGGGTAGCTCGGCACGATCAATATCGATGTTATGATGACACCAAGGTCTGGTGTGAGTGTTGATGATGATGAGGTTGATGGTGTTGGTGATGAGATTGGTGATGTCGATGATAATGAGATTGATGGTGTTGGTGATAAGGTTGGTGGCATCAACACGAGTGTCCAGTGTGTTGACTTGATGCTTGAAATGATCCCCAGACCGCAGTGGACTACTGCCTACAGTTCTATCTTGATCCGGACCGCTAACCTGCTATGGGCGCCTTCGGACGTCAGGTAGTGGTGATACAACACACACACTACGATGAGGAGCAACCTTTGATGGATTGCTGCTATGCTGACTGAAACTAATATATACTTATGCTGAAGTGATAACTAGTTATGGTGAGTAGAGTGGATGAGGATCCACTCGACCTATGATGATGAGAAAGCATGGTTATATACCTCTTCACAGCATCGCCAGCAATGCTGCTCCTGCTCTCTCTCCAGAGAGTACCTTCTTCATTGAGTACTGCTCAGGGGCCTCTCCTGCTTGGCACCCCTGTGCCTCTTGAGCTGTGTCGACTCCTTCGACACTGCTCCTCCTCCTCATGACCTGATGTCAACCCTTCGACACTGCTCCTCCTCCTTTGATCAGTGACAGTTCCTTTGGCTCTTGTCTCTCGAGCCCCTGAGTGGTAACCATCTGCATGCTCCTTGAGCTTGGTCCTCTTCGTGGCTGTGCCTGCTCCTTGAGCTTGGTCCTCCTCGTGGCTGTGCTTGGCCCTCCTTTGCATGTGAGTCCATAGGGGTCCATGGTCTCCATGGAGACTGCACTATGCTCTCTACTGATCTCGACTAGATCTTCGATACCCGTGCTCCTTCCATATGAACCCATGACCCTCCTGCTTCTTGAGCATCCAGGCCCATGACACTACCCCCCTCTTAAGAGCCGAGCTCTGTCGAGGCATGCTCTGGTCTGGTCCATGCTGACTCCTCCTCCTCCTCCTCGCCAACATCGCCAACATCATCTCTCCTCCTTCTCTCAACGTCATCCTCCTTCCTCTTCCTCTCTCTACTCCTCCTGTTCTCTCCTCCTTTCTCTACTTTGTCTACTCGCTCGTCCCCCCTCCGACACCTCATACTCCTGGATGAGGTCGGGACAGTTGAGGTTCTCTACTGGTTCCCATGACGCAGCTTCCTCTGAGTACCCTCTCCACAACACCTTGTACTCTGTAGTCCCATTGTGTGAACGCTTGTCAATGAGTGCTTCGACTTCGAAGTCGAGGTCCTCATCTGGAAGTGATGGTATGGTGGGCTTCGATCCCCATCTGACAACCCACTCAACCTTATCCAGCTCGATCACCATCACAAGCAACTACACAAGCAACTATACAAAACCTAAACCGACCCCTTCCTCATCATCCCACCCAACCCTCGAAGCAAGGAAGCCCTGCTCCATCAGGTATCAACACCTGTCATGTATGCAAGGGTATCGGCCATTGGGCCAGAGACTGCCCCAGCAGGAGGGTAGACCCTCTTAGCTCTCGACCCATGGGTCCAAAGGTCATGGTCACCACAGCAGACCCCTTCGAGGATGCCACTGACTCAGGAGATCGCCACACAGGCAGCACCAAGACAGGTGACCCTGAGGCCATGGACCTCAGCTCATTCCAGCAATCCATGGACCTCGACCATGAGGAGGAGGAGCACGATGATGGCGATGACAAGGGAAACATCAGTGGGGTGATGCACTGATGGCATGCATTGCTCTACAAACCTCCTTGCCATCACTCTGTATATATCAAGATTGTCAAGTATGTTTCTCTACCAGTGGAGGCAAAGCAGTACTGGAGCTCTCTGGAATGGTTCAAGACCATCCTGCTCGGATACTAGCTGATACTGGTGCTGGTTTGTCCATAGTCTCAGATTCTTTCATTAGTAAGTACCAAATACCCACAAAACCCACAAAAACAAGATCAATCCATGGTGTCACTGGACACCAACTCTCCATCAATAGTTCTGTGAGCATGCAGGTATCTATTGGTACACACAATCTGGGTGTGGTCGAAGCTTCAGTGGCCAACACTGCTGACTATGACCTCATCCTGGGGTTCACCAAGCTATGGAGGCTCAAACCTGTCAGGGGTCTCGCGCCTGAAACCCGGGTCGGTCTGTCGAGATACTCGGTGACTATCAAACTGTGTGACAGCTATTGTCTCGGTATCGGTGACTATCAAGTTGTGCAGTGACAGCAGGTGGCGTTCGTTGTATATACTATCATAGGTTTCGGCTGACCTCTGTGGACACTCCGTTCAGGGGTAGCTCGGCACGATCAATATCAATGTTATGATGACACCAAGGTCTGGTGTGAGTGTTGATGATGATGAGGTTGATGGTGTTGGTGATGAGATTGGTGATGTCGATGATAATGAGGTTGATGGTGTTGGTGATGAGATTGGTGATGTCGATGATAATGAGGTTGATGGTGTTGGTGATAAGGTTGGTGGCGTCAACACGAGTGTCCAGTGTGTTGACTTGATGCTTGAAGTGATCCCCGGACCGCAGTGGACTACTGCCTTCGGTTCTATCTATATCCGGACCGCTAACCTGCTATGGGCGCCTTCGGACGTCAGGTAGTGGTGATACAACACACACACTACGATGAGGAGCAACCTTGATAGATTGCTGCTATGCTGACTGTAACTAATGAGTACTTGTGTTTCTAAAGTATTGACTAGTTGTATGGTGAGTAGAGTGGATGGGGATCCACTCGACCTATGATGATGAGAAAGCATGGTTATATACCTCTTCACAGCATCGCCAGCGATGCTGCTCCTGCTCTCTCTCCAGAGAGTACTTTCTTCATCGAGTACTGCTCAGGGGCCTCTCCTGCTTGGCACCCCTGTGCCTCTTGAGTGGTGTCGACTCCTTCGACACTGCTCCTCCTCCTCATGACCTGTGTCGACTCCTTCGACACTGCTCCTCCTCCTCATGACCTGTGTCGACTCCTTCGACACTGCTCCTCCTCCTCATGACCTGTGTCGACTCCTTCGACACTGCTCCTCCTCCTCATGACCTGTGTCGACTTCCTGTCTCTCGAGCCCCTGAGTGGTAACCATCTGAGCTTGGTCCTCCTCATGGCTGCGCCTGCTCTTTGAGCTTGGTCCTCCTCGTGGCTGTGCCTGGTCCTCCTCGCATATGGGCTCAGTGCTCCTTTGCATGTGAATCCATAGGAGTCCATGGTCTCCATGGAGACTGCACTACGACCATGCTCTCTACTGGTATCGACTAGGTCTTCGATACCTGTGCTCCGTCCATATGAACCAGTGACCCTCCTGCTTCTTGAGCATCCAGGCCCATGACACTACCCCCCTCTTAAGAGCCGAGCTCCGTCGAGGCATGCTCTGGTCTGGTTCATGCTGACTCCTCCTCCTTGACAACATCGCCAACATCATCCTTCCTCCTTCTCTCAACGTCATCCTCCTTCCTCTTCCTCTCTCTACTCCTCCTGTTCTCTCCTCCTCTCTCCATTCTGTCTACTCACTCGTCCCCCCTCCGACACCTCATACTCCTGGATGAGGTCGGGACAGTTGAGGTTCTCTACTGGTTCCCATGAAGCAGCTTCCTCTGAGTACCCTCTCCACAACACCTTGTACTCTGTAGTCCCATTGTGTGAACGCTTGTCAATGAGTGCTTCGACTTCGAAGTCGAGGTCCTCATCTGGAAGTGATGGTATGGTGGGCTGTTCAGCACGTTGAGGAAGAGAACTTGTTCTTGCTGGCTCGAGCATGGAGACATGGAACACATCATGCACCCTAAGGTTTGCTGGCAATGTGATTCGATAAGCTCGGCGTCCTACCCGTTCCTGAACTGGGTAGGGTCCTGCAAACCGGGTGTCTAACTTGGGTGTGGGTCTCCTTGTCTTCCAGTTTCGTCGGTTGATATAGACCATATCACCCACCTTAAACTCGATGTCCTTGTGCTTCCTGTTATACTGGTTTACTGATCTACGTTGTGCCTCTCTGATCTGCTCCTGGAGGTACTTGCAACGCTCCTTTCCATCCATGAGGTACTCGAAGCGACCTGGATCATTGACTCCTAGTCGTTGAGGGATGTCAGGATGAGCTTTGGGGTTCCATCCATAGCATGCAAAGAATGGTGAGACACCAATGCTGTTGTGGACCGTGTTGTTGTATACAAAGGCCGCAGTGTCCAGCAGGTTGGCCCAGTCATTCTGCTCATAGTTGCAGTACATCCTGAGATATTGCTCTATGACCTGATTGACTCTCTCTGTCTGACCATCAGTTTGAGGATGGTAGGCCGTGCTAAGTGAGTGCTTCACACCCATTTGCTCTGCAAATGCCTTCCATGCTCCTGATATGAACTGCCTGCCTCGGTCCGAGACCATGTGATCTGGATATCCAAAGAGTCTAACCATGTGTCCATATAGCAATACTGCAGTCTGTTTGGCCGTGACTGTCTTATGGGTTGGAGCTAGTATGGCAAACTTGGTTAGCCTGTCGACAATGACTAAGATAGAGTCATAGGTCTTGGAGTCATACTTCTTCGATGTTGGTAGTCCTTCGATGAAGTCGAGGGATATGGAGCCCCAGGGCCTGTCTGGGGTTGCTAGTGGCTGTAGCAAACCATATGGACGATGACGAGGAGCTTTGTACCTAGCACATACAGGACAACTTGCTACATAGTCTGCAATCCAAGCTGTCATGTTTGGCCACCAGTAATGTCGTTGAGCTGCCTTGATGGTAGCATCTCTTCCTACGTGTCCAGCAGTGATACCATCATGGCATTGGGTCATCACCATGAATCGCAGATGCTCTACAGAGAGAGACTGTCCATCTACCTCTTTGGCACTCCTTGAGTGTCGGTTGTTGGTCCTCCCTGGCATGATCACTTTGGGGATAACCAACCTTCCTCCACTGTACCATAGGTCATCCCTGACCTCGAAGGGCTTCTTCCTATGTATCTCCTGTAGCTCTTGGTCTAAGGGCTGGAAGATCTTGACCAGGTCTTTGAGACCTTTTGATGCTATGGACTCCATCGAGATCATGGGGGCCACTAGGAGCGAGTCATGGTCTGCTGTCTCCTTGAACACTCGAGGAGGCAGTAGTTGCCTCACATTGTGATCCTGCTCTTCACCAGCTGGTTGCATGTCTGTCCTTCTGGTGAGAGCATCAGGTTCACCACCTTTGTCTCCTGGTCGATACTGCAATATGAAGTCGAAGTCTGCTAGTAGTATGGCCCATCGAGCCTGTCGACCTGTGATGCGTCTCTGTGACTTGAAGTACTTGAGGGCTTCATGGTCAGTGAGGATGACCAGTTGGTTCGGTAGTCCAGCTAACATGTGTCGCCACTGAGTGAGGCAGGCGACCACAGCTAGGAGCTCCTTATCATGGATCTCATAGTTCTTCTCGGCAGAAGACATCTTCCTAGAGTAGAAGGCCACTGGATGCCATCGTCCTTCATGCTCCTGCTTGAGTACTCCTGCTATAGCAAAGTCACTTGCATCAGTCTCCAACCTTGTTGGAAGGTGGTAGTCGAAGTGCTGAAGCACTCCTGCTGATGTGAAGGCCTGGATGAGCTTGTGGAAGGCCTGTTGGGCCTCCTCTGGTAGCTCGAACTTCTTGAACCGTTCTATAGGCTTTACCAGTGCTGTCAAGGGCTTGGCTATGCGAGCAAAGTGGCCTATGAACCTTCGATAGAAGTTGGCAAAACCCAGGAACCTCTGGATGTCATGGATTGACTCCGGCATTGGCCACTCCTTGACAGTGCGCACCTTTTCTGGGTCCATCTCTATGCCCGTTGGCTTGATGATGTACCCCAGGAACTCAACTGTCTTGGTGTGGAACTCACACTTTGACAGCTTAGCAAAGAGCCTGTTGCTCCTTAAGCGAGTGAGGACCTCAGTGACATGCTTCACATGTGCTTCTTCAGTGTCACTGAAGATCAGGAAGTCATCTAGGTATACTACCACATATATCCCAATGATGTCTCGGAAGATGTCATTGATGAATGACTGGAAGTGAGCCGGAGCATTGGCTAGGCCAAAGGGCATCACTAGGTACTCATAGAGTCCCAACTGAGTGCCAAAAGCTGTCTTCCATTCATCTCCTTTAGCAATCCGGATGAGGTTGTATGCTGCTCTAAGGTCTAGCTTGGTATAGATCCTTGCCTTCCTGAGTAAGAACAGCTGCTCTTCGATGAGGGGCAATGGTGCCCTGTTCTTGACAGTGATCTCGTTGAGACCTCTGTAGTCCACACAGAGTCTGAGACCTCCATCCTTCTTTGGTACGAAGAGCACCGGTGATCGTGCCGGGCTCTTCGATGGTCTTATGAACCCCTTCTCGAGGTTCTCATCCAAGTACCTCCTCAGCTCGGACATCTCCTTGGGTCCCTTAAGGTATAGGGGCCCTTGAGGTGGCTTACCTCCTTCTATCAACTCGAGGTGGAGATCATGCTCAGTATGATGGGGCAGCTTGTCTGCTTCCACCTCATCGAACACATCTTGCAGGTGTTGGTATGGCTTTGGTATGTCTGCAGCCGTCACCACCTTATCTACCTCCACCTCCATCTCGACTCCTTTGTCTGCGCCTGTAGGTACAAAACCAAAGGCCGGGAGTGATGATGGTGGCTCCTCTAACAGCATGAACCCTATGGGTCCATCTTCCAGAGCTGCTCGTAGTATGCGCTCTGCTGAGACAAACTCGTTACCATGAAGGGTTGGTCTCCTCATGGTTAGGTCCCCTGCTCTTGCTGCTTCAGGGGGTCTCCTAGGGGGTCGGTCCTGCTCCTGAGTCTTGAACTCCAGCTGGCCCGTATCCCATTGTATGGTGGGTTTGAGCCTCCGTAGCTCAGTGAACCCCAGGATGAGGTCATAGTCCGCAGTGTCGGCCACTGAAGCTTCGACCACACCCAGATTGTGTGTACCAATAGATACCTGCATGCTCGCAGAACTATTGATGGAGAGTTGGTGCCCGGTGACACCATGGATCAATCTTGTTTTTATGGGTTTTGTGGGTATTTGGTACTTACTAATGAAAGAATCTGAGACTATGGACAAACCAGCACCGGTATCAGCTAGTATCCGAGCAGGATGGTCTTGAACCATTCCAGAGAGCTCCAGTACTGCTTTGCCTCCACTGGTAGAGAAACATACTTGACAATCTTGATATATACAGAGTGATGGCGAGGAGGTTTGTAGAGCAATGCATGCCATCAGTGCATCACCCCCCTGACGTTTCCCTCGTCGTCATCATCATCGTGCTCCTCCTCGTGATCGGGGTCCATGGGTTGCTGGTATGAGCTGAGGTCCATGGCCTCGGGGTCACCCGTCTCAGTGCTGCCTGTGGGGCCATCTCCTGAGTCGGTGGCCTCCTCGAAGGGGTCTGCTGTGGTGACCATAACCTTTGGTCCCATGGGTCGAGAGCTAAGAGGGTTTACCCTCCTGCTGGGGCAGTCTCTGGCCCAATGGCCGATACCCTTGCATACATGACAGGTGTTGATACCTGATGGAGCAGGGCTTCCTTGCTTCGTGGGTTGGGTGGGATGATGAGGAAGGGGTCGGTTTAGGTTTTGTATAGTTGCTTGTGTAGTTGCTTGTGATGGTGATCGAGCTGGATAAGGTTGAGTGGGTTGTCGGATGGGGATCGAACTTTGATTTGGCCGAGACCCAGTTCTTAGTGGAGGTGACATGGCATTTGGGAGTGAGTGTCTAGCTGAGGACTGCTGTAGTAGCATCCTCTGTCGATCGATCTCCTCAACCTCTCGATACCACTCCCATCTCTTCCCAGGTGGATTCCTCTCAAACTTCTCCTGTATGCTGCGAGTGAGACTTCCTCTGAAGAGATCAATCACTAGCTCGTTGTCATCTAGGTTGACCTGTCCCTCCAAGTCTCTGAACCGCTCTACATGACGTGTGGCGGCACCAGGAGCATCACTTGTGAGTCTGAGAGCCAACAGCTTGTTGTATGCCTCCATCCTAGCATTGCGTGGGTTGAACTGCTCTGACAGTCGCTCTGTGAAGTAGTGCCAATCATTGAACAACCTTCCTTCTCTAGCTCTATCAATACGGAGCTTGGAGGTCCACCACTCTCTTGCTGTCCCTTCCAGTTGAGCACCCATGTGATTGATCATCCTAGACTGTGTCATGGGCCTGGATGCTCAAGAAGCAGGAGGGTCATGGGTTCATATGGAAGGAGCACAGGTATCGAAGACCTAGTCGACACCAGTAGAGAGCATGGTCATAGTGCAGTCTCCATGGAGACCATGGACTCCTATGGACTCACATGCAAAGGAGGGCCAAGCACAGCCACGAGGAGGACCAAGCTCAAGGAGCAGGCACAGCCACGAAGAGGACCAAGCTCAAGGAACATGCAGATGGTTACCACTCAGGGGCTCGAGAGACAAGAGCCAAAGGAACTGTCACTGATCAAAGGAGGAGGAGCAGTGTCGAAGGAGTCGACACCAGGTCATGAGGAGGAGGAGCAGTGTCGAAGGAGTCGACACAGCTCAAGAGGCACAGGGGTGCCAAGCAGGAGAGGCCCCTGAGCAGTACTCGATGAAGAAGGTACTCTCTGGAGAGAGAGCAGGAGCAGCATCGCTGGCGATGCTGAGAAGAGGTATATAACCATGCTTTCTCATCAATAGGTCGAGTGGATCCTCATCCACTCTACTCACCATACAACTAGTCAATACTTTAGAAACACAAGTACTCATTAGTTACAGTCAGCATAGCAGCAATCTATCAAGGTTGCTCCTCATCGTAGTGTGTGTGTTGTATCACCACTACCTGACGTCCGAAGGCGCCCATAGCAGGTTAGCGGTCCGGATATAGATAGAACCGAAGGCAGTAGTCCACTGCGGTCCGGGGATCACTTCAAGCATCAAGTCAACACACTGGACACTCGTGTTGACGCCACCAACCTTATCACCAACACCATCAACCTCATTATCACCGACATCACCAATCTCATCACTAACACCATCAACCTCATCATCATCAACACTCACACCAGACCTTGGTGTCATCATAACATTGATATTGATCGTGCCGAGCTACCCCTGAACGGAGTGTCCACAGAGGTCAGCCGAAACCTACAATAGTATATACAACAAACGCCACCTGCTGTCACTGCACAACTTGATAGTCACCGAGTATCTCGAGACAATAGCTGTCGCACAGTTTGATAGTCACCGAGTATCTCGACAGACCGACCTGGGTTTCAGGCGCGAGACCCCTGACACAACCCTTCATGGTAACAAGTTTGTCTCAGCAGAGCGCATACTACAAGCAGCTCTGGAAGATGGACCCATAGGGTTCATGCTGTTGGAGGACCCACCATCATCACTCCCGGCCTTTGGTTTTGTACCTACAGGCACAGACAAAGGAGTAGAGATGGAGGTGGAGGTGGACAAGGTGGTGATGGCTGCAGACATACCAAAGCCATACCAACACCTGCTAGATGTGTTTGATGAAGTGGAAGCAGACAAGCTGCCCCATCATACTGAGCATGATCTCCACCTTGAGTTGATAGAAGGAGGTAAGCCACCTCAAGGGCCCCTGTACCTTAAGGGACCCAAGGAGATGTCCGAGTTGAGGAGGTACTTGGATGAGAACCTCAAGAAGGGGTTCATAAGACCATCAAAGAGCCTGGCACGATCACCAGTGCTCTTCGTACCAAAGAAGGATGGAGGTCTCAGACTCTGTGTGGACTACCAAGGTCTCAACGAGATCACTGTCAAGAACAGGGCACCACTGCCCCTCATTGAGGAGCAGCTGTTCTTACTCAGGAAGGTCATCCAGATTGCTAAAGGAGATGAATGGAAGACAGCTTTTGGCACTCAGTTGGGACTCTATGAGTACCTAGTGATGCCCTTTGACCTAGCCAATGCTCCGGCTCACTTCCAGTCATTCATCAATGACATCTTCTGAGACATCATTGGGGTATATGTGGTAGTATACCTAGATGACTTCCTGATCTTCAGTGACACTGAAAAGGCACATGTGAAGCATGTCACCGAGGTCCTCACTTGCTTAAGAAGCAACAGGCTCTTTGCTAAGCTGTTGAAGTGTGAGTTCCACACCAAGACAGTCAAGTTCCTGGGGTACATCATCAAGCTGACAGGCATAGAGATGGACCCAGAAAAGGTGCACACTGTCAAGGAGTGGCCAATGCCAGAGTCAATCCATGACATCCAAAGGTTCCTGGGTTTTGCCAACTTCTATCAAAGGTTCATAGCCCACTTTGCTCACATAGCCAAGCCCTTGACATCACTGGTAAAGCCTATAGAATGGTTCAAGAAGTTCAAGCTACCAGAGGAGGCCCAACAGGCCTTCCACAAGCTCATCCAGGCCTTCACATCAGCAGGAGTGCTTCAGCACTTTGACTACCACCTTCCAACAAGGTTGGAGACTGATGCAAGTGACTTTGCTATAGCAGGAGTACTCAAGCAGGAGCATGAAGGACGATGGCATCCAGTGGCCTTCTACTCTAGGAAGATGTCTTCTGCCAAGAAGAACTATGAAATCCATGACAAGGAGCTCCTAGCTGTGGTCGCCTGCCTTACTCAGTGGTGACACATGCTAGCTGGACTACCAAGTCAACTGGTCATCCTCACCAACCATGAAGCTCTCAAGTACTTCAAGTCACAGAAATGCATCACAGGCTGACAGGCTCGATGGGCAATACTACTAGCAGACTTCGACTTCATATTGCAGTATCGACCAGGAGACAAAGGTGGTGAACCTGATGCTCTCACCAGAAGGACAGACATGCAACCAGCTGGTGAAGAGCAGGATCACAATGTGAGGCAACTACTGCCTCCTCGAGTGTTCAAGGAGACAGCAGACCATGACTCGATCCTAGTGGCCCCTATGATCTCGATGGAGTCCATAGCATCAAAAGGTCTCAGAGACCTGGTCAAGATCTTCCAGCCCTTAGACCAAGAGCTACAGGAGATACATGTGAAGAAGCCCTTCGAGGTCAAGGATGACCTATGGTACAGTGGAGGAAGGTTGGTTATCCCCAAAGTGATCATGCCAGGGAGGACCAACAACCGACACTCCAGGAGTGCCAAGAGGTAGATGGACAGTCTCTCTCTGTAGAGCATCTGCAATTCATGGTGATGACCCAATGCCATGATGGTATTACTGCTGGACACATAGGGAGAGATGCTACCATCAAGGCAGCCCAACAACACTTCTGGTGGCCAAACATGACAGCTTGGATTGCAGACTATGTAGCAAGTTGTCCTGTATGTGCTAGGTACAAAGCTCCTCGTCACCGTCCATATGGTTTGCTACAGCCACTAGCAACACCAGACAGGCCCTGGGGCTCCATATCCCTCGACTTCATCGAAGGACTACCACCATCAAAGAAGTATGACTCCAAGACCTATGACTCTATCTTAGTCATTGTCGACAGGTTAACCAAGTTTGCCATACTAGCTCCAACCCATAAGACAGTCACGGCCAAACAGACTGCAGTATTGCTATATGGACACATGGTTAGACTCTTCGGATACCCAGATCACATGGTCTCGGACCGAGGCAGGCAGTTCATATCAGGAGCATGGAAGGCATTTGCAGAACAAATGGGTGTGAAGCACTCACTTAGCATGGCTTACCATCCTCAAACTGATGGTCAGACAGAGAGGGTCAATCAGGTCATAGAGCAATACCTAAGGATGTACTGCAACTATGAGCAGAATGACTGGGCCGACCTGCTGGACACTGCAGCCTTTGTATACAACAACATGGTCCACAACAGCATTGGTGTCTCACCATTCTTTGCATGCTATGGATGGAACCCCAAAGCTCATCCTGACATCCCTCAATGACTAGGAGTCAATGATCCAGGTCGCTTCGAGTACCTCATGGATGGAAAGGAGCATTGCAAGTACCTCCAGGAGCAGATCAGAGAGGCACAATGTCGATCAGTAGACCAGTATAACAGGAAGCACAAGGACATCGAGTTCAAAGTGGGTGATATGGTCTATATCAACTGTCGAAACTGGAAGACAAGGAGACCCACACCCAAGTTAGATACCTGGTTTGCAGGACCCTACCCAGTTCAGGAATGGGTAGGACGCCGAGCTTATCAAATCACATTGCCAGCAAACCTTAGGGTGCATGATGTGTTCCATGTCTCCATGCTCGAACCAGCAAGAACAAGTTCTCTTCCTCAATGAGCTGAACAGCCCACCATACCATCACTCCCAGATGAGGACCTCGTTTTCGAAGTCAAAGCACTCATTGACAAGCGTTCACACAATGGGACTACAGAGTACAAAGTGTTGTGGAGAGGGTACTCAGAAGAAGCTGCTTCATGGGAACCAGTAGAGAACCTCAACTGCCCCGACCTCATCCAGGAGTATGAGGTGTCGGAGGGGGGACGAGCGAGTAGACAGAGTAGAGAGAGGAGGAGAGAACAGGAGAAATAGAGAGAGAAGGAGGAAGGAGAATGATGTTGAGAGAAAGAGGAAGGGTGATGTTGGCGATGTTGTCGAGGAGGAGGAGGAGGAGGAGTCAGCATGAACCAGACCAGAGCATGCCTCGACGGAGCTCAGCTCTTAAGAGGGGGGTAGTGTCATAGGCCTGGATGCTCAAGAAGCAGGAGGGTCACTGGTTCATATGGAAGGAGCACAGGTAGAGATCTAGTCGATACCAGTAGAGAGCATGGTCGTAGTGCAGTCTCCATGGAGACCATGGACTCCTATGGACTCACATGCAAAGGAGCACTGAGCCATATGCGAGGAAGGCCAGGCACAGCCAAGAGGAGGACCAAGCTCAAGGAGCAGGCACAGCCACGAAGGGGACCAAGCTCAAGGAGCATGCAGATGGTTACCACTCAGGGGCTCAAGAGACAAGAGTCAAAGGAACTGTCACTGGTCAAAGGAGAAGGAGCAGTGTATAGGACACCGGCAAGCAGGTCCTGAGGAGGAGGAGCAGTGTCGAAGGAGTTGACACCACTCAGGAGGCACAGGGGTGCCAAACAAGCAGCAGAATAGCAAGGAGGAGGAGCAGTGTCGAAGGAGTCGACACAGCTCAAGAGGCACAGGGGTGCCAAGCAGGAGAGGCCCCTGAACAGTACTCGATGAAGAAGGTACTCTTCTGGAGAGAGAGCAGGAGCAGCATCGCTGGCGATGCTGTGAAGAGGTATATAACCATGCTTTCTCATCATCAAAGGTCGAGTGGATCCTCATCCACTCTACTCACCATACAACTAGTCAATACTTTAGAAACATAAGTACTCATTAGTTTTCAGTCAGCATAGCAGCAATCTATCAAGGTTGCTCCTCATCATAGTGTGTGTGTTGTATCACCACTACCTGATGTCCGAAGGCACCCCATAGCAGGTTAGCAGTCCGGATATAGTTAGAACCGAAGGCAGTAGTCCACTGCGGTCTGGGGATCACTTCAAGCATCAAGTCAACACACTGGACACTCATGTTGACGCCACCAACCTCATCACCAACACCATCAACCTCATTATCATTGACATTCACCAACCTTATCACCAACACCATCAACCTCATCATCATCAACCCTCACACCAGACCCTGGTGTCATCACAACCTACATATTGATATTGATTGTGCCAAGCTACCCCTGAACGGAGTGTCCACAGAGGTCAGCTGAAACCTACAATAGTATATACAAAGAACGCCACCTGCTGTCACTGCGCAACTTGATAGTCGCCAAATGACTAGCTCATCGAGACAGATACCGAGACAATAGCTGTTGCACAGTTTGATAGTCACCGAGTATCTCGACAGACTGACCTGGGTTTCAGGCGCGAGACCCCTGACAGATTGCTTCAGGCCATATAGACTCTTGATGAGCTTGTACACCTTCCCCGCTGCGACTTCTGCACCCTCTGGTGGTTTCAAATAGATGTCATGATGTAGGTCAGCATTGAGGCAGGCTTGTGTAACATCCATGGAATCTATTTCCCAGTTGAACTTTGCTGCAATTGTGAGAATGGTCTGGATCAAATCCCTAGGCACCACTGGGGCAAAGATTTTGTTGAAATCAATCCCCTCCCTCTGAGAGAAACCATGTGTGCAGAATCTAGCCTTGAACTTATATGGAACATTGCTTGCATCAGTCTTGACCTGTAGGATGAGTTTGGAGTCCATGAGGTTTGTGTCTTTGGGCCAGTCCACAGTCTCCCAGATATGCATACTCTCAAGACCATCCATCTCTGCCTTGATTGCCTCATGCCAATGGATCTGATTGGGTCTGGTCAATGCTTCTTTCACTGATGGCTTTACATTTGTGACCAAAAGTGTATATACATTGGCATTGTATTCTGGAAAGGTCCAATGTTCACTAGTTTTCCATGGTGCCAGAGCTTCTCCTGGAACTGGTGCATCTTGGCTGCAGGTGGGAACATTCTTGGGTAAATGCAGATCAGTTTGGCAAGTGTTGTTGGATGTAGCCATGGGTACATCTTGTGCTTTGTGGCAAACTTGTTGTGGTAGTATTGTGCATTTTGTATTGATGAGTACTTGGAGAAAGTGGAGTCTTGAGTGTGGCATGCATGGTCTCTGATTGGGAGTGGCGAGGCTGGTGGCATTTCAGATCAGTATCCATTTTCCACTGAACTGTTGGACACCTGGTTTGAGGGCATGGTCGATGAGGTCAAACCAGGTTCCATGTCCATCATGCCATCCAGGTGGTCAAGGGTGATATCTGCCAGTTCAGGGGGTGGTGTTTTCCCCCCAGAAAACATATCTTGCTCCAGTGTTGGGCAGTAGATGTCATCCAAGGGTTGTTGGAGTTCTTTGTTGTGTGTGTTGACATTGTCATAGCTGAGGTCTGCAGTGTTGGCCCCAGGGCTGTAGTGCAGGGTGTCTGTGTCTTGGATCTGGGTCATGTCTGTGCAGTCATTCCATGACCTGTTTTGCAGGAAATGTGCCAAGTTGGACCAAAAGACCAGCAGGTTATGGTTTGGAGATAGGAACTTACATCCCTTGTGTTCCTCATCATATCCAACAAGGATTGCTGGGTTGGCCAGTTTGTCCAGCTTCTTGTGCTTTGCCCTGGGTATGTTGACCCATGCAAGGCAACCAAAGGTCCAGAGCATGTTGAATGGCTTGCAGGGATCCTTCCTGTAGAAAACATGGTATGGGACCCAGTTTTTGATGTTTGGCAGAAGGTTTTTTGTGAATGTGGCAGCCTCAGCAGCAAAAGGCCAGAATGTCTGTGGCAGGCAATGCATGCACATCATGGTGATCATCATCTCCCTGATTGTTCTGATCATGCACTCAGCCTTACCATTTTGTTTGCTGGTGTATGGTGATGTCTTTTGCCACCAGAAACCAGCATCATTCTGCCACCAAGACCCATTGGCCCCCATTGTCTGAGCAAAGGGTTTTGAGCTTATGGCCTGTCTGTACCTCAGCATATTGAATCCACTCTTTCAAGACTTGCAGTGCATCTGATTTCATCTGGAGTGGTTTCATGTATGTAAAACTAGAGGCATCATCAATTGTGACTAGCAAGCAAGTGACCTCAGTCTTCATTGACCAGTGCATAGCCAGATCAACATGTATCAATTCTAGAGGGTCTTTAGCATGTGTACCACTCCCACATCCCATCTGGGCTTTGGTTGACTTGCCAACCACACAGTCCTGGCATTCACCATCCATGATTTTAACTTTGTAGATCTTCTCAATGAGTCTTGTTTTGTTTTGGCCTGGGTGGCCACATTGTTTGTGCATGAAATCCAGGGTGAATTCACATTTGTTTCCTTTTGCATCATTGTCGAAACACTCAGGCAAATCTGACAACCCATCATTGGGGCCAATCACTAGGGCCTTGCGCCGAGATTGCAGGATTTCATAGTGCCTTGTCTGAGGGTTGAGTTTGCTGATGACCATTTTGTCAGCTGACAGCTCTATAGTTACATATTTGGAGTCAAACATCATGTGTGCACCATTGTTTGTTAATTCTTTTACTGAGATCAGGTTTGCATTGGAGTCTGGGACATAAAGTATATTGTCTAGTAGTACTTTATGGCCATTCACTTTGAGCATGGCCTGACCCACAGCCATGATGCAAATCTTTGTTCCACTAGCAGTTTTCACAAAGCCAGTGCAGGGAGGGATGTGTCAGAGGTTGTGCACCTGAAACCTGAGATCGGTAGTTGTATCAATACTATTACCGATTCTGTCGAGTTATGTGACAGCGCTTGTGGTATTGCGATTCTTCACAAGATATGCAGTAGAGCCTTCTCTATTACTTTTCTCGCTTGAATCTGTAGTTGTGATGATGCTATTGCAGATTTCGACTGACCACTGTCGGACACTCTGTCCAGAGGTAGCTTGGCATGATCAATAACTTATGCGAACTTGCTGATGACACCAAAGGTCTGGTGTGAATATGGATTGGTGGCATCAACACAAGTGTCCAGTGTGTCGACTATGCTTGAGGTGATCCCCGGACTGCAGTGGATGACTGCCTTCAGTTCTATTGAGATCTGGACTGCTGGTTTGCTAAGAACCGCCTTCGGACATCAGGAAACAGTGATACAACACACATGCTTCAATGAGGAGCAATCTATTGATTGCAACTTATGCTGACTTGAAAACTAATGAGTACTTATGTTTCTAAAGTATTGACTAGTTGTATGGTGAGTAGAGTGGATGAGGATCCACTCAACCACTTAGTGATGAGAAGGTATGGCTTTATACCTCTTCGCAGTGCTGCCAGCACCACTGCTCCAACTCTCTCTCCAGAGAGTACCTCCTTCGTCGAGTGCTATGCAGGAGTCCCTGTAACCCTACTCCTGTCCCTCTTGAGCTGCATGTCGACCTCCTCGACACAGCTCTTCTTCCTCATGAACTATATGCTGGTGTCCTTGACACAGTTCTCCTTCCTCCTAACTGGCGACTGTTCTCTTGACTCCTATCTTGTGAACCCCTGAGTGGTAACCAGCTGCAATTTACTGAGCTTGTTCCCCATCTTGGCAGAGCTTGGTCCTCCTCGCCTGTGAGCTTGGTCCTCTGCATGTGTGAATTCATCATATGAACATCCTTGTCACTGTTCTCCGCAGAATCTACTATATGACCTCTCCTACTACTGATCTCATCAGAATTCATGATATCATCCTTGTTCATACTGATCTCACTGAGATCTGTCATAGAGCCGATTCTACTGCAGATCTCAGCGACTTCTGCCGCAAATCCTACGATCTGCCCGATCCCCTGATTCCTGCGCTCCCTTCATATGAACTAGCGGGTCTTCCTGCTTCCTGCGCACTCAGGCCCATGACAGGATGAAACAAGATTCAATTTATCATTTGTGACATGATCTGTTGCCCCAGAGTCTACAATCCAGTTATTTGGTTGCTGATCCAGGGAGACACAGTGGGCAGAAGCAATGGTACACCACATATCCTATGTGGTCATCTGGGTTGAGGCAGGGGCTGTGGCAGTCATGTCTCCTTGGGTCTTTCTTGGGCAGTACCTGGAGATGTGGTTCTCTGCATTGCAATGATAGCAATGTCAGACACTGTCAGGTCCAGGTTTATCCTGACAGTAAGCCTCCTCATTCTTTACTTATCCATCAGCCAGGTTTGCCTGAGCAGACTTGAGGTCAACAGTCCTGTGGTCCATTCAGGTGGTCATGCTGTCCTGTTGTTTGAAGAGTGCAGTGCAAAGCACTTCATAATTCAATGCCATTCCAGTGTCCTTGAGCATGGTGATGCGATGATGATACAAGGTAATATACCTGGCCTGGTTGATAAGTGTCTTGACTTTGAGGATCTTGGGAAGGGTGTGACCCATAGACTTGGCTTTGGCCCAATGTTCATTGATATCAGCAATGAGCTTCTGGACATTTGCTTGGAACATATGGATTCTCCTGACTTCATTGAGCAGGGTCAACTGGGCAATCTTTTCCATCTTTGTGAGGTCTGTCATGAGCCTGCAGTAGAGGTCATGTAGTTTCCAGGGTTCTGAGTCAGCAGGCCATATGAAAAGGTAATTGATGTTGTCATTTCCAGCAAGTAGGCCACTACTTTGAAGGATAGTGCAAAGTTTGCCATCCAGGGCACAGTCATATTTCTTGTGTTCAGTGGTCATGGTGCCATCAAGGTGCTTCATAGCTGCAGGCCAGTTGGACAGGATGCCTCTGAAGTGGGGGTTCCAGGCATACCAGTTTTTGGTCATGAGCTTGGGGGCTTCTTTTAGGGCATTGTGGGTGCAAGAAAGTTGCTGGTGGAAATTGGAGTGGCACAAGGGTTTCTTGTATGCATCAGAGTTCTTCACTTTGTTGTGTTTGGTTAGTTCAATAAGCATGCCCCTGAGCACTTCAGGGTTGAGTTTGGAGATGGTGTTGATATTGCATTGGGTTTCATTGCCATCATTGTTGTCATCAGAATTGTAGCATGAAGGGGTCTCTGTGCCAACCAGCATTTGCCTGTGTGGTGCAGTGGGAGCTCTTTCCTTGTGCAGTTTGTCAGACAGGTCACTGCTCTCAGCATCTGGATCATGGGTTTGTGGAGGCATGCTGGTTTGTTGGGCTAGGTGGAGGCAGGCCCTTTCTTCAGGTGGCAGAGGCAGGTGAGGATACAGATTGGACAGCATGGCGAAGCAAGGCAGTGTTCCTACAGCAGAGTGTTCAGACTCTTAATCTGTTGAGGAAAGCACAATCAGGGCAGTCAAGTGAGCAGTGAAATTGTTAGCATTTGAAAGGAACTAAGTACAAAGCAATAACAGAAGTATATATGCCCCTGCTGTTGGTTGATGTGTGTGTGTATAGGGGAAAGTGACAGGTATGAGGGTGTGCCATTGTCAAGTGGGATAGGAGTGTTGGTGGGGAAAGCCAAGCATTGGTGGGAGTTGACAGGTGGCAACACCAAGTGAAGTTTGCAGTCATGTTAGAGCATGAACATGCGGTCATGTGATTTCACTAAAAGTGAGCCATTTTGGCAAAAGCCTCGGCAGGGAGATGCGAACAAAATTTCATCGTCGTTCCCTTTGTGTGTGGAAGAAAATGTAACAGAAGAAGAAGAAGAAGCAGCTCCACACACAGAGACTGGAAGAGAATCGCGCGCCACCGACGCAACACGATTCTGAGAAATTCTGCGGGTCAGGTGCATGTTGACATGCAAGGCGCTATCTTGCAATCATCCCGAGCGAGTTGATACCCTGCTCGTCACACCTCCACCATCTAATCCCACAAGGCTTTCATCAGAATGAGCTTTACACCACGCTACGGCTCGTCTGTAACGAGGGACTACACATTGCTTCAAGGTCACCCCAGCTCTTATCAGCACTTTGGTGCTCTTGGATCCACTCAGCCGCGAGGCACGAACAATCTCACCTTCACTCGACTAGATGATGATGATGATGATGAAAACCAAAGCACTCACGATGATCACCAACATGAAGATGGCGACGGCGATGCTTCTGCATCCTCTATTCGCCATGATGACTCCACGGACAATGGCCTCAGCAACATCTCTCTCCCGCCAAATCATTCAGCAGTCGGTAGTGCGCCCGCCTTTAGCCGCAGTGGTCGACTCGCTACAGCACCTGTCGTATCACCTCGCGCTCGCCGTCCTAGCGTAAACGCTTACTCACAGATAGCAGGTATCCCTTCTGAGTATCTTCTCGGTGGACCTGCACATCCACCCACACATCATCCTGCCACCGCCTCCCATCTCACACTGGGAGCACCTGTTGCTTCTACCTCTGCTCAAGCTTCACACAAAGCCGCGAGAACATCTCATGAGGACGGAATCGAGGGAAGGAATGATGGTGCCGACGCCACAGAATCTACCTCCCTCTTGCACCGTCGACCGGCACATCAAGCAGATGCACATCATGGAGCCAGCGGGTTTGCTACTTCGTATGGCGCCGTCCGACGCTCTTCGATCGATGGAGCAAGTATCATGAGCGGCGGTCCTGGCGTTAGCGGCTGGGCTGCGGCCAATTCGATACGAGAAGCTCCTCTTCCAGGTGTCGAGCAGATCGAGTCCATTGCACGCGAATCTAACAACAATATCGCTTGGAGGGAGGCACGAGTCTTGTTTGGCTACACTGTTCCTATCTTTGCCACGCATCTCCTGGAACTCTCGCTCTCAGTCGCTTCTGTCTTCTCGCTTGGCCATCTGGGCACTGTTGAGCTCGCTGCAGCTTCTCTTTCCAGCATGACTGCCAACGTCTCAGGCTTTAGTGTTCTCTCAGGCTTCATCTCGGCCTTGGATACCCTTCTTCCCTCCGCCTACACACAGCAACCCAAGTCGGTCGGTCTGTGGACACAACGCATGGGTGTCATCCTCATCTGCATTCTTCCCTTCATCCTTGCCATCTGGCTCAACGCCGAAGCAATCCTCATCCGCATCGGTCAGGATCCTGAGGTCGCCTACCTCGCAGGCCGCTATCTTACCGTCCTCTCTATTGGCTTGCCCGGATACGCCCTCTTTGAGGTTTGCCGAAGATATCTCCAAGCGCAAGGTCTCATGCATGCTCCCACCATCGTGCTCATCTTTGTCTCACCACTCAACGCCATTGCCAACTACCTTCTCGTCTGGGGGCCCGAATCCATTCGTCTCGGCTTCATCGGCGCCCCACTTGCTTCCGCTCTTTCCATGTGGCTCATGGCCATCCTTTGCTTCTTCCAGTGCGTACTCGGCCCTCGTGATGCTTGGGATGGTTTCACCACCGCCGCTTTCAAATGGGAAGGCATCAAGCCCGTGTTATACCTCGGATTCGCAGGAATGATCAGTCTGGCAGCCGAATGGTGGGCTTGGGAGATTGTCGGTCTGGTTACCAGTCAGCTTGGTGTTGTTGCTCTTGCTGCGCAGTCGGTATTGCTTGTAAGCTCGTCGGTCACTTACCAATTGCCGTTTGGTGCCTCGGTGGCCACTGCCGTTCGTGTGGGAAACCTTCTTGGCGCCAACCGACCTGCCGAGGCCAAGATCTCAAGTAGAGTTGCTCTCATTCTCTCGCTTGCTATGGGAGGGCTCAACTCCGCACTCTTCCTTATCTTCCGCAGGCAGTGGGGATGGCTTTTCAGCTCTGACATTGAAGTGATCAAGCTCGTAGAGTACATCTTGCCTCTGCTTGCATTCTTCCAGGTCGCCGACGGCATTTGTGGTATCGCTGGTGGTGTCTTGCGTGGAACAGGCAGGCAGGCAGCTGGTGCGGGGATCAACATGGTCTCGTACTACGTCATTGGTATTCCAATTGGCCTTGTGCTCACTTTCACTCGCATCAACCTTGGATTGGCTGGTCTATGGTGGGGTCTGACGATTGCTCTTCTCTTCGGATCGGCTGGCATGATCTGGTTGATTAGTATCACTGACTGGGAATGGGAGGTCAAGAAGGTGCAGTTGCGCATGGCTGTTGATGATCCAGGTGTGGCTGTTCCTGCTCATGGCGCTGTTAAGCCTGATGCGGAGGCTGCATCTGATCCACGCCTGCTATCAACCTCTTCGACTGTCGATGCCATCAATAGCCGCGACCCAGCTCTCAGTCCGCTTGGCCTGCGACCCTCGTCTCTCGCTGGGTCAGTCATAGAGGAAGAGGAAGATGAAGTGTCGATCTAAACTGTTCAGCAAGCTCAAGGCTTGCTCTCCGGATTTTGGCCGCTTACATATAAGTGTTAGTCCTACATTCAAGTCTACATTTGCAATAGCATTTTGCATGTTCCATCTCTAGCAGTCAGGAACTAGTGAGACAACTTTTGTGCTTGGCTTCTGTGCGCTCGGCAGAAATAACGGCCAATTGGCTGGCTTCAACGTGGGCCGGCTATCAATCGAGTGAGGTGACCTGAGCGCGACACAGAATGCCCTGAGCAGCAAGCCGCCGCTTCCCTGCGGAGCCTCAATTACTGTCACTTCCGTCAATTGCTTCCTTCTTTCCACACCCGTCCCTCTAGGTCATCGTCCCTTGCCGAAGACGGTATATGGAAGAGCAACCATGACAGGCTGTTTCGCCTTCCTCAAGCCCACTCGCGGCAAAGCCAACAAGGCGGCCCCGAACAACAAGACGTGCAACTGCGATTGCAAGTGCTCTTCGCATTCAAAGTCAAGCTCTCAACAGACGCCCGCAGAGAAGACCCCTATCTCTGCATCCATCTACTACGACGCCTGCAACCCGCCACCTTTCGATGCTAGCGAGCAGCAGCAGCAGCAGCGATGCTGTGGCGGCATCACCGGTTCCGGCCTTTCTCACTCTCATCTTCCCACCTACGGGGACTCGCAAAAGCACGCCCATCACTCAGTACGCTATGCTGAAGGCCAAGCCGACTCCAAGCTGAGCGATCTTATGCAAGATGTAGCTAAGAATATCGAAGCCGAGATCGAGAAGCTCGATAAAGAATTACGAGACCTGTCACTCGACATGCACGATCATCCCGAGATCATGTGGGAAGAACGTCGAACCCACGATCTCTTAGTTAAGTACTTCCAAGGCAAGCAAGGTTGGAAAGTCACCCCGCACGCTTACGGCCAGGAAACGGCTTTCAAGGTCGCCTTCTCGCACAAGGCTGATAAAAATTCAAGGGTGATCGGCTTCCAATCCGAGCTCGATGCTTTGCCGGGCATTGGTCATGCTTGTGGGCATAACTTGATTGCTATTGCTGGTGTCGCCGCTGCGCTGTCAGTTGCTGCTACTCTCGTGGCGAAGGACATTCCAGGAACAGTTGTGCTGCTTGGAACACCTGCAGAAGAGGGCGGAGGAGGAAAAATCCGGCTCGAAGAAAAGGGCGCTTACAAGGACATGGATGCCTGTCTCATGGTTCATCCAGCTTATCAATCCGGTACGGGCGCCATGCTTGCTGTCCAACCCGTCGTTGTCACTTACAAAGGCCGAACCGCTCACTCTGGCGCTGCGCCCTGGGAGGGCATTAACGCACTAGACGCTGCCGTGCTGGCATACAACAATATCTCGGCGCTTCGACAGCAAATCCAGCCCTCCGAACGAGTGCATGGTGTCATCAAGGGCACCAATTGGGCACCCAACGTTGTGCCCGGAGAGTCGACTCTCATCTACAATGTCCGCTCACCCACGGTGTCAGGGTTAAAAGCGCTGACTGCTCGAGTGCAGAAATGCTTCGAAGCAGCCGCTCTCGCCACAGGGTGCAAGGGAGAGTACGATTGGCAAACAGCCTATGCTGATGTGCATAACACTCCTTCGCTCTCAACTACTTACGCTAACTTCCTCGGTCAGCGATATGGCTTGGATGTTCCAGATGCAGATTTTGCCGCTTCAACTGACTTTGGGAACATTACTTATGCACTGCCCTCGCTGCATGCTGAATATGCGATTCATTTGGACGATCCAAAGACTCAGGGCAACCACACTGTCGGATTTGCTGCTGCAGCAAGGACTCAGGAGGCTCATGATAGGACCAAAGAGGCTGCATTGGGTATCGCTGTGACTGGAGCTAGGGTGTTGTTAGAGAAGGAGTATCGCGATCACATTTGGGACGAGTGGCAGAAGTGGAGGAAGGGCGCTGATGGACCGTAGGCCCGCCTTTGTGACACCTCAACCTTCAACACGGATCAGGACTGTCATTCGTGATCGTGTCAAAACCTCATCTGATGTCAATGTCAAAACTTTATTCTAACCAAGCAACGACGTTGGCGAAATAATACCGAGAGCAAATCTAGAGCTTCGAGGGACGAGCGGCAGAGCTGCTGCCTTTTTGAGCAACGATAGAGCTGAGACGGTTGATGTGTTTCTCAGCGTCGCGCTCGATGTTTGCACAAAGGTCCTTGCACGAGGGCTGTCACAAGAAAATGAGAAAGTAATGTCAGCTTGCCGTTCGTGTGCTGTCGTCAAGAGGATGGGAGATGGGCGGACTTACGATGTCGTGAATGAGACCAATAGTGATACCGGCAGACCAGATACCAGCGTCGAGGTCACCGTTTTCGTACACGGTCTTACCACGTGCACCGGAAACGAGCTCTCGGACGTCCTCGAATTTTGCGCCCTCAGGACGGTTCTCGAGGCGAACGACTTCCATTGAGACCTTATTCCTGCAAGTGTTGATGAAGTGAGAGAAAGGGGAGGAGGAAATAAAGTAGGAGATGGTTGAGTAAAGTGTTCAGAGGGCGGCAGAACAGATCCGAACTCGGAGACAATTCCAAAGCAAGAAGGAAATAAGATCGGCGGAGAAGGCTGCTTCAGGCTTTGGACTCCTTGACAGGCCCGCTCTTCTTGCCACGAGGAACAAGCCAAAGAAGGGCAAGCACCAGTTTGAAACCAGCACTGATTGCCAGTCCGCCACTCAAGTTGGCACTTGTATGCAAAAGCGACTCGCCTACACCAGCACCAACACAAAGCGCAAGCACCGCGAACATCCTTCGATCCCTGCCTCTCGTCTTCTCCGATGGGATCAAATGGAAGAGGTACGGATCTGAAGCGATTTGCGTCAACGTTGCGGTGAAAGCGACCGTGGTGGCAAACGCCGGCGAAACCAGCTTCTGCGCCAAGATACTCTGCATGCCCATCGAGAAAGCAACCAGGACAATAACCGCTGGATACCATTCGAAGGTCGGCATCTCGCTTTTCGGCCGACTGAGCAAGATGCCAGCGCCTCCAAAGAGGAAAGCACTCTGAATGACACTCGACACGATCAGCCAAACCCGCCTTTGGTGACCGATCCGCCTACCCAGCTGAAACCCGATAAAAGATCCCAAGAAGAAGCCGACCACACTCAAAATCCGCAGCAGGGTGAGCAGAGGAAACTGCTCAGCACCAGGAATGATGAACTGCGCGATATTAGACGAGAATTGGACCATGTTTCCCGTCTGAAAGGCAAGCCAAACTTGGGACCGACTGTAGAGCAACATGTCGACCATGCCAGTGAGGAAAGCTTGCCAGGCGAGCGGAACGTTTGCTGCGCCATGGTCGATCTCGTCGTTGAGATAGCTCTTGGCTAGGCCCCACGCCTTCCATTTGTCCTGATGCTTTTCCTGCAAGGTGTAGCTATCAGGATCGCGCGTGCCGAGCAACTCGACTGCGCCTTCTTTCGTGGCCTGACGCTGCAACTCGTGGTCGGGCGCCTGGCCTGGGTCTAGGATGTCGGGCGGCTTGTCTGGATCTACTGCGGGTTGAGTGGATGGTGCGGGCTCGCTGTCAGCCGCTGATGCACTGCTCTGCTCTGAGGCAGTGTGGCTAGAATCATGCGTGTCGTCGCTGTTGGTCAGCAAGAGCAGCGATCGAGCCAAAGTCAGCAGAAGTCCATCGAAATCAGTAACATTACAGAGCCGCGTAATGCAGTGTCGAAAACTCACCCAATGAAAGGGCCCTTGACTTAATGTTGCGTCGACCGTATTGTACTGAATGGGCTAGTCGACGTGGGTTGTCAAAGTCAAAGCTTTGAGGTATTGGCATTGGCGGGCCCTTCCACTGGTACCTGAGACGGCACAAGTCCTCAACTCGGGCGTTGAGGCGCCCATCGTGAAACAGAAGAGACAAAGGAACAGAGAACAAAACAAAGGATTAGAATATACTTACTTGAAGACACGGGCAGTGTTGCGGAGGGTTCGGAAGATATGGGTAGTGTTGCGCTCGTCCGACTCGACAATAGCGCGCTTGACGTTCTCGTGGATCTCAGCCTCTTTTGTGCACATGAATCGAGTACCCACTGTAAAGAGGGAAAAGAATGAAGTTTTAGACACGAGGTCAGCATTTGGTGTGGATCAGTCAGTGAATGCGTTGGGAAACTTACTGTTGGCACCGACGGCACCGAGAGCGAGAGCAGCGGCAAGACCTTGACCGTTGGCGATACCACCTGAAGCAATGAAGGGAATCTTGAGCTCCTCAGCAGCCCTAGCCATGAGCACGAGACCACCAATATCGTCCTCACCGGGGTGACCGGCACATTCAAAGCCGTCGATGGAAAGCATATCAGCACCGAGGCGCTCGGCACTGCGAGCATGACGAACAGCAGTGCACTTGTGAATAACGTAAGCACCAGCCTCCTTCACAACCTTGATGACCTCTCCTGGGTTGTTACCAGCGGTCTCAAATATGCGAACACCCTCCTCGAGGGCGGCTTTGGCGAATCCGACGTAGTCGGGTGGGTTGATAGAAGGGAGAAGAGTGATGTTGACGGCGAAAGAGCCATAGTGGTTCTCACGCTCCTTCCTGATGTCCTCGGAAATGAGAGATTTGGTCTCGCGGATGGCTCTGCGAAGAGCTTCGGGCGAGGGCTGGGTCAAGGCGGTGAGAGTACCAAGAGCACCAGCATTGCTGACAGCAGCAGCGAGAGCAGGGGTACCGACCCACTGCATACCACCTTGAACAAGGGGGACACGAAGGCCGAGCTTTTCGGTAAGAGGAGTGACGAGCATGGTGTCGAGCTGATGCAGATGTTGGTGGTGAGTCGTCAGATAAATCTAATGGATTACGGAAGCTGAGAAGGAGAAGATGTATGGTGAGAAGAGCAAAGGTGAGGTGCTGAAAGTGCAGTTTGGTATGCAAAGGGTTCGTGCTTCAACACAGAAAGCAACACGAGGTCGGGACGAAAGAGTAACCGAACGACCGGAATGCCTCGGCAAGGATTTCGAGTGTGAGATCAAGCGACCAAACATCTGGAAGGAATTTCCTGTTTCTGTCAACCCGCTGCTCGACCTCCTCGTGATTCTGGCCTCGCCTCGAGCCACCTTCCGCACCCTGCTGCTTAGCCGCCAAGGTCTGGACAGGTCCAGATGCAGCTTCTGTGCCGCCCAAGCCGTGGTATGGGTAGTGGAATGCTGTGCTCGACTTGCTTTTTGAAAAAAGTTCGACCGAACGGTTGTTCCCGCGAGGATGAGATATTAATGCGGATGCATACGACTGTCAGACGAGGTGACAGGTAGTTATATCTTGCTAGAGATCAAGGGGGTCCTGGCCTGCAGGGTGTCAAGCTGGATAGACGACGAGAAAAGTTTCCGAAGGTCCATCGAAATGCAATTCTAACGTGCTGAAGCCACCGTTCGAGTCAGAAAGATTGAAGTCCGATGAGACTCACAAGAACCTTTTCACTGTAAGCAGGAACCCCTCGAAATGCATCACTGTATTGCCGCCATCCATTAGGTCGCCTGTCAATCAACTGCGGATAGGTGTGGGAGAGTCATCCGGACCATTTGTCGGCTAATTTGCTTGACTCCCTATGCTGCATACTCAAGATGGAGAGTTCCGTCCAACGGATTCGGCTGTATGTCCTCGACCAAACCGTAAAAAGCCGTGGCTTTCCGTGGGAAAGTCATCCTTGATCTTGTTAGCTCGTCGTCGTCAACATCACACAACCGGCTGCGAAGGTGGACCTTTTGGACGCTCGGCAAAGCATCACCGTCGGACGAGGAGCCTCCGAGAACCCTTGCGCTTTCATTGTCTGAATGCAGTGGACTGTCTGCAACAAGGCTAGCCAGAGTGATCCGAGCGTCGTGTGCTCTTGTCAAAGGATCCTTGTAGAGGCAGAGAGTATCGACCTTTCATTCCGTAACACTGCCATCTCGCTCCCCACAGTGTACACAGAGTCGCTGTTTGCAGCATGGCTCCATTCGAGAAGCAAGTGATCGAAGATTGCTACAATGCGGTCGCATCGTCGCTACCTACGCCTAATCTTCAAGCCGCCAGCACTGATCGTGATCAGCAACGCAAGCCGATTCCCAAGCATCGCTGGTTCGTAACCGGTCTCGTAATCTTGGCATATTTTTGGCTCTCCTCGCCCGCTGCCAACGATGCTTTCAATGACGTTCGCCGCAGGATCCACAAACACAAGGGCTGCTCGTCACCAGACTCGTACCTCAAGCCCGAAAACCAGACCGACTTTTCTCAAGCTGCTCGTGGCGAGGTCGTCTGGTTCGACTGTGATGATGAGAAGCGCTACCCTGCTCCTCTTAAGTGCGGTCGCATGAAGGCACCGCTCGACTGGACCAACGCTGACGAGGACAACCGCAACGCTTCGATCGCCGTCATCTTCTACCCTGCTGGTGCGGGTAAGACGTCCAAGAAGGAGATCCTCGGGTCCCTGCTCACCAACCCTGGAGGCCCCGGTGGCTCTGGCTTCGAGTTCATCGCCCGCAAGAACGCTGCAAAGAACAACGAGCTTCTCGCTGCCAACTTCGACACCATCTTAGACCACAAGTACAATATTGTCTCTTTTGACCCTCGAGGTGTTGGACGCACTTTCCCTCGTATGGACTGCTGGAACAACACGGAGAAGAGCTACGTGCACCGCATCGAGTCGGGCTCGTTTGGTGCTCTCTACTCTCATCCTGGTGCTCTCGACAGCGAGATCGGCTCGCTACTTTCCAGCACAGACCTTCTGTCTGAGCTCTGCAGCGTTGACCCCTTTGTATCGAAGCACGGAAAGTTCGTGGGAACCACCGCCACAGCTCGTGACATGCAGCTTCTCCACCGCTTCTTTGGCGACAAGCGCATCAACTACTGGGGTTTCAGCTACGGTACCGTGCTCGGCTCTACCTTTGCCGATATGTTCCCTGACGACGTTAACCGTCTCACAATCGACGGCGTTGTCGATGTCCCCAACTACATGCAGGGACTGTGGAGCACCAACTTGCTCGACACTGACGCAGGCTTCGACGGCTTCTTTGACGAGTGCATCAAGGCAGGACCAAAGGCTTGTGCTTTGTCGGAGCAAGCGTCTGACGATGAAAGTGGCGAGGACCTGAAGAAGAAGTTCTTGCATCTGCTTGATGATCTCAAGTACCATCCTCTGCCTGTCGTCCAAGCCGACGTGCCTCAGCTGCTCACCTTCAGCATGGTGCTCGAAACCTTCTTCATGGCTTTGTACAAGCCTGCAGGCTGGCCCAAGCTCGCCGACATGCTCAACGATGTCATGAACGGCAATGGAACTGCCTTTGTCAACGCCTACGGAGACTCAACCTACCACGTGCCCCAGATCCCAGAATCCGAGGAAGCCAACGCTGCCATTGCTTGCGGTGACGGCCTTCACGACCCTCGCGAGAAGTCGTGGAGCATCAACCGCGCCAAGGAGCACATCCGCACTCTCGAGAAGGACTCGCCTTTGTTTGGCCAGTTCTTTAGCGAGCAAGGTATCATATGTGTTGGTTCGTGGAAGATCCGTTCCAACGAGCGACACCAGGGCAAGTTTGACAGCAACACTTCGTTCCCCCTTCTCACCCTCGGAAACGATTTCGACCCTGTCACACCTGGTCGGTTCGCTGATATGATGGCAGACAAGTTCGGCTCTGCCGTGTCGGTGCGACGAGCTGGTTACGGCCACTGCAGTATGTCTCAGCCGTCCAAGTGCATCAACCAAATCGTTCGCGAGTACTATGTGAACGGCACTGTACCCAAGAAGGGTATCAAATGCGACGTTGACGAATCGCCATTCCCTCCACCTAAGAACGAGACGGCGATTCTTGCTTCGCTTTCGCCGGAGGAGGCTCGTGATGCTGAACTCAACGAGGCTATGGCTGCTATCAGCGAAGCTGTCGCGGAGTACAATGCTCGTCGCTTGATGTAATTACACAGAGCTCTAGGAAGTTACATCCTGACCAAAGATGCCCGCGGCCATACATACAACGTGAGCATCTATACAGTGTTGAAAGCATTGAACATCTGAGCTGGGTCGACAGAAAGACTTGAGCATTCAATGAACGTCCTGCGCCGTGCAGCGGCGGCGTGTCTGCGACCATAAGCCTCCACATGCATGGGATGAGTGAAATTCCGACTCCCGGGCCACCTAGGAACTCTTCTTCTTAGCTTCTTCAATATCATCCTCTGCCTTGCATCAACCGTCCTTACCTCTCCATGCTTGACTAGCTCAGCACCTTGAGCGGCAAGCGTGTGCTGGTCGCTCGTGTCACGCCGCAAGCACACACTGGAGCGATGAACTCGACTTCTGGCACACTGGGCTTACTCGGTGCTCTACCGTTGGATCTGCTTGTACCCATCCTCTCACACCTGCGTCATCGAGTCAGAGACCTGGCAGCCTGCGCACTCGTAGGCCGTCTCTTCAACGAGATAGCTACTCCATTACTATACGAACGCCTCTTTCTACGGGATCAAACACGGCTCAAGCTCATCTTCGCCTGTCTTGGCAGTAACCCGGATCTTTGTCGGCTTGTCAGGATCATCGAACTACGAGTCTTCCCCTTCGGTCTGGACGCTGAGCGCCTCGAAAGGCTCGAAATCGACATCGAGACGACTTTCACTAATGCGATCAACCTAGAAGAGCTCGTCTGGACAAGAGCGGGGAGTCTGAATGACCGGCTACTTCCGACCCTACTCAGCTCATCTCCAAAGCTGCGGAGGCTGGAGCTCGCTGGAGACGTTCGATTATGGACTACGTCGACACTGTTGAAGTATGTGCCGCTGACGGTTCGGGAGCTTAGTCTGGTACTGCCAGAGAAAGCGACGCTGAGAGGCCTCGTGGACATTGCGGAGAAGCTGTTGCGGGGAGGTCAAAGTGACAACACAACGAGTCTAGCGTCAGGGATGGATGCACTCAAAATCGACGACAGCAGCACAGAAGATGCCACGGGATTGCGAAGCCTCAACATCCTCTGCCAACACTCCTCACATCTTACCGATGTTATTTTGATGGCGTTGGCTCCCCACCTCAAGCTGTTGCGGCGGCTATCCCTCGCAGGATGTAGAGCAATCACCGGGCGTGGTATTGAAGCAGTCCTCCGTTCAGCGGCGGAAGGTGGACCAGGCGTTAGTGACCTAGCTATGGAAGGACTCAACATACAGGCGCAAGACGTTAGCCTGCTGCATCCATATGCTTCGTCTCTACGCCTGCTGTCTCTTACATATCCGCGGTCGGCATCTTCTTCGGGCTCGAAACCGCTATCGGCAGCATCACTCAACGAGTTCTACACTGACTTTGCAAAGCTCATAGAGAAGGCCGACCATCTGGTGGAGCTGACGCACTACGCCGGCTCTGGCTCACGGCCTGCCATGGATGGAGGTCACGAGGGCGACGGGGGATTGGTTGATCTGGACGAGCTCGACGATGACGAGTCAGACTACGACGATGACGAGTCAGACTACGACGATGAAGGACACTACATCCTAGCAGGACGGTCGATCTCTAACGGCAACACCGAAGCAACATGGGCATCCAACGACTGGATCCGCCGCTTCTCAGGCCCACCACCAGAAGGCAGCGTGCGATACGGCCAACCTGAGACCTCAACTCCGCCTTCCAACCTTCCGCTTCTTCCGACATGGTTCTTGTCCCGTCTCGTAGTCAGTCGTTGTAGCCAGCTTACAAAGCTGCGCTTGCATGGTATCGGCATCTCGCTGGATCAGTTTGGCTTAATTGCGCAGCACTGTGCTCGGGTGCGAGATCTGGTGATTCAGATTTGGGAGGATGATCTGCCACGACTCGCAGCTTTGCTCTGTCAGCTACCGCATCTCGAAACGCTGCACATATTAGCGTCAGCATCATCCGAGACGAGCTTGGGAGAAAGGGAGATTCAATGGATTGCCCAGGTGTGCACTGATGCCAATCGGGAACGTCGAAAGCTTCGTCACCAAGAGTACTTGAAGGGAGTGAAAGGAGCAAACTTGACACCAGAGGGTAGCGGTCTGCATCAGATCGGGTTTCGCAATCGTGTTTGGCTTGTCGAGCGTAGCTTTGACAATGCCGATGAAGCGCAAAGCAAAGAGTCAGAAGCGACGCAACAAAACGTGAGTCGCATTTACACGAACGGCAAACCGGCACGTGACGAGGAGGAGCCAATCCGCGTCTCCTTGAAGCGGTGGGACCCTGCTGCAGGAACTTTGCCTGAGGTGCTATTGGTTGTCAAGTCATGAGGGACAGCATCTGACATCGACACCTGACGCATTCCTTTTGCTTGGCTTTCATTCAGTGGACTCGCATTTGCCTTCGAGAGACGATGCAAGCTTTTGGTGCGTATGCACGCACTATGTAGACTTCTACGATGCACGCTGAATCGTAGCCCGTCGACCAGCCCCGTACATCTCAAGCGCAGAAGGATCGACAAAAGCAGCCGTGCGATGGGAACACCAACATCGCACAATACTTGGACGAATCAGCCGCATGGCAATGAAGCCCCAAACAACTCTCCGAGACCCAAGGGAGCATGTTTCTGTATCGTCCACAGGGTAGACGCATAAGCACAAGACTTAGTTCGTTCTTCACTAGTATCATGTCCATCCACTGTCTCTACATACCGTTCCTCGTCGCCATATGTAATAAAACCGCGTCCTACCATCCAAGTCTGCCTCGCAAGTGATAAGCGAGCACACTGTTCGCTCCAACAATTGCTACTTCGGATGAACGTGACAAGTCGAGAGCTGCATCTTGGCTCGGCTCCAACCTGCAGACCCTGGATTGGAGCATTGCAGATCACCAACCCAAATCAGGTATCGGCTACTGCAAGGATCGACGAGTAACCGGTGTTCAGTTCCAAAATTTGGGTAGCGTCTACTGACAAGCAGACAGACGAGGGCGAGCATGTCAGATAGCGGTCGATATAGCAAGAGTTTCAGGGTCCAAAGATGATCATTCGTCCGAGCTTTCGGCCTGGTGCTGGACGGAAAAAGCGGACACATCGGCGAAATCTGGCAAGAAGATAATCGTGAACGCGATCTTGGAATAAAATTTCAAATCATTTCTGACGAAAGAGGCAGAGGTATGCAGGAGAGAGAAGAAGCATCTCTGCAGCTTTGCAGATAGGAAATTTTACCCTCTCACAACTCACTTGGACCGGCTTCATGGTACTACCGGGTGCCGCAGAGCAGCTTGATCTATCCATATCGATCCTTGTTACACACGACACTGGACAGCGCGTCAAAGGACTACGAAAGAGACGATGCTGAACGTCACCGAATCGACTTAGTTCGCAATGTATAGCAACGGATAGAGTGAAGAGTGAGCAAGAGGCGTCGAGGTGTAAGCTGCTGGTTGGGGGTGGCACAGTGAGCACATCGGAATCCAATCAGCGGAATCGCACGAAAACTAGGCACAGAAAAACAAACAGAAATTTAAGAGATTTCTTATGAAATTTGATCAGCTGCGTTCGGAGATTGAACTCCACGGAACAGAATTCGTCGGTCAAACAAAACGAAACTTTAACCGAATCGGATACTGTCACTACACAACACAAGAGAATGCGAATACCGCGGCAAATCCTCCTACAGATCGTCAGCAACACACACAATTTGAGCTGCTTGTATGCATAGGTTTTGGCTTCGACAGCTCGGACATACGATGGAGCTCAAGGCGTTCGCAAGCCAGCTGTGCAACAAATGCAGGCAAGACGCTCACATTTTCTTAAGCGATGCAGGACAGGACACACACTTTTCTACCATGTCGTTTTGCTTGCCTGTGTGTCCTGCGCCTGTGCTTGTCATCTTCCAAGACGGCCGTCCAACCGTAAACTTTTTTTTGCCCTAGATCATCGGGTGGATGAGTACAATCAATATATACACACCCTTGAATTGACGCTGACATCCCTTCGTCCGCCACCCATCATCCATCTATACCTTTCTCGTTAGACCCGCCTCCGCCCCTGTGCGAGTGCAATTTCATCATGTCTTCCAAACCTGCTTCCTCAAAGACACCTTCCGTCAACCAGTCGAATCTCGACCTCGAAAAGCAAAACTCGTCCACTGCTGGTGACGCTGCCACTGCCGTTGGTCACGGTGACAACTCCGTGTCTGAAAAAGAAGATACAGTCCCTCCCATCAAGGGCGCATCCGTTGGCTTTGCTCCTCAAGAGACGCCCACATATATCCCAGCGGATGGCTCTGATCCAGCTGCCACACGTCCAACGCGCACCTTCTCTCGACGTGAATGCAGCGGGGCCAACGACACAGCACATCCCTTCGGTGGTGATCTCGAACGTGCCGAAACCGAAAACCATCTCGAACGATTCCAGTCACAAGCGGGCAAAGAAACTGTCATCGTTCATTGGGAAGGCGAAAACGACTCTGAAAACCCTTTCACGTGGTCAAGAGCCTACCGATGGTACCTTACCATGCTCGGTGGTCTTCTCGTCTTGAACTCCACCTTCACCTCTTCTGCACCTTCCGGTATCATCCCACAACTCGAGGCAGAGTTCGGTTTCGGTCGTGAAGTTGCCATTCTCAGCTTGTCCATCTTCGTTGCAGGTTACTGTCTCGGTCCTCTCCTCTGGGGTCCCCTTTCCGAACAATTTGGACGTAAACCCGTCTTTATCGCTGCTATGCTCGTCTACACTTGCTTCAACGTCGGTTGCGCACTTTCCAAGAACACTGCTTCCATCCTTGTCTTCCGTTTCCTCGCTGGCACATTCGCCGCTTCGCCATTAACCAACTCTGGCGGTCTGATCGCCGACCTGTGGGATGCAAAGACTCGTGGTATCGCTCTCTCGCTCTTCTCGTTGGCTCCTTTCGCAGGGCCAGCACTCGGACCTATCGTTTCTGGATTTATCGCCGTTAGCGGTACATCTTGGAGATGGCTCTTCTGGGTCTGCACCATCTTCTCTGGTGTCTGCCTTGCATTGGTCATCTTTACTCTGCCAGAGACGTATGCTCCCATCATCTTGTTGAGGAAGGCTCGCAGGATTCGGAAGGAGACCGGTGATGACCGATACAAGGCTCCTATCGAACTCGTCAAGATCGAATGGAAGGACCGCATCAACAAGACTTTGCTCAAGCCTTTCATCATGCTTGGTCAGGAACCAATGTTGCTCGTCATGACTATCTACTTGAGGTAAGTAACCCACCTTGAATCGACCTATAGACCTCGTGCCGAGAACGATGGGACCCGCTCGAGCCCCTCTGCATGCATGACGCTTGGGCCTTCTACACACGTTTGGCGTGTCTGATCTGAATCTCTGCGAAAATGCCATTCTGCTGACCAAAATTTCTCCTTCTCGTCCTCCACCCTCTCCATGCGACCATTCCTTCGCTCCATCTTCACCAACTCATCGCCATCATCGTCCTCGCCATACGCAACGCAGTTTTGTTTATGGTGTGGTGTATTTACTTTTTGAGGCCTATCCCATCGTCTTCTCACTTGGTCATGGTTTCAACGCTGGCATATCGGGTGTCATGTTCGTTCCCTTCTTCCTCGGAGGATGTGCCGCCGTAGCACTCTACATCGCCTATTTCAACCCTCGATACTCCAGGACAGCCGATAAACTCAAGTCCGAGGGAGTCAACCGGGTCCCACCCGAGGAGCGACTTTACCCCATCATGCTCGCTGGTCCTTGCTTGGCCATCGCATTCTTCTGGTTCGGTTGGACTTCCTACCCTTCGATCAGCTTCTGGTCTCCCATGATGGCAGGTAGCTTGATCGGCTTCGGTGTCTTGTTTTGCTTCTTGGGCGTCTTCAACTACCTCATCGACGTCTACCTGATGAACGCAGCTTCGGCTTTGGCTGCCAACACTGTTTGCCGTTCCGCAGCAGGTTTCGGCTTCCCTCTCTTTGCCACTCAAATGTTCGAGACATTGAACCCAAGATGGGCTTCAACGTTGCTAGGATTCATCGCATTGCTCATGGTACCGGTTCCTTTCTTGTTGTACAAGCAGGGACCTAGAATTCGTGGCTTATCTAAGCACGCCATGTAACAGGATAATCAGCTCAGTTAAACCAGATCCATCCTGTGTTGCCTTGTATGTGTTGGAGGGTCTGTGAAGTGAGAAACCGAGGGAAGGGAGGAACCGTTGAGATGTGACGACCGTCGTATCGGACGAGCATGTCCGCAGGTATAACGGCACGCTGGTCGTCCGCTCTTGAACGCAATGATGAGTTCAGTTGCTGCAGCGAGGTCGGGTGGGTATATGTCCGAAGTTCATGTGCCAACACACAAGAGAGGGAGAGGTGGGTCGAAATTGGTGTGGGATGAGTTACGTCGATAGTTTGCACAGACAATCCGTGACAACATGGAATGAAGTCCATCTGACTCGCCGTGAGCCTCATCTCAGGCAGACAGAAAGGTCCATATAAAAACATGCAGCGTTGATGTCGCCCCTCCTTCGAGTCCCTCTTTGGATCTTCGCCTTGGCATCTCCTCTTCGTCAAGTTCTCGATCACTCGCTACCTCAAAATGAAGCTCACACTCAACACCGCCTTCCTCCTCACCCTCGCCTCGCTGCTGGTCATCAGCATCGACAGTGTAGACGCCGACGTCCCACTCCCCGACTACACTGCCCATGACTACCCACTCGCCGCAACGTTTTACTGGTTCTCCTCCGTCGAAGTCGGAGTCTGCTACAGCCCTAAAGCTCGCGTCGGTAGCATCAAAGGAGCACTCCACTGCACCCACCAAGAAAACTACGATATTGAAAACAACACCTGGACGCTACCCCAGACTTGCGTCGCTCTCAAGCCTCTTGGTGAACCTCTTTCCAACGCTGTGCGTGACTCGTGCACAAACGCTAAAGGGAGTTTCAACCTCATCAAGCCTGCTTCTAGCAATGCTGACGGTAGCCAGGCTTACAACGCTATCAGCAACAAAGGTGCTGATGGTGCAGCATCTGACCCTGGCTCGCAGACTGGCAGTGACGATGACGAAGGTGACAAGAAGAAGGATGGTGGCATGCTCGGCGGGTTAGGTAAGATGGTTGGGCTCTGATGTGCGATCGAGAGCTCAAACTCATCGCCCTGGCGATGTTTGACAGCCTTCCCGTGACGTTCTTGCTTTCCTCCTCAACCACCTAACGCCTTCAGCATGAAGCGCGCATTCAGTCTTTGTTAGAGCAACTGTTGATTTTGCATTAAAAGTATTTTAACCTATTCGCGAAGCGCCTTTGAGACCGCTGGTGTGAAAGCGAGCGGCTGCCACACAGTGCAGCGACTGCAGCGATGCCCCTACGACCTCTCGCACTCACGCTTCTGTTGCCACGAGACATGAGGCTACTGGCATCAGTAATGACGCCCCTTTCTCAGAGCAGACTTCGTGCGGCGAACACCCTGTTCTGAACCAAGAGTAGCAAGAGCCAGCTACTCTGTCCAGCAGGTTGAGACTAAGAAACTCACGAGCAGGCGTTCTTCAGCTGCGTGCAAGTCGAGGGATCTCCAGAAGGTGGCCCAAAGCGCAGCCTTGTGCAACACCGAGCGTCACAAGCCTATGACTGTCGAGCGTGGAACTGTCTCTTTGCTTGCTCTCTTCCCCACACTTTTGCTTGGACGGCATTGATCGGCGAGTGCACGACAATCCGGGACAAGAGAATTTGTATTGGAAGGTATTGAAATGGTTCAAAGTGGATGGATCTCACATTCGAAAAAGGCCGGCTATTGGAGCTCGCTTTCTCTTGGCTCGCTCGCACAAACTCCACAGTCTTGCTCTGGATTTCTCCGTGCCCCTGTGTGTGTGCCTTTGAACCTGAGCTCGAGCCGCAGCGGAGATACGCTTATTGCTGTCACTTTGTACTGCTCCTGTGGTGTGGCAGGTAGCGAGCAGAGAGTGAGTGTGAGTGTGAGTGTTGAAGCAAGCGCGTGTTTGATGTTCATCCGGTCTTCAAATGAGCCGACTTTGCCGTGTGTGCTCGTACCATGCTCAATTCCTGGTCTTGTCTTGCTCGCTAACTCGACGATCCTTGCCTGCACCCTTAAGGAGACATTCCTGCCCAGCAACGTCGCTTAAATATCTTCATTCTCCCTCTTGCTTGCTCTTGATCATCACGTTTCCCTCATTCTTCGTCATTCCCGCAACATTCGCCTCTTCCGTACAACATTTTCAAAATGGCTGCTCGTAAAGCTTACATTGTCGGTGTCGGCATGACTGCCTTCACCAAGCCTGGTAACAAGGACTACCCCATCCTCGGTCTCGAAGGTGCCGTCAAGGCCCTCATTGACGCTGGCCTCACTTACGACCATGTCGACTACGCCGCTGCCGGTTACGTCTACGGTGACTCCACCTGCGGTCAGCGTGTTCTCTACCAGCTCGGTATGACTGGTATCCCCATCGTCAACGTCAACAACAACTGCTCCACCGGCTCCAGTGCCTTCAGTCTCGCTGCCAACGCAGTTCTCGCTGGCCAGGCCGAGTGTGCCCTCGCAGTCGGTTTCGAGAAAATGGCTCCTGGTTCGCTCAGCTCGGCCTTCACCGACCGTGCTGCTCCCATGGAGGGCACCATGTCGCAGCTCTTCGAGATCGAGGGTGACAAGGAGTACGAGACTGAGGACTTTGGTCCCTTTGCCGCCCGTATCTTTGGTGCTGCCGGTCTCGAGTACTGTGAGAAGTATGGGGCTACCTGGGACCACATTGCCGAGATCGCTGCCAAGAACCACCGTCACTCGAAGAACAACCCTTACGCCCAGTTCCGTGCCACCCCTACTAAGGAGCAGGTCCTCAAGGCACGAAAGATCACCCGTGAGGTGACCCTTCCCATGTGCTCGCCCACTTCGGATGGTGGTGCCGCCGCCATCGTTGTCTCGGAAGCATTCGTCAAGAAGCACGGTCTCGAGGACCGAGCTATCGAGCTTGCAGGTTTGGGTGTCGCGACTGACTCGATTCGTCTCTATGAGGACCGTTCGCGTATCGAGCTTGCCGGTGCCGACATGTCTCGTCGTGCCGCCAAGATTGCTTACCAGCAGGCCGGCATCGGTCCTAAGGACGTCCAGGTGCTCGAGCTTCACGACTGCTTCGCTCCCAACGAGCTCGTCACCTATCCCGCTCTCGGTCTCTGTGCTGAGGGCGAGGCACACAAGCTTGTCGAGCAGGGTCTCAACACCTACAACGACTCCGGCAAGGGTTGGGTCGTCAACCCATCGGGTGGCCTCGAGTCCAAGGGTCACCCTCTCGGTGCCACTGGCCTTGGTATGATCAAGTACATGGTCGACCAGCTCCGAGGCGACGCCGGTGTGCTCCAGGTCAAGAACGTCCAGCACGCACTTACACACAACATCGGTCTCGGTGGAAGCTGTGTCGTCACTATTCTCCGACGTCCTTCGTTCTTCAAGGCAGGCGCAACCAACTCGGCCAAGCGATTTGGCTACAACGCTGGTGACCAGGTCAAGAGCATCACTGAGGAGGACCTCAACAAGGTCAAGAGCAAGCAGTACTCTGACTACCTTCCCGCCGACCTCTAAGCTGTACGCTTAGACATGCACTGGTTGAGCACGTGTATTGAACCCACCATCATGATCCGTCCTTCCCGAGCTCGCGTTGACTTGCAACCAACGATAATGTCGGATCCGCCGGGAGGACCTTATTGGGAAACCCCACTTGCTAGAAACCTACAAATTTTTCTTCTCATCGTCATTTGCAGTGATTCTTGCGTTCTGCTTGTACATATACTGAATCGCGTGCTTAATTCAAAGCATTTCTCATGCTCTTGTAGCCCGGTAACCATGCTAGTTTCTTTGGCGGGCATGCATCATCGAGGTCGATTTGAAGTTGTTGAGCACTCTGTGACATTGTAACAAGACAATGGCGACACTGGCGACTGGCAAAACTTTGTGCAATTTCTTCCAGTCATGACTTCATCAAGCCAGAGTCGCCCACGTTCTCATTGGTTACGTCTTGTCCGAACACGTTCGGCATTGTCTCCGTTTCCGTTCCCGAAAGAGATGTCTGACGCTGACTCCAGCGCACATTCAAGCCCGGTTGCGCCTACATGCAGGATGGGTGGTCCTCACGAATGCGAACAAGAATGGATTAGATGTCGCTCTGTGGAGCACGTTTCTCTTCCTTTCCTCTCCACCTCATCGCTGTAACCTTCTCACCACCGGAACGGATCACCTGGAACATCAACCGGCATCGATATAGGATTCTGCAATCATCACGAATTGGCTCACTCATCGTTCTTCGCATCGACGGTGACTTCTGACACGGCATCTGAACCTTAACCGTTACATTCTCCTACCGATCGCACACATCGATAACGACTCAGCCGCTGTAAAACAAGCTTCGACGATCTTCCACGACCCTCTTGCTTTCGCACGTATCATCTGCTAATCAAAGCGTGATCAGACCGGTGACTCATTAAACGTCGCAATCGCAGTGTAGGGACAACGATTGGGGACAGTGTTATTTAGAAGGGTCAGCTATCACCACCATCAGTGCCACAAGCCTTCAGTATCGTGATCAGCAACTCTGCTTCATCGCTTGCCACCTTCTACATCAATGCCCCTAGCAACCACGTAGTGACGAAAACCTTTAGAAGTACAGCAACAGTCAGCCCAATTCCACCTCGTCAGCTACCTCATCAGCATAAACAGGATACCACGACACGTTTGCAGACATCGCGGAAAGCTATCTCCATCTCACGTCCTGTTTGTCGCCGCGCTCCAGGGACCAGCTTCTCGGCACTTCATCACACCACGACCTTGACAAAGTGAAAAGGATGCGATCAAGCGTCATCTTGTCGCTGCTCACATTCGCAATTATTGCATCTCTTATACCGCCATGTATCGGTCAAGCAGATGCTACAGCATCTGTTCATCCGCTAAAACAAGTAGCCCAATCTGATGCCTTCGACCATCTCATACGCACGCTCTCACACTCGCTCTCGCCAACGAAGATCAAAGAGGTGATCCAGAAAGCACCAGACATACTCAAACTCCGTTCCAACAACTTCCTCGGTACTGGCTTAAAACGCAAATCGATCGCGGGTGCGTACGGCACAAGTATTGCTGTGGCTGGTGGCGCAGGTGCAATCATATACCAAGGTCTTAATCTTGAGTCGAGGAATCGAGAGCAGGAGAATAAAGATGGCAGTAAGTACCAAAAACTCGAGCCTGTGAGTGCGCTCTTCGTCGACACGTATCGAGAACAGGTGCTAACAACCCTATTTTTTCAAATCATGCGTCAAATATCGCGGATGAACAGAAGATCGACTATATCGAAAAGCGATCTGCGCTGCATTACAAGAAGCAAGAAGAAGGAATGCAGCAGCAAAAACAGCATCATCACCACCAAGCGTGCCCGAAGCTGCTCCTGCTCTTTCGCCTAATACGGCTGAAGCACCTCCACTCGCACCGCCGAGCGCGCGCTGGCAGAACAGATACAAATTTGGTGACAGGACCAAATCCGACCCATCAGTGCCGCCCGAATCAAGACCAAAGGCTGATTGGGACAAGAGAGCTCTCAACGATGCTACGTTGACCGCGATAGAGGATTACAACAAACTCATTGCAGGAACAGAGGCAATCGTGTCTGGTTCACTTGCTCTTGTAGCTGCGTAAGTTCTTCAACTTCACCCTGGGTAACGCAGCTTTTAAAGGTAGCTAACATCGCTCTTTCATATACTTGTCATTACAGAGCTCAAGCACATCATCGTAGTCACAAGCCATCGCCGCTCGAGTTCTACTGCTGAACCCAAAGCTTGGCAAATTCTGTCGTCCAATTCTCTCCGGAAAACGAAACGATCCATCATGTAACACTCCTAGAGCCTCATCAATGACAAATGAAATGTTCAAACATGGTTGGTTCCGCGTCCTGTTAACAATAAGAAGTCCCGAGCTATGGAACATATAGTCCTGTCGAAGGCGGAACAGCGCGTGGCCTGACCCCGGGTCAGTGTCTGGGCCAGTGTGTGGCCTGAATTTAGTCGTCAGTCTCGGTGAACCAAGCCCTCTTGTTCGAGCATCTATTCTTCTGGCTCTTGTCTTCCATTCGCCGGTTCTCGAAAACTCTGAGCCAAGTTCACGATGGCCTACATCCTTTCAAGCCTTCGATCTGAGATGCTGTTCACTTCTGGATTCAACGCATGCGATATAAGAAGTTTTTTTAAAAAAAGAAAAAAAAAAAAAAAAAAAAAAAAAAAAAAAAAAAAAAAACCCCCACAATGAAATTGAGGCACTAAAATTAAGCAAAGAAGCTGCTCACAAGTCGACCGACAAGCATCGAAACGAGCTGCGCAGCTTCCCTGGAGACATTAATTTTCGCCCTCTCGCGAGATCGAAGATCGGAACGGCAGTGTTGATAGGTTGCGGCAGACGAGCTGACAATGGAAGCGAAGTCGCACTAAGGGAGAGGGAGAGGAATGATGATCTAAAAAATGCGGGGAAGCTTTTTTCACTCTCTGCGAAGGTCATGTGCTTATCGGCTTCTGTGCTTGCATTTGTTGCCTTCTGATCAAAGGCTGGTGATCGAAGCTTCCAACTCGATTGGTGGAAGGAAGCGCTAGCGGAGAGGGAAGTACGAATTGAAGCCTCAAAAGTCCCACGACACACCAACAGCCGAGCTTGTCGTATGCAGCAACCACCACGAACCGACTTTGAGCCTAGGCTCATTTGCGGGAAAGAAGCGTGAGGGCCAAAAGCCAAATAAAGCTACTTGCTTCGCTAAGAAGAGCAGGGATGTTACATGCGCAGGCTATATGCACGTTGTAACGGAGCAACCAAGTGGATTGCAAGAAGGAGGATGTAGAGGGAAGCTTGTTTAAGTACTAGCTTCCGTACAAAGCAACGATAGGAATTCGAACTCTCTCGTGCGGTATGTTATTCGCACGAGAAGGAGCCCAGGCGTGACAAGGGAGGATTGCGGGAGGCTGGCGCAAGTGTTGGCCGGAGCTGCAGATCTGAGCGAAGACAGCTGATGTTGCACTTAGAGCAGACTCACGCCGCGAGTTGGCTCTTTGGTTTGTGTGTCGTGTGCCGCCTTTCTGGAAGGGGACCAGAAAGCTCGCACGGACACATGTCCATGACCTCTGGGTGTGTGATATTGCGCTTCCCCGCAATATCAGACTCAGACATTCAAACGTCCATTGTCAGCTTTGATTGTGTCGAAGAGTGCCTTGCGATGTGGAGAAAGTCCGGCAAAGATGAATCCTCCTCGTTGGCGGCAGAGCACCGGCTTCTAAGCGCTTTGACCTTTCTTCTCAGTCCACTCAACGACGGAAGACTGGCGGAAACGCAGATTATGCCAGGGCGTCTGGAAGCTGACGGCTAGCCGTAAAGTGAGAGTCAGCTTAGCAAACCTAGCGTAAAGTGGGAGTCAGCATAGCAACCTAGAGCGTGAGCGCATCTGCGGCACCTTCATCCCGCAAGCTTTGTTAGCTGAACGCCAAAGCAAAGACCGAGGCTGCCGCAATGCCTTCTCATCATCCTGGCTGGTTGCAGCTGCGGCGCACTTGACCCTTCTTGAGCTTGTCTGCGCTGTGCACTGACTGCACCTCTGTCATCTGGCCTTAGCCATGCAACACAACTGACTCAGCGTCCCAGAAAGCATATAAGCACAACCCGGACCGTCTCTTCTCCAACCCATCGTCATCTCACAGCCACCTCTCTATCACTACTCAACAACAGCATCACAAATTACTCTCAAGCTCAACCTCGAACTCCATCGACTTCTTCTCGCCAACAACACAACAACAAACACAAAATGGCTCCCGCTGCTACTTCTTTCCGCTCCCAGTCCGCCCAGGACCCTCGTGAGCAACAGCTCGAGGTGCAAGGCCAAAACCGAGTCGCCATCTTCGACAAGCAAGGTGGACCCGTTTCCATCAAAGATGTCCCCATCCAGCGCGAGCTCAAGCGCGGCGAAGCTCTCGTTCGTGTCATCTACACTGGTGTCTGTCACACCGATCTTCACGCCATGCTTGGTGATTGGCCCCTCGACAACAAGCTCCCCTTGGTTGGTGGGCATGAAGGTGCCGGTGTCGTTGTTGCCCTCGGTGACGGAGCTGACCAGTATGTCAAGGTCGGTGATCGTGTCGGCATCAAGTGGATCGCCACATCTTGCTTGAACTGCTCCTTCTGTAGGACTGGCGCCGAGCCTAACTGTCCTCACGCCTTGTGTTCTGGTTTCAACGTCGACGGTTCGTTCCAAAAATACGCCGTGTCGTACGCTAACCATCTCTCCATCATTCCTGATGCTTTGCCCCTCGACCAGGCCGCACCCATCCTTTGTGCCGGTCTCACGGTTTACAAGGCACTCAAAGAAGCTCAGCTCATCCCCGGTCAATTTGTCGCTATCCCCGGTGCAGGCGGTGGACTCGGTCATCTTGCCATCCAGTACGCCGTAGCCGCTGGCTACCGCGTCATCGCCATCGACACAGGCTCAGACAAGAAACAGCTCTGCGAACAACTCGGTGCTGAAAAATTCATCGATTTCAAAACCTCCAAGAACCTTGTCGACGATATCAAAGCGGCCACTCCGGATGGATTCGGTCCTCAAGCTGCTGTTGTCGCCGCTTCGGGCGGTCTGGCGTACCAACAGGCGCTGGATTATATTCGTCCTCGCGGTGTGCTCGTTGCTGTCGGTCTGCCGGGTAACACGGATATTAAAGCTAATGTGTTCTTTACCGTTTTCAGGTCGGTTAGGGTGGTAGGTTCGTACGTGGGCAACAGACAGGATACTCAGGAGGCATTGGATATCGCGGCGGCTGGAAAGGTCAGGACTCACTTTAAGAAACTGGGTCTGTCGCAGCTGCCAGAGGTCTACGATGATATGCAGAATGGGAAGATTGCTGGTCGTATTGTGTTGGATATTGATCAGTAGGCGGGGGAATGCTTTCGGTTCTGCTGTGTTCTCGTCCTTTGTTCTGTCTTGGCTTGGAATGAAAAGTTCTTGTTCGTCAATTTGCTCGCGCGTGAATGGTATAATATACATGAAACACTTGATTGTTATACACACTGAAGCGGAGAGTTAGTCCAAGTAACACCTTCATTGGGGTGCCACTACCATTACTCCCTTCCTCCAAATCATATTCCCTGACTTCCCTCGCCTTCCCGACCATGAATCCTAACGCTGTCAGCACCGCACAAGCTCCATACTCGAGAATGCATTGGACCACCAACTTGATCCAAACGTTCTTCGGCACAAGCAGTCCACCGCTAAAAGTGGGATACGCTGCATATCCGCTCCTGATAGCCATTAGTGGTAGAGCGACTAGAAGAACCACTTCCATTACTTTTGGGTCCGTCTGCCTTTGCACTCCTTCCAAGAAGACTACCGCCAGAAGGAAGATTGTGAGAAGGAGGGCAATGTAAACCACGGCTGCGACCTTCGTCTGCACCGGTAGGGAAGGGTTGAACATCTCGGCTTGACAGTTGGTGCACTTTGTACGGAAGTATCGCGTTATAACGCAGATCAAAGCTGCGAGGTTGACCAGGTTGAGCAACTTCATCATTATCCCCAGCTTCTTCTTCTCTTCGTCGTCAGCGAGGAGAAATGTTCTGACGCGGGAGAGGAAGGCGAGTGCTGCAGTAACGAGGAACTAAAGTCGGATCGATTTAAGAATGTAGCGCCAAACGGTGGAGGTGATCGATGGGTAGGTGTTGAGATACTCGTACACCAATAGAACGTTCCCAAAGAGATGACAAAAGAGAGAAGTGGAGGAGAGAGATGAACCCGGATGTACGAGATCGACCATGTTTGACCACGTTAACTAGGTTGAGGGCCCCGAGGATGATGTAGAGCGGAACGAAGACCAGATTGATGATTGAGCCTTATGTATTGATGCAAGGCATCAAACCTTCTCGCTCTCCCTCGGACCCTTCTGGTCCGCATCCCTTTTCTCATTCCGCAAGTACATCAACCAGTTCGTCAACGCTAACGCGACACCAGCACCTGCAAAACCCATGCCCATGTAGAAAGCCCCTCTGTAACCCTTCAACGTGTTCCTACCGCCATCATTGACATGCGTTTCCACCACTCCCGCAAACCCTAACCCTAATGCAACCGAGTAATTGACCACCGTATTGACGATACTACTGGCCGCTCCCTGTTGATGCGTCGGCAAGAAATCACTGAGAATAATGCTTGCGGCTGGAAAGGACATGTCCATGCCGAAAGGCATGATTGCACTACTGATGTAAGGTAGAGCTTCGGTGCGGACGGGAGCGTTTCCGGCGATAGAGATGCCGATGCAAAACGCGAGGAGCGAGAGGAGCATAACGAAAGGCGGCGAGGTTCGACCCAGGATTTGGGCCGAGGAGAAGGCTGCGATGATGCCTGCTACTCCGGCGGGCACAAAGGTGAGGAGGGTGAAGATGGGGGTGTACTTGCGGATGTTTTGCTCAAACAAGTTGAGGTAGAAGACCCATATACCGAAACTAGCCCACCCAAATGCGAGGGAGAGGAGGATGAGGCAGCCGGAAAGGTGGAATACGCTCGTAGGAAGGAGAGGGTAAAGTGCCTTGCCTTGGCCCCATATGAAGATCGCGATGAAGATGACGCCGACGATGAGCAGCACGTAGACGTAGACGGTCTCCCAGCCGACAACAAGTGCTTGGTTGAAGGCAAAGTTGAAGAGGACCAGGCCAACAACGCCTGTGATCGTCCCGAACAGGTCGAGCCGCTTCCAAAGTGCATCCTTCTTGCCTCCTACTGAAGCGGCTTCATTAGTCGCTGCAACTTCCCCTTGCTGCTCCTTGTTGTCAAGCTTCCACAAAGCGCTAACAGCTTTCATCTCCTCTTCACTGGGCAGCACCCAAAGACACAACCCAGCTAGAAGCGCCGCAGCAATGGCCATGACGTAGAATCCCCACCACCAGCCCATTCTCCTATTCATACTCATCAAGGTCGAGAACAATGCTCCTACCAAGAATCCATTCGGCGCTGTAGCTGCGAAGAAGCTGAAGCTGAGGTGTTTCGCATAGGTCCCTGGTGCGAAGACCCTTCCCAAGATTGCCAATGAGTTGGGCAGCAACACCGCACAACCGATACCCTGCATCGCTCTGCAGACATCAAAGAAGATGTACGATCCCGTGTAGTGTGACAGGCCAGCAAGGAGCGAAAAAAGAGTTAGAATGAGATAGCCAAGCACGACGATAGGTTTGTGACCCACAACATCGCCCACTCGACCAGCGGGAAGGACAAAAGTGCCGACAGTAAGTGAGAAGGAAGCAGCGAACCAAGATTGTTGCGCGTCCGAGGAGAGGACATTGAAGGTGCGAGCAATGTCACGGATCGGGACGACGGTCTGTCCGAGCGCAGATTGGGTGAGGAGCATGGCGCAGCATAGCGCTGCTACGCCCACGAGTTGCCGGATCGTGCCGAGTGTGCCGGCATTGTATAAGCGCTTCGAAGATTGAGGGTTGGAGGGGTGAGGTTCAACCTCGGTGACTGAGGTGGATGAGGAAGACATGGCATCGATATGGAAAAAAGGGGTGAAGAGCTATGTCGAATGCATCCTTGAGGTTTTATATACTACCGCTCCCACGAGCTCGGTGTGATGGTGGCAGAGGAGAGAAGGATAAGGTGGAGATAGGCATGAGAAAAGAGCAGCTAAGCAGTTCCGGATTCGCCGAATGTATGGGAAAGGGTCTTCCAATGATGATACAGATATGCTCATGTCACATTTGGAATTTTCCCGCTTAATCTCCGATGTCTTGTTTGCTTGTTTCCGAAGATGCTTCGATCCCTTTCGCTGTCTTGCACACTTGTTTTGCACTGGAACAGCTTCTAGAACAAGGATTCGGATCAACCGAATGTCGATCTTTCCTTTAGCCTTCTTATACCAGCATAAGACTCGACCGTGATCTTTGATGCCATTCAGAGCAGCAGAAGAAGCTGACAGTAACGGGTAGTCAGTAAGTCCGGATATACGGTAGATGCAATCGCCGAACGCATCTGCCAACCATCTGTGGTCATGCAAGCAACATAGAGCTAGAGTGATAATACTCGGGACGTCGGATCGTCGGCAATGGTACAGTCAATTTCTCTGCCTCGATTTGTTTCATATAGGTAGCCTAACAGCGCCTTACGTCGCCTTCCGCCCGGCTTTCAACTTCAATTTTCGATCGACTCGATTGCGTGAACCCTTGACGCCCGCGATTTCTCGGACTGGCCGTCTGGTGAGTCAGCTAGGCTTGCTGTCACACAGAGCGTGTGTGAGGGAGAAAGGGCGCAGACTTTATTCCCACGATCGCGAGGTGTTTTGGCAGCATCGGCAGCAGCAGCAGCAGCAGCTGTAGCTGTGGAATTGGCATTTGTGTGTGGAAATTCCTGTCACCGGCCCGCTTTGAAAGCGAAAAGAAAGCGGTCTAGGCCGATGACGGTCTCCCAGCTTGGAGCTCTCACACCCACCCTTTTTTCGGGACCTTTCCGCATGATGCAGCAGCAGCAGCCATTCATCCCACATCTTCTCCCCGCGATCTACTTTTCCCTGTTGTTACGCTTCGGTTAATTTCTTGAAGCACACGCCCAAGCTCTCTTTCGCGCCCTTTGCTACCGGTCACGGTTGCAGTTGCAGTTGCAGTTGCGGTTACGGTTACGGTTACGGTTACGGTTACAGTAGCAGCGTGCGGTTCTGATTCTCCACTCAATCGCCCTTGCTGCTCTTCTCAAGACTTCCCATCTCCTTTCTCATCTACTCTTCCCTCTGTCACCACCAACTCGAAGCATCAGACGCAGACGAGCATATCTCAATTCGTCGGACTCTGCCAAGCAACATTGCAGCTCTCCCACGCCATTTAAAATCGTGACTCATTGCATCGGCACTTCCGAGGAAAACCTAGAATGCTGCCATCATTCTCATCATAAGCAACGACACAACGATTCGGAATCAAAATCAGAACCCATGACCCTCACTTTCTAGGCGTATCACCACATTCGGACATCCCGATTATCACCCTCTCTGGCTTGGCGGCAGACTTTGCCAGTACGGATGCTACACAATGAGGTCCTCTTCATATCGATACAGCGGAGCAGCGCGAGAGCTATTCGCTTCGGCGGCTCATCCGAAGGCGCCTGTCGCTGGGTCATCACGTCCACTTCACTCGTCGACTGCCATCGCAGGTTCCAAAACATCCGCGACCAGCATCGCAAACAAGAGAAACGCACTGGCGCAGATTCGAGATTCGACTGCGTACGTTGCGCGCTATCGCACTCTCGGCGCATCGGCACATCCTTTGCTCTCGTCATCATCCACCAAAGCCAGCAGCTCAACGCCACCGGAAGCATCATCATCCTCTACCGCCCCAACAAGCAGTCACGCTGGTATCAGCACCACACTCAACAAGCAATCAAGCAGCACCATCCTCGACACCTCTGGACCAGCCGCCCTCTCAGCATCCTCTTCTGTACGCTCCAAATCCACCAACGCATCTGAACAGCTTGATGACACATGGGCTTTTGGTGGTGGAGCCAAGAGTCAGGGCGGTCCTGTCACATCCAGCTCAGATGTGGGGCCAAGCACATCCAAAGCAAAGGGATCAACTGCCCCCATCGTCATGGGCAACGCAGGCAAAGGTGCTATTCCCAACTATGGCAAACGAAGAATGAACACTATCCACGTCAAAGGTCCAGCTGTCTCATCCAAGCCAGCGGCAACAACTGCAGGAGCAGGAGCACCAACAGACCAAGTGCTCGCCCATCGCTACCAGCACCGCTACTCTCCCTCGACACGCAGCGAGCAGCCGCTACCTCAGCACACTTATTTTTCATCCCCTTCGTCCAGCTTCAATGCATCTTCCTTTGTCGCTCCTGGCACACAACCTCCTCTCGCAGGCACCACAACAGCAGGTGTCGGTCAAGGTCATCCCGGAATTGGTATAGTCCGTAAGAAGTCAGCACTGATCTTCCCCGGTCAAGGCTCGCAGTACGTCGCTATGTCCAAAGACCTCTACAAGGCTTTCCGTTCAGCACGCTCAATCTGGCATCGGGCGGAAGAGGCTCTCATCGCAACACCTGGCATTCACTCGCATCACTTCATTCAAGGCGAGCGTGCAGAAAGTGCAGAGCAGCGTGGGCTCTTCGAAGCTGAGCTCGCAAAGACGCGGCATCTCGACCCCAAGCACGGATTACTTGCCAGCGGTACAGCCGTTGCAAGGAGTCGTAGAGGCTGGTTGCGAGATCTAGTCTTCTCAGGTGACCAGCTCGAGCTGACTCGGGCTGAGAACGCACAGCCTGCTATCCTGACCTGCACGCTAGCATTCCTGCAGGTATTGCGGAAAGAGTTCCACCTTGATCTGGTGCAGGATCATGTGCAATGGGCATCAGGGCATGGCTCAGGCGTATATGCTGCGCTCGTAGGTTCCGGTGCGATGGACTTGCACGACGCTGTGCGACTCTTGCGTCACCGTGGGCTGGTAGCATCGCACTACACCGCCAATCATCCTCTTCTCTTCCCACCAGGCTGCAAGAAGCCTGAGAGCATTTACGAGACCTGGGCGTTCGCCAATGCAGGTAGCGGCAAAGGAGCCGACCTGCTCTGCGACGAAGACGCCGCTTTCTCTAGCAGCAACCCTGGCCAAACCAAAGCACAGCCCGGCTGGAAACGCACCCAAATGTCCGGCGTCGTCGTTAGGCCAGGCAAGCTCAACTCGGTCATCAAAGAAGTCGAATCGGTAGCAGAAGACATTCGCAATGGCAAAATCCCCTCCGTCGCACGCGATGAAGTTGTCGAGGTGGCAAACATCAACAGTCAGCTTCAGATCGTTCTTTCGGGTACCCGAGTCGGTGTTTCGTACTGTTGCGACAGGCTGAGGTCCAAAAACCTTGGTGCTCGTGCAGTGAATCTTCCTGTTAGTGGCGCGTACCACACCAGTCTGATGTTGGAGGCGTCCCACTTTTTGCGTCCTGCGGTGAAGTATATGCCGCTGTCGGATCCGGAAGGGTTTTCGCTGGTTTCGTCGAAAGATGGTCGGGTGGTGCCGAATGTGGCAGCGATAAGGGAGGACTTGGCAGGGGCATTTGCGAAGCCGGTACATTGGTTGAACTCGATCGATACACTCTTGGCGCAGGGTGTGGAGAGGTTCATCTGTTTAGGACCCGGAAGAGCTTGTGCGCATCTGTTGAGTAAAGAGCTGGCGTATAGGGATAAGCAGAAGGAGATGAGAGGAGATAAGAGTGAGTCCGGGTATGAGGTGTGGTCGTTGGCTACGGTGGAGGATGTTGAGCAGCTGGCGGAGGCACTGGAGTGTGTCGCTGACGATACCCCGCATCGTAGCGAAGTCAAAGTGACGCTTGCTCGCCAATGGGATGAAGTGCAATCGTCACGCGGCGTAGCCTTTCGTTTAGAGCAAAGACCGCAGATCAATAGAAAGCAATGGCATTGATCCCGCACATTCTTCAGTCTTGGTCTGCTGACTGTTCAGACCGAGGGTGCACCCAGAAGAGACGATTCGTGATGGTACAAGCGCCAAGGACGTAAGCTGAAAACACTTATAGCTCTGTGCTGGAGAGTACAGTGGATTTTAGCAAGCTTACTCGTGACGACTCGCCTTCAGCGCAACTTTTCCGACTGCATGCGAGCAGTGGAAGCCTTTGGATGTGCGAACACCGGACTCTGATAGAAGGCAATAACGTCAATGCCGCACATTATAAGCTCAGGCTTTGTGGTGGGCCAGGCTGGTGGTGTTACAGCTCGCGCGTAAACCGTCCCATAAATCATCGCATTACTCAATGAACAGTGTTGAGGGTCCATGCTTGCCTTATACCGTTGGAAAGCTCTGCTTTCACTCTTTCTGATCGTACCAAACATAAAGCTGTGTATGCAATTCTATGTACAGTGAATAAAAGTCGAGAATTATTTTAAAGTGGGGCGATTTCTGGAGCGCTATATTGATGTGCTCTAGTACTTTGTGTTACCCCCCCTTTGCCCTAATGGCCGCCTCTACACGCCTTGACATGCTTTCTATAAGTGTCTTGCATGTCTCTGGCGCAATCACACACCATTCTGCCTCACAGTGCTTGAGCAATTCGCTCTGGGACTTTGCAATTGTGGTCTTTGCAAGTTGCGGCTTGATCAGCCGCCAACCCGCCCTTCATCAGCACTTTTGGGGCTGTGGCGATGGCGTTCCGTATTCCTACTTCATCTTGCGTTGACGTACCCATCAATCCCCAGATAACTTTGCCGGAGGGACTTGTTTGTTCCTGCTTGAGTTGTCGTCCCACACACGCTTCTTTTGATCCGTCTACAACAGATCAATGACCAGCGACCAATCAGCTCTTCCAACTGTCTACATAACTGAACTCTCTTGCCCGCTTGACATTTTTTCCCCACCTCCATACATACTCGGTATCGCTGTTAGCCAACATGTGTGGGTTCAAATCTCTCACCTGCCTCCTCTTCGTTGCGCTCCTCAGCGTGACCGTCCAAGCCGAAGCCCTGATCGGACATCATCCAACCCTCCACCGCCACATGAAACGGAACGAGCTCCAAGATTGCACCAAAGATATGGCCAGTCAAGCATTCAAAGTTGGAGCTTTTCGCTCCAACACCACCGCCGCCATCTGCTACAAGGCAGGCCACGACTACAAGATTGAAGACACAAGTGTGACTCATTTCAGACCCGGGTTTGATCGCAGTTGCTACGTGAGAGGATGGTTTGGGAATCTCTATACATATGAGTAAGTCCTGCCTTGCTCCCCCAACATCAGTCTCGTTTAGTTTTGAAAGCAGACAAAAGAGACTGACATTTCTGTGCTTATGGTTCTCGGCAATTTTACATGCTTCTACCTCCTGGGCAAAAACAAGTTTACAGCAAATGGTGATGGAGGAGACGAGAATATCGCCTTTGAACAGGTTGCTGACAAATGCAACTGGGATTCAGACAAAAAGGAACTTTCTTGCACCGACTGATCCTCACATACATTCACACTCAAGCACAAGTCGAGAGTGGTAAGGTTACAGGCCAATCATGTTAATGTATTGAGAGAAAACAGGTTGTGTGAAGAAACTGTTTAGAGCTTGGCCTTCTGGCTCTTAAGAACGTTGTCGATCTTGGTAGTGAGCATAATGTTACCCTTAACCTTGAGCTTGCCGGACATGAAAGCCTTCTGACTGTTGACCTAACCGTCGGCGAGGTCGTTGAAGGTGTCGTCAGAGAGGTTGATGGTGACATCGGCCTTGCCCTTTGTCTTGCCTTCGTAGGCCTCAGCGTTCTGTTGAGATTGTAGAGATGGGTTAGAGGAGAGTTAGTCAGCGAGATGAACAACAGACGAGGTGGGAGCGGGAGAGCTGCTCTTTGCACGACCATTGCGGTAGTCGTCGGCGATGCGGTGTTGAAGCGAGGCGCGCAGAGTCATATTTGGTGAGCTTGCCTGGTCTAACGACGACGCCGGACATTTGGGTGCGTTTCTAGCCGGGCTGTGCTTTGGTTTGGCCAGGGTTGCTAGCGACCTGCTCTACGATGAAGACGCCGCTTCCTCTAGCATTTTCCCTCCGCAGCCTGCTTTCGATTCGGATCGACTCACTGCAGACTGAATCATCGACCTTTGAGCAGGTCGAGAGATGTCATTCATTCATTCATTCACTCGATGGCTATTGGATTGCATTTTTGTAATACTACTCATGACTCGCCCGCACTTTTTGCAACGATTTCGTTCCATTGCAATCTTCACGGTTGCAGAATAATGTCTGTGAGTACAACAGAATAGCGGCAAGGAGCTTAAGCCTTGCTAACAAGCCTTCGCACGCGCAACGGCATCCCCGCACCAGCCGCACCCTCACTCGTCTCCACCCTCGGACGCACAATCAACGCTTGATGCTGCTTAATCGTTACCCCTGGTTCCGGAGATAACTCGAATCTCGCCAATACAGCAATGATCAGAATCTTCATCTCCGTCAATGCAAACTTGGATCCAATGCAAGACTTTGGTCCGCCAATAAAGGAGTATGTTCCGTAGGGCGGGATTTTGGCGTTTGAGTGTGATTCGGGGAGGTCACCGAAACGGTCTGGGTTGAACTCATCTGCGTCTGGGCCGAAGAGACGTTTGTCGTAGTTGACAGTTTTGATTCCGACAGTGACGCGGGTGTCCTTCTTGATGACGAGTTGGGATGTAGTGGTTCCGTTGGTGAGTTTGATGGGGGTCATGAGGGGTAGGACTGTATCTTGGGTTGCTTCACGGTCGTTTCCTGGAACAGGTGGGCATAGGCGAAGAGTTTCGGCAAGGATCCAATCGAGGTATTTCACTTGATCGCACCAGACATCGTCGTATTCCAAATCTGCCGCTCTGATCTCTTCCAGTGCTATACCCTTTCGTTCCTTCATCGTTTCGTCCAACACCTTCCTCAGTTTCTCCTGCACCTTCGGATGCTGCGAGAGGAAATGCAAAGCCCAAGAAGTGGTAACAGAAGACGTCTCATATCCCGCAAACATGAACGTCTGAATCTGCCCACTAATTTCCTTATCCGTCATCCTCTCCGCCGCCCCTGCATCCAGATTACCCTTCATCAGCAACGAAAGAAGATCCTTTTTATCCCCCAAATCTTCCCCTTCCTTTTGCACCTTGGTCTTCGCTTCACGTACAATCTGCATCGAAATCCTATCCATCACCTTATTCACCTTCGCAATCCTCCTATTCGCCTCGGACAACGGCCAAGTACAAGCTTTGGGGTAAATCATCGCACTCAGCCCCAAATGAATCGCTCTACCCAATCCAAAATCAATCGCTGCTTGATTCACAGCATTAAATGCAGAACTCAACTCGGATCCATCGCGACCCTTCTCCAATGCCCTACAAGAATATCCAAACCCTGCCATTCCGATAATGTCTAACATCGTACAGTCTAGATACTCGGCCAAATCTACTGTATCTTTCCCGCTCGCTGCTATCTTTTCGCACATGAGATCCGCATACTTGCTAAAGATTGATGTCAAGCCTTTCAAATGCGCAGGTGTGAACGCCGGAGCCATCAATTTCCGCTGCCGTCTATGCGCATCTCCGTAGCGAGTAACAATGCCGTTACCGACGATAAACTCTATGATGGAGGATCGGAGCAGGTCGGATTGGAATTTGTCAATGTCGCCAAGGATAGCGTTGAGAGCGAAGGGATCGGAAATGAAGATGGATTCTCCGCCAAAGGGTTCTGGGAAAACAAAGACGGAGGTATCGAGGGTTCGGGCGTAGTGTTTGACTACTTCGCCTGGTCCGCTAACCTTCACAGGGGTAGAGTGGGGTGGGGTGTAGGTGAGGCCTTGCGCTTCGACAGCTCGTTGTCCGAGGATGTATGATGCTCGTTGAGGGCGTGGAAGTTGGCGGTAGGGTGAGGGAAAGAGGATTGGTTTCATGGCAAGTTTGTAGGTTATGAAGATGACCAGGAAGGTGAATGCGGAGGCCAGGGGTCGGTGCAAGACCACCACAAGAAGCCCCTCTAGGGAGAGAGATGTCGTAGACACCGACATCTTCGTTTCAAGGACGGAAGGGAGTGAAGGTGACGGGACAGAGATCAAGATGAAGGGTGCAAAGGGAGGATGAAAAGTGACGGGAGCGAGAAAGATGTGCTCGCATAATCGCAGCCGTGACATTCGGTGTTGCACGCATCCTACTCCACACAAGTAGGAACACACAGGTGCTTCTGTTGTGCCTATGCTTCTTCGGCGGAAATAGATTCACTGGTTATCCTCGCTCTGCAAATCCCGCGGAAAACCGGCAACGCTTGACTTTTTGTTTGCCATTGTTCCTGATCGTCTTGTCACGCCGCGTAAACCTTAACCCCATACACAACACATCGCATGAGATCCCCAATGTGAAGCTTTGTTATTCCCAGATTGGCTTTTTGATTCGGTGAGCAGAACGCACTTTATCAAGATCATCATGGACAGGCTTATTCACTGACAAGAGATACTGTTGCATTGATGTCGAAGTGGCTGCAATCTATGCTTGTGTGGGTATATTGACATTACATCGACTCTACAGTAATATCATCATGTTCTAAGCCTCATACGAGAGGAGAATGATGGGATTAGACCTTGATCGCTCGCACAACATGCAAGAATTCACCCCCCGCTCTCCTCTTCAACACAACCTCCGCCTCCAACCCTTGTTCCCCTAATCTCCTCACCAACCCTTCCGGATCATTCTGTTTTATCGCTACCAAATAAAACCTCCCCCCTTTCGACAACACCTCCTTTATCACACCTCCCCTTATCAGCTCATCGACCAACTTCGTCCCTGTCGCACCGCCCGCCCAAGCGCCCTCAATCCCTGCTTTTCCCTGCGCCATCGCCTCTTCCTCCTCCTCTGTTGGGACATATGGCGGGTTGAACAACAGTACATCTACTTTCCCATCCAGCCGGGGCTGTAGGCCGGAGAGGAGGGATGTACGGATGGCTTCAATGGATACCCCATTAGCGCGGCCTGTAGCGAGGGTTGCGGTGTTAGCGTGTGGGTTCAGGTCGATTCCGATGTAATAGGCTGATGTGGGGCCGATGATTTGAGAGAGGAAAGAAAGGGCGATGCCACTTCCTGAACCTATTTCGATGCAAAGGGGGGATGGAGAAGCCAAGGTGGTGAAGGGGGAGGAGAAAAGGGAGGCATCGGCTTCAAGAGCATCGAGAAGGATGAAAGAGTCTTCTGCCGGTTCGTAGATGTTTCGGAAGTCTTTTTTTGTAAGGTGAGTCAGTGATGGTGTTGGTATCATCGCGATTGAGCTCTAAAGTGCGGAGCAGCGTCTATGGTCTCCTTTGCGCTGCTGTGAGAGTGATGCAGTGTGCAGGGAGTGTGTGAAACGGATCGATACAAAGTGAGAAGAAGCTTAAGAAGAACAAGAGACCGACGCAAGTTAGCCAGGGGAAAAAATCCCGGCTTTCGGAATTCAACTCCAACGCACACGCCCTTTCTCGACACTTCACCCCTCACCTTGACTTCTTCCCACTCTTCCCTCTCCTCCGCACCACACAGCACACATCACGATGACAGCGAAACCACAAGCAGAGGTACGTCTCGCTCTTGCTTTCCTTTTCTTCACCAAGACTCTTCATGTTGGGCGCATCTGACCTTACTTCCAATCTTGGCTTTTGTCGGGTTCACAGGTCATCCAAGATTGGGCAGACTTCGATTCAGCAGGATACAGCTTCGAACGCGGTCGTATGGAGAAGACGGTTCAGTCGCTTTGCTTTGGTGACAATGCCGCAACAGTTCCTGCGAGCATCGCTGCTGGTCCTTCGCAAGGTCAAAAGTTGAAGAAGGAGGATGTTGAGTTTATTGTAAGTGTCCCATCCCTTGACTTCAGTCCTACTCGAGTTAGACGGGGCAGGCTGACGAAGCTATCTTCTTTCCTTTGCAACGATGTTGCAGGTCTCCGAACTGCTAGTCTCACGGCAAGTTGCAGAATCGACACTAGCCAAGCACAAGGGAGATATGGAGAAGGCCCTTGGCGAACTCGTTTCTGGGCCATAGATCTGCACTCTTAGCAATCAATAGAGTATTCTTCTTCTCAGCATCTCCCTTCCACTGACTCGCTGCAACCACACATCTGCATTGCAGAAATGACAGAAAGATCCCAGTTCCATCCTCTCCCCATCCCCAACCATTCATCCTTTCCGACTAGCATCACCATTCATCGCCTCATAAACCCGAATCACCTCACTATCATCCTTAGACTTCAACCCGCTTCCCACTCCTGCTACAAACATTTGCTGTGCTGCCGCCGTCAATGGCGTAGCAGCCCCCACTTCTCTCGCTGCATCCGCCACGACCCCTAAATCTTTAACAAAGATCTGCGTCATCTAATTGACTTTTGGCTCTTCCTCCGACATTCTAGGTCCTCTATCTCTCAACATCCAGCTACTTGCTGCAGAGCCAGAGACAATTTCGAGTGCTATCGCTTTATCAATTCCCATTTTTGAAGCGAGAGCTAACGCTTCGGCTGCGGCAGCGACATGTACTCGGCATAGAATTTGATTTACAGCTTTCATCCTGTTGCCCTTGCCTGCTTCTTCGCCCATGTGGAAAAGTTTATCTCCCATGGCGCGGAGGAGGGAGTGCAGTGCTGGAATAAGGGGGGTTAGGGCAACCGATCATGATGGTTAACGTGCCTTTGGTTGTAGGCCGATGGACCCAAATTTGGCCTTGGTTTGCTGCCATGATGCCGACTTTCACTTTGCGACTGGTTTTCACGAGGATGGTGTGAAGATGGTTCTTTCCTCTGCCCTTAGCCTCTTATAACATGTATTTAGTCCCGCTCCTGGTCCGGAATGTACACACACATTAATAACATGTGTTTGTCTCCACATCAAAGGGTCGTGGTCCGAGCTCCAGAACTTTGGACCGAACTCCGCCCCACACAGAGATTAGACTAGGTAAGCTCAGAAGCCGAGGAATTCTCCGATCCTCCCATTCCACACACACACCGTAACGCCGGTCTGACCGGTAAAGCATTCACAAGTGTTCACAACGATTGACAAAGGGTAAGAAAGAGAAACGAGCGTGGGCGATGAAATGCAGAAATGCAAAGAAGGAGCGTGGTGTGGATGTGGGGATGTCGCCAGCGAGAGATGGGAAATAACCGGCGAATTTGGAACAGCGAGTGTGTCAGTATAAGCAGGTTTGTTGATAGGAGGACTGTTCGGGTTATTTTTTCTGAGGATTGCTATTGGGAGTAGGGTTGTTCGTACCTGCGCCTACAGCAGCGCTGGGTGGCGGAGCATTGTGGGGATCAGATACAGCGGGGGTTTGAGCGGGCGGGGTATGGGGCTGGCCAGCAGGAGGGGGTGAAGGAGGAGCATTAGCATCTTTGGCACTGTCAGGAGTAGCAGCTTCGTTTGCAGGTGGTGCAGAGGGAGGAGCGTCGACAGCTTGAGGTTCAGGAGTCCATTGGCTGACGAAGCCTGATGAGCCATATGAGCAGCGCGTGCGATGTGGGCGTCGTGAGCTGCACGACCGCCGGGTGACGGCAGAGCATCATTGTGAGGATCGCTTCCACCGCTAGGACCGTTGCTACCCGGTGTACCTGAGACACCTTTGTCGCCGTTGTTGCCCGTAGCTGAACCCTTTGGAAGAGTCTGAACAGCGCTGTTGTCGGCAGAAGGTGACGAACCAACACCAATGTCACCACTGCCACCACTGCCACCACTAAATGGAGCCTGGAGCGGAGCCACTCCTGTCATTTTTGTCACCCTTGGCATCTCCGCCATTGTTTGATATCTGTGAGGTATGGAGATCCTTCTGGCTATCTTTGTCACCGACGGTACCTGTGCCACCGTTACCACTTTGTGTCTTCTGATTCCCCCCGTCAGCCTTTGAGCCTCCCTCTAAACCGCCAGCATCCTTTCTAGCATCACCCTTCGAACCCGTCGGATGCTCTCCATTAGGCACTCTAACCTCCTCAATAACCCACACCTTCCCCCCCTCCATCATCTTTGGCTGCGTTTTCAATGTCGCACCACCCGTACACAACCCCAATGCCGCAAAGTCCGGCTCCGGCTTACTAAACTTTATCACAATATTACTATACACCTGTTCCGACAATGGCCAAGTACATCCCTTACACTCCTGTGTAATAACAAAACTATTCATAATTTGATCTCCCGCACTTCTCAAATAGCTAACCATTTTCCCATCGATCCAGCTCTCCTGCGTCCTGAACCCATTCTGCGTCCTATACACCACCGTCATAGTTGTATCGACCGGGTAGAAAACAGGCATGTTACTCCCCATACACATGTGATCCTCGGGGCTGTATCTGAAGTTGGAGTATTCTGCAGCATAAATGCATAATCCTTGGCGAGGGTTTGCTGCACATCCATCTCCATAGAACACGACAGTTTGGATGAGATCCGAACGAACTTTGGGGTTGTAGTTGGAGATTCCAGCCCAAAAAAACATGGCGTTAGGAATGTTGTCCCTGCCAGCGATGGGTTTGTGTTGAACGGTGTAGTTGTTAATAATTTCGCGCTCTTGTTCTTCGAGGTTTGCGAGTCGTTCGGAGAATGCGGGGAGGGCACAACCGGCACTGTTGAGGGAGGAACCGAAGGAACCATAGCGCGCGCGGAAGGTTAGGACGTCGATTAGGCGGGTGTGGTAGGATGCGTCCAGGACTGGTTTGCCTCCTTCTTGGTGAGGAGGGGTTGGAGGGGAGGAAGGGGGTGTATCGCGACGCTGAATGCTCTTAGCAGGGTTCGTGGTGGTGGCTGCATCGTGAACGTCGGTGAACCAAGTTGAGGGTGGGGCCTGGCCGGTACGGAAATCAAATGAGACTTGTTCGATGTTGCTGGTTGTGGGATCCCAGCGACAGCCTGCGCCGAAGACGCTTTCGCTTGGGTCGGGTTTTCGAGCTGTATGTTCACCTGCACTGCCTGAAGGAGGTGTGTGTGAAGTATCGGGTGAGTTGGGTGCTGGTTGAGGTTGCGAACCTGGAGAGGGGTTCTTATCTGGAGCCGGCTGAGGTTGGGCTGGTGGTCGGGGCCAATTTGGAACAGGGTCCGCTGCTAGAGTGACTGACAGCAGCGCTAAGCAACATGGTAGAACATTTCGCCAAATCATCGTGCTGACCTTCTGTGAGAGAAAAGGAGGGCAGCGAAGATAAGGATAAAGAAAGGAATATGATTCGAGTCAACAACGAACGACAGGTCAAATCAATTGAAACAATGAGTGGATCGACAGGAGCCGCACGAGCTTCGAGGGAACGGCCCAACAAGTACCCAGTCAGATCTTCCCTGTAGCCCATGCTCGTTAACAGACACGAGCTCGACTTTTGCTCCTCGTCATCGCTCTTCCACTCAACTCCTCAGGTGGTGGGACTGACTTCATTTATAGTTCCGATCAAAGTGGTTGTCACAACTCTCTGCAGTGCACGGACGGGCAACGTGGGTTGGAAGCCACCACGAAATGCATCCCTCTTTATCTCCCACCTCGATGTTGACTTCATTCGGTAGCGCCGCCAAGCGCCACCTAGGTGGGTCTTTGTCACAACCTGTCTTTGCACAAACGAAGTAGGGATCGGGTTGTGTTTGTGACAATGCGGACGGGGATCCCGACGACTCGTATTGAGCGGGCGATTCGCGGCTCGCTACAACCAACGATGTGTATGAATCGCAAATTCCAAAAGGTGACAAAGTTGTTACAAATGAGGTGACTTGAGCTAGTGTATCCTTTACATTTCATGAGCGATGATGAGACGAACGACTATTGCATCGTCATACATCGACTGTATACATTGAGCATGAGGTCACACCAAGAACCAGTCTCGACGCGAGCTCTGCTGTGCAATCTTGACTTTTCGAACCAGCGAAAAGCAACGATCTCTGCTAACCCTTGAATTAGTTGTAGTTGAGAGGGTATCCGTTCTTGAGGGCAACATTGTGACCAGTGAAGCAGCCCTTGACACCATTCATCCATCCCGCAGCGTTGGGGTCGACGTAGCTTCCAGTAGGAACTCCCTTCAACTTGGTGAACAAGTTCATGTTGACGTCAACGGAAGTCCACTCGTTAGCGTCACCGAAGTAGGCTTTGAAGCTTCCAGCAGGACCTTGGATGACCACCTCACGACCACACCAGTCGGCGATCATCTTGCGCCACAGAGGTTCGTGGGAATAATAGGTGACAGATCCACTGAAACCGTAGGCTTTAGACAACTGGGCGAGAGGAAGAGCAATGATGGGAGAAGTCTTGTCAAATTCGACGCCGCACCACGTAGTGGTGGCTTCACCTTTCCAGTTAGGCTGGAAAGCGGTGGCGGTGAGGTCGAAGCAGCTACCCCAGGGAGAGTTCGGTGGTGCAGCACCGGCGTACAAGGATGGTGCGCCCGACATCGCGCCGGAGGACGAAGAAGCGGTGGTAGTGGAGGGGCGCGAAGACGATGAAGTCGAGGAAGGGGTGGTAGCAGTAACCGCACGTGTGCTCGTGCTTGCAGCTTCCGACGAAGCTGTAGAGGCAGCTTTGGCGGCAGATGATGCAGGCTTGGTGCTAGACGAGGTTCCAGCCTTGTGAGGGTTCCGCCAGTAAGTGCCGGAGGAGGGTCGCTTGACGGCGTGGTTCTTGCAAACCTTTCCTCGGCGCTGAGGTGCGTGGACAATGCCGACGAGATTGTGATTTGCGTGCCTATTGCTCAGCGACCTAGCTTCGGTCTCTTGGATGTTGAAGCTAAGCGTGCTGAGCACGGCGAGCGATGCGACGATGAAAAAGGTGGTACGCATGGTGAGATCTAGAGAAGAGAAAAGCCCAGCTTTCGTTGTTAGGTGGAGAGATAAAGAAGAGAAGGTCCTGACCTCGAGACAAAGAAGATGAAGAGAGAGAGAAGGGAATATAAGGGAAAGTGGAACCAGCCACGGGAAGGGATAACGTCAAACGCGAACGAAGGGGTTTCCTTGAGGTTGATGCTGGGGAGAGAAGGAAGGACACATTGAAGGAGAGACACAGGAACAGATACACAACCACAGTCGAGGCGGAAAATTGGCGTTCCCATAGGGAAGGTCTGCTCGAAGCTTCTGCAGGCACTTGTTACGAACCCAATCAGGCAGGTAGAATAGAAGGGGAATGTATCACCGTCAAAGAAACCCCATTTGCGAAAGGATAACGAGTGGCCAGCGAAGAGAGAGATTGCATTCGAGATGGCGTTTGCCGAGGTGTTGGTCCACGCTTCCCTTTGGACGAGACAAGTCTCTGGCTTCCTCTAGACTGCGAGTCGGGACCCTCGAATTTACAAAAAGAAGTTCAAGTCCGAGGCACAGTCGCCTCGTGTCAAAAGTCAACTTTTTTCCGCAGCTTCTGCACGCGTCTGCCTTTTTCCTTTTTCCTTTTTCCTTTTTCCTTTTTCCTTTTTCCTTTTTCCTTTTTCCTTTTCTTTTTTCTCTGTCTTTGCCATTCGTTTCTGCTGGCAGCGCAGACGCGAGGTGTGACACCACCACACTGACTTGGCGGTCTCTATCTTGACCGACGGAGAAGCATCTTGTGCTGTCTTGTGCTGCGGCTTGACAGAGACCTAGAAACTGAAGCCTCGATCCCGCTCGTCCATCGATGCATGTCGTGTTGGGAACCTTTAGGCTAAGTTAAGCGGTTTGTTCTTCCGCTCCTGTTCCGCGGGCAGAAGTAATGTATGGTCATGCATGCAGGCTTGCACTGGCTGGCACGCGCATGGAGATGCCAGCGAGAAGCGGTCTATGCAACTGGGCGCACTTCTGTTCCTAGCTCTTGGGAAGAAAAGAGAGTCAAGGAGAAGGGGTTGCAGGCAGGGGACCAACTCTGCTTTTAGGGGACAGTATCTTGGCCGATCAGGCAAAGACCATCGGGCTCGTTCAGATCAGAGGCTTTGCAAAACATTTTACACGGCCTAACACTGCTGTTGAGACCCGAATCCACGGAGAGTTCAGGAACTAACTTCAGCTCGGAAAACGTGCAGGAATCAGCTCTAAAAAGTGAAGCTTGCAGGTTGCACAGAAGCTCGATCCAACAATGACGGCAGCCGCTTGTGCTGTCGCTTTTGCCGCCGACACCCGGCCGTTGAGCAGCTGATCTGCCTCTCCTTCTCAAGACACTGTCACCATCCGTGCTGGGTCACGTCCGGCATCAGGTCGACGGCGTCAGGTCATGCGGTCTCATCCGAATTAGCGTCCCCTCTTCCGACCAATATCAGGTGCGATTTGTGTCTCTTGCAAGGCAGTAGCTCAAGATGACGGAGGCTGCAGAGACGTCGACGAATGCGAAGGGCAAGCGCAAGCTCTGGATTGCCTGTAATGCTTGTCGCTTTCGAAAGGTCAAGTGCGACCGAGAGCCACGCTTAGAACGGGGCTTCTCGTCATGCACCAACTGCGAGAGCGCTTCGATGGACTGCATATTGACCGTCAACCCGCCCAAGAAGCGTATGGGCAAGCGAATGAAGATGCTGCAAGAGCAGGAAGATGCTGATACTCCAAGCTCGACCGGTGCGACACAGTCAACATCAACTGCTACAACTGGGGCCACCGAGGCGCAAGTGCCAACCTCATCTGCAAATTTCTCAGAGGAGGCAATAGCGATGTCGCCCGGATTCGGCAGTCTTCTACAGGCTGTGGATCAGGAGGTATCATCGGGTTTCACGAGCACAGGCAGCATCGGTCCATTGACACGCCAAGCCAACGCCAACGCGACTGGGGACGGAATGGTAGGGCAGCTAATAGAAGACGGACAGTCGCATGTTCCTATCGTCCAGAATGGCATGTTTGCTGCTTTCGACTCCACCACCGATGATTTGCTTCATCCCTCTTCCGATCTGTCCGCGAGAGAGCAGCGCAGAACGAGTCACGGGCATGTAGGTCAAGTAACGGCGGTCTCTCGACCGACGCCAACGTCCACGAATGGTGCCTCGGGGCAATCACCACCCGATGGATACATCTCGAACGCGGCATTCCTGGATAAGTCAGTCATCAACGGATCAACATCGCGGCAAGAAGCATCGAAAAAGCTCAATCCGCTCCACAAGTCTGCAGAGGATACCAGCTTTGCCAGACAAGTCGGATTCGTGGGCGGCTTGCTCGGCATCGCCTCACTCGATAAGCATATGCTTGATGTCTGTACCAAGGCTTACTTTGACAGCTTAGGTCAGTGTATCGGCTTCATTCGTCCTGAATGGTATTGGCCCCGATACCACGCATTCTTCACCCGCTACTCTGGCTTGTTCCATTCCTCGGACGCGGATTCGAACGAGGAGCCGCTCTCAGAGCTCCTACTAATTGCGGTAGCATGTCGTGGCGCAGGTGCAACTCGGATGGCCAACCGTTTTCAACTCCAGTCCGACCTCTTCGATCACTACTGTCGCCTCATCAAAGACCGACAGCGCCTCGTCAGAGATGGCTTTGACGGACTCGAATCTCTGATTCTCATCGTAGAGCAAACGGATGCTGCACCAAAGTCTTTTCCCGACCCCATGTCTATCCAAGGCGTATTCGACATCCACATTCTCTCTCATGCAGGTCTGATCGCGCTGATGAAAAAGCTCGAATTGCATCTCGAGAAGCCCTTTGGCGCAAGGCTCGAAGGACGGGACGCAATTCGTCAACGCTTGCTTTTCTGGACACTGTACGTCTACGATGCTATCCGAGCGGAAGCTGGTCGAACATTGCCCCTGATTCAAAAGGATGAGATCAGTCTGCCACGGACGTTTCCTGGCCTGCAAGTTCAAGGTGCAGACATGACACGGCTAATGTTCCGAGACGCTTTCGTCGAGCTCTCGGATATTTGTCGCAAAGTGTCTTATCGAATCCAGTCGAACCGAGCGCAGGGGCAAGGCATCGATCCAAAAGATGTCATCGAGATCCTTGACGATCTCAAAATGTGGCACGACAAGCTCGGCCCCCTCTTCGCTTGGGACTGGAACGACATGTTGCACATCACTGGACCCCCTGAAACGGAAGACCAAATCTGTCGCACATTCCTCATCTTCCTCTTCCTGGGTCAGTGGCTGACACTCGAGTATGCGGTATCAGAGATCGGCCTTTCACCCACTTCCGAGCCTGATACAGAAGCAGTGATGCACCGCCGATTAAAGGAAGAAGTGGACACAGCACTAGATCGACAAGTGCTCGTCTGTGATCATGGTACACTATTCGGCATTATTCGATTACATCCAGGTATGATGCAGTCTTGGACCATTACTTGGGCTACATGGTGTATTGGTAAGATGCAAGGGATCATTGCGGAAGAAGGGAATGGCAGATTGGCGAGTGCCAAAGCGGATCAGGCGTTTAACAGGTATCAGTCGGCAGTGCTTTGCTTCATCAACGCGATAGCCACTTGCGATACTGCACAGCATACCCCTACTACGGTGCAGGATCTGATGAACGCCCTGAGCAAGGCTGATGAGGCGAGGAAGATGTCTAGACTCACTTTTGATTTGTAGCTCGATCAGCACGAATGCATGACCAATGTTGGTCACGTTCGCTTTAGCCACACCACATCATCCAGAGGACAATCTTCGGGGCTTGTTGCTCTGCTTTGTTCATTCCTAGTTGATAGATCCAACATGTCAGTGACTCGGTCGTGGTACCAAACTCTGAGATGTTCAGCAAAGCTATCATGCTGTGAAGACTATTATCGTCTGAGATGCTAATGCAACGTGTGATTGTTAGGCCTTATTCGAACTCACAAACACTCGTTACGGCCTGCCCTTCTATTTCAAGCGTTAGAAGATGAAGACGATCGATTCGAAAGAGCGAGTGTTGAATTCAAGGATGACAAAGCGAAAGGGTCCAATTTGTATTCATGTCGCGATCCTGGTCGGCTGATGCGGTTTCTTCGCACGGTCTTTCTCGATCTTCTTGAGTAACACAGAACTGCCACCTTGCGTGTATCACCAGAAGGAACGGTGGGACCGCTCGCTCGCCCGCATTGGTCGGCTGATCGGTCAATTGGGGGTGTGTGCGTGTGTGTGTGCGTGGAAGCAAAGCCACGCCGAACGGACCACCTTTCCCGCATCGAGAAGGTCACACTCAAGCTCAAGCTCCTATTTGCCTTCCTCTTCTCTTCTCATTTTACACCCATCTTCTCGTTCCTCACACATTCTTCTTTCCGGTCCTATTTGCATTCGTGTCCGCTCCTCGCGCATCGTTCAGCATCTTTCAAGCTCCCTAGCATCCACTTCCTCGCATTAGACATCCTCTTGAGCATCCCCCACGAGAGCAATTTGACGCAAGCAGCATCCTCTTGTCATCACCATGTCCTTCGCAACAGCATCAGCAGCCTCCGCAGCATCAACTCCTGCCAACGCGGCGGTTAATAGCGGCAGCACAACCGCAACTGCAGGCAGCACCACGACTACTGCTCAGACACCGCTCGTCCCTGCCTTCAAGAGCGCCATCGTCCGCAGCGTCCTCAGTGGTGACACCATCGTCATTCGACCCAAAGGTGTCAATATCCCCGGCAAGGAGGAGACCGTGCACATTGCCGGCATCGCTGCTCCTCGTCTTGGATCGCGAGATCGTGAAGATGACCCGCAAGCTTTTCCTTCTCGCGAGTATCTCCGTCTGCTCACTGTAGGACGTGAGATCAGGTACCGCAATGAGTACACCGTCCCGGCTCCTGCAGCAGTTCCTGGCAGCGTCGTCGCTCAGCCTCGTCAGTTTGCCCACGTCTTCCTCCCTCCCAAAGGGCCTGGTTTACCGGACACCAACGTAGCTCACGAGATCCTCGCTGCTGGTTGGGCCAAGGTGCACGACTCGGTTGCTCGTCGCAGCGATGAAGCTGATGACAGCGGCAGTTGGAAGCAGAAGCTGCGCAGCGTTCAGGAACAAGCCGTAGCTGCTGGTGTCGGTCTCTGGGGTCCCGATGACTTGCTCAAGGTCCACCACTCGATGCCAGAAGACACGGCTGCATTCTTGGCCGAGTGGAAGGGCAAGCCCATCGAGTCGATCGTCGAACAGGTTCGAGATGGCAGCATGCTCCGAGTCCGTCTCTTGCTTTCTTCGACACACCAGCAGATGATCAATCTCAGCTTGGCAGGTATCAAGGCACCGCGTGTTACTGGTGGCGGAGGTGCTAGCCCCACCGATACCAGCGAACCCTTAGGTGAAGAGGCCAAATTCTTTGTCGAAAGCCGTCTTTTGCAGCGAAATATCAAGGTCACTTTGCTCTCAGTGCCTCAGCCTGTTGCTGCATCAACACCGTTTGCTAGCACTGCTTTGTCCGCTGCCGCCCCTGCACCTGCACCTGCACAGCCTTCAGCTAGCGTTCTGATCGGCCTCGCCATCCACCCTGTCGGTGACATTGCTCAGTTCTTGCTGGCTGCTGGTCTCGCTCGCTGTGTCGACTGGCATGCCGGTATGCTCGCTTCCTATGGCGGCATGGAAAAGTACCGTCTAGCTGAACGAGCTGCTAAGGAGAAGCGTCTCAACCTCTGGCAATCTTACTCGGCCCCTTATTCGTCTTCGACCACCCTCGCCAGTCAGCCTGTCGCTGCACGCACCTTCGACGCCGTCGTTTCACGCATCATCTCTGGTGACACTATCCAGGTGCGCAAGGCCCTCGGCGATGGCAAGCTCGGCCCCGAGAAGCGCATTCAGTTCTCGTCACTGCGTCAACCTCAGGCGAAGGATGCCAAGCAGGCTGGCTACGCAGCTGAAGCACGCGAGTTCCTCCGCAAGCGTCTCGTCGGCAAGACCGTCTCGGTGCAGATGGACTACATCAAGCCCAAAGAAGGCGACTTTGACGAGCGAGAGTATGCCACCATTAAACAAGGCAAGCAGGATGCCGACATTGGTTTGCTTCTCATCTCCAAAGGTCTCGCCACTGTCCAGAGGCATCGTCGTGATGATGAAGACCGATCTCCCGACTTTGACCGTCTGACGGAAGCCGAGGCCAAAGCCGTCAGCGAAGCTAAAGGTATCCACTCCGGCAAGGAACTCCCCGCTCCCCGTATGGGTGATGCTTCGGAAACCGCTTCCAAAGCCAACACTTTCCTTCCCGGACTTAAGCGTGCTGGTCGCATCACCGCCATTGTCGACTTTGTTGCTTCTGCTTCTAGGTTCAAGCTGATCGTTCCGAGGGAGAATGTTCGACTTACGTTTGTGCTTGCTGGTATTCGTGCGCCAAAGACGGCGCGCAATACGAGCGAGAAGGACGAACCGTTTGGGAGGGAAGGGTTGGATTTCTCGACTATGCGTGCATTGCAGCGAGATGTGGAGATCGAAGTGTTCAGCACGGACAAGGTCGGTGGGTTTATCGGTGCGTTGTATCTGAACAAGACGGATAATATGGCTGTGTCGTTAGTCGAAGGAGGATTGGCTACTGTGCATGGCTACAGTGCTGAGGCAACGCCGTTCTACAAGCAGTTGTTGGATGCTGAGGAGAAGGCGAAGGCGGGTAAGCTTGGAGTTTGGCATGATTACGATGCTGCTGCTGAGGAGGCTGGAGAGTATGCTGATTCCACGGGTGCTGTTGCTGGTGGCGCTGTTGGTGGTGGTGTTGGAGCTGCCCGTGCTCGTGGAGCTCAAGCTTGGGGTTCAGCTGCTGCCAATGGAGGCGGTGCTGCTTCCGCTACTGGCGCTGCTCCTGTTCCCGCCAGGACAGAATACGTGGACTGTATCATTTCCGACGTCCGCGGCTCATCCAATTCAGACGACCCGTTCGGATTCAGCATCCAAGTCCTCAACGACCAAATCCAAGAACTCGAATCCCTCATGGAAGAATTTTCTTTGCATCACGAATCACCCACCTCTTCCTCCCCCTCCAACTTCATCCCTCGCGCTGGTGATCTCGTCTCGGCCAAATTCTCCCAAGACAACGCCTGGTACCGAGCCATCATCCGCAAAACCTCCCCTGCGCTCAAAGAAGCCCTAGTATCCTTCATTGATTATGGTAACCAAGAACACGTGAAATTCTCCAACCTTCGTCCACTCGATTCCACACGTTTCGGTCGCACCCGTCTCGCACCGCAAGCTAAAGACGCACGTCTTTCCTTCGTTAAGCTATACGATGGGAAACAGGCAGAGTACGTAGAGGAAGCATTGGACAGGTTCAGACAGATCGCAGCAGAGGGTAGGAAGATGATCGCCAACATTGATTATGTTGAGCCAGGGACGGGGGTTGTACATGTTACTTTGTACGATCCGGAAAGTCCGAGTGTTGGAAAGAGTCCGGAGGAGGGATGTATTAATTATGAGTTGACGAGGGAAGGGTATGCGTTGTTGGATAAGGGTGTGAGGTATTGGAAGAGTTATCCAGTGCTGACAAAGGCGTTGGAGAGAGGGTTGGAGGAGGCGAGTCATAGGCATAGGGGTGTTTTTGAGTATGGTGATCCGACCGAGGACTAAACTTCGCACTCAACAGCAAAAAAATAAATATGAAACCACTGCATTCCACAAAGCATCATACTCAACGCAAAGCAACATTCATTCTCACGATGTTCGGTTGTAGCTTGGTTTGAGGTTGTGAGTGAGGCATTGATGGATTGCTGATGCGGCTGAGAATGGCGAGACTGATCAGACACACAAACTTGAGGTGATTGAGGGGATCACCACCTGCGATAAGGCAAAAACTTGCCATCGAGTGTGATCTTGACCCTATCCTCTCCCTGCTTTCCCTTCACCTTCTCCACATGACCTTCAAAGTCAATCGCCGACATGATTCCATCGCCGAACTATCAGCATACATCAAGCAGATGGACTTGTTTCGTCAGTACTATGCTCTTTCGCTGAAACCTAGGACTTCCTGAGTCCCTAGTCTTCTGTGGGCGTTGTAATGCTTACCTTTTCATAAATCAAATGCTTTAACGGGTATCCATAGACCACCAGCACTTCATACAGCCTATACAGCACTGGGTCCTGTGGAGGAAAGTCAGCCAATCCTCTATGAGGGACACAATCCTCCCTGAACTGTTCTTCGAGAAAGCTCTGCGGTAAGTTCAACGCAACCGACAACTTCTCCACATCATCTTGATCCGGTTTAGCCTGACCGTAAAAGATAGCGGCTACGTACCACTCGTCTCTACCGACTTGAGATGCTATGTCGGCAAAGGAGAGCTTGGATCTGTATTTAGCCTCGTGAAGAGCAGTGAAGACGGGTCGGAGAGTGGAGAGGATTGGTGGGAGAGTGGAGAGGTCTCTGGGTTTTTGAATGATGCCGCTGCTCCAACGGTTTGACATTTTTGCTACGGTGCTTGATAAAGTAGGAGCTTGATAAAGTAGGAGCTTGATAAAGTAAGAGCGAGTTCGTGTGAGTGCATGAGAGAGCGGGGTGGGGGGGGGGGGGTAGGGTTGGAGAGAATATATAGGGAAGAGGGGATGGGAAGCTTATCAGAAGGAGGAAGAACGCGGCTATGCAGGGTTCAACGCCGTTATCAGCGCGCACAGATTAGGCCAAGATTTCTATGGCTAAACGAGATCATGCTTCTTATCACCCACAAACACAGACGAGGAGAGCTTCGCATCGGCAATCGCTCAGAAGAGGCTATGATATGTAGGATCTGATTAATGCTCGGCAGCAAACAGCTTCCCCGCTGATCAGAGTGGATTGCCGATGCGGAGGTAGACGCCGACGTCGCCGAAGTGCAAAGCCGGTTACAGTGAAGAAGAAGCGTCACCCCAACCTGATCGCGATCCACCGTCCTCAACCACTTATACTACAACACGTACAGAGACATCGCAGCGTCTACGTCGATCATTCACTATGCCGAGGTATTGCATTGCTTAGCCTATCGGCCAAAAGGAAGACACCACAAAAGTGAGACTAGGCAGTCTGATCCTGCATCGTAGCAGCACCCTCAACGAGGCTCTCCCAATCCTTCTTGTTCTTGGTGAAAACCTGTGCTACGGGAGCATCGATCTCCTTACCCCAAGCACCCGATTTAGCAAACATACCCATCTTGATGATGGCAGTACCGGGACGAGAGGTAGCAACGGTTTGGATAGGGGAGCCACATTCGCCACAGAAACGACGGGAAGAGTGGTTGCCGCTATCGGGGGTGGTGTCTTTGTACGCTTTGGGTTCGCCAGTGATTTCGACGTGTTCCTCGGGGAGGATGGCGACCAGGGAGTAGGCTGTATAGCAAACATCCAATGTAAGCGATGATGAGTAAAGGTGAAAGAGACCAAAGGGAATAGGGTAGGGTGGGGACAACTTACGAGCTCCAGCAGTTTGTTGGCAGTTGCTACATCGCTCGAAACCGAATGGTGGTGTGAGATAGTGAGTATCATGGATGGGAAGCGAATCATGATGACGACGGTGAAAGTGAGACTTACGTGCATCGACAAGTCACAGGCTTCAAAGGCAAACCACCATCCTTGACAGTGATCTTGATGTTTCCGCAGAGACAGGAACCGTTGAGGGGCGGCATCTTTTGTAGGTTGGGGAGATGATGTCGCACGACACTCCCCTTTTCCTCAGAGACACTAGCTTATATACTCGCACTCAAAGAGCTCCCATTCATGCCCACAAAGCCTTTCTGCCCTGATTGAGGGCGGGCATGGTTCTCCGAACAGAAACCATGCACGGACGCATAAACAGAAGCATCCAGACGGGTATTCTCATCCATATACTGCGAGGTCGTCAGGGAGAATAACGGCACAAACTAATGGTATATTAACACTTGTCAGTCGAAACTGATACACCGATGTGGGAGAGGCTTAGTGGTTTGGCGTGAGATTGCAACTTATCTTCATTCATGGAAGAAAGGCGCCCTAATAAACATCTTGAGGTCGTGGGTTCGATTCCCACCTTCCACTTCTCTTTTTTCCCGACTTTTTACCCTCCTTCATCTTTCGTTGAGACCGTTCACAAGCCGATCGCCAAGCTTGTATCTGCCATTCTATTCTTCTTTTTGAGATCAACACCTTTGGCTGGCAGCCAAGGGTCACAAACAGGGTGTCTGTAAGGAGTCGAAGAGGATAATTTTTACCCAGCGCTCTGTAAAAGCAGCGATGCTTGGCTGACCATGCGGGGTGAGCAAAGCGGGGTGAGCAAAGTGGGGTGAGCAAAGTGGGGTGAGCAAAGCGGGGGAGAATGGAAGGGAAAATGCGGAATTTCTCAGAATATTCCCATATGGAAAATCGGCTCTCTCGCCTGCTCTGAGTTTCAGGTTTTACGTTGGCAGTTTCTAGATCGGGGAAGTTGTAGTCAAGAGAAATTTCGATTTGTGCCTTTTCTCCAACTGTCTTGATTGTTGACCCGCTTTTCCCGCAGGTTTGCAAGCCTGATAGGCACCAAAGCAGTGGGTAGCGATCCATCCAAGAGTACAGCTGTTGGTCCTCTGCTTTTGGTTTCCACCTCCGCTCCTCTTTCCTTCTCGTCATCATCACCAACACCTTCCGTCTACACCACACGCGCTTGTTCGACGCCATTCAGTTCGTCGTCGCCACCACCACACCGCCTTCGTTCGAATCGAAAAAGAGATCCTTGTGCTGTGATTTACACCTGGCGATCATAGAGGCCCAAGCATCCATTCCATCTTCATTTCCGCATCGACCCCTTCGCACGGTCTGTTTGGTGCCGTCAACCGCAACTCTCTTCGCTCCTTCTCTTGCACACCAACACTTCATCTCGCCACCATCAGAACCCCTTTCATCACATCATTACCACCACCACATCATTACCACCACCACATTCATTCGTTGCTTCAATATGCGATTCATCACCCCCTCCATCCTTGCCATTCTATTGGCCCTTGCTGTCACTCTTTCCACCGCACAACTCGCCGATTCGGTCTCTGAACCCTTCCAACGTCCTCTCGACTCCTTCTTCTCCTCACCCGACCTCCTCAACCAGCGTTCTCTTCTGGAGGCCCGTCAATCATCCTCCAACTCTACCTCCACCTCCCCTTCCCCATCCTCCTCCTCCTCCGCCCCCGACTCCACCGCTTCCGGCTCCGCCCCACCTGGTGGAGAGGCAACCATCACCGAATCCACCTGCAGCATGACAACCCGTCTCTCCGTCAACCAACAAGCATCCTGGGGTAACGGCTTCGTCAACACCTGCTGCGGTTTCGCTACCGGAACACAATGTTGGTATAGAAACCAAAACATGGTTGAAGGTAAGGACGAGTGCGAAATTCCAGATTGCGCAGATTTGCAAAGTGAGGATAAGACGAGGATGATTGGGTTCATTCCGTTGAGTTCCACCAATGGAAGCGGCAAGTACGCAAACATCTTTTTGAGTTTAGGAATGTTGAGTGCCGGAATGATGACTGTTCCTGGAATGGGGATGATGCTGGCGGTGGCGGTGGCGGTGACTATTTTGGGTTTTGCTTGAAGCTGAGGTGTCGGAGTGATTGGTCGTACCACCGTTGGCTAGTGTATACACGCTCTTTTGGATTCTCCCTTTGCCAGTTGTGGCTTCTGTCTTTGTTTTCTTTCCTTGTTGTACTCTCACTGCTTCATTTTTTCACTGGAATACGGAACTCTTTCACGGATTCTGACTTGGTGTTCGTGATGAGAAGACATGCATGTGATGAAGATGCAAGGCAGAAAGAAGCTAGAAGTATAGAATGCAAAGACAAGAGAACGGTAAAGTATGGTTGCGACGAGCTAGAAGGAATCAGCATCACTCTGCCCACCCGCACTTTCAACGTCGACGAACTCTCCATCGCTCCCCCTCTCTCTCTGTAGCCCATTCCCATTTGCTCCACCACCGCTCGCTTTCTTCTTCGTCGCCGCTCCCGCAACGGAGCTGTGCGAAACCCTAGTCACCTGCACATCATCATCATCATCCTCATCCTCTTCATCGTCATCTTCACCCTCTTCATCCTCCGAACCCGCCTGTACTTTACCCCCGCTTCTTCGCTGCGAGTTAAAGTTGGTATATGAATCCTCGTCCGAATCATCAATAATCGTAAACGTTTTTTGCTTCCCCGTACTCGCACGAGGCGTAGTACGCAACGGAATTTTGATCTTGGCCCCTGAACCAACTGCAGGACGTGAAGCAAGTGCAACATCCTCATCTTCGTCCTCATCATCATCGGATATCTCACCTTCTTCACCTCCCTCCCCATCCGATCCTCCACTATCAACACCATTTTCGCCTCCCTCTTCTTCATCTTCTTCATCTCTCTTCCGTTTACTCCCTCCATAACCAAGTTTCGAATTGCTGTTGGCTTTCTTATTTGCCACCGCTGTGGTATTGTTTGGATTCAAAGGCGACCCGCTAATAACAGTCGAATTGCTCAACCCAGAAGGAGCGAAAGTATGACTTGAAAAGCTCCTCCCCGTCTCCCCCGGCGGAGGGGTTGGGCTGGAAGTTTTGATCCTCTTATTCATCCTGGACGCCACAATCGGACTGTTTGATCTCTTGCCACCATTCTTACCCTTCTTTTTAGAAGCAAATGCATCTTCGTCCATATCACTACTATATTTTGGCGTTCCTCTGCCACTGCCACTGCCACTGCCACTGCCACTGCCATTCCCATTGGCTACCAACCCCCCACCACCACCGGTTGTTGTGGCTTTAGCATTCCTCGCCGCCCCCTTCCTCCCACCCTTACTTCCCATCCCCATACACTTGGCTAGGTGTGTCGCATATCGATTCGAACTAACTTGTCGAGAACAAACTAAACATTCAAATAGAGGATTGTTTGAGTAATAATCCGGCTTGTTCACTGCTCCTCCGCCAGGGACAGGGGTGGAGGAACGGGAAGTGGGAGTGGTGGAGTCAGAAGAGTTGTTCGTGTGGGGATGGGTGGAAAGCGAGAGGTTGGTGGATTGCTCAGCAGCGGGGGTATGTGTTTGACAACGAATGCCGCAAAGTTTGCAGATCGAACGAGCCCGTTTGATGGTGGAATGGGTTGAAAGGGCAACATCGAGAACGATTTGAGTGAGAAACGAATCGAGGAATTTGGCCGCTATTAGGGCTTTTGGGTCTGACATTGTCGACGATAGCTCAGCCAGCCAGAAGGGGTCCTGGCTACGTGCTAGGGTGGGTTGGTGTAGATGATGCTCGTGCAATGTCAACAAGGTTGCACCCATGATATTGTTGGCGCTTCGGGTTCGGCAATCAGATTTCGCCAATGCTCGCAATGTGGGGTCGCGCAGATTCAACAGCCGATTTTTATTATTATAATTTCATGAGTGTGTGAATGTATGGCCTAACACTGTGCGATCTAAAAAAAGGTCCATTAGCTCCAGAAAGCATGTGCGGAATAGAACAACTGGCGACGGCTCCGAAATGAAATGCGCAAATGGCAAGTGGGGTCCAGTGCAGGGTCGAGTAAAAATGGCGTGCCCGTGGTGATGCCAGAAAAATCTAGAGTAGCAAAATTAGCATGACGGGCACATTCTCCCACATCATTCATTCATTCGGACGGATGTGCCCAACTTGAACCGCAAGTGAGTGAATCATCGTTGCTGCGCCACCATCATCATCCTCTTCTTCTTGCCTGGCTCCTTCGGTTTCGATCCTCCTTCTCTTGCTTCTTCCCTTACGAAGGGGGAAGCGGCGTCGACACCTAACAAAACTTACGGGAACATGGTCTCGACATTGGCTTAAGGCGCCTCCCTTCCCTTTCATTCGCAACCCGAGCTGGCCCATACAATTCAATACTATATACACTCTTTAGGCCCAGTCACTGCTACGTCCTCATCCACATTCACCCTTTGTTGCAGGCGCATGACTCTCTCTCTCTCTCTCTCTCTCGCGCGCGCCACCATGTCTCCGCCAGCAAGTGTCACCATCACCCAGCTCGAACCCGTCGTCTTTCTTCGAGGTCAGTCCTCTTCAGGCGAAGATGCTCGTGGTCGACGTCGTCCCGTCAACATCGATGCTCCACCATCCCAGCTTCGTGCTCTCGTCACCGTCTACCTTCCTAAACCGTCCAAGATTAAAGAGATCAACATCTCACTCAAAGGCACCGCCAAGACAGATTGGCCCGAAGGCATCGGTCCCAACCGTGTAGAAAATGCCGAAGAGATGACCATCTTTGATCAAGCCATTGGTATCTACAATGCAAAGTATGACAAGGCTGTCGCCGCTGTCACCCGTCGTAGAAGCAACTCTGTCGGTCCAGGTATCGGTCTTCGCCAAGATGTAGATTGGGACTATGCTGCAGCCAACGCAAATGCGACTGCAAATGCAAACTCGGATGCTCGACCTTCTTCCAGCAACGCAGGCCCAAGACAGGCTAGTGGCAGCAATTCAGGCCGTAAGGATGATGACCGACCCAAGAGCTCTGGCAAAGATAGTGGTAGCGGTGGAGGCAACCTGGCTCGTCAGATCGCTGGTGCTGCTGCCAAGGCCGGCACCGCTATGATTCCACCGACATTGCGTCCGGATATGGGTCTCAGCAAACTCAAAGATAATACTACTACTACTACTACTACTACTACTACTACTACTACTACTTCTTCTTCTTCTTCTTCTTCTTCCTCCTCGTCGCGCAACCGCCCTCCCCCCCAGCAAACTGGATCAGGCACCACCTCGTTCTCGCAATACGCAACCAGTCCTGACTCGACATCAGCAACGTCACCTCCGGCTACATTCAACAACCCTCGGTCTAGAGCTGCTTCCTCGGCTGGTTCCACTTCGCTCGGTACAACTCCCGCCACATCTCTCTTTGATGAGCGCTGGCCTCCGGCTCCAACTCATCAGGACATGTCTACCTGGCACGAGTACTTTGAGTCGCGCGGCTACGAACGTCCGCCGCTCTATGCACCTCGTTCGGCACCTTGTGAAGGTTACGACAGCTGGCCCACCGAAGTTCCTGCAGAGGCTTCATCAGCTCGAACCGATGCTACATCTTCTGGTGACCAGCCTGCTAGCTCGTCTGTCAACAGTGCATCATCCAGTGCTGCTCCAAGCGCAAGTGCCACACAAATGGACCGCACTGCTGCCAACTCGACCGATGTCATGGGATCCGTTTTAGCAATTCGGATGAACGGCGCTGCTCTGCCAACAGCTGGCCCTTCCTCTTCTTCTTCTTCTGCTGTTGCTCCTGCGCGGAGTATCCTTCACACACAGCTCGCCACCACATCCCGCCCAAAGGAACATACTGTTCGCTTTGACCCTCAATGGCGTGTCGACAATGCAGCCAGCAGTAGTAGTAGCAGCAGCAACAACGGCTTCTTGCCCAAACCCAACGGTAACAAGAGCGCACCCTCAAGCCGACGAGGCTCAGTCGAACTCCAGGACAAAGACAGAGGCAGCAAGGGCAAATCGAGCAGCAAGTCCAACACCAACAAGAAGCCTGGTCTCAAGACTCTCATCAATGGCCTTCTCAAAGAACCCATCATCACCGCCACCACTGATAACAAAGTTCACCCCAACGATGCCGCTGCGTCTGCTACCGACTCGAAAGAGTTCAAAAAGGGCACCTACACTTACCCCATTTGCATCTCTTTGCCCTCCAATCTCCCGCCCACCTTGCACGCTGATTTTGGGTTCAACCGTTACGTCCTTCGTGCCAATGTCGTTCGTGCCGGTCCTCTTACCCCGAACCTCACCGCTCAGCGTGAGGTGACGCTCATTCACGCACCGGACGAAGATGCACTCGAGGAGACCGACTCGATCGTTGTCGAACGCTGCTGGGAGGACTTGCTCTCCTACATGGTTATGTTTAGCGGCAAGAGCTTTCCTATTGGTCAGAAGATTCCGCTCTGGCTCAAGTTTATGCCTTTGGGTAAAGTCAATATCTATCGCATCATTGCAACGCTGGAAGAGCGCACAGACTACTTTGCCAAGGGAAGGAGGGTGGCTAGACACGAGGTGCCCAGGAAATGGACGCTGATGAAAATTGGACATGCTCCTGCTACCGAGCCTATTCTGCCCATTCTGTCGGATAGCGCTGATGTGTTGGATAAAAGCCCTCTCGCTCCGCTAGCTAGAGCTGCAGCAGGGGAGGATGAAGGCTCGAATGTATTGCCTTCGATCTTGGACCCCACAGGACCATGGGAGTTGGCTACAGAGCTGAGCATTCCGGCTTGCAGCACGACGAGGATCAATTTGAGCACGAACCATTCCAAGTCGAATATCGCGGTGCATCATCTGATCAGGCTTTCCATCCGAGTTGGCAGGTCTTCGCAGGGCGATTGGGAGGTTTGGAACGACAACGTTGGATGCTCTTCTTCCTCAACCGCGGCGGAGGCGGGGAAGAGAAAGACCCCTCAGCTATACGACATTATCATCGAAGCACCTATCACTCTCACTCACAGTCACACCGCTGTGGATTGGACAGCCCTGCCGAACTACTCCAGCTTACCTGCTGAGCCCGCCGACGCAGACCCGAGTGGAAGCGTGGAGATAGAAGCTCCACTACGACCTGCTTTGCCTTCTCCTGTGATGATCAGTAGGACTGGCATGGTTGGACAGACACCACTCGCGGTTGGAGGCGCCTCGACTCCCAGCCCTCTTAGATCTCCTACAGGAACAAATGGCGGCGGATGTAATCCGGCAAGTAGCTCTCCACCAACATCACGCAACCCAACTCAACTATCACGAAGATGGCTCGCTCTCAGTGCAGATTCCTCGTCGAACCCGCAGATGAATAGCGGCGACGCTGCTCCTCCACCACCGGCATACCAAGCGAGTGCTCGAACAGGCGAAACAACAGTTGCTTCCACCAGCATTAGTCAGTCTCCTTCCGAAACCAACCCTAATCCACTCAACGGCAATACTGTTGGGAATTCCTGCAACCTTGGTATGGCACACTAAACCACTCACACTCTACAAAACAAGAACAATCTACTTCGAATCCGCACCAATTCAATTGTACTTTTACTCTTCTCATTATGGTCACCGCTTAATTCCGAGCGTTTTATTATGGGTCTCCAGAATTATAAAGGCCACTTCATAGAGCGCTTTTGTGGTGCATGAAGTGCGTTCTGTGCAGATTTGAATTTGATCTTGGGTCGGATGAGAGGATCCGAGCTGTCGGAGTCTGGGTTAGGACGCTGGAAGCTTGTGGTGGTGGTATGGGGGGCGGCGATAAAAGGTTTGAGAGAGATGGTAGCACGTGCTCTCCCTGCTGTGTGTTCTTCTGTTGATCTCCTCCTCGGCTAAGAGTCGGTGGACCCCCTTTCGGCTTGTCAACTTTCTTGGTTGGTGGTCCCCACTCGTTCATGCGTAAGCGCTGACCTCGTCTATATAATCCACCCTATTCACCACCTTTCCTCCCTCACTCCTCATCACATCTCCAACACTCACACAAATCACCCTCCACTCAGCAAAGGACAAAATGACGAAAGATCAAGAACTGGAAAATGTAGTCATCATCGGTGCAGCCACCGCCGGTATGAATCTCGTTTTATCCCTTCTTAAAAGCCTCCCTTGCACCCATCGCATCGTCCTTATCGAAGCAAACCCTGTGGGTTATTGGTCTATCGGTGCACTACGAGCTTCTGTTCTCCCTGGGTTCGAGGAAAAGGTGGTACATGATTTGACCCCGACAACGGTGTTCGGTTCTGCTTCCACCCGTCACATCCTCCTCTCATTCACGCGAGTGGTTGATATCCAGCCCGACTATGTTGTCGTCGACAAGGACGTCACTTCCACTCTCCCCGGATCTGAACTTGTTGAAGGCGGCAAGAGTAAGATCAGAGTAGACAAAGCAGTTTTGGCGGTGGGGTCGGACTATGGATTCCCCGCGAGAATTACTCCAGGTACACAGACCAAGGAGCAGGTACTAGATGGATTTAGGAAGATGCAGCGAGACATAAGCGCCGCACAAGAGATATTAGTGGTTGGTGGAGGTCCCACAGGAGTAGAATTCGTGGGTGAAGTATTGGATGTACATCCGAACAAAGTTGTTACCCTTATCACTCGTGGTCCTGGTCTCGTCACCACCGGAAAAGATTCTTTTGGCGGGCTTAGTGCTAAACTTCTCTCCCAACTCAAGAGTAAAGGTGTGCGGGTGATTCTAAACGACTCGCTCTCCTCCTCTTCCCTTGAAGGAGTTAGAAGCGGCCCGATCGAGCCTCGAACCTTCACAAGTGAAAAGGGAGAGGAGATTTCAGCAGACTTTATCCTCCTTTGCTCCGGTGGCCGTCCAAATACCTCCTGGCTCCAACAATCTCACCCCGACATTGTTGATCCTTCAACCTCCCTCATTAAAGTCGGTCCTACCTTCGAGCTGAGCACTAAAGGCTGGGACAGATATTATGCGGTGGGGGATGCATCTAACAGCCCCGGTCCAAAAGTCTCATTCATGGCAGCACAACACGCACCCTTACTAGCAACCAACCTCGTCACCTCCATCAAAGGCGAATCCGAAGCAAGGCTCAAAAAAGCTGGTGGACCAGCAATGACCGTCATCAGCGTTCCCTTGGGCAAAAGCGGAGGAGCGAGTTATTTGGGTTTCGGAAGTGTGGGAGGGTGGTTAACGGGTGCAGTGAAGGGCAAGAGTTTGTTTGTTGGTCAGTTTGAGGGCTGGTTCAAGGCATGACCGCCCCTTTTCTTTGTAGGTAGCATAGAATTGAATAGATATTTGTTGCACACTTGTGTTTGAGGGCGATACGATTCGATATTAACGTCAGACGAGAAGCAATAATATGAATGGGAGGGGGGGAGTTAAATCTCGGCACTTCTCTTCGCAGCAGCTTTAAGCATGGGTCCGATTTCAGTAGAGTACCAATCAGGAACTCCCTTTCCAATGTTCTCAGATCCATACTTGTACACTCCGACTTTATCAATCTCGGCCAGACCAGGTACAGCTCCAGGATGATTAAGCGGGTTAGCCTCTGCGTCGGCCATCAACTGTTCGTACACCCTTCCGTCTTTCCTCCCCAAGCTGGAGCCTAGTTCCCAATCCAACCATCCGAAACCGTCGCTCAGGCCGATGACCTGAGGCAAGATCTCCTTGACCAGTTCTCTGATTGCTTTTTCCAGCAGAATGACAGAGTCCGGGTGAAGGATAGCTTGGTTGGTCGAGTATCCGGCAAGATTCCGGCCGCTTGAGGCGGGAAGAACGAGAGGGGTGATGTTCCTCGAAAGCGCAGTAAGGGCGTGAAGAGTCACTAGCTTGTTCAACCACTTGCATTCCTTCTCGCCCAATCGTTCAGCATCGTCACGAATCCCTTCACCGAACCAAAGATCGACGACAAATTCAGCATGAGATTTGGCCACCTCGATGCATTCATACGAAAGATCTCCAAATGGACGTCCACTCTTGATTTCTGCTCGAAGATCGACCACCAATTGAGCCGCCCTCAGCCCGAGCGCTGCTGAGTACACCTCGGGCTTATACCAATCGCTTGCCTGCTTCGGCTGCTGGAACGGAATCGCTCCTTTGGTTCCGATAGCTTTAAGGAATCCAGACGTAGCAGCAACTTTCGTTGCGTTCGCGTTAGAATCAAGCTCGCTCGAGATCTTAAGCATCGCACGACCGACTTGGGAAGCAAGCACGATGTTGTCTCCCTCGTACGTAACCGCGGGGGCTTGCTCGGGGAAAACAGAGGTGAAGCCGGCATAGGCGGAGAAACCGTGTCCACCGAGAGCTTGACGGCATTCTTCGATTCCATCGAGAGCCTGTTTTGTGCAATAGGCTTTGAGGGAAGAGGAGGCGACATGGACATCGGCGAGAAGTTCCGTGTTTCCTTGTTCGAGTTGTTGGGCCATATCTTCGTACAGAGTGCGCATGCGTCGTCCAGCCAAGATGTAGGCATATGCTTTGGCGAGGAGCGGGAGGATACGTCGTGCGGTGGAAGGGTAGGAGAGAACGCTGCGTTCGACATCGTTAATATCCTTCGAACTAGGGTCGCGGAATTGTCGACGAACGAGGGCGTATCGAGTAGCAATAGTTACACCTCGCGAGAGCATCCATCCCGTGCGATCGATCATCTGGGAACGAATGAAGATCATACCACCATAGCTGAGTTTGTCACTGGGAGGCTTGACATACTCTCCACCCTTCTTAACTTGAGCGTGCTTAGAAAGCATATGATCTCTGGCGATCTTGAAATGCTTAAACCTAGCCCAACCGTTGTCTAAGCCAGCAAAGGCACCATACGTCTTTGGTCCGATATCTCCGGCTACAATCCCATCGAGCAACTTTCCACTATCCATGTCCCTGAGCTGCGTGAAAAAGAGATGCGGACCATATCGCTTCCCCTTGATAATCAACTGTGCTTGCACCACACCATGGGTCGCCGTGGTCCCCAACCCTCCTGCCCACCACTTGGTTGACGTCAATGTCGGAGAGTGAAGCACAAATCCATCGCTCTCCTCATCATAAGTACAAGTAGTTTCCAGCATCTGCACGTTGGTCCCATGTCCCAGTTCCGTCTGCATATAGCAACCCAAAATTTCATGATTCATCGCTTTATTCCCCCATCGTTCAATCTGTTCGGCACTGCCCTGTCCAAAAATAACCGGAACAAAGGCAACCCAGTGGATAGTAATCGGACTCTGCAAATCGAGGGTCAGAGCAGCTTCGATAATCTCGTGCGTGGACCAGCCGTGTTCTTCGGCAAGGTTCAGAAGGCGACGACAGGCGAAGTGGGATTGACGCATTTGTTGTTCTCGATTCATATGGAACATTCGTTTTTTCCAGTTACCGAAAATGGGGTCCTTGGAGAGAATAGTCATGACGGCAATGCGGGATTGGTTGTCAATGCGAGCGTCGCGGAGAGTGTCTTCGATTCGGGATGGGTCGAAGTCGGCGGAGGATCGGGCGGTGGCAATGTCGACCGAGGTTCGGGCTGCAACGGGACCCATCGGAATGGGGAGGGTGACTTTTGCTGCGGGCCAGCCTCCGGTGGGCTCGTTGAGCGGTTGGAAAGTGGTCGATTTGGGATCGGGGGCGGACATTTTGGTGAGATTGTCCAAGGGGTGGGATGGGCAGGGAAGAAGAGGGAAGCGGAAGGGAGTGATTCGGGCTGCCTATGTGTAGATGTAGCAGACAATGGGTTGTGGTCGGGACGGAAAGATGCAGTGCGGAGAGGATGAGGGTCTATATGAACCATAATCTCGCACCCACCCATACGACGACTTGGCTACACGCACAGCTTTCAACAATAGCGCTGATGCAAGTTAGCGAGCTATCAAGCACAACACAATCATTTTTTACATGAACGAGCGAGATCTGAAAGCGACCGTCAACACTACCGTGTTGCAGCGGCGAAAATACGCCGAGCATACCACAAATGCGGGGTCGCTGACTGCTCAACGCTCAAACCAAAGGGAGAGCAAGCTGGGAGCCGAGCGAAGATCACGCTTGAAAAAGCAGGCCAAAGAAAGGAGCCTGGTGTGGGGTAAAGCAAAAGCGAGCGAGGGATGGCAAGCGAGCAACTCGAAGCGGCACTTGTTTGCGCCCTTTGACAACATCAACCGGTCCAATAGAAACCGTCTAGTCACCGGTCTTTACAGCCAAAAAAAGCGAGATTGAGGAACCGACGCGCACCCAACAACTTGCACGGTTACACAACGCTTTCTTCCTCGCAAAGCTTGCCACACACTTGAAACATATGATCTAGGTCCCAACGATGTTACATCATAGCACGGAAACATAGGAGTAAAGGCGGAGAGATGATCATCGTTCTTTACGACTAAGCAAACGCTGCAATCCCTCCAGATGAACGACGTGACCTCGAACTCTTCTCGCATAGAACACCAGATAGATCAACGTCGCTGCCCCTACCGCCGCCAACGAAACTGTTGCTGCGTATTTGAACTCTTCCGGCCCATTCCACCCGAGCGTTAGTCCGTAATGACCCAGATCGAACACGTTTTGCAGCGAGAACTGCAATGCCATCAACGCATTCTTACTTCCTGCATTTGGTCCTAATTGCTCTGGCGAGAGAGCGGTTTGAATCATTGCTAGTTGCGTCAAATCAAACGACCATAGGCCGATGCGGGAGAGTGCGAGACCGGAGAAGAGCAAGCCGGTGTTCCAGCTCGGACGACGTTTGTCCCTCAACCCGAAACGGTCGGTGGGCGAGCCGGTGATCCAGAGTGAGACGACTGCTGGGATGAGTGGGATGAGTTCTGCGAAGAGAGAGTAAGATCCGGTGCGAACGAGACCGATCTTCTTTTCGAGGATAGGCATGATAAAGGTGCCGATGAGACCGGTTACTACGCCGACTGCACGCATGCCTGCGATAAACGCATCGCTGTATAGCGTTTCCGACTTGAGGTAGGCGATGAAAGTTGGGTCGAAGGAGAGGACGGACATGTAGAGAAGGGAGATGCAAAGTGAAGTGAGAAAGATGGGGAGTCGGATGAAGAGTTTCCAATCTTGATATTGCTGTCCTATATCTCCCAGCACCGAGCTTGCCACTTTCTTCGTCACTCTAGCCATCCTATCCTTCTGCTCCCGAGTCTGAGACTGCTGTGGCGTCGAAGAAGAAGGGTTCCTAGCTTCTTTTCTAGCAATAGCAGCCCTCTCATCAGCAGCTAGAGAAGGAAAACGCCTATAGACAATCCCCACAAACACCAACTCAAACACCCCCGTCACCGCATTCACCCCCAACAGCACCACTCCGGCCCATCTATACCCAGCCCCACTCGTCAACGCCGAAACAAACAAGGGACTGACCAACTTGGAAATCAAATCAATCCTCCTCATTATCGCATTCAACCGAGTCAATCTCGCCGAACTGCCATCACTTATGATCGTTACCCATTCCCTCTCCACCCCTACACTCACACCGATATTGCTCAGTATCACACCTATCCCCAGCACCGTTATCGCTGCAAAAATCGACCAGGGTTTCACGTTTGCTTTTACTTCCTCCGGCCCCTTTCCCCCATTCTGAGCTTGAGTACGCAGGGTGGAGGAGGAGAAGAGGATAAAAAAGAGGGCGTAGGAAAAGCCAACGAGAAGTTTCTGAGAGAGAATCATGGCCCGGAGGGTACGAAGTTTGGTGTGGGAGTAGGTGTCGACGATGCGACCGACGTTATTGGACAAGAGGATGGCACCGGCGGTTGTGACGAAGCCGTAGATGGAGGCGGGGAGGAGAGTGTTTGTGAATAACTGGATCATGAAAAGCGGGTATGCAAATTCTGCGGAGCGATAGCCCCAGGAGGAAGAGGCGTGTTGGATCGCGAGGAGAAGTGTGCCTCGGAGATCGAGGTCCGAGGGTCCGGTGGAGGGAGTGTTGCCGAAAGTTGATTCTGTTTCGTTGGCGTCAGCATCGTTGGTAGGCGGGGTATCTCGCGGTTGAGATTGCTGCTGTTCAAGTAGGTTCGAAGGATTGGGGTAGAGGTTGAGCTTGTCGTTGTTTGTGCTTCGTGCGATGCAGGTTCGGCTTGATTGGCGGTCCAAACGAGATGGGAGAGGTTGGAGTGCGATGAATTCGCTACCCCCGTCATCTTGTTGCCGTTGCTCGACAGCCACCGCCTCCGTGCTACTCATGGCCGCTGATATCCTCTTGCTACTACCGAGACCAGGAAGTGTTGTGGCTGATCATGAGGGTGATGTCGAGTACACAAGCAGGTTGGTAGCTGCATGAAAGAATGTCAAGATCTGCTTGCTCATCATCTCGCCACAATTTGTAATTCGTAACTGCAAGCGTCCACCACAACGGAGTGCGACCATCGCCGCACTTTCCACCCAAGTGTTAGGATCGTAAGCTAACAATGGTGGCGGGAGGTACAAAACGTTTTCGGCAACGGAAAGGATTCTTCCGGAGCGAAAGAGCTCGTGTGCACCCTGAATACACGCCTCCCACTTTGTTTCTTAGATAGGAACTCCTGACAGCCGACCTATTCTCCTTGCTCACCACCACCAACCACCCCTCCATACAGACCTACGGGTATAGAGGTTCCAGCTGGTTGAAGAAGCATGGCAGGCGCTTCCGAATCAACGCCTCTTCAGGCTCCATCTACTCCCGACCCGCCCAACGGCAAACTCAATGTCTACGGAGCCATCCCTAACTCCACCACAGACAATGCTTCACCCCAAGCCGGCGCGGATAACAACAATGTAGAACCTCCACTGCCGAAACAATACCCTCGAGGGCCGAAGTTCGCCGTGATCATCGCAAGTCTATGGGTGGTTCTATTCATGGCAGCACTCGACGGAACTATCGTGGTCACCTTAATTTCTTCCATCTCTTCCTCATTCAAGGCTTCGGAAAAGTCAGGTTGGCTTAGCACGTCCTACCTTCTCTCCGTATGCGCCTTCTCATCGATCTATGGTCGTTTGAGCGATATCATCGGTCGAAAAGGAGCACTATTGGTCGCACTAAGCTTCTTCACGATAGGAACGTGTCTTTGTGCGGTAGCGAAGAGTATGAATGCGCTGCTGGTGGCTAGGTTCGTTGCTGGTATCGGCGGAGGCGGACTGTTGACTACGTCTTCGATCTGTATGACCGACCTTGTCCCGCTTCGACAGCGAGGTTTGTGGCAAGGAATCACAAACATTCTCTTTGGCTCAGCCTCGGCACTCGGCGGCCCCCTAGGAGGGTTCATCAACGACGCATTCGGCTGGCGTACAGCATTCGGCTTCCAAGTCCCTTTCCTCCTCGTCGGAGCCTTGTGCATCGCATCCTTTGTCAACATCCCACTCCCATCCTCCGATCAATCCTGGCACAAGAAGTTAGGCCGAATCGACTACCTCGGCTCTCTCGGCTTAATCTCATCTTCAAGTTGCTTACTCCTCGCCATGAGCTTCCTTTCCGCTTCTCTTCTACCCTTCTCCCACCCTCTCGTATGGGGCTTTCTCCTCGGATTCCTCATCACCGCCGTTCTCTTCGTCCTTGTCGAAGGCTGGGTTGTGCGCGAACCAGTAATGCCACTCTCGCTTCTCACTCGCAAATCCCCTGCACTGATCGGCGCATCTTACTTGCTCGGCTCCTTGGCACATTTTGCTACCATTTTCCACTTCCCACTATGGTTTCAATCCGTTCGACTCCAATCGGCTTCTCAAGCAGGACTTCATCTTATTCCGATCTCCTTGTCCGCTGCTGCGGGGTCTCTATGGGCAGGGTTGTATATGCGGAGAACGGGTAAATACTGGCATGCTAACATCTTCTGCTGCTTCCTGAACATTGCCTCTACTGCATACGGCGCAAGTTGGACCCAAGCCACTTGCAGCTGGGTAGAATACTTGACCTTTTGCCCACAAGCATTCGGCACGTCAGCGATCTTTACTTTTATGCTCATCGGTCTCATTGCTTCCGTCTCGAAAGAAAAAGCTGCGGTGGCTACGGGAACGGTTTACCTCTTCCGATCTCTCGGCCAAGTGATGGGAGTGAGTCTTTCAACAGCTCTGTTTCAGATGCTATTACAGGCACAGATGGGGAAGAATATCACACTAGATCTCCTACCCGATCCAGGAGAGGGTGTCGAAGGTGTAAGCAAGTTAATCTCGGCATTGAGACACGATGCGTCGTTAGTGCCGAGTTTAAGGCCGGTCGAGTTGAGGGAGGCGGCACAGTTGTCGTATGAGAATGCGATCAAGTGGGTGTTTGTGTTTGTGACAGCGTTGAATCTGTTGTATTTGGCCGTTTGTTGGCCGGTTGAGGAGTATGAGTTGTCGGATAAGCCTGCTACTTGGGCTGAGAGAGATGATGGGGAGGTGAGGAGGGAGGAGCAAGATACAAGACCAACCTCTACTGGTTCTGAAGCGTAGACATAGAAGCCAGTGCTTCTCACCATACATTGCAATGCTACGGATCAACCCACCATCTTGTGTCTGGATGTTGGTTGACAAGTTGCTTCGTACTGTTGCGGTCTGGGTGTTCGCAAGCTACTAGAAAATCATGGTTGAAAAAGAAGAGAAAATATCGACGGAAAAAAAGGCACCAAAAATCAACGCGGAAAGGGGAAGCGCTGGTCAGCAGACTCTGCCTGCAACATGCCCCGGATTTCTTTGCTTCTCTGCTGCGTATGTATGAATGATGAGCTCGGCGATCTTGGCGTTGCGCACTGTTCGTGGGCTTTGAGAGGCTCACAGACTCGCACAAGAAAGAGAAAGGCCGGTTTGATTGCCAGACGACTCTTCTTCTTTTGGGTTTTCGCATGTTTTCCGCTCTGTGCATCCGGCCTGTCTGTGTGCCTTTCCCTGCTTTTTGGGCTGAACACTCCCGAATGAAATCTCGACGCTTTTTGCTTTTGCCCCACACTCGCCTCGTCCTCATCCACCTTCTTCCTCCCTCACTTGCTCGCCATCGTCTCCCTGCAGCAAGGCTCAAGCCCTCTCTAAGAGCAAATCTCAGAGCAACTGCACGACCTATCTTCAGGCCTCAGTCTCATCGCCCCGGCATGTCATCTTCCGATCGAACCTAGCCAAATCCACCCTCACATCCCACCTACAACCCAACCGCAACCATGTACACCAACCAAACCCAATCTCCACCCTCCCAACCCAAACACGAACCTTCGGACTCTACGCCTACTAAACCCGACAGCTTAGACCCCGCAACCTCTTCCACCTCTAAATCCAAACCCCAGGAAGACAGGAAAACGGCAAAGAGGCCCAGAGAACAATATAGCTGTGTCGAATGTTTCCGTCGTAAACAAAAGTGCGATCGTCGATTTCCCTGTAACAATTGCATCAAACGGAGGCTGCCCGAACGATGTGTTCCTCCACCTAGTGTTAGAGGGGGTCCGGAGTCTCCTACTCCTTCCGATAGCGGGATGGTTTCGCATAGGCCTAGTGTCACGAGGACTACTTCGGAGGTGCAACTGACGGCTGGGGCGGGCGGGTTCAAGAGACAGAGGACCGAAGATGTGGATTCTTGCGACGAGAGGAAAATCGATCATCTTGCCCGCACCACTTCGAGGATTGCGAGGTTGGAGAGGATTTTGGCGTTGAATGATGCATCTTATCTCGAACAGCGTTTAGCATTGGCTGAAAAAGCGGTGAAATTGCGGCTGGGTGAGGAAGCGCGCGGTTCGACGAGGGATGCTGATGCGACGGGCGATGCTTATTCGAGAAGATCAAGCTATGTCCCTGAAGAAAACGAGGGTGTGGGGCATGCAGATGGGCATTTGGATGATAATGATGGCTTCCTGGGAACGTCGGCGTTGGAGGCTGTACCGTTGCAGTTGAAGAATGGTCTAGCAAAGGCCGGGGTTGCTGGGGATGTGGCTCCACAGGCATTGCTCAGCTACATCCATCCCAACCCTACAAGAAGAGGGTTTCCAATCCCCTCCGCAGATGTGCAAGCGATCAGAGCAACTCTACCCTCACGAGATCAGTGCGAGAGGTACTTTGACGCCTACTTCGCACATTACAACTGGGCGAGGCTGCCTCTGCACGAAGCAACGCTACGCGATCGATTCCGGCAATTCGTGGCGGGAGTACCCAGTCCGAGCGATGTTAGAATGGATGCGGAAACCCTCCCCTTCGTTGCTCTGGTGTTAGCGGTGATGACGCTGGGAAGTGTCCCACCGATCGTACAACCTCTTTCTTCTGCCACGTCACACGCCTTTTTCTGGGCAACGAAAAAGGCGTTGGTCTTGTGCGAAACGTTAGGTCTGGCAAGTCTGGATTCTTGCTGGGCCCACGGAGTACTCGTTAGGTATCTCGATGTCATCAGGGTCACAAGGGCAAGTTGGCACGAGATTGGAAGTTGGATTCGTGATGCACTCGATTTAGGGCTGCACAGAGATGGAAGCTCTTTTGGATTGCCCAAAGAACAAGTTGCGGCGAGAAGGATCCTCTGGAGTCATGTGATACATAATGATCGCGAATGGAGTATCATTTTGGGCAGGCCATTGACGATTACGTTTTACACTACCGAAATGCCGACACGGGAGGACCTGGAACCGTTGGGTTTCGCCTGTCAGACTTATTTGCTGGCGAGGAACAGGTTTACGGCGTGTTTGGAGAGCATTACGCATTGTTTCGAGGAGAGATCCCAGAGTAGAGGTCCATCAGGCAGGACGTCGAGAGCGTACTATAGAGTGTTGGAGGTGGAAGATATGATTGCTGAATTCGTCGATTCGCTTCCGCCCTACCTGGCGCCTAATTGGTCGAGTAGTGGCAAGAGTAAGACGGATACGAGTCTGGATCAGGACCATCCCTTGCTGCCATTCTATAGGTACTTGATTCTGGGAGAAGTGTGCTTCTACCGCTCGCTGCTGCACCGGCCTTACTTGTTGAGGCCTGCGTCGAACGGCAAGCATCCCTTCCCGGAATCGCGACGAGTATGCGTAGAGATGGCCCTGAACGATCTTCGGTTACGAAAAGAATACGCAAGGATACTCAGCAAGGAACAATTGGCACAGTCGTTCGGTGGAGCCTACGCCCTTTTCAACTCTGCGATCGTTGTCGGGATGTCGCTCTTAATTGGGTTCAGTTTAGGGGAGAGGATAGATACAGTGGATCTCAACGAAAGGATTGGATATTTGCAGAACTTTATTACTCAACTGAGGCGAAATTTCGATGCAGGCAATGTGGATGCTTCGGCGGAGAGAGAACAGATGGTGATCGAGGTGCTAGTCTCGAGACTCGAGCCATTCTTGCCGAGAGATTTAGCAAAGAGAAGCAAAGGAGAGTTGGCAGCGGCAAAGGGTAGTATGCGGGCAACAATCATGGCCGATCCTGCGGTAAGGAAGGCTGCTAGGGTGGAGCAGGAGAAACAGGCGGTGGATAGTTTGAGGATGTTAAGTAGTAGTTTACCTGGAACGCCCGTGATGTCGGGGAACAGCGCTATGATTCAGGGCATGGGTGCGGGGCTCGCTAGTCCTTCGAATATGGCAGGCGCTGGAGGATTCGATGCGCAAACACTCCCCCCAATGATGGCTGCTGCTGGAGGTGCGGGAGGTGGTGTAGCAGGCGGATCAACCAACCCAATCGACCCTTACGGCTGGTTACTGACTCCAACAGCACTAGAGAGTCCAGAAGCCGCCAAATCAAACTCAACCAGTACAAGTACCGCTCATACTCCTGTCAACATCCCTCCCGACTCAAACACCAACACCAACACAAACACTGGGAAAATGGGCGCCACTCCAACACCTCACAACCCGCCTGCTGCACCAGCTGCACCACTGCCACATGCACATTCTCTCAGCGGCAGGGGGCAATTTATGGCTGGTGCTTCTCCAAGCCAAATTGCAGGTGGAATGGCTAGGGTAAGTGGTACAGCGGGAGAAGGACAGATGTTTGATTGGGAAGGGATTTTACAAACAATTGGAAGTGGTTGGACGGGGGATGGGACGTTGGAGACTGGGATGGAAAGTTTGTTTGGTTGATCCAGTCCCACACATGAGAAAGTGTCGCTGTCATTGTTAGGATGAGAATGATAAGGGTTGTTTGGTAGCACAAGACGTAGGATTGAGTCGTGAGAGAAGTTTGATTGTGTTTGTGTAGTTGTTTGTTTGCAGGGTTGAGGAGGTCGTCGGTGTTGGAGGTCGTGTGACCGGATTTCGTCGGTGAGAGAATGAAGACCGGTGATTTCCAGAGCCAAAAACGCACGGGCCAGCGAGGCAACAGAAAGATACAGTAGAAAGTGCGAGGATTCGCGAGTGTGGAGTGGCTTTTCTGCGCTTACTCTCAAGGCTGGAGTCTGTCGGTCTTCGTCATCATCCTCTTGCCCTTCGCTTTCCTCTGCAACTACTTCTTCTCCTGATTTCTCCTTCTCTTCCTTCCACACCATCTCCACCCTCTCGCCCGCTATCCCTCATCCTTCGACCGTTCCACTCGGGCTAATTCGCAACAATGACAGCTTCAAAGGTTTCGGACCCAGTCCCACTAGTCACCTCTCTAGACTCGATCTATTCCCCTGCTGGACTCCTCAAAAACTCCTCTCGCTGGTCTTCACTCGCCTCCTCTTTCTCATCCGCCTTTAATGGCGAAGCGCCCGACTTTATCGCTCGTGCACCCGGACGAGTCAATCTCATTGGTGAACATATCGATTATGTCGGATTCTCTGTCTTCCCCGCTGCTATCGAAAAAGATATTCTTATGGCTACTAAAGTCCACTACTCCCCTTCCGCCTCTGATCAGGTCGAAGTGGTGCTTAAGAACACGACGAAAAGATTCGAGGCTACGACCTTCACCTCTTTCTATCACTCCCCTGACCAAGTGCAACTCTTGAACGAAGGGAACAAAAGATGGGCCAACTATTTCAAGGTCGCTTTCAAGGGTTTACACTCTCATCTACCCAAGGATGTGCTTGAGGAGGCAAATAAGAAGCGACCAGTGAAGATCGAAGTTCTGGTCGACGGAACAATTCCTCCTGAATCAAGCCTGAGTTCGTCTGCGGCAATGACGACGTGTTCGAGCATTGTCGTATTGCAAGCGTTCGGAGCACGGCAGTTGATCGATAGGAAGGAGATGGCAGAGGTAGCTATCGAATCCGAGCGTCTAGTTGGGGTCAATTCGGGTGGGATGGATCAGAGTGCATCGATTTTTAGTATTCCCCATCATGCTCTCTACATTTCCTTCTATCCGACACTTTCGGTGCAGCCGACAAGATTGCCGCCTAGTATGCCAGATCATACGTTTGTTATTGTCAACACTCTTGTTGTCTCCGACAAAAAGGCTACTGGTCCGGTCAACTACAACCTCCGTGTAGTGGAGACTAGGATGGCTGCTCGCGCACTTGCCAACTATCTGGATTTGAAAGCGGCAAAGGGGAAAGCATGTAAAGATCTGCGAGGCGTACTAGAGACTTATTTCCAAGAAAACGGTGGCAAGGCAAGGCTGCAGCTAGAGATGGAAAACAGTGCTGCTGTGAAGGAGACGTTCGAGAAGAGTGGAGAGGAGGCAGCGCGGATCAAAGTTGTTGAAGAAAAAGTCGACTCCCTTTATGCGACTCTGCAACACGCACTTCCTCGCAACGAAGTGGAAAAGCTTACCGGTTACTCGGGTGCAGAGTTCGAGGAGGAGTTCCTTTCGTCTTTCCCAATCCAAGCTGAAACCTTCGAGCTCTATAAGCGGTCTAAGCACGTCTTCACGGAATCCCTCCGCGTACTACAGTTCCAAGCACTTTGTAGAGCTCACCAATCGCCTTGCTCCCCCGAAGAAAACACCGAGGTGTACAAGCAACTAGGAGCGCTTATGGATGGATCGCAAGCGTCGTTGCGCGATCTTTACAATTGCAGCTGTGACGAGCTAAACGAGGTGGTTGATATTGCGAAGAGGAACGGAAGCTTGGGAAGCAGATTGACTGGCGCTGGTTGGGGTGGATGTACAGTTCATTTGGTTGCAAAACCAAAAGTGCAAGTTTTCATTTCGGCGATGAGAACGCAGTATTATGCGAAGAGATGGCCGGAATTGACAAAGGAACAGTTGGAAGATGCTTGTTTCGATACACAGCCTGCTGGTGGTGCTTGTGTTTATCAGGTGTAAGGTCAGAGGATGCGGTTTTAGCGACACTGCGATCAAGCAACGTTGGGATGTCTTGGTGCTGCATGCTTCTCAAACAAAAGATCGAGCAATGCCCTTCGTTGGTGACGAAGAGACTGTGACAGTGTGCGTGGGTGTGCATGGTTGCCAATCGTTGATCAGCGGTGCTCTTCCTCGGTCCGTGCAACGATGTTAGTCAGGTTATGAAGTCGTTGAGGCGCAGGTGTACTACTGGAGGCCGAGTGCTTGCTTGTCCAGGCTAGTTCGAGGGATTCCGAGTCACAAACACCACAATATTAAGACAAGCGAGGCGAGCTAAAGATGCTCGTTTTCCAACGTGGGCTATCCAGGTTCTTTCTTACGTTTTGAGAAAGTGGCGTAGGGCTGTCGACGAGAATCAGGAGCCATGGGTTCGGCTTCACGCTCGTCTGAATGGCATGAAAAGCAGGTGGGAAAAGAATGGTCAGGGTCCAGCGAACAACGTCGCCTTGTTATCATGCAGAAGCAGGGCCAGCATGGTCAGAAAGGCAAGGGGCGGTACAAGGATCGAAGCACTTGCGATCTAGAGAGCCGTTTCCGCTGCTATTGCTCGGAAAGGTGTATTAGCGTGCCGACGGAAGGCGAAGGGAAGGAGGGAATGGTATCATCAGCCTAGGAAAAGAAAAGGTGGCGCACCGAGCAAAAGCCTGCCGATCTTCGCTTGGCTTTTGACCTGTCATGCAGATATTAAAATCGTGACTGTATCGAGCAACTGTGTGACTCCTTTGCTGTCCGTGTTCTTGTTGTTCTACAGTAAACGGGAGGTATGTGCCGTCGGATTGATGGATTCGAGTTGAGTAGCGTGAACCAAGGTCAAGGTTGCCGATGAATGCAAATTGGACCGGGATGCTGAAATCGGCAACATCGGCCATCCGAACATCGAAAGGCATAGCACAGCACAGCACAGCACAGCCTCGTCGCTCGTCGCTCTCGTCGCCACGTCGCGAACAAAATCGTATGCACACCTGTGTCATAAAGAATGTAAGGCCAGGCAGGATGGCAGAGTGAGCACAATTTCATCCACCGATCGCGTTTGCCGAGGCGAGAAACACACAAACAAGACTCACCTACAAGCGCTCCTTTTGCTGACTCTCGCTCGTTTCACCTCAAAGCAAGCTCGGATGTAGCGTGGCGGCAACGCGCCGAGCAAGAGGAAACTTGAGAATGAGAGGGAGAGAAAAGGACTCTAATCCAGCTTCATGCGGAGGAAATTTATCCTCATCACGTCAGCGAGTTTAAACACCGCAAGGTGCTTCCAATTACAAGAGTCTCGGCTTCAAGACCTACCGAAGGATGGCTCGAAGACGGTGCGAAGATGCATTGACCCGCCCCGTTGACTCAGGCTTCATCAGTGCTGGCAATCGTGGAGCGGCGACGAAGAGGACTACAGAGTAAGCTTGTGCCCCCGCAAAGCTTGATTGGCTACAAGGGCTCGGCTCTGAGGTTGAGGGCGAGGGCGAGAGGGTCAGGCAATGCAATTGGCGAAAAGAGGGGGATGATGACAGGCATCGGTCGCTACGCTTTCGAATGTAGGTTAGTCGCTGTTCCCTGCTTTATTTGTCGCCTCTTGTCGCCAATTCCTGCAGACTGTTCAATGATGCCGACTCTAGAAACAGCGTGAAGGTGAGACTGGATCACGTCTGGGTTTGAAAGCTGCTGCATGCTGCATCTTCGAGAGGGATGCACGAAATGTCATACCTTCGGCCTCGTGCTTGCTGAAAAACGAATGAGATGGAGTTGCTCTGCGCGCGCAGTCGGACTATATTCCCACGTTGTTCTGACCCTCGACCTTGGTAAAGGCCGGCGTGCATCATGTGTCCGTTGCTTTGCCTCTTCTCTCTCCCCTCTCTCTCCTGCACAGAACAGAAACCTCGGCACCGATGTTTGATTGGTTTTGTTGCATGCCTTGACTGTGCATTCGCCCGCAGAAAGTGCATCTGCACGAGCAGTGTTGCGCTGCAACAGAAGTTTAAACCACCAGCAGCAGCGGCAGCAGCAGCAGCAGCAGCAGATCACAAGCCCGGATACACTTGTTCCGTTGGAGCCGCATGTCGGTGTTTCCCACGAGGGACTCACCTGCTTCATTGTGATTGCACATCAGTTTGGCAGTGCATGGTGGTAAGGTGAGCGGATTGCCAGGGAACACAGCTGTGCTCCTCGACCATGGTCAAGCTGAACGCAATGCTGGAATCACATGGTTGGGATACTGTGGACCATCAGCAGATGCCAGCAATCAAGCTGCACGATTCATGCCGCGGCATCGGACCCCTCGAGCACTTCGTTTCTCGCTCCTTCAGCGAGACATTTGCGACATTGACAACAATTGTCGTCACCGGTGTACTCGACGACTTCGGTATAGAATCTCAAGGTGCGGCGCGCCAGTCTATAGCTTGCACCGAGACAAGACAAACGGAGGCGGCAACGGCAATGGCGATAATGGCAGAAAGAGGAGGCGCGGTATGGAAGAGAAGGGGCGGCTGGGAGCGGTTCAGCTGGTAATCTTGGAGACACACACAGGAAGAAATGACTTCTGGGCGCGAAGCGGCGATTGCCAACCAAAATAATGTCTCGGATTTCTCGATAGGATTTCCCCTTCCTTTTGCCTACATCGGCGCTGATGAAAGTGCCTCCAATTGTCGTTCCTTGACCCTCTCTGTCATCTGACTCACCCACAAGTGATCACGGCCTCGGACCTAGCGGAATCATAGACCTGAAGAATAGATAGCCAACGGCAAGGCTGAAGGTGATTTACCGGAGAGAAAGCCACCGACGCCATCTTTTATTCGCCTTCGCCTTCGCTTTCCACTTCATCTCCGTCACAGGGTTCGAGCTCAGTCACTGAATGAAATCAAAAACCTCGGGTTAGACAAAGAGCACCACTCACCACTCTCACTAGCAGCGCGGTTCTGTTTGTGTAGTGTCTTTCGTGAAACGTATGAGTGGCGGCAACACCTAGCCGAGTGCAGACTAAGGGTGGTCGACGACGCTATCTCTGCTTAGCCTGCTGGAAAATCGCGCCTTAGACTGGATCTTGCAGTGCTTAGCGTATCCAGGGAAGTTCTTGGCTCCCAGCGGCAATGGCGTTGGCGCCTGCCGCTCCATGTCTCGTTGTTTTTCTTAGCAGCCGTGGTTGAATGGAGCGAGGTTATACAAAGAAGATGCCGATCCTACTCGTCCCATCAGACCCACCATTGCAACCCAACAAAAAACTAGGTTATCGTGTTGGCGACGCTGGCGGCACCATGTAAAACATTCATGTCCCACTCCCGCTCCCTGCCCCACTCACATCATCTCATTGCAACCATGGCAACCATTGCAACCGCCAGATGGAACTGTGTACTGTAAACTCACTGCTTGTTCTCCTTACTGTACAGATCCATACAGCCCACCACTATCGGCTCCGTGTTACAATCGCGTTGCAAACAAGAGCCGGGATTGCATTGCAGCCATACAATGGTCGCACGATCCCATCTGTTGGCGCATCAATAAAGCTCTTTCTCCGTTTATAAATACAAGAATCAGGGCTTAAATTGCATATCCGTTCAATCCAATCCTCTTTCTCATGGATTCCTGGCAATGCAAAGCCGCTTGGCTTCATTGTCTACACTGCATTGTTCGCCCATCTTTCTCCCATTCGGATCTGATTGGACCTATTCTTAGAAGTTTGCGATGAGGGTGGGAGCTTTCGATCTGGTCGGCCATATTGACAAGTGGGTTCTGTCATTTCAACATCGTGTATGGTATTGTAGCTCAGAGTCGACCCTCTGAGACGGAAGGTTGATGAAGCAAGGCCAGAGACAAGGACACGAGGAGGTAGGCGAGCAGAGTCTCGGAGGTCTAATTGGCCGTCGTGATTTAACCCAGCCAAGATAAATTGTAAACAGCAAACAAAGCAAATGAATGACGACGCGCGTTTACAGGCGGACTTGGAAATTCGAGTCCCTGCTGCGGGAACTTTCTTTATTATTATTGTTTTTATTGAAAAAGGAAAAAGGAAAAAGAAAAAGAAAAAAAGAAAAAAAAAAAAAAAAAAAAAAAAAAAAAAAGGAAAAAAAAATTCAATAATAATAATAATAATAATAAAGAAATAAAGAAAAAATGAAACACAAGAAATTCGCCTTGTGTTTCGCCTCGTCGTCTCGACCCAACTTCCAATTCGCCTTTTGTCTGAGTTGCGCCCGCCGCCAGCCAGCCAACACCAGCCGCCTGCTTTTAACTCACACTCCTATCTTGGTTTCTCATGCTCCATGCTCCATGCTGTTGCTGCTGGTGTAACCGCCCACCGCTGTCTCTATTCTCTTTGGGTGTGTGTTCCTGTGCCCTAGACTAGAATTCATAGCCGAGCGGAGATCCTTTTCCCTCAACACCCTTTTCTTCCCCTTCGCTCTTCGCTTGTGCTCCCTTGTTGATTGCACGCTGCAGTTACCATCCCCGTTGCCGTTACAGTGGCCCTTTGTGCCCATGCTGTTCTCTTGGCTTGCTTGCGTGTATCTTTCCCGTCTCTGTCAGCTTTGCCCTTCTTTCTTCTTACTTAATTTCCTTCTTTTCCGCCGCAATGCGCTCAGTTTTGGGAGTCTCACTCGCTCAATTTGGCCCAGATTTCGCCGTCTCCTTTCCCTTCGTGCCCAAGAGGGGGGGCGGTTGACCGTGACTATGACTGCTGCTGTACCGTTTGCTTGTGTTGCAGGGTCGAGTGTATGTGCATGTGTGAGTCTGCGTATGTTTGTAACTCTAGTCATTTTGGCCTGTTTCTGAGACGCATCGCCCACGCCCAACCCCCTCCCTCGTTGGTCCCGTCTCTCTCTTCCTCTCTCTTTATTCTTTCTCCTATCATATTCGATTCCCTGTCCCACATCCCCTAAATGAGACCAGACCAAGCCAAAGCGAAGATCGAACCCGACGTCAATCATACCCTCTCGAATGCATGAGCGCTTCTGTAGCTGGCTGCCTGACTCGCCGGGCTTTGTTCGGGCACTCTTTGACCGAGATCTCAGACACTCCTTTGCCTCATTGTTCCTCTTCCCTTGTTGCTCCCATCTTTGCGTCTGCTGCTGCTGAGCCTTTTCGGACCGAAACACCGCCTTCCTCCCATCCTCGCTTGCGTGGCCACAAACAAACCCGGCTTCTAATTCCATGCATCACGCTGCACTCTTGCTGCGCAGTCTCATTCTCCTCTTCTTCCTCCCGCTCCCTGTCGTCCTTCTTCGCCTTACCCTCCTCTTCCTCCTTCTTCGGCTCGTCTTTGCCTCAGCCTTCATTTGCCTTTGCAGACTTTGCCACTTTTGAGCTCTTCCACTTGTCCAGCCCTTCTGCATCTTTAGACTGCCCTCTGCATCTGCACCATACCAACCGCTGAGACCCGTTCCACCGGCCATTGCAAACAAAACGTCTAGACTTAAGTCTGTCGCTCATTCCTTGACTTGAATCGCTGCTTTGCTTTGCCTCGTCTAGCTGGTGGACTTGCTCGCTCGCTCGACTTCGACCTCTCCTTCGTCGTCGTTGCTCCCTCCTTCATCACCGCCCACCTCTTCACCTAGCCCACCTCTTCCGTCGCTAACCAACTCTGTCATCTTCATCATCCTTGCCTTTCTTCCCACCTCCATCATCATCTGTTTGACACAGCGTCGGCTACCGTTACATCAACTCTACTTTGAGCATTATCACACCTCTACCTGACACAGCAGTCAAGTCATTTTTCCTTCTCGACTCGAATAGACGCATCGCTTCAGCAGCCACCATCCGACTCAGCACATCTCTTCACCATCACAATCACCTTTCAGTCTTCTGTCATACGGCCTGGCCTGGCGTTGCCTGAACGCTTCAGCCCATTTCGCTCCTCATTCTCCCCAAGGTCGCGGCAGGCACCCCGCTCTCTGTCCGCATGGCCACCTCGGCGCGGCGCCAGCTCTTTCGGCGCTCCAAAGCGGGTTGCTGGAATTGTCGCTCCAAAAAGAAGAAATGCGACGAGCTTCGTCCTCATTGTACACGATGTATCCGTGCTGGCGAAAACTGTCGCTACCCAGATGCCAGTACAGAGTCGCTTTCTGAGTCCAACACCTCCATGTCAGTCAATGACTACGCCTCGCCCTCCAAGACATCTTCGGCTTCATTTCCCACCAGTCTGTCCAGCATGCATGCTGCACCCATGCTTTCACGGTCATCCTCCACGTCTGGCTATTCATCGCAGCCTCATCACCCTCGTCACGGCCCTAGCTCACATCATCCTTACCATCATCATCCCTATGCATCGCCATCTGGTCCAGGTCCTAGCCATGCACTACCGCCGCAACACCGAGACTACCACGCCCAGAGACCATCAGGCTACCAGCGTCATTCACCGCCGGCGCCTGTGCAAAATGGTTCTCATCATCCCTATCACCACGGGCCGCACAGCAACGCTCATGCCCAACTCCCTCAGCAGCAGTTCCCACCTCCTCCTCTGTCAGCGAGTGCAGCTGCAGACTGGGACCACACTTCGCAGCAGCATGTCTCCAAACGCACTCGTTACGATGAGTTCTCCTCCTCAGCCTCTTCGACTTCGTCCAACCCAGCGTATCAGGACGCTCGCGCACGTCAGCCATTTGATGCTCATCACAGGATCCCCTCCAACCAGAGCCAGACAAGCAGCAGGGGGAAGGCTCGTGTCACGCTTCCGTCCATCTCACCGCATCAGCCTAACTCTGTGGCCATAGCCGCCTCAGCTTCACTCCCGCCCATCCACACTGTATCACCGCCGCAGCATCGTCCCACCGCTTCCCCTGACCTTTCGACTCGTTCGGTCAACACGTCTCCGGACCATCATACGAGTCCTGTCTTTGCCAATGGTCGACACCAGGGTCCAGTGACAACAGCTAGTGCAGAGTCGGTCGCTCCTGATTCGCGCGTGTATCCACCTTCCCACGATGCAGCCAATGTCAACTCCCTGCCTCCTCTGGCTCGCGTTTCTGACTTGCAGTCTCACGCATCACCGAGTCCTTCGTCTCGCCTAACATCATCTTCGGGCGCTGCTTTGCCACGACAAAAGCTTGTTCTGGACTATTCTTCCGCCGAGCTCGACCCGGAGCAGCTCATGGACGGACTGCCATCGCTCTCGCTCTCGATTGTAACAGAGCAGACTAAGGGCGCAAAGGCCTACTTCAATCTGCTCCAAGGCATCGCACGCATGAGTCAAGGCCAAGCGATGGCGCATGCTTTGGCAGCCATGATTGCGACGCAGCGAGCCAACTTGTCCTCTGCTAACACGAGCAAGAAGACCGCAACAGGTAGCCCACAAGATGGAGTTGCGGCGGCCAAGGACGGCAGTTCGAGCAAGAATGCAGACGATGAAGCAACGGATCTGCTCGAGCTTGCCAACCGTCATCACTTGGCTTCTATCAAAGCCTTGCAGACTCAAGGGCAACCCAGCCGTCGTCGACGCTTTTCAGTCATCGAGTCGAGCTCGAGCACACCTACCGCTGAGCTTCCGATCGGCAGCAATGCAGCTGTTATGATGCTTCTCATTCTGGCATGCAGCTCTGTTGGCAAGTCGCTCATGCTGCCTTCGTACTTCAACCAGTGCGAGCAGTACCTTGCCGATGCCGTTGAGCACGTCTCTTCGCATCGACTCTTCCCTTCAGTGACCGGCGAGCCCACTGACGGCACTCCTGAAGAGCCACCCATGTTTATGCCCGAAAACCTCTCCAACTACGGTACGCTTCTCCTCCTGGGCACTGTGGTGGGTCTGTACGAGTGTTACCTCTCCCAGTACACTGCCATCACCGACTGGGATTACAATCCCGCTCGATTGCGTCGACTTCTGCCTTTTAACTGGAACGAGTCCGATGCTGCTATTTTTGATCAGACGCGAAACACTGTATCAGAGACGACGTACAGCGTTTCCATGGTCACCTTTGAGCTCGTCATCGAGACGCTCGACACGATGCGAAAGTTCAAGCAAGCCGAGGCTAACGCTTACGGCGACCGCAAGAGTAGTCGTCGTGAGGCAGAAGATGGCTCAGCAGCCCTCGACAGTCTTGCACATAGAGAAGAGCTTGGTCTGATCATCCGCGATCTGGAGGCCGGAACTTTCTGGAAGGGTGCCATTGCCATTCTCAGCGAGACTGAGCAGCTCCAGGTGCTCGACAGCATCGACGGCAAATTCTCACAAGACAAGGACGAAGACAAGAGCAGCAGGCAAATGCCTCCTCCACCAGCTCTCACGAATGGCGACACATCCAGCACCGCCATTCTCACGGCCTATAGGTCGGGTTCGCTCTTTGTTACTCCTCAGACTGGCAGCGAGGCAGACATCAAGCAACAACAGGTCAACCGACTCCGCCTTGGCAACCATCTTTACCGCAACGCCCTTCTCGTCGATCTGTACGTCACGGTCTTCAACCGTCCCGCTTCGAGCCAGAACATTCGCGATCTAGTATCTCGCAGCATCTCGCTCCTGGCCGCAGTACCGGACAAGTTGGAGTCGGGACTCATGTGGCCCGCCGTCGTGCTCGGCTCGTACGCGCAGAACGTATCTGAGCGCAACCAGGTTCGCCAATTCGTGCATCGAGCGCAGTGGAAAGGTACCTCAGGGCCAGCTTCGGCAGCAGATGTGCTTGAACGAGTTTGGAGTGAGGACGCAGAATCGTGGCGGGAAAGCGTCGCTTACTTTGGCAGCCCTTATTTTTCTTAGTCACCCGACGCTCATTCTTTTGACATACATAGACTTTTCATATATAGACTTTTCATAGATAGACTTCCTTATAGACTTTTCCATGCATACCCCTCAGATCCTTTTACTCGGGCTGCTAATGCTAATGCCTCTCCTAGATCCAAGCTTCGATCGCCAGCTATACGTTGACGGCGATGCAATGTATATGTACGCTAATCTGTACTCTTTTCCTGTAATCTAAACGCCCGCAATCTTTAGACACAAGCCAAACACATCATCGTGGTGCAGAATATGACTGGCATTACTGAAACGACAAGCATATCTATCCTGACAAAGACGATGGGCACATCTATCTAGACAGATCAAAGTCGAAACTCTAAGCAGAAGCTCCACCTAACCGCAATCCGCCTACTTGGCAGCAGCGCGGCCGAACAACTTGACACTCACCAAATGATCCGGCAGATGCTTCCCAACACGCCTCTTTACCGCTCCCACATCCTCCAATACTCTCCGCCACAATCTCGATCTAGCCAAAAGATTGTCGACTTCAGGTCTCCGACCATCCACCCTGTTCCTATTAACAAACTTGGAAGGCTCAGAGTGGATTCATGGTAGCAATCCACACCCTGCTGGCATCGGTGCGAAAAATGTCTGGAAAGCATGGTCGAATTCAGCATTCTCCGACCAATGACTAGCGCGCATAAGGGGCAACAGCCATCTGCATCATCTTAAGGAAAGAATCGTGCAAGCCGGTCTCGCTCATGTGATCCGCGCCGTCCTGACGTCGTTGTAAAATCAAGATCATAAAATTTGGAGAGAAACAAAGGTTCTGTCAGCTTTTGCCTGAGATTGAACTCCTTGAAGCCAAAGGAGTGATACTTACGTTGACGATATAGAAAGGAATGCTTTGAACGCCGTTCATCTCGGCTTGTTGCAGCTTATTACCTAGCTCGTACTCGAGATCATCCGACTCTAACCACTTCCTCGCCTCTTCCTCCGATCCAAAAAGTCCAAACTCTTTTGCTACAGCGGCAAGATACATATCATCCGACATATCCTTACTATTCGCATGGAAATCCTCATAGAGGATGTCCATCAAACGCACCTGCAACGTCTGTGTACATGCACCAGGATCCTCCTTCGCCAACGCCCCACTCTGCTCATCCATCTGACTCGCCTTCAACACCAACCTATGCGCATTCCAAGTCGCCCCAACTTTCCCTTGGCTCGTCCAGTCGAACTTGGGCATACCTAGCTCTTGGGCTGCTCTCGAGATCTTGACGTCGAACGCATCGAGGTTTCCGCCGAACTTGGATCCGTAGTAGAACTTCTTTGTCGGCGGTGAGTGTTTCTCGTATGGCGTGGTGTCGATCGCGTCGTAGTACTTGTATGGAGTATCGTAGCTGGATGCAGGTAGGCGAGGATCGAGGATGTAGGGTTCTATTTTGAGGACGGTGTTGACGTAGGGAGCGATTTGGGTTTTGTAGTCGTCCGAGGAGAGGAAAGCTTTCAGTCGACGTGATCCGACGAAACACCATGGGCAGATGACGTCGGTCACGATTTGGATTAGGAGCTCTGGTTTGGCCATGTTTACTTGCTGTGTCGTTGGCGTATGTGATGGTCGCAGGGTTGGTGTGAGTGGCTGAAGCTGCGGCTATACAACGTTGAACGATGTCCAGCTTGGGCCAAGCAGCAAATGCCGGGTGAAAGTGTGGAGGTGGGACATAGCCGCGCATCTGTAGATCATTTGCAGACCCATCCCGATGTGCAGCCGGGGCTGGTCTGTTAGACCTTGGCACGTTTGTCTTTATTGTAAAATAACGACTTTCACGCTTTTCATCTGGAAACCCTCACTGCCATGTGGTTTCTACGCGCAGCTGTTCCTGATGCAGATTCGACACTGCCACACCTTTTTTACCGCTCTCTGCAAGCATGACGTCCCTATGAACCCTTTGCTTGCTTTCGTGATTTGAGGGTGCCGATAGTTTTGCTAATTTGCGAGCGTGGTGACTCGAGTCGAGTTTGAACCTGTATGTGTCGCAGCATGATGTGGTATCAGACCTTTGCAAAGTCATTGCCGGTGCTGAGAGATCTTGGCAGGTCGTGATCTTTGAGTTGATAGCGTCAACCTTGCTCGACGCCGTGCTTGGCGCAATCTTGGTCACGTTCAAATTCTTGGCTTGATTGGGACTCGCTAACTTATTCGAAACACATTCTGAAGCTGCTCCATTCGGTATCGGAAGCAGTTCCGGACCGGACATCGTCTTCACACTTCATGGCAGCGAAATGTATCTGCATGGCCATTTACGAGCATTTACGGTGTGTCTCGAAAGCATATGTCGACCTTATGACCAATGGCATCTTGCGTTCCTGTTTCTCACGTCGTTTCACGCGACACCAGGACGGTGCGCTGGGTAAGGGACAGAGTTGAAAGCGCCGGTGGTTATGATCCATTGTACACCGGTCATGTGTCCTAGCGTATCATCGGAAGGCGACGGAGGCTGAAGGTAAAACAAGCCTGGTCCCATTTGGCGCCACTGCCCGAGTTTAGAGCAATGAGTGATTGTACGAGCGTCGGATCGGACTGGTGGGACCGTGTTAGGGTCAAAGTGAAAGCTCAGATGCCTGGCAAGTCCGAAGAAAGGAGGCAGAAGGGTTTGGATAGTGAAAGAAAGGTTGTCAGATACGAGTTCTTATCGTGCACGCAAGGGCCCCTAAACATGGCCTCTCGGCTGTGAAGCATGAAAAGCAGATAGGACCGTAAGTGAGATAGCAGCATGAATCTCTCCGGGTCAGCTGACTTCAAGACATGCTATCAACGACAAAATGTGGCTGACCACAACCGTAAGGTGTGATATCAAAGAAATCAATGGCGTGGGAATTCTCGACGCCGACATCAACGTTGACATCCTTTCAAGTCCCCTTTGTCGGTCTTTCCATTTCAAGTTGACGCAACGGGATCGGAAGTCGGTCCTTGCTTTAAGCATGTCCTCTTTCACAACCCTGCTTGAGCGATCATCAATTTGCTGTTCGCTGAGCATGTCAAGTTGCCTGAACCCGGAGAGTGACCTTCCGTGAAGACGCTTTGATGATTTGTCGGCGAGCATGCAAGATGAGGCCTGCTCGCCGGCGAATCTGACACAGCAGCCCACATCTTATGATGCAGAAAAAGCAGGAGTCGAGGATCGACAGGCTCAGATGGGAAATTTTAGACAAGCATCGAGAGTCAGACCCTTAGACAAGTTGAAGCTACCGCAGCGGGCTGCAGATCGATGCAATGACTGAAATGAAGTAACGAAAATCTTGCAAAATTCTCCGATTTTCGGGTACGGAGAATTTTCAGAGAGCTTTGCTTGACGTGCGGGTAACGATTTTCTGGCGAAATTCTGCTACAGTAGATCTGACGCTTTCACTCTATCACGACGGCTGATGACGATGCGAGTGTACTCAATGGCAACGCAGTCACGATAAAGCTCAACGAGCTCTAGAGGCTTCTAAACAATAGAAGAAAAGCCAAGCAAGATTCACGGTAGCGTTCCAAACAACTAGACGCGTGTCGCTTTGCCCAGATGGTCGGCAATTTTTGCGACAAAGAGTTGAAGATACGTCGAAATTTCCAGGGTTTACCCGGGATGTCGACAGGGCGAAGCTCGTGAAAGGATACGCCGCTTATTCACAAGCTTATTCAGACACGTGAAACGCATGAAGGCTGCTATGTCAACTGCTCAGGAGCTCTGCAGGAGAGACACTTGGCTCATCTAAGGCAGCTCAGCGTCCTCGAAGATGGTGTCAAAGGTCTATATACTCATGTTTATAGTCTCAGTTTTTTTTGGATTTTTTTTTTTTTTTTGAACATGATAAGCATTGTTATCGCTACACACCTGTGCGAAGGAGGGCCTGATCGTGGCCCCAACGAATCGGTGTCTATACCTTTAACTCAAAGATCGACGTCCGTGAAAGAGTTGACGCAAAAGAGTCTAGACGTGCTGTGCTGTACCGCGCGACCGTCGCTCAGGTTTCACACCACCGATCCTCGCAAAAAAAGGGTTCGAACACGTTGCAAACAAAGGTGCAGCTGTCCAAAAAAAATAAAATAATAATAATAATAATAATAATAATAATAAAATAAAAAACAGTGGTGACTGTGTTCTTATGCGAGCAGATGGCCCCTGTTTTTATCTCGGCAGAATGTGCTTTGTAAAAACGTTCCTATCCACAGACATGCCGAGTTCTGCTTGAACTCTGCCACAGCTGAGCCTCGCGTTCGGCTGAGCTCGTGACGTGTCCTACTTCACAGGGAGCTGAGCGTGATACCCGCCACTGGCGGATCACGAAGACCCCTACAATGAAGCCTACACGGGAACCGTGTTGGTCAAGGTTCCTGCTTGGTCCAGGGCCAAGGACTGTGCATGTTGCGAACAAAAAGGTCTTAGGAAATAATCCAAAGAGGATACCGGCAAATCTGATCCATGGAAGATACATTAGAAGCGCAAAGAAGAAAAGCTGCCGAGCTGAAAAATCTCCGAAGAATTCAGGGCGGCACCCCTTGCTTGCTTCACTGACGTTTCCTGCCTGCGATCTGCTCAGCGTTTATGACTCAGTGTCCTCAGCTTACACCATACCGAGATGTCGACACGTTCCCGGCTCCTCGGCGGGCGAGTCTGGTCAATAGGACCAAGCGTGAGAAACTTGGTATTTTGAGGATGTTACCCGACCCTCTCTATCGTTCCAGCAGTGATTGAACCAGGTTTTCGGTACCGCGGATTGCTAAAGAAAAGATGAAAGCGTCGAGGGTGGGAGTCGGACAATGCTCGGCGGTGGCAGTGTCTGAATGATTAGCCTCGGTGGGCTCTGCCAGAAACAGAATTGTTCGCGAATCTGAACATCTGAAATGGCAGACGGAAGAGAACAAGAATAGCTGAGCTGGTTTCACGGTACACCGATGATGGCCGACCAAAGATGGTTACTCATTCACCCCTGCATGTGAGCATCGCTAGAACAAAGCTTTGTGAGGGTCCGTGACATTGCTGACTCTTCATCGCTTTGCAGATAAGTCTCTTGACAGAGTTCTTCCTGTCAAGTTCTTCGGCTCCTTCTCGTTGCTTGTCATTCGTTGTCGCATTCCTGGGTGGAATTGCGCGGCGTGTTAGAGAGTTACTCATCGGCCTATGACAGTAGAGTGGGAACATCCGCTTCCCTTTGAGTACAGAAATGAACTGCAGTCACCCTTCTTCATTGTCACTGTGAATGTCATTGACAACACGGACCTCCGTTCTGCGTGCTATCATCGTATCATGGTGTCAGCTGCTCAATCCCGACCCTAACGACCGGCGCGCTCCGATACGCTTTTGCGTTGGCTGTCAAAGTGCAATCAAGTTCGCGTGTGAATGCCTCTCCTTCTCCTATCATACCCTCGTGGTGCAGAGTTGAGCAAGACCCTGTCAAGTCTTTGCAAGCGAAGAAGGTCCTTCTCAAATATAAGAGTCGGACAATATTTGACCCTGTTCCTTATCCTCCGGCCTTCACCTTCATCTTCACCATTCACGCTATCACCACCTTCTTCAGCCTTGACAAGTAGTCAAGCTAGCTGACACCCTTCTGGCACAAAGACCGTCTGGTATTGGCTTCCTTGTCTTATCACCAAACCATCACACCCTACGCCAAGCCTGGAATCCAGGCACAGCATCACCTCATCGTACTTCTTGGCTCTTGATTGTCATCAGCCTCACTTTGACCTTCCAAGAAAGCAGCTTCCGCTACGCCCGACACACTTAAAATCCGACGCTTTTTTTTTTTTTTTTTTTTTTTTCAACACGTAACGCCATTTCTCAGCAGCGTTTCATATCCGAAAAAGAAAAAAAGATCAAAGAAATAAATAAATAAAATCGGCAATCGGACCCTGCTTCGTCATAAGACAGCCCACCCGCAGCAAAATCTCCTCTGTCGATCTACGCCACGATACTTTTTTTTTTTTTGTTTTTTGTTTTTTTTTTTTTTTTTTTTTTTTTTCCCTGTCTCTACCGTTCCCATCATCCAATCCCGCTTTGGGTAAGAGAAGAGAGAAAGTAAAGCGTTACGCGCCTGTCTTCTGGATCGACCTTTCATTGTCCTTCCAGTAAGCGAGATTGCTCACCTGCATGTCTTTGCTACAGAGTAACTAGCTCAGCTCCTCTTCACGTCTTGTGACTGCAAGCTTTCCTTTTAGGATTCTAGCTCCGCTCTTTTACATCGAAACGGCGGTACTTTACCACCCATCCTCCACACTTGCAGCAGACGATCCGGTTCTCTGTATCCGGAGGCTCTTCTTTCCTCTCTCACACGCTGTTGCCGATCCAGCAGTAGGAAGCTTGCTCATCCATTCACAGTCAGCTTAGCTTTTGTTCTTTGGCACGTTGCCCCGCTGATCGTCTTTGTGCGACTTCGGTATATCAGGAGCTAGCCCTTCGTAACACAGTATGGTGTTTGAGCTTCCATCCATCCTGAAGCAATCTTCTTCTCCTCCACCTCCTACCTTTGAACGAGCACGCAAGTATCGTCCTCCTCCTACCTCCCATCACTCTTCCGTACAAGTCTTAGACGAAGAGTTTGGCAGTCCACGCACATCCACTCAGGTCAAGCTGGCGTACCTCGAATCTCACCCTAACTCGGACGCAGAGAGTGAGCACTCTAACCACCGCCTCGAAGAGCACCACGACGCATCCTCAAGCATCGCGCCGACTCCATCTCTCGTCCGTTCTTCCATCGGCTCTCCTCCCATCTCGCCTGCAAGAGCCTCTGCCGAAGCCGACAAGCAAGCCCCCAACAGCCGACTCACTATGACTGACGTTCGCACTTCCACTGATCGTCCTCGTCCAAAGCACGGTCACGGCACCGCTGCTGAGCAGGGTGCTGCTCTCCGTGCTGCCGCTGATCGCCAAGTAGGCCGAGCTTCTCATTATGATGACGGGCACACACGTACTGTCAAAAGCTCCCGTCGTTCGTCTCGCCGTTTGGTCGATAGCCCTTGTGACTCGCCTCGCACTTCCAAACGCTACAGCCGCCATCAAGGCGACGAGCAGTTCAACGAGAAGCGACAAGTCGGCTCTGCCGCTGCTCAGGGTGCTGCTTTCCGTAGAGGTGAAGATGCTCCTCTGCCTTCTGCTGAGCAGACTAGAGAGGCACGAGAACGTCACTTGCGTGCAGCATACGGCCAAATACCCAAGCTCGGCAAGGGTTCCCCCGTCAAGCCATCCACAGGTATCGACAACCTCGCGTTGTTGATGGAAGACGACTCGTACACCACCTCGTGCTTCTCCATCTACATGTTCAAGTCCGAACTTGACCTCGAGACCGTCGAGAACTTCTTCGAGGTGCTTGCCCAGACGTACCCCAAGTACCGCTACGTTGTCGACCTTGACCCCAAGCTGTCAAAGAAGTTGGAGAAACAGACGCTCCGTCGTCAGCCTGGCACATCGTCTCCTCCTGGCGAGTTCGATGCCGGTCGCCGCACCCGCTATGGCAAGGGCCTGAAGGCTGGTTCCCTCTTCTCCCCCGCCCGATGGCGTTACGTCCCTGATTTTGACATCAAGGAAAACATTGAGCATGTTGCCCAGTGTCCCGATGGCGGAGATGACGCCGCCCTCAACAAGCTGGCTGGTCATTTCCTCGGTCGTCATTACGACTACTCCAAGCCTATCTGGGAAGCCTTGGTGGTCAACCGACTCAACACCTCGGATGGTGGTCGCAGCGCACTGATGATCAAGATTCACCACTGCTTCTCCGACGGTCAAGGAATGATCCAGAGCTATCACGCCGCTCTTGGTGCATTGGAGCAGGGTGTCGGTATCCGTGACATCCAGAAGAAGGTCGACTCCAACACCTCGCAAAACAAGCGTCCTGGTCAGCGAGAGGCCAAGCCCACTGCTTGGGGCACCGTTCAGCACGGCTTCCATTTGGTTCGTGGTCTCTACTTCCGCAAGCGCAAGTCCTTCCTCTATCAAGAGAAGCGTTCACGTGCTGCTGGTAGGCTCTACTGTCACAGCAAGGGTATTGACATGGACGACATCAAGATGATCCGCAAGGTCTACGGCACTGAGAAGCTCAACCTCACTCTCAACGACGTCGCCTTGGCCATTCTCGCACGTGCTCTTCGTATCGCATCGGAGCGTGTTGATCCCAGCAGAAGGCACAAGGACAAGCGTGTTGCCATTTTTGTCCCTATCTCGGTACGTCCTAAGGGCGACTGGTCTCTCAGCAATGCCACTACCGGTTCGATCGCCTGGCTTCGCTTCGAGAAGGAAGAGCAACCCGACTTCGAGGCTCAGCTGGCTCAAGTTCATCGCGAGATGGGTCGAATCAAGAAATCGTACGGTCCCAAGCTTCTCTACGACACCTTCAACGCCTTCTGCAAGCGACGCATCACCTACCTGCCCAACTACCCTTTGCTGCGACAGTTCTACTACCGCGCCTTCCGCGAGTACCACGTTGCCACTAACGTTCCTGGTCCTCCCAAGCCAGTCAAATTTGGCGATCACGAAGCATACAGCTACCACGTGCTGCCACCTTCGAGTCCAGGCAAGTCGACCATGGCTATTGGTATGATCTCGTACGCCAATGACTTCTCGCTCGCCGTTTCATGCGACGATGTGCCCGAGTTCAAACACTTGGCTGAAGAGATTTGCAAAGCCTTCCAGGATGCTGCTGAGCAGATCATCGAAGCTGCCAACCAGAAGATGACCAGCAGCAAGGAGGCTGGCGCGACTCGATGAAGCCGAGGCTGTTCCGTCGACGACCCAGCCCGCTCCGCTCACCTCTCCGAAAAGACAGGTCGAGGTAGGAATGTGGCTGAGGTCGAAGGGAGGAAGAACAGCTCAGTAATCGGCAAATCCTCCAGAGATGTTCTTGCCTCAACAATCCCCTCGTTGCCGTCGGTCGAGTTGATGGCAACCAACTCGGAGAATGAGATGGAGGAGACTAGGGTGGCAAGCTTGAGTTCCTCACCGTCTCGACACTCAAGCTCGCTGCCCAGGCCCATAGGACGCCGAATTAGCACGTTCTTTGCACGCGCTTTCCGACACAAGGAGACTGCACATGTTTCAGAAGAAGGCGATGATGCTGTTACGCCGGAGACCGATCTTAGCATCGGTGAGAGCGATTCAACCCTGGATAGTCGGCACCCCTCTCCATGGACGTCTACTTCGGCGACACCGCTCTCGACGCCTGGCACCTCTATCGCACATGGTGATCTCAGGTCAGACCCGCCTTGTGCTTCTCGACCAAATGAGAAGAAGCGACTTTCTTGGTTCGGCTCGACACCAGCTTTGCAGTGGACCTCATATCGGGCGCCCGTCTCCGGTGATGGCCCGTCACCGCCGCCCACTCGCGTCTTACGCAACAAGCCACCTCTTCATCCTCGCTCCAGCTCTTGGTCCTCTTCATCAGGCAGCTCTGCCATTCGGTGCTCCCTCGAGCACGTTTCCAAGACAGCCTCGTCGAGAGGAGCAATTGAGCAAGCGCCTCAACAAGGTATTTCGGCGCTGGTCCCGAACGCTCAATTCCTGGGGCTCATGCTGCTCGTGATCCTACTCATCTCTTCACCACTCATCAAGGTCCTCTCCGTCTTGCTCTTTATCGTCGTGGTTTCGCTCGATGATTCTTGATCAAATACTTTGTATACCCATCGCTTTATCTCTTTCTTTATAAATTACATACAATCCTTCACTCGTTCAGATAGTGTGTGTGTAATGGATTCGCTGTTCCTGCAATCACAATCGATCATCACTTCTCAGTACATGTTTTCGTGATGCTGACTTTAGACAGTGGCCAAGAGCCGAGATGCAGAGGGTGGAGCGGTATGGGAAGCGAAAGTTGAGGAGAACCTTCTTCCATCATGTTCAGACATTTTAGCGCAATCGTGTTACCTTCTCTTCGCACAGGTCGCGCGCTAAATGAGCGGTACGCGAGTCCAACGCTTTCCATAAAGTCCGAATGCTAAGCTACCACCTTATAGATCATCGCCATCTTGGTCTTGAGGCGTCAATTCTATATTGGCACTTTGTCGAGGACCTGCGGTTGGAATGCCTGCAGGACAGCTGTCACTCTTGTTCCTCCCGCGTGCAGCAGCTGCTGCAAGGTCGATCGCTTCGCCTGCTTCTCGGACCCGTTTCCTTTGGCTCCCCTGGACGTGTAATGGGTTGTTGATGAAGTGGGTTAATGATCGAACCTCGCGCTCGGATGACTTCTGACCCAATCTAGTCCCATGAACATGATACGAGATCCGCGCTTCATTAATGGGGTCAGTCAACGGTGCTACGCCGAGGCTCGACATTCGTATCACAGATGAAACAAGGTAGGATTTGAACTTCATGCAAGCCATGTCAGCCAGAAAGAGGGACCCGACGGTCGGTAAGTGCTTCGCAAGTGGCTAAGCTTTGCGGTCGATGCCGCTCCGCCCCTCTTTAGACGAGGCTAAACACGCAGGTGCCTGTTCAAGACTCATTTGGTCCTACCGCTTGTGGGGCTATGGCGTGGAAGCCCCTGGGCTACTTTTGCAGCCTCATCCGTAGATGTAATCGAGTGGTGTCGACTCGTGAGAGAACGGCAGCAGCTTGTGTGTTGGCTTCCTCCTCTCTCCTATGAGCTCACAGCGATCTCATCTACCCTTCCCCCCCATCACCTGATCATTATATAGTCCCCATCCTCCCTGCTTCATTTCACTCTTTAGAAACCGTCACACCTTCATACATTGCGTAGATCTTACTTCACCGGCATTCAGCCGAGCACCTCACCCAACGATGCTCGCCAAAAGCTTTGTCGGACTCCTCCTCGCCCTTCTCACCGTCCACTCCAACGCAGTGACCATCCAAAAACCAGGCCTCACCCAGTCCGCCACCTCCAAACAGCGCGCAGATGAGATCAAAGCAGCATACCGTACCTCCTATTCCGCCTACCTCAAATATGCCTCTAATCACGACGCCCTTCTCCCCCTAACCAACGGTTTCGCCGACCCCTTCGGCGGCTGGGGAGCAAGCGTAGTGGATTCACTCAGCACATCTTTCCTCATGGGTCACACGGATCTCTACAATGCCGGTGTCGAGTTTTCTAAAAAGATCGATTTCACCAAGACTTCATCCAAAACCATCTCTCTCTTCGAGACTAACATTCGATATCTTGCTGGACTCATCTCTGCTTATGAGCTGGGTGGGAAGGAGGAGCAGAAGCTGATTGATCAGGCGAAGGTTGTTGGTGATCATTTGGTGACGGGTTGGTTAGGTGAGAACCCATTGCCGTGTAATAAACTGAAGTGGAACAAGTTTACGCCTCCGGATGCTTGTACTAAGTCGGGTATAGCTGAAACGGGAACGCTGATTTTGGAGATGGATAGGTTGTCCAAGTATACCGGTGATCCTACATACTTGAAGCTGGCAAAGAAGACTATGAAGACGATCGCAGAGTCAAAGGGCGTGTTTCCGGGGTTGTTCGCTCAGGTGTATAACCCGGTTACGGGTCAACCTACGGATGATTATGTGACTTGGGGAGGTGGAAGTGATAGCTTCTTTGAGTATCTGATCAAGTATGCGTATCTGATTGGTGATGATAAGGATGTTTGGATTCCAACTTGGGTGAATTCTGTTGCGAGCTCGATCGAGTATCTGGTTGAACATCCCGAACAGACGAAGGAAGGGAAGTTGACTTATTTGACCGACTACTCTGAAACGAGAGGTGGCAATCTTCCGCGATGGTCCCACTTGGGCTGTTTCGCAGGCGGAAACTGGATCCTTGGCGCAAAGATGATCGGGCAGCCCACATTCGACAAGTACGGTCAATCCCTAACCGCAGCTTGCGCCAATACCTACTCTTCTTCCCCCTCAGGCATTGGTCCTGAAAGCTTCGTCTTCATCGGCCAAGGAAACAACACCAACAGAATCACCATCAACAATGCCCCCTTCTACCGCGAACACGGATTCGATTTCGAGATAACTGAATACGTCCTCCGTCCTGAAGTGATGGAGTCAGTGTTCTACGCCTACCGCACCACCGGTGATGCAAAATGGCAAGAGATAGCCTGGAATGCTTGGCAATCGATCTATCGAAATTGTTTGGCGAAGCAAAATGGTGCACTGGCTGCCTTGGCCAATGTCAACTCGACGAATCCGACCCAGCTGGATGATTCGGAATCGTTCTTGTATGCGGAAACGTTCAAGTATCTATATCTGATCTTTGCTGATCCGGAGACAGCGAATTTGGATAGGTACGTGTTCAACACAGAGGCACATCCGTTTTTGGTGGATAATCCGGAAAAGAAGAGTTATGCTGCGCCGAACGTGCAGGTGAAGGAGCCAGCGAAGAAGCAGGGTGGTATGGATAAGAAGGAAAACTGAACCGGTGGTGGGGGAGGAAGGATGTGCCGGTTCCGATGTTTAGTAGTTTGCCCGGGTTGAAGTTGCCCTCTGGAGGAGGGGGAATACGTGGAGGAATATGATGGGCTTGTTGGGGAAGAGGAGTGCGAGTGAGGTTAGGAGACATGCGAATGGGAAGAGGAGACAGATCGTTGAGGGGGGTAATTAGAGGATAGCGGGGTGTTGGTGGTAGGGTTTCGGTTTGCTTTAAATGCTTTCTGCTTCTTGATGTTTTAATCTTACGCTCTGTTCGGCTTTCATCACGCTTGGTACAGCAAAGACTGAATGTTTGTCGATTGCATTCCCTTTACTATATATCCTACTTGAGTGTTGTTCACGCTGAGAAAGGTGACGCCAACCCATAAAGCGAATCCAACACGCTCTGTAACCCACTCCTTCCCTTCCCAGCATTGTCTCTAAACCTGTTATACGACCACTCTTCCACCTTTCTCGCCGCTCCTGACAATATCCCTGTAAATCCGGTACAACTAATATCGGCAACCTGATTGAGCATGGTCCCTTCCCCCAAACCTCGGCGATTCTCTTTCGGTGTATATGTGATGTACTCTTTAACCAGCATGTATTGGGAGAGCGACAAGTTCGTACTTGTCATCTGGAACTGTTTTGTCCAAGGGTTGACCATGACTATCTCTCGAACATACGTGTCTTCGCTTGCGCCGACGAGACGGACGAGCCAACCGGGAGCGCCTTGACGAACACCGATGATCCGTTCTGTGCGAAGTTGGCCGGAGTTGGGATCGAAGGATTGGTCGAGTACGTCGACTGAGACGACGTGGTCTGCGTGTGGGTTTGGGTATTTGTTCCAGACGGCTGTCAGTGCACAGAAGGAGGGGTCAGGAGGATGATGTCCGCGAGGTGTAGCGATGGAGAAGAGGTGGAAGGCGCAGGGGACTTACCATTGGCAGTCTGATGCCATGGATAGGCAAATTCCTGTTCCTGGAAGAAGGTCTGTGGCATCTTGTATGACCGTCGACTGATGCAGAGGAAAGATGAAGCACTCGTGGGTATGATTTGATGGTGATCAGGTGGAAGAAATGCTTGTGACAGGATGTTGGTGGTGCGTGCGTTTTCAAGAAGAGCTGAGTGAGCTTTGGCCTCCGCCAAGTGTTGTGTTGTGTTGCGTGTGTGTGTGGGTGTCTAACTTTTTTCCTGGGCGTTGAAAGCCTCGATATGTGGAGAGAAGCATCGGGAATCGGGGTATGATCTCTATTGAAATACCAGTCATAAGCAGCTGCATGATTTAGATACACATCTGCGGCCATAGAACCTTGAAAGCACCGCATCCCGTCCGATCTGCGAAGTTAAGCAAGGTATCGCCTAGTCAGTACTGCGGTGGGGGACCACGCGGGAATCCTAGGTGCTGCAGTTATAATCTTATTTTTTTCGATTTTCGATTTTCAATTGTTGGAAATTCATCCGAGTTGACGGTTTCAAGCCAAATTTCGAAGATTCTCTCCTCTCCCACTCGGAGGGACCGGCTATCTTTTTTTTTTTTTTTTTTTTAATTGCGTGGAAAAGACACCCATTACAGTTCTGCCGAGCTCAACACCGACACGTTCGATTGCATGAGGGGAAGGAAGCGCAGCACTTCTTGCTTCTTGGCCGTCATCAACACCATACGTCCTATCAACTTGGGCATCCTGAACACCAATCCTGCTCCATCTTTCTCTCATCGGCATCGAATAGAAACACGATGCGTGCATCATCCTCGGTAGCTGCTGGCTCGGCCAGGCTCATCGCCTCTACCTCGCCAAGTGCTCGTCTCGCATCGGCATCACCACTGCGTCTGACCTCCTCTCCAACCCTATTCACATCACGAGCAACAGTTGCATCGCCAACAATAACAGCCTCGACAGGCTTTTCAGCACGTCGACCTCTTACAACGACCCCAGCACCGAAAGCAGCTGGCATCAACCTAGTCAAAGCCACCATCGCCCTCTCCCTCGTCGGTGTCACGTCTTATCTTTTCGGTTCCATGTATCCACCACAAATTGTCAAACTTATTTTCAAACCTCCCTCCCCACCACGTTTGAAAAGCGATGGACCAGAAGCAGAAGCTTACACTCGAGCGATCGAAGACGCACTTCACTCCCTGCCCATCATTCAACCCCTCAAATCAACCTCGGTAGCTCACGGATCGGCAGCAGAACTCGAAGTTCTCCGATCCCAAGGTAAATCCATCACAGACCTCGATCCTTCCACCACCGTCCAAGTCCCCGCTCACGGCCGTATCCCAGGCGCTAACGTCGCTGTCTCTGGTCCACCCGTGGAAGGAGGCGCTGCAGACACACACCAATACATCATGACTCGTCCTTACCTCAAATACAGTCGGGAGAAAGCTCAGCATAACCTCACCGCTGGGTCGTTGCGTGGGCCTGGCATGCTCGCCATCCCACCTCTTGTGTTCACCAAAACCGGCAAAGGCGCACGCGAGCTGGGTGGTGCGGAAGGCGACTCCACTATTGTTACTCACCTGGGTCCAAGTGTGTGTGGACATGATGGGATCGTGCACGGTGGAATGCTAGCAACAATATGCGATGAAGCTTTGGCTCGAACTGCAATGTACAATCTGCCAGGCAAGGTCGGAGTTACAGCCAGACTAGAGATCGACTATCGCAAGCCTACAATGGCGGATCAATTTATCGTAGTGCAGACAGAGTTGGTGGAGCAGAAGGGCAGGAAAGCGACGGTGAAGGGGACGGTAAGGGATGTTGAAGGGCAGTTGCTGTTGCAATGCAGGGCTATCTTTGTCGAGCCGAAGTACGCGAAATACTTCTTGGACGCAAAGGCGATAAAGCAGGATATTGAAGGATAGAGAGGTTCAACCATGTACCAACACACACATATCACGCATCATCATAGACAATAGACACTTTATCAAAGCTCTATATTACTTCTAGCCCTTTCTCTGAGATGGATGAGTCATAGACGACCCCAAATACCAAAGGCATTCGCCAACCCGTGATGTTCGACCACCAGATCCAACTTTTCCAACGCCGGTTCACCATACATTTTGCTTGCTTCATCTGCGATGCTATCCCCCGTACACAGCAAGAATCTTGCATCTTTCTTTGCTAGAAGCTTTGCTGTGGTTGCGACTTTGGACTGCGTGCCGACGTTCAAAAATGGTGGGTCGGAAACCAGTACATCGAACGTCCCGAGCAATTCTTGCGGGACGGTTTCGGGCTCGTGAAGATTGTAGTAGACGAAACTTGTCTTGCTGAGAGCATGGAATCGTTTATCCACCTCGAAAACGAATGCTTGAGATTTAAGCGAAGGAAATCGGTGAACGAATCCTACCCATGCCGTGGGGCAACACAGAAAAGCTACTCTTGCGTCTCCAAATGCTGCTTTTACCGCATCTTGCTCCCTCGGTATGGAAGTGGAAGAAGGCGAAACCAGCTTAAAGATGAGCTCTGAAAGCTCACGAACGAACTTTGCAGAATACCAAAACTGTGACAGCTGCCAACTTTCACCAAAAGTCTTCCTAAACGTATCCACATCCAAATCCTTCCCTGCTTCCCCTTCCTCCCCTTCTCCTTCGTCTGAACCAGCTTCACTTCCCACCTCCAACCTCGAACTCAACGTCGACAACATAGAATCCGCACTGTCCGACACAACCCCATTCAACCTCTCCAAATCCGCAATTGCTTCGATCTCAGCTAACAATGCAGCTTCCGCCTTTGCTACCTGCGCAGCTTCTTCTTCGGATGTGAGCTTTTTGCTGGCTTGTTCCGTTCGTTTTTCCGATTTGGACTTCTTTCTGGATTTGCGAGAGGAAGATTGGGCAAATTTGAGCAGGGAAGCTTCTTCAGCGGCTTTTTCCGCTCGGAACTTGTCGAGAGCGGCAAGAGCGGATTTGTCCAGGTCGTATTGTTCCGATGCTTCCTCCGAGTTCGAGGCGAGGGTTGTGTCGGTCATCGTGAGGTGTGTGTGTAGGGTGGTGAGGTTAGGGATGGTGGGAGCTGGAAGAAATTTAGAGCGTTTTCGGATCTCGGAGACGAAGTTTGGAAAGTTTCAAAATTTGTTCCTGAACCCTCCACATGCACTCTCCCTCCCTCCTCCTACACACAGGTCGAGTCCCACGCAAAGCAGACACTGTTGGCACAGTCAATGGAGCAAAGAGGTGTATACATCATTGTAGCTATGCTCCTCCAGACACTGTTCAATCAAGGATCTTCCAATAAACAACAGTCGAAACAGTTCCAGCCTTGATGCTCTCTTCCATGGTCAAATTCTTCTTTGTCTTGCCCTTTCCAGTCTGAGCCAAAACTGTCGCTGGTGCCGTGGTCATCTGATCTTTCGACGAGTCTGTAGGTGGCAGGTGGGTATTGGCCTTAGTCTTTGATGCGAGCTGTAATCGGTTATGAGGCATGTGCGTTAGGGCGCCCGAGTTGATATCCGCCTCTCGCAACTTTGGGTCGGCGGTTGGCAGGGACGCCTGAGGCATAGCGGCTGCCTTAGCAGCCGACACAACAATTCCATCCTGTTCCGAGAGAATGTTCCCGCCCTCAACGGTCGTCAATGCGGGGAGCGGCTTAAGATGCTGAGGAACAGCCAGGTTGGATCGTTTGCTCAGACCGAGTTGGAAACCTGCATTGGCACCCCAAACCATCACATCGCGACCGAAAGCCAAGTGATCTGCCGACTCGACAGTATCGAGCACAAGCGCAACATGGCCTGGCTTGCCAATACTGATACTGTGAATAGGAACAGGATGCGTCTTACCCGTAGCTTCCGAAAACTCCATCAACCCCGACACAGTCTTAACTCGCGAAGGCTTAGAAACGACCTGACTCCACATCGCATTCCCAATCGAACCCCACTGACCCTTACCAGAAGCCAAAAGATCGATCTTCATCCCGTTCTGCTCACGACGAGTCGTCATAAAGAACGAGTTATCCGCACCAGCAGCAATCGAGCTCGCTCGCACATCCATCGAACTGTTGGCGAATGACCTACTCAGCACCACCTCAGTGGGAACAGGGACACATTCCATGCTGAAGTTGGTGCCAAGACCGCATTGGCCGTGCGTGTGCCGGCCCCATGCAAGCACACGTCCATCGTGAGTGCGGGCTAGAGAGTGCTCGCTACCAGCAGCGATTTGGACAATGTTGAGGTTGCGGAGCGCAGGGATCTCGTGAAGGGTAGTGCACCATCGGATACTTCCAATGGGTTCGGTAAGAGGTTTGGGAGGGGGAGCTTGGTCAGTGTTGGTTTCGAAGGCGGGTTCTGAGCTAGCCTTTGGCTTGGAGGTGCGGTCGGTCTCGGTGGATGGAGCAGGGAGCCAGCCAGAGGGAACGAGCGTAGAAACGGGTCGACCACCGTGGTTTGCCTCAAGCTCGGCAAAGACACAAGGTTCGAGTAGAGTCTCGACATGACCTGCTTTGCTGTCGGGGGTCTTGGGTGCATTGAGCCAGACACGACGGGTACCGAGCTGGCCAAATGTGTTGCCCTCATCGCCGATGGGCGTTGCGAATGTTCGACCCTTGTTGGTCACAGTGATAAGGTGGTGGCTTCCAGCAACGAGGTCTTGCACCTTCTCAGTGCTGCCCCAGTGTGCAGAAGGAGCGGGGTGAAGCACTTCGTGGTCAATAGTGGGACTGGCGAAAGCGTTGAAGAGCTTGAATGGGTTTGCAGACCAGCCCGGGTACTTTGGCTTAGACTGGAGCTGCTGAACCGCAGAGAACACGTAGACGTGGCCGTCTTTCGACAGAGCATAGATCTTTTCTTCAGTCGCTTCTACCTTGATGATATTCTTGCCTTTCAGCGTCTTGACCGGGTTCAGTACGAGAGTTGCAGTGCCGCCAAGAGGAGCCCGAACGTTGGCAGTGGCCTTCTCTCTCTTGCGTCCAAGAGGCACGTCCTCGATCGCTGTCATCTCGCGCACGGAGGGATCAAAGAATCCAAGGCCCCACTGATAGACATCTCCTTCAGCATCAACAGCAACGCCGTGCTTTTCTTGCAGGCAAATATCTCGAAGAGCCACTCCGTCGAAGAACGGAATGGAGCGGGGAGATCGAATGAGCGTTACTGAAGGAGCATCTGGAGCAACGACATTGTATCTGTTCGAGCCCCATGCGTAGACACCTTTCAGCTTTGCACGCTGACGCATCTGGTCTTGCTGTGACATGGTCGTGGGAGTAATATCGGCATTCGTGGCTACTGATTGTGCGGCCTCACAATGTACGGGTGAGGTGGTAGCATACCATGTTGTCAAGGCGACTGTGGTCACAGCTCCCGCAGCAGTAGCGTATCGTAGTTTGTTCCGAGCAGAAGGGCTTCCTCCTGCAATAATGCTGGCTGCCTTGACCTTCGAGCCGGACGACGTCGAGTGGGCTCGCAATGAAGACGAGGCATGGTGGCGGAAGGCGCTTGAGCGCAATGGAGCACGGAGAGCGGCAGTACCTGATCGAATAGGCACGGCACTGGCCGCAGTCATCGGTCCGACCATCTTAAGACGTATGGATCAGCCTGGTGTCGTTGCGGTTGAGACGATGTAATCAGAGAGAGAGAGACGATGTAATCAAAGTGATGGCTCCTATGTGGCAAGCCAAGATCTCGTGAGCACAAAAAGTTGATGGTGGCCCTTGCAGCGCTCTCAGCTAAGCAATACACGATTGGTAAGCACCAGACATTTTTGAAATTTGTTAGAGTGCATGATTCGACAAAGTGGAAAAAAAAGTTGCCTCCACATGCAAGTCTGCAGCGGACCCTGCAGCGTTTCAGCGGAACGCACAATGAGCTCACCATTAACCGCTTCGCCTGTTGTACGACAAGCAAAAAATGACTGATGGCATTCACCGCTTCCACAAACTGACAGGTTCGTCTGGCAAGCAAGACTCAACTCGTATGCCACTGACTTGCCCAAAGACCTCAGACCTCAGCCTGATGAAGTTTTCTCGCTCCATCACAGCGAACAAATCTTCTTTCGCGTCCAATGCGGGCTTGTGCTCAGTGTCACTCTTACGCTTATGGTGTTCTTCTCCTGACCGACGCCTTCACCACCTCCATTACCCTCAAGGATATACGCTGGAACATCTCATCTTCGTCCCCTCCCACAATTCTCCCTGATCCCAAGAGTCTTCAAGACTCACCACACTTGTCTTCGGTCCAGTTCTCGCTGCTGCCCCGTCGCTGCAGTCAGTGATCCTGCATGTTCGCTTACCGTGGCCTTTACGCCTCTTCACGCCTCCTACTAGTGTCGCACACGCTCAAGACACCATCTTTACAAGCGACTGCACCTATAACACGCACTCTTCACGTATCCATCACCACCATGGTCCGACGAAGCGCACGAGCATCTGCGTCCGCTTCGATCAACTATGCCGAACCTGACGTCCACTCAGATCCGCTCGCTGCCGCGGAGCTGGCACCACCGCCGAAGCGAGCGAGAAAGGCTGTCAAGGAACCACCTGCCAAAGTTAAACGATCCGATTCTGGCGACGCCACTCCGTCACGAGCGACAGCTCGAGAAGTCGCAGACACGATCATCAAAGATGCTGCTTCACCTCCCCCCACCCCACCTCGAAGCGAGTTAGAGCTTTCATCCGAAGCAGAAGAGAAGCCTGCAAAGAAGAAGCCAGCCAAAGCACCCAAGAAGGGGAAAGTGGAGACGCCAACACATTTCGAGACGCGCAATAATGTTCATGGCGAAGAGTATCAGATTGAGCTCGACGAGGAAGGTGATCCAGTTCGTCGTGACAAGAACGGTCGTCGTCTAGCCAAGCGCAAGAAGAAGGATATCGTCTACGAGATCCCTGAAGTACGCAAGCGCGACTTCCGACTCGAAGGTCCGCCTGGGGAACGTCAGGAGCGCGCCAATGGCTTCTCCGGCGAGCTCGGCTATGCCTGCCTCAACACTGTTCTTCGATGGCAAGACCCACCTATCTTCTCTAGTCGAACAGCTCGCATCAAGACCATGGATGAGCAAGGACCAGATTACATCAAAGAGCTTGGTCGACTCAACGCTCGTGATATGATCCCTATGATTCTGTGGAATGAAGAGAACAATATCAAGTTCATGCGTCTCTCGTCCGAAATCTTTCCATTTGCTTCGCATGAAAAGTATGGCTACTCGCTCAAGTACGCCGAGAAGGAGTTGCGAGTTGCAGGCGATCTGGCAAAAAAGCTCGGCCATCGTCTGACAATGCACCCTGGCCAATTCACACAGCTAGGAAGCCCGCGTACCGAAGTCATCGAGAACAGCATTCGTGATCTCACATCACACTGCGAGATGCTCGACTTGATGGGAATGGGCAAGGATAGTGTCATGATCATCCACGGTGGAGGAACCTTCGGCGATAGAGAGGCTACACTCAATCGTATGCGAGAGACATACACCACTCGTCTGTCCCAGAACGTCAAAGACCGTCTTGTTCTCGAGAACGACGAGATGGCATGGAGCGCGGAAGAGCTCCTCCCGCTATGCAAAGAGCTCGACATCCCGTTGGTGTTTGATTTCCATCACGACTTGCTCCGCCCTTCGTCGCGACCGCCTTCAGAGTTGCTACCAGAGTTCCAAGCCATCTGGCACAAAAAGGGCATTCGACCCAAGTACCATCTCTCCGAGCCAAGACCAGGTGCATCTAATCTACGAGAGCGACGTGCCCACTCCGATCGATGTGGATTCCTCCCACCTGATCTTCCAGCCGATGCACACCTGATGATCGAGGCAAAAGACAAGGAGCAGGCAGTGCTCGAATTGTATCGCATCTACAATTTGCGTCCAGTGAAGCACGAATCGTTGCGCCCACCTGCGAAAGATATCGGCGTCAAGACTTCCGGCCGAAAGAGTAAGCTCGGTGGCGAACGTCTACCTCGCAAGGGCAAAGCTAGGAAAGATCCTGACGCCGCCGAAGAGGAGGCGAATGTCGCGGCAGGCGAAGAGCCGAAAGTTGAGCTCAATTCGAAGAGCCTATCGAAAGTGGAACGTGCGATTCTCAAGTCCAAGGAGGCCGCAAAGCGTTTGGGTAGGGTTTACACTGGTCCAGGGGCGGATGTTGGCGAAGATGAGGGAATTGAGCTTGCCGAGCCTGGCCCAGGTGAGGAAGGGTATGTCAAGACAAGTGAAGAGGTGTTGAGGGATATGTACATGGAAGCTGATTGGGTACGTGCCGAGTTGCAAGCTGGTAGAGAGCGAAGGCCGTTCGGTACAGAGCCGGGAGCTGCGGTGGATGAGGAGGGTGATGCCGATGACATCGATGAAGACGGAAATGGGGTGGAGAAGGATGAGGAGGATGTAAAGCCTAAGAAGGGTAGGAAGAAGGCGGCGACACCCAAGACGCCAGCACCAACAGATGCGCCAGTGTTGAATGCTCAGCAGAAGAAAAGAGCCAAGGCAGCGATGGAAGATGACGGACAAAGAGTAGTGCTGGCTCAAGGTGCTCCGCCGCAAGAGCTTGTTGCTGATCACGAGACCATTCCTGTTGATGTCAAGCCCGTCCAGAAGCAGGTTGGCGGCAAGAGAGGGCGAAAGCAGGCTGCCGCCTGAGAGTTAGTACAACTAGGTTACGGCTCTTCAATGATACTTTTACGACCAGAAACATGCTGTATCGACTTCGTTAGTGTGAGTCTGAACAAAGCTGAAGTTGATTCGAGTTTCAAATTGAGGTTAATAAGCGGCCAAACGAGCTTAACCAGCGGTAAGACTGGCGGAAGAAGCGTTGAGCTGTCGATCCTCCCATAGGAAAGCCACGTTTGAATTGGTTACAGTATCCGCAACTCGGCAGCAATATTTGAGTTCCGGTGGATCGTTCGGCATCTTTGTTTCTTCTCGTTGTTGTGCAAGGTCGTTCATTCCAACGGAGCGTGACTCGACCTTCAAGATCATTCCCTTCTTATACCCGCATCACCATCACCTCTCCACATTCCTTGGATACCATTATCACAGAACTTACTCTTCGCATTTAGGATGATCACTCTCAGCGACGAAGAAGCGGCTCAACGCCTTGGTCCCATCGTCACCACCCCTGTCGCCAAATACCCGGCTCGCATTACCATCTCAGGCCAATACATCGACCTTGTCCCCCTCTCCCCCGAGCATGCAGATGCGCTATTTCCCGTCGTGGCCCAACCAGAACACGAGCGATTATGGGACTACATGCTCAACCCACCTTTCCAAGGCGACGCTTTGCTCTTTTCCTCTTTCATCGCTGCCCGTTCAGCAAACGAAAACAACATGGTCTTCTGGGCCATCATCGACAAGGCTCCTCCCACATTGAATTCTCCGAAAGCGCTAGGTATGATCTCGTACCTTCACATCTCCGAGATCCATCGCACTATCGAGATTGGCAACGTCATGTTTTCGACCTTGTTGCAGAGATCTAGGAAGTCTTCCGAGGCGATCTACCTTTTGCTCAAGCACGCGTTTGAAGATTTAGGTTACAGAAGGGTCGAGTGGAAGTGTAATAACTTGAATACGCCGAGTAAGAGAGCAGCTGTTAGGTACGGGTTTACATACGAAGGCTTGTTTAAGAAACATTATGTGATCAAGGGAAGGAGTAGAGATACAGCTTGGTTTGCAATGGTCGATGATGACTGGCCGCAGAGGAAGCAGGCGTTGGGGGGTTGGTTGAGTCAAGACAACTTTGATGAGCAGGGAGGGCAGAAGATGAGTTTGAAGGAAGCGCATCAGAAGGCTGGCTATACGGTTCCCGAGACGGTTAGCGCTCCACCACTACAACTGTAGATCCGACTCATTCATGATACCATCTGTTTTCAATGCGATATTACATTAGAGGATCTTCTGCAAGTGTACATACGAGTGAGCTTATGCTTTGGTAGTAGAGTGCAGCGCCATATGTTGGACAATAGCCAATAACGCCAGTGCCTGGCCATAAGGCATTGGAGTGATGGGAATCTTTCTGTAGAATTCCAGATCATGACCCATCGCAGTACCAAACGAAGTCTGTTGCAGTTCTCCATCATCTGCGATCATCTCCAGGACTCCTTTGAGTGCTTTATCTGCCATCTTCTCGTACTGCTTTTTCTTGTCTTCATCCTTGATCAACCCGAATCGCAGCGCTAGATAAGCACCAGCAGCGAACCCAGCAGTAGCAGAAGACTCGACATACGAATCGTCGTACTTCAATAGAGTATGCCACAAGCCTGTCTTTTCATCTTGCAGCGGTACAAGAGCGTCAAGTTGTGCGTCCAGCGTTCCGATCAAGTGTCGTGAGAAAGAAGAATTGTGGTCGGCAAGATCGGAATCTTGCGGTCCGAGAATGTGGAAGAATAACGGAATAGCAAGTGTGATCCAACAGTTTCCCCTAGCCCAGTGTGCACCAGCAAAGTGATGTCTTCCTTCAAACGTCCATCCGTGAAACCACAACCCTGTCTTTGGGTCATATAGATACTTGATATGCAAAAGGAACTGATACTTTGCCTCCTCGACATACTTCGCCCTGCCCAGTACCTTTCCGATCTTGGCAAGTGGGAGGACAGTCATCATGAGCGTATCGTCCCACACCTGACCTTTGTTCTCGTTGTCGTAGGTAATGTGTTGGAATCCGCCTTCTTCAGTTTTGGGTAGGTCGTTCATTACCCACTCCGCCCATTCGATCAACCAGTAGCGATATTCAGGGTGGGAGTTAGGGTCAAGCTCGTACACGCATGCGAGGGAGAGGAGGGCAGCCATAGTGTTGATGTTTTTGGTTGTTCCTCCTTCTGCCATGCGATCGGAGAACCAGGAGTGGATGATGGAGAGAGATTCAGAGGAGGAGGTGAGGGTGAAATGCTCGAAGAGGGCGTAGAGGGCAACGCCGTGAGTCCATTCCCATCCAGCCCATCCTTTGGTGTCGATGATACGGCCATCGGGGAGGGGCAGGAGGAATTTGCCGTCTTGGTCTTGGTTGTGCAGAAGTTTGTGGATCAGCTTTGAGACCAAGGTTGACGCTTCCTCGGTCGAGAGCTGGAGTGGGGAGGTGTTGGATGTCATTGCGGCTAGTTGACTTGGGGTGAAGTTGGTGATGGTACTGTCGATAGAGGTGAAGGTAGAGGTTGCATGACGAAGGCCGAAGTGAGGAATGTGAAGTCGAGTGTGAGCACAGACCAAGACGGACAGAGAAGCTTGACTCAAGCGTCGAGAACATTATGCAGCAGAGAGGGACCGATTGACCGGTGTGTACCGCGAACTTCAATTAACAACGGCCGAGCATACCGATGATTCGGAATCTCAGGTCCGAGAGCTGGGATTGCACACCGACGCTCGGAAAGCAATGCATGTAACGGCCTTGTTTTCGTGGACGACTCTAGTTGAACGAGTTGGCGGAGAAGGGTCCACAAGCTGGTGAGTTGATTGCAGATGTTGGAGAGCTCAAAGTGTGTTGTTCTCGCAGCTCACGCTTGAGCCAGCGTTTTTTGGTCCCCCACTCCGATCAATTCGCCTTGAGCTGCAACGAAAATCACACGTCAAGAAGCCGTGCTTATACCATAGAGAAGGTTGTCAAGTCACTACATTGATACCAGAGCAGAAATTGGAATAGAAACAGCAATGATCAAGTCATTATAAACACAAGCGAACAGAACCACCACAATCCTCCCGCTCGCTTAGTACACGATCCTAGCCACACCAAAAACCATCGCCAGCCCCGTTGCCGCCAACACCATAGCAGCAACCTTCCATCCCCTCACCGCATCATCAAGGGCATTCCTCCCTGCAGAACTCTGGAAAATAGCCCCCGTACTTGCATCCTTGTACCCCGCTCCCGTCGTCGAAACATCTGTATAAGCTCCCGGTTGACTCGGCACAACCGTCCCTACATCGTTATTTGCAGCTGCTACGCCGCCCAAGAGCGCACTACCTAAACCACAGATGTTTCTGAGATTTGTGATAACATTGTTCGCACCCGTGCCTTCCGGGTCAGTACCGAGGTAGTAGCATTGATCCGTGTGTTGGAAACAATCCAAACACTGAGGGTAGACAGCTTGGAAGGTGTCAGTGCAGGCGCACTTGATGACGTTGATGTATCCTATGGGATTGTTGAAGAGGTTCGAAGCATTTGCAAAGATTGCCGATGCTCCCATGCATGAGGAGAGGGAGGGGTAGCGTTCTTCGCACTTAGGGCAGGAGGGGATGTCGGAGGGGAAGGAAGGCGGGCCAAGGGAGGAGAGTGGGACAGAGGGCTGGTCTTGCCGCTTGACCGGGGTCGGGTGGTCACTCTGGAAGAGGTGACGGGGTGAGTAGAACTCGTAGATCTCATCTGGTGTTGAGCGTGGGTTGAGAGAGGGGACTCGAGGGAGGGGTGTAGGTTCAGGCGAGCGCTTTTGAAGTAACGTCTGGCTGTCTGAGATCGGTCGAGCTGAAGTGAGGATGGTGAGGGAGCTGATGAGGAGCAAGGTAAGTAGCATTGAGATGCTAGCCTTGCCAGAGGTTCGATGGCTGTTGAGTCTCATCATTGAGATACTGGGCTCGCAGTAGTCGTTACTGTAGTCGTGAGATGCGTGTGCAGCTATGAGGTCGTCAACTTGATCAATGAAGGTTTCCTTGGATAACCTTGAGATGATGGTAGCAAAGATGGTGAAGACGACAAAGACTTTGGCAACAAAGCAGACGAAAGGCATTGATGCATAGGACAGTGCGCACCTCAGTCTGCAAACATCTCAGACACCATTCATCGTACAAGTTCGGTAGACTAGCAAGCTTCAGGGGGAAAGGTGGCCCCTCCACAAAAGCAAGGTTCAGCTGCTCAGTCGGGAAGCAGCTTTGCATGACACTCATCAGTACTTCAAGGCTTGTTGCGCCGTAAAAGCTTCGTTCCCAAGAACCCCTGTCAGACTAGCTTTTCTGAGATTAACACTGACACGCACACGCCCACCGCCCTCTTTTCCATTCCGACAAGGTTTGACAGGGCCTCCTTTCTCCTCATCATTTGTTCCCTTCCCTCTCTCCTCTAAACACAGCAAGCTCGAGCTGCTGAGGATCTTTGCATAAGGAGATCCAGCAGCTTGCTCTGAACATGCGCTGCTGCGCTGCTTCTGAATTGGCAATCCAATACAGACACAAGGCATGTCCAGAAGAGGCAAGTGTAGTTTGGTGTGCGGCGGAAAGAGCGGGCTGCAAAAGACCCCTGAAGAACGCAAGCTGTCAAAAGAAGCGAGCTTTGAATAATGCCAAATCCCGACAGGGGCTCATTGCATTTTTCGCCATGATGTTAGGCCGACACAAGTGTTCTCATATCGGGAAATTTCATATCCGAGATCCAGATTTTGACCAGCAAATTTAGAGCTTCTTCTCAACAGGGTCTGCTCACCGTCCCTTACCTCCTCGAACAACATCATTCTGTATCAAGGCGACCTCAGCAAACAGTCCTGGAAGCAGGCTGAAGAGGCCAATGTAGCGAGTTCAGCTGCTATGGCTCACGCCTCCCCCTCCTCATCTTCCAAACCACATCCACCATCAACTTCAGCAACCTCTACCTTCCTGACTACACTCTCACGCGTACGATCAACTCTCGATCGCACGTCGCACAATGAAGCTCTCCTACGAGACGATGCATGGCCATCAATACTGAAGCGTATACATGGCGCTCTGAATACGGGAAAGCCGATTACAGGCGCTGGTCCAAATAGAGGTCTTCCCATGGATGTGGTGGTGCAAACGTTGAAAGCGGGTTGGCATGTTGATGGGACTTGGCCGATTGGGCCAAATGCCAGGCAAGAGTTGGAGGAGCAGAGCAAGGAGATTGCAATGCTGGAGAAGGGGCCAGAGGCAAAGCAAGATCCTAGCCCGGAGGACGTGGCAGAAGCATATCGGGTTAGAGGGGTTGATGTTGCGGAACCTCTGCAGGTTGATGACGATTGGTGAACCACCTCAATACCGCCAATCGAAGCTACGCACACGACTGAGCGTTCCCGGCGTCACTATCAACAGCACAACTTACTCAGGCTGCAAATCGATCCGTTATTTGTTCAACAACATCCTCACACAGCCGAGCAATGCGCTTGGTTTTGGTTACCTACTGTAACATTTTGTACAACACGATATGTCTATTGCAATTATGTTAGATTCTTTAATCCCCACACCTTAGTGGGATAACCTGCAGACAATAAAAAAGAAAAAAATAAAAAATAAAAAATAAATCCGCAGGTTACAAGAACGCAGCGAAGGAAGTAATGCGAAAACACGGGCTTAGAGCTTAGCCTTGGCAGAGGACTGGTGGTGGTTCTGAGCCCTCTTGTTTTGTCTTGCGAGTGGGTCAGCCTCACCATCCTTGCCAGCACCGGGTGCGCCAGGCTCGTGCGACTTCTGTGGAGCCGACTTGTACTCGCCCTTGTACGACTTCACCTTGTCTGCTCTTGCAATACCACTCTCGTCACGGTAAACACCAAGTTCGATCAGCTTAGCGAACACCTTGGAGAAGTCTTGGAAGAAAGCATCTCGGTCTTCAGCGTACTTCTCGACCCAAGGACGAAACTTGTCGTCCTGGATCAAGGCGTAGTCGGTGGGAAGCATCATGAGCTGTTCGTCGTCGTCATCGGCACCTGGAGCCTTGGCGACGTACTGGAATGGACCATCCCACTTCTTAGGCGACCACTTGAGCTTGAGCAAGAGCTTGTAATACTGGTTGGAGAAACGTGTCGGCGAGTTGACCCATGGACCTTCGAAACCGGATCGGTCTGAATGGCATCGACCGAGATTGTGGGCGCCAGAAAGGGCGACGATCTCTTGATTGTTGAAGCCCATGCGGTAGAAGATGAATCGGAGGTGATCAGCACCCTGTGCACCGTCGGGAAGACGGCCGCGAGGTGGGAGTCGAGAGTCGTCGGCAAAGTCGGTTCGGCCGGGACGCCACTGGATCTTGGGACCGCCCATAGCCTCAATGGCAACCACACCGGCCAGAGTCCAGAGATCGGCGTAAGTGATCCAGGAGTGCTTCTCCTTGATGGGTTCGAGGAAGACACGGGCGTGCTGAAGACCAGCGTTGGCAGGGTCACCACCTTCGGCCTCGTATCGCATGCCGGCACCGTTGGATCCTCCAGTGTCGGTCTCGGCACAGTAAGTGCCACTTGCGTGCCATGCAAGACGAACAAGCACGGGACCGGCGGAACCGTCATCGTACTCGGGCTGCTTGAGAACAGCAATAATGTCCTTCTTGACCTGGTCGTAATCTCCCTGCTTCGACATGTTGGCGATGGTGAGAGAATGGGAAGGGGATGCCTTGTCCTGTATTTGTGACTGATGCGATAGATGAATGCAAAGGTTGCAAGAGGTGGACGTCGGATGATCAGGAGGAGGTAGTGATGATGGAGAGAATGGAAGATAGGTACGACGCTGTACTGAAAGTCTAATCGGGTGAATGTATGTGGGGCAGGGTCAGAAGTGAAGCGGCAGCCAATAGACGAGGCTGGATTTGGCTGTGTGGGACTGTAGATAGGGTTTGATCTCGACTGGCCTGCAGGCAGAACGACGACGTGAATGCTCAGCTGCAACTGCGAACCGAGTCGGACTCTCACACGCACAGAGCTCAAAAGGTGAGAGGTTGTCAACATTGATAGAGGGTCTCAAGCACGCATTGCATACAATGCGGGGAGGCTGAGAGAGAGAGTGAAGGCTTCGAGACTGTTGTGGAAGGACAAGGTCCACCCGACTCGATCCGGGCGTAAGTGAGAGAGTGCTTTTGCGCGGCTCAGCTATAGGACCGGAGAACGAGTGCGCGGTGGAGGCCGATTCGGCTTCACCTTCTCCAATGATAGAGCGGCGGTCTCAAGCGGCTCAAAGACAAGTTTTGCTGTCGTTTCGATATCGTACAGTCACTCTTACTACTGTACGCCTTGTTTGACCCCACCAAGCACCCTTGTTCGTGCAACGAGAAGCCAAGTTCTGTCTCACCGCCATCGTGTCAAATCCCTCAAGCCTCCTCAGTTTCATGTCGGGTGTCGGTAGGCTTTGTACTACTCACACAATCGAGCAAAGCTGATGGATGTATTGAAATGTCAACGGCTGTGTCGCTATCTTTGCTTTTGTTCGCTTCCTTACGTGATCTTCTGAGATTCTGGCTAAATTCGAGCTCAGCACTGTCGATCCACTCACAGCAGACCCGGTCAAATATTGCACGATAAATTTCCTTGATCGCTAAGCGAAGAAAATTGCGATCTTCTTGTACCCTTCACCTCGTCATCGTGGCGGTCTTGTCACTGTCGGAGGGGAAAAAAAAAAAAAAAAAAAAAAAGAAAAGTATTAGTCGCAGAATGAAACTGAGACAGAGATTTTCAAAGTCGGTAGAAAACGGTACAGCAGAGTACAGAGAGAACTCAACCACTGAGCATGTGAATCGGTTAGTCTCTTTGTACCGACCCGACGCACCTTCTTGCATCTTGATGTCGACCGCAACCGGAACCTCGAACATTTGCCGGTCGCCACCATCTGCAGTGATACACCATGACTTCCTTGCTTTTTGTGCTCTCTAGTGTGCTTTTGTTTCTCAACGGTTAAAGCAGAATTCATCAATAGCAAATATCGTACATACTTGCACCGCCGGATAGCAGCCAAATAGAGGCAAAGGAATGGCAAAGATAGGTGGTCGCTTTAGGCATGTTCGACAGCTCCGCGTGAAAGCCGGATTACGGGAGCAATCGAATTCGTCTCAACGCATGACGAAAGCCATGACCTCGCTAGCTAATTGTTGTTTCACCAAAGCGATGTTTCTGTATTTCGACCTAACATGAGCTGTCAAACCTTTCTTTCGTTTGATCAAATTTAGTATGCACTGTTAGAAACTAAAGTCGTTTCGGTCCCGATACTGGCAATCGGGGAGAGTCTAAGTACAATGTCACTGCTGTTATAGACAGAAACAAATATACTCGATTGACTAAGTGAACATGGCGAGAGCCTAGCACTCCCTGCTCAATATATATACAAAAGTGTGGCACATGCCGAATGTGGGAGACTCTACGGTTAATGACCCAGCCTGACAACGAGCGGGACTTGGTGGGGGGGTGTCACAAAGATGTATATATATCTCACAGAGAGCACTCTCGCCACATTTGCCCAGTCAATTGAGTATATGTTTCTGCTTTAACAAAGTAGTGACATCGTACTTAGACTATCCCCGATCACCAGTATCGGGACCATAAAACATCTTTACTTTTATCATGCACAAGTTGAAGAAACGTCGGTATTTCGAGGGCCTGACATGTTAGATTGGAGTATTCGGGACCAGAAGACCGAAATTAAGCGCAGTGCCGGCGCGACCGAGATAAGCATGAACCTCGTGGGAGCATGTGCAGCTTACTCTCCAGGGTTGACACCGAGAAGGTATGCCGAGTGGTACGTTAACATGGCAACGGTTATGAAGGCGGGCGCCACTGGACAGACGGTTTATGGTTATGACTCACCTGGAACAACACAGCGAATGTCAGTGGCGATTAAAAGGAAATATACTCATGTTTTGTAGTCTCCATTCTCTCGTAATATTTAAGACCTTTAGTAGAGATATACCTGTCCGAAGGGTGCCTGTTTGTGGCCCCATCCAAGTGGTGTTTCTAATTTCAACTGCACATCACAGGATCAAGTTCGAACAGAGAAAAGGGTATCATCATATTGTTCATTAAATATCATCGTCAGGCCATCTTATCTATGCCAGCATGAGATCAGGACTCAGCGCGACTACAACTCGCTCAAAGAGCAAAATGGCCAGCAGTGTGTTGGGTCCGGCAGCTTGAGGAGAACAGAACGGCTCTAGCCAGCTCGTGAGTCGCTGCAGCTGAATCCGGGTATCTTGCACACGCCAAGCCCGATCGCCCCTACGCATGCCAACATCGGCGCATCCCAACAGTATCTTCTTGACAAGCCATGGAACCATTGCATCTTCGCTGTTCTGAGTCGTTCCGCTCGCCCATGCAGGAGGACGCGCAGATCCACAAACTAGTCGAGTCCGCAAGCGAATCCATTCGGCTTCCTGCATCTCTGTGTCGGGATCAGGTACCGAAGGTGGTAGGTGACCATCGGGTAGCAAGATCCTACGAAGCTCACGCACCATCTTGGCAAGCTTCTGCGTATCCCTCAGCTCCGAATTGATCTTGCGTACTGCCATTCGATTGATTGACTCGTCCAGTCCCGTCGTCCCAAGTATCGTCCTTGCAAAGCCGAACGTGACTCGCAATACCAGGTGAGAGCTTGCCTGGAGCAACTCTTCCACTGCATCAAGCCAGTTGCCAACATAGTCTCGAGCCAGATCCTCCTCATCCGATACGTCGTCATTGTTAAGCTCTGTGCCTCCAGCTCCGGTGTTACTCTGCGCTCTCGCCAAGTCAGCTTGCGGTAATGTCAGCTTGCCGTCAATGGTCAAAGAGCGGCCTTGTGCAGTGATTGTGTCGTCGTGACTGAACTGGAACTTGCGAGATGGGAAGCGACCATGCATCTTGCGTTCGTACAGGCTGCCCATCGACATCGAGGACGGGAAAGTACCTTTGCTAGACGAGGAGCGTTCATGATTTGCCATGCGTTCTTCCTTCTGCTGCAGCTGCTGTCGCTTTCTACGAGTCGCAGCACGCTGCACATTGAAGATATCCAGATAAGCATGCACCAGGAATGGCAGCGCGGTGAAGACGATCAGCGTCCACACCTTGATAATGATTGCCGGCAGCCAAGCAAGCAGTCCAACTGCCGCCGAAAGCAGGTCCGCGCTCGGAGGCGACTTGTCCGCCGTGGCCAACTTTTCGTCCTCCTCTCCGTCTGGTACCAGAGCAGATGGAAGATTGGGATTACTCGGCCAGCCAGCAGCATCCAACACCTTGTGGATGCTCTGTACAAAGAACCAAGGCCGGAAAGAGCGAGCAAGCGCACCTCTGAGCACTGTCACTAGAACATCTCGCACGATGAACTTTTCCGTATCTGGAGCGAACTCGTCGGCGGGGAGCAGTGAGGAGAGCAGATTGAGCACAGCGATTCGTAGATATGCCAGATCTATCTTGCCATCTAGTGAGCCGGTGACCGGATTAAGACCTGGATGCGGCGAGGCGGCATGGAAGAGTTGTGCGATTCGCAACGGCGAAGCTGCTTGCTCGGTGGTCGACGTCGTTAGTAATGCATCTCGGTATTCTGGTGGCAGCTGCTCGCAAACTTGCTGACGCCGCTGTTCTTCCTGCTCAGCAATAGAGACACCGGTGGACGTGGCCAAAGAGGATTGTTGAGTACCCAAAGGTGCCCATACGCTGTCCGCTTTGCTCTGAGCCTGTCTGAAATCCGAGCAATGCTGTCGAAGAATGAGTGGAATGTCGCGAGAGAGCAAGTCGTGAATCCGGGACAGCTCCGCCGCAATCCTAGGCGCGTTGATGTCGCTTTCATTTGCTGAAGCAGCTTTCGGCAGCGACGTTTGGCGTTGCACAATGGTGTGAATGATAGAAGTAATGATCGATGTTACCTGGGTTAGGAACTCTCGATCCGGTGTGAGCTTGCTATACCATGGCAGTACAGTCTCGCGCAGGAGGTAAGCCAGCAAAAGGAGGACCTCGTGATCGAGGTCGACGTCATGGGTGATGCTGGGCGCTTCGGTCGAGGTCGGTAGGTCCTGAAAAAGGATGCGGCGATAGAAGGCACGCTCCGTGACCTTGTCTGCGCTCGGTGTTGCTGAGGAAGTTGACCAAGATGACTGCTGCGAGTTGGCAGAAGCTGGATTGTGTTGATTGTTACTTCCCTTGGCAGATGAAGCGCCGGTGTTCACTTGCATGCATGCAATGGAGGATGGCACCTGCGCATGACTCGCAAGACTATGGTCGATGCGATACGCCGCAGGCGACATGGGACGTGGTGAGAGTGTAGCGTGTACAGGGTTCGTGCTGAGCGAGGCGTGCGAAGCGCTCATCGGAGATGCGACGTCACGGAAGGCGGGCGATGGCGCGAAAGGTAAAGATGTGTCCTTTCGCACAGCGGAAGCAGCCACCGTGGATGGCGTGGGTGACGAGAGGGGCGAAGGTGAGGTGGCCCCTGGTCGAAACGTCTCACGAGCCATCGCGGCAATCTGCCCGCGACGCGTGCTGTAAGAGTTGGTGTCTGTATCCTTGAACAGCGGCGCCTGCTACTTGAATTGGAGACGAGACATCGTAGCGCGCTCTCCGAGTCGGAGCAAGGCTATTGAGCTTGAAGGGGTGATGGAAGTCGTCAAAGATGAAACGAGCGGAGAGAGCAACAGGTGGGTACGATGATTATCTCCGCGTTCCGAGTCCTCGCGTGTCAAGTGTTGGTTTGCAACTCAGGAGCACAGAACGCCATCTTCTCTCTTTTGTTTGCAGATCTCATGCGTCAGAGTTCAGCTGTAAAGTTGTCGTCGTCGAAGAGCAACGTGACAAAGGTATCGATCCAATATGATGATGAAAGTTGACGTAAGCCGATGGTGAAGAGATCGGGCTAGGTCAATCTAATCGGAGATTTGGTAGAACCGATCTGACAGGAGTTCAGGTACAACACAGTCCCGCTCGTTGTCAAGGTAGATCATTAAGTAGAAGTATTCCCACCTTTGGCAGGTACCACGCAAATGTATATATATCAAGCCAAGAGCACTAGGCTCTCCCCACGTTCTTTAGTCAATTGAGTATATACATATGTTTCTGCCCTAAATCAGTAATGACATCGTACTCAAACTCTCCCAGATCATCAGTTATCGGGACAAAACTTCTTCACATTGTATCACAACGTTGCTCGCCGTTTTCAAGCCCTTCATGTAAGCATTATATGAAAAATGCGGAGCGAAATGATGACACAAAAAACAGTATGAAAATCGAGCTGATGAGGTGATCGTCTGTGCAAGGCTCAAGACTTCATTCCGGCACACCTCTCATGACACAAGCAAGCCAAACCGATGATTCCGCTGCTCAACCTACAAAACCCGTGGTCCGAGCAATGAAGATTGCGGGGCACCGACGGATGACGCTTTCACCAAGTTAAAGTTGAACGCAAGCTAGTCAGAATTCGGCACCTGTCTGTTGACAAAGCTAACTACGCCGTGATGATAGGTCTGCGTTGCGAGGCGGCAGCGGCACAGGACCGAATGACATCTTGCAGATTTGTGCTGACAATGTTGCATTCGCAAGCAACACGGCATCTGCTGTACATTGTGTGACTGCGTCTATGCTTCCAGCCACCACAATTAGAGGAGCTACCCCTGCAGCAGCAGAATGGGAGCAGAGATGAATGAGAACGAGGGTCTGAACAACAAATGGCAACGAGTCTCACATCTCCACACAATGTCTGGAAGAGCGTGGGATGCAAGCGACACATGCAAGGCGATGCTGTGCCAAGGCGTAGTGTGGGAGCCTTACAATGGGTTACAAACCCATCATGATATCTTGTGTCGAAATCATCAACCGACGCAAAACGGCAGCCTGATGTCTCTTTCGGCTGCAAAAAGCAAGCCTCACATCTCTCTGTCCCGCCGAACAAAGATACTTGGTGCTCAGCGCCTGTCTGTTCTGCGGCATTGCTCGCCGACTCGTGGAGTCACTGTTCCAAGCTCACGACGACACTTGGCCGGCTATGTTGCCGTCCATCCCACCAACAACATCAGAACAGTGGTCGGCATTGCGACACCGACGAAGCGAGCGTTGTGCATAGTAGCCTGAGCATGAGCCTGCTGGCCTATCTCCCCGATGTTTCGCCGAGATCGCATTCGCTTAGATCAGCAAACTCAAGCCTACCCATTTTGTTCGCTTCGAAGAAGTGATCCGTGATCATGCTCGATACGAGTACAGTCGCTTTAGCCCTTTCGGCCAATTCTTCACCGACGTCTTCAAAAAAGGGACGGATCGGCGGCAAGCAGGTGTTGTAGTGGAGCACAGCGAATGCTCGGATGGCTTGGCGAGCTGCAAACACGGAGCGATTTCGCTCCATCAAACCCTCGCTTAGGCGCTCGTTCTGATATATTTCGGTCTGTCTCGTGCTTTTGAGTCTCTGCGTGTCGACATTGAAGTTCGACCTAATACCACCCTCTCTCCTCCGTTTTCCCTCCCTATCTTGTCCTTGTCATAACCGATGCTGTTTGCGCAGAACCATGCCAAGCCCTGTCTCGCCGCGATTCCCCCAAGCGAAGGCAAACAAGGCCGACTTGACGCAGCATCACAGCTCTCCGCTCTATTGCTCGGCTTTCTACTCGGGCTCCTCCTGATTTCTTGAGAACCAAACTCCGCGTGTTCACCAGCTTCTCGGAGCCATTTGCTCTGCTTCTTTGCAGCTTCTCTCCCCGAGATGGCTTTAGATCTTTCCGCTTTCGTACCCCCTCAACAATGTCTTGAAGAGATCTGTGGGAGACTCCGCAGAAGCTCGGAGCCCCTTGCTCTGCTAGCTTTACCTCCCACGCAGTTTTTACTTAGGTTGTGGGCGATTGCTTGCCCGCAACCTCATTGTGCATCCTGAGCTTCATACCGTCCACAGTCGTCTTCATTTGTACCCCCATCATCGGTATGTCACACGGACGCATTGGATGTCAAGGAGTGGCGCAACTCCTTAAGGGGCAGACACACCGGTCCACCGCCTTTGCAGCCTTACCTGACGACCGTCTGCAATCCTCTGCGAGCAGTGTGGTTGGGGTGTTTGTTCCCACATTGTAGCAGCCATCTTCATCTGCGTAGTAGTAAGGATAAAGTGGCCGGCCGAGGGTCACCAGCTCACCGATGTGCAAGGCAATTCAGGGACAATGGGCCCACCTCTTTCAGCCATTTGCAGTTTCAGTTGACCTCTCTGGAGGAGCCCCAACATATTCTGGCCTCTCTTATCCCCACGTTGTATGACTTGCACACTGATCTTCTTCCTTGGAGCCGTGCCTGGTCTTGCCTCGGTCGATCAGGACCCTCAACTGATCTTCATTAAACCTGTCCTCCCTATTTTCGGACCTCCCTCGCACATATATAACAACTCCCTCTTCATCTTGGACGTTGTTTTCCTCGTATCCCCGCAACCCACCCATCCTCCCGCTCCCTTCTCCATCTCTCTTTCATACCGTTCTCCTCAAGGACGCTTCTTACCCTTTCTTGCTGTAATTGCGGAATTGGAGTGACTACCCTTCACTGCAGGACGTTTCAGAACTCCACTCAGACCTTTTCGATCTGCTTCGTGGTGTCCAGATCCCTTTGCAATCCACCTTTCGAACAGCCCAAACCCCACACCGGCTGCAAGACCGCCGCAGATTCCGTACCCCTCAAAAGACACTCACCGTCGGTCGGCTTTCTGAATTTCTCGCCATGAAGTCAAGCTTTGTCAGTGCCATCTTGGCATCCTTGGCCATCGTCAAGGCTTCCGCGGCTCCTTCGCCTGCCGATCCCTTCGACTTTGGCATCAAGACAAACCTCGTCTACCCGAGAACGAACAATGGTGGCAATCAGTACGATAGCAGTAGCAGCAATGCCAATGGCAAGCACCTCAGCTCCAATGGCTCATCGGTGGCGGGCTACCGGCCTCCCGTCTACACTGAGCCAATTCGACCTCAAATCCACTTCTCGCCCACGGTCAACTTCATGAACGATCCCAACGGTCTTGTCTACAGCAATGGAACTTGGCATCTCTTCTACCAGTACAACCCTACCCAGAACATCGCTGGTAACCAGCACTGGGGCCACGCCATCTCGGATGACTTGTACCACTGGAAGAACCTCCCCATCGCCATCGCTCCTGAGAAGGAGGGCGAGGGTATCTTCAGTGGCAATGCTGTCATCGATTTTGAAAACACCACTGGCTTCTTCAACGAGTCGACTCCCAAGGATCTGCGCATTGTCGCCATGTACACGCTCAACACACCCACCTCGCAGACACAGCACCTCGCTTACTCGTCCGATGGTGTCACCTTCACAAAGTATCCCGATGCTGTCATCTCGCGCAATCAGACGCAGTTCCGTGACCCTAAGGTCTTCTGGGACGAGAAGTCTTCGCGCTGGATCGTCGCCCTGGCCCTGTCTCAGAAATTCGGCATTGTCTTCTACGCTTCGCCCGACATGAAGAACTGGACCGAGGTTAGCCGCTTCCAGTCGTACGGTATCCTCGGCTACCAGTACGAATGCCCCGATCTCTTCCAGGTCCCTGTTGAGGGCGGCCCCGACGATGGCAAGATGATGTACGTGCTTGCCATCTCGATCAATCCTGGTGCTCCTCAGGGTGGCTCGTTCGTTCAGTACTGGGTCGGTGACTGGGACGGCACCAAGTTCACCCCTCGTGACAACGCTGTCAGGAGCATGGACTTTAGCAAGGACTTCTACGCCTTCTCGAGCTGGAGCAACAGCCCTGGTAACAAGGCTTATGCGGTGGCGTGGGCCAGCAACTGGGAATACGCTCAGGTCGTTCCCACATCTCCTTTCCGTTCGATCCAGTCTCTTCCCCGTGAGCTTACACTCAAGTACTACCGAACCACGCCTCAGTTCGGTGACTTGATTCTCAACAACCGTCCGGCCAACCTTTCCGTCATCCCCAGCCAGAAGCTATACTCGCACAAGAACCACCACAACAGCGGCAACAAGACTGTTCAGCTCAAAGGCAACGGCGCTTTCGACGTCCAGGCTACCTTCAAGCTCCCCGCCAACACCAATATCACGTACAACACCATCGCTTCGTTCGAGTTCTTCTCCGCTGACGGCAAGCAGAGCGTCAAGACCGGCATCCAGATGGGTGAGCCAGCATTTGCATTCATCGACCGACGCAACGCTGGACCCTCGTTCGCAGCGAGCAACCCCTTCTTCACCGACAAGACATCGGGGATCATCCGCTACGACGCCAACTACGCCGGCTCCAGCAACACTGGCGGTGACCAGAAACAGTACATTCTTGGACCTCTTCTCCCTTCGGCCTATATTGATGCTGAGGGCAAGGACCAGTACATTACGCTGCAGGCTGTTGTGGACAGGTCGGTGATCGAGGTGTTTGTTAACGATGGTGAATTGGCGGGCACTTCGGTGTTCTTCTTTGAGAACGACCAGATTCCGTCGAAGCTCAAGGTGTCAATTGGCGACAACAAGCTCCAGGTGGTTGACCTCGAGGTCAAGGCACTCAATTCGATCTGGAGAGACTGCAAGAAATAAGGGTGAACGCGATCCTTGCTTGCTTCTTCTTAGACTTTCTTCATGTTGCATACTTCATGTTGCATACTTCATGTTGCATACTTCGTTCTTCATCCTTAGACCCATGCTGAGCCCGACTGAATGTCTTGCGTGCTCACTTCCTGTAAAAAAAAAAGCGGCCATAGTTATCGGCACACAAACAAAAGCAAGATCAGTCCCCGATTCTCAGTGTATCGTTGGACGCTTCCGCCAGATGTGTGATCCCGATTTCCGCACCCATGAGAGAGACAAGGAAGATCGCAATTGTGGACCGCAACGATCTTGATCAATCATTTGACTGTTCAGAGCTGGTTCAGAGCGAGCTCGGGAACTCAAAGGATCTCTGAGCAAAAACGAAGCACAGGTCGGAATTCAAGAAGCAAGAACATTTTGCTCTCATGCGCCAAGACAAGGGCTACTCATGATGACGATTGTGCGGGGCTGGTACGGACCGGGTCGCCTTCCCCTCGCTTCCCGAGCGTCTGTCTTTCGATGCTATTCGGCAGACAGGAACGGAACAGGACCGAAGTGATCATGACCGCCCAAGATTGTCCAAGCGTAGCCACAGTACCTTTTGCCACGAGCACGGCACCTGAATCGCCACGCGAGAGCGGCATGATGTTGAAATCTTGGTTTTGCCGATCGCGATATCGATGCGAGCATGACTGTGGGGTTTGAAAGCAAGGGTGCAGGAACCAATCTCTTACACGTCGGTCATTGCTACGGCGCTCGGCCAGGGTCTCGATCTCTGTCCATCGTTTCAAGAAAGTGACATCTATATTCACTGGCATGAGTAGAACTAACTCCCCCACGCGCCCATGCTGAGTCACGAAATGTACGCTGGGAGGACACGCTCTCAGCAATGCAGCGACGTCTGAATGAGTCCTCAGCGTCGAGTGATGGGGGCGTCGATCACTGTCACACACAGCCTCTAGCTAAAACTTGAAACATGCCGCGGGATCGAGGCCATCGTGCTAACGCCAGAGATGTAACTATCAGCAAGCTTTGGCCGCTGTTGTATACGACCGTTTTCCGTGACCAGTCAACCCATCAGGTCGAGGTGCGGGACAATTGTTTTTTTTTTTTTTTCTTTTTTTTTGTTTTTGTTTTTTTTGTTTTTGTTTTTTTTGTTTTTGTTTTTTTTTTTTTTTTTTTTTTTTTTTTTTTTTTTTTGTTTTTTTGTTTTTTTGTTTTTTTGTTTTTTTGTTTTTTTGTTTTTTTGTTTTTTTTTTTTTTTTTTTTGTTTTTTGTTTTTTGTTTTTCCTTTTGACCAATCCATGAAAAAGAAAGTCGAGGCGTGAATAGACTTGCTGCCGCACTTTGTAGGGGTTTTTTCTCGTCTCGAATTCCCACTTGATCATCTCGCCCATCCCCGCACCCCACACTGACCTTGACACCGACAGTGACAAGACTATTGTAAACTAACTGCGATTTGCCGGGGCTTACTCGCTTTTCCCCTTCAATTCGCAATTCGCATTTCGCCATTAGGGCCCCGATGGACCATGCTCACTTCTCCTCGCCATGCAGCACCGGCACGCACGCCCCTTTCAAGGAACGGAGACATTCGCAACCAATCCACGTCAAGATACTGAAGATTTCTGCCTTTCGCTTCTGCACGACCGTAACGTTGTTCCGGTCTTGGCGAACCCGTGTACCTTTTCTGCTTGTCCCATTCCTGACTCACTTCTGCACTGATGCTCGGCTTCAACGCTGTTTGGCTCTTAGTTCAGGCTCCACCGGACCGGATCCCGGTCATTTGCGTTGCTCTTTCACCCAGGATGCAAGCATGTTTCCGATTTTGGTTCTGAACGAGTTTGTTTTACCCGTCCCTTCTACTGCCGCCCGAGCTTGTCCATTAGAGATTCGCCACCAATCGCGCTTTGCTCTAGTCAAGCCTATCTGGGGCTACACCTGCAGCCTCAAGGCCAGATGCGAACCTTCCTTCCTCCTTCATCCGTGCTAGAGAGCAGCGTCGATATCTTCACAGAAACTATATAGACCTTGACTTGACTTACCCCATCCTTCCCCGCATCCCTCAACCCGCATCTCCCCCACACTCGCTTCACCTCCCATACCCTCATCCACCGGGCCTTGGATTCAGACCCTTCTGTGTCGCAGGAGCAACTTTCATCTGAGTCATTTTTCTGCCCTTGCAGGCAACCCATCTTCCTCGATCACCCCACATCGGTCTCACTTTGAACACTGTCAAAGATGGCCGAGAAGCAACAGACTCCTGACCTCGAGGGGGCTCACAAGCTCGCCGCTGTCCAGTTGGTCACGACTGATGCATCGATCCTCGACAAGGAGAGCGTCATCAACGGCAAGCTTTCACAGAACGATATCGCCGTTCTCCCAAACACAATCATTGAAGAGGCCGACGAGGAGGTGCTCAAGTACACTGATGCGTCCGTCACCATCACTCCTGAGGAGAACAAGCGCCTTCTTCGAAAGATCGACAAACGTGTCCTCACCATCATGCTTGGTACTTACTTCTGTCAGTCTCTTGACAAGCAGATCCTCTCCTTCGCTGCCATCATGGGCATTCGTACCGACCTCAAGCTCAAGGGCCAAGAATACAGCTGGCTCTTCACATGTCTCTACTTGGCCATTCTTTGCACCGAAGGTCTTCAGAATTACCTCGTTCAGCGTCTTCCCATCAACCGATGGCTTGGTTTCTGCGTGACTGCATGGGGTATTTCGTGCTGCTTCGTCGCGCTCTGCCATGATTTCACCGGTATTCTGATTCTTCGAATCATGCTCGGATGCTTCGAGTGCGTCTGCCAGCCCGCTTTCGTCGCTCTTTCTGCTATCTGGTACCGCAAAGAAGAGCAGGCAAGGACTATTACTCTTTGGTACTGCTGCAATGGCTTGCAAGCTATGTTCGGTGGCCTGTTGGGCTTCGCTTTCTACCACATTCAAGGTGCTGCACTGGCCTCATGGAGGATCATGTTCCTCGTCCTTGGCTTGCTCACCGTCATCTGGGGCTGCGCTATCGTCTACATCTTGCCCATCTCTCCCATGAAGGCTCGTGGCTTCACTGAAGAGGAGCGAACCAAGGTGGTCGAACGTGTTCGAGAGAACCAAACCGGTGTTCAGAACAGGAAGTTCAAGATGGACCACGTCTGGGAAGCCGTCAAGGACCCCCAGATGTGGGCCCTTTTCCTCATCAACTTGCTCAACACCATCCCCACCGGTGGTCTCGGAAGTTACGGTAACATCATCATCAAGACCAACCTTGGCTTCTCGGTCCTCCAGACCAACTTGCTCGGTCTTGCTCAGGGAGCTTTTCAGATTCTTGTCCTTCTCGCCGCTGCTTGGGTCGCCAAAAAGTGGAACCAGACCATTCTTACTGCTGTTCTGTTCACACTTCCCAACATCATTTCCGCCGTTCTCTTCCTCACAATCCCAAACACCAAGGAGCACGCCGGTGGTCTTCTCTTCGCCTTCTACATGACCATCTGCATCCAGGCTCAGGCGACACTCTCCTTCTCCTTGCTTAGCAGGAACGTTGCTGGACAGACAAAGCGTGCTGTTGTCACTACGGCGACTTTCGTTGGTTGGGCAGCTGGTAACTCAGCTGGTCCTCAGCTCTTCCAGGATAAGGATGCGCCATTATATCGCCCCGCATTTTTTGGTCAACTCGGTTGCTATGTTGCCTCGATTCTGGTGCTCCTTGGGCTTCGATTCTACTACATGGACCAGAACCGAAGGAAGCGTCGTGCCACCAACGTTCTTAAGGGCCGCGCCGAGGATGCCGAGGATCAGATCGATTATTCACAGGCTTTCCTTGACTTGACTGACAAGAAGAACATCAACTTCCGATACAGCTACTAGATGTCTCTCAAAATGCAAATTTGTAAAACTTATTTCATAAAGTACAGTAAATGGTGCACTAAGCGACGCGGGGATGACATGCATTCAACGGTGACTTATCGTGCCTTGACAACGCGTGAAAATTGTTGGAAAAGGAGGCTGAGAAATTGAGGGAAAAAAGGCAACGTTAAATTGCCTAACTCGAGTGAGTTGCTTGCGAGCTCCCAGCCGTGGCCGTAAGGGGCAAGGAAGGGCGAAACTTGACGAAGCGCAGCCTGGAGGCAAGCGCGAAGAAGAGAAGGTGATCGAGAAGAAGGAAGAGGGGAGAGCCAGCGAGACGGCTCAAAGCGTTGCGACGAAATGGAAGGCTGCGCCTTGGTCACGTGCCCCTTCGCTCACCATTGAAAAAATGCGCATCTCTCCATTCGCACGATAATTCTTTTGTTCCAAACACTTACTTTTCGATTGCCTGCAGATTGAAAAGAAAGGGGGGGGGGGGAAAAAGAAAAAAATTCATCAAAGAAAAACAAATTTGAACAATTGTCGACAAGGGTGAACCTCCGGACGAATTGAGAGATGATCATGGTTGAAGAGTAGTTTGCGATTGTCATCGAAGGTTCGTAATAGCGGTGTAAAGACGGAGTTGCAAACTTGGGTGGCCCAATCACAGGCATTGAGCGGGATGGCGGAAGAAGAATTCAAGGATTGCTCATTGGTTTTGCTCGAGCGGCCATTTGAGCTGCCGATGCCGAAATGGCCGATGGCCGAACACTGCCTGCCAAGCTCCCCGAGGTTGTCCCTTTTATTTATTATTTGTTATTATTTATTTATCATTTATTAATTATTATTGTTAATTGATTTATTCTATATTTGTTTATTACCTTTACCCGAACTTTTCTCCATGCCTTGCCTCGCTTGCATGCCCGCCACCGATTCCTCACTTTGTTCCCGTTTTGCTTCTTTCTTCGCCACTTGAACAGTCTCTGCTTTTCTCTCCTTTATGGTGTTGACAGAACTGGAAGGTGGTCGGACCGTTGAGCCGTTCGTACCGACATGTTCCTGCCGAAGAAAACGGCTACCCGGACCGGAGCCCCGCAGCGAACCGAGGCGCCTTCTCCCACTTCCATGATAAATCCGGAGAATTTAAAAAACTTGTTTTCTTTCGCTTTTCGTGGGGATGGACCCTGAGCTCGCCTGATCTCTCAGAGAGGGTCTCTCTCACCAGCCAAAAGTTGGTAAACGACAGACCGTAACACCTGGACACAGGGCTGGGGTCAATCGCCCCAGCTTTATGCCCTTGCTCGGCCTTTTGCTCGGCTAGCTTTCTTGAAACATTCCAAACTGCGTCTTTCTGTCTGCTTGTGACCGAGAGAGGCTCGTGCGGAGCTGTTGAGTTCTTCCGGATCGGATCTCGTTTCCTCGGTGCTGACCAGGTCGGCAGTTGGTTCTTAAGCAACTTGCTTCTCCCATGACCTTCCTTTCCTCCTCATCACCCGTCACTTCTCCGCCGTCGATCCTCCTCTTCCGGCGAATCTGTCTAAAATCATGCTGGTAGAGAGACCTTTGACAAATCTTCAGCCTGCGGGCCAACAGCCTTCGGATGCCTTTGTGCTTACCAACAAGCAGGGTTTCGAGTGGTCGTTGCGCTTCCTCACTCCCACCATCTTCAAGATCGTCGTCACTGGGCCTAACCACCCTCTCCCGCAACAGAGCAACGTCCACTGGTCCAGCAAGCCCCTCGCTGTTTCGTCCAAGGTCAATGCTGCCGCCAAGAAAGCCACCATCAGTGTTCAGGGTCTTACCCGCCATGTTACCGTCCAGTGGGATGACACTCCCATCATTGAGGTTCACGAGAGCATTAAAGGCAGCTCGGAAAAGGTCCGTGTCTTCGCTGACACTCCTCACAAGTCGTACTGCTTCTCTGACAAGGGCTTCATGCGATACACTCGCTTCAACAACCACAACCTCCACGTCGGTATGGGAGAGAAGGCTGCTCCTCTCGACTTAACCCATCGATCTTTCGCTATCTCGGGAAGTGATGCTGCCAGCTACGACTCCTACCTCTCGGACCCCCTCTACAAGCACACTCCTTTCCTCATGTCGCTACCCAAGCCTGTCGACGCCGAAGGCAATCCTCAACCCCTCACTTCGGTCGTCGGTATCTACTCGGCTTCCAACTCGGATGCCAACTGGGATGTCGGCCGCTTCATCGACGAGCCATGGACTATGTTCAAGAAGTACGCACAGCACTGGGGCGGTCTCGAGGAGTACATTCTCTTCGGCGAGCACGCTCAGCAGGTCGTCTCGCAGTTCTCTGACCTTGTTGGTCGACCTCTGCTTGTGCCACGAGACTGGTTGGGATACCTTGCCAGCGGTATGGGTCTCGGCGAGAGTGATGTTCCCATCGCTCAGGAACTCCTGTCTGGCTGGCCTGGTATGTGCAAGGACAACGACATTCCCTGCTCTGCTATCCATCTTTCGTCGGGTTACACTGTAGACGATCAAGCCAACCGTATGGTTTTCACCATGAACACCAAGCGTTACCCTGACTTCGGCGAGATGGTCAAGACCTTCCACAAGGCCGGTATCCGTGTCACACCCAACATCAAGCCATACGTCTTGCAGTCCCACCCTGATTACCAGAAGCTCTACGACGCCGGTGCTCTCTTCTCTGATCCTAACAACGACAACAAAGCCTGCGTGACTCGTATTTGGTCGAGTCTTCCTGGCTTCAACGCCCTTGGTTCGTGGGTGGACCTAACCAGTAAGGCCGGTAGGGATTGGTGGAGACAGGGTGTGCTCGACTTGTGCAAGCTCGGTGTTGACTCGGTGTGGAACGACAACAACGAGTTTTTGCTCTTTGACGATGCTTTCGAGTGCAAGAACGACCTTGTTGGTGATGCCAAGACTGACGGTAATCGTACTGGTAAGCCTACTCCTATCGGTCTCCTTGGTCGCATGACCAACACCGAACTCATGGCAAGAGAATCGCACGACGCTCTCGTCACATGCCACCCTGATCGACGACCTTTCGTGCTCACTCGATCTGCCAATGTTGGCACTCAGAAGTGGGCCGCCTCGACATGGTCCGGAGACAACCGCACCAGCTGGCACAACTTGCGCGGCTCTGTCGCTATGAACCTCAACGCTCAGATGTCTCTTCTCCAGTCATACGGCAACGACATTGGTGGCTTCGCTGGTCCTCTCCCCAGTCCTGAGCTTTTCGTTCGATGGATCCAGTCCGGTATTACCCAGCCTCGATTCTGCATTCACTCGTTCAAGCCATGCAAGGAGGACCCACTGGGTGTCAAGCTCAACAACCTTCCCTGGATGTACCCCGAAGTCGTTGACATCATCCGCAACACCATCAAGCGCAGATACGAGCTCTTGCCGTTCATCAACAACCTTAACTGGCGCTCGCACCTTGCTGCTGAGCCCATGAACACCTGGCTTGGCTGGAACGAGTTTGCTTCCGACCCCGAGGTGTACAAGAAAGAAGTGCTTGAGGGTTTCGACTACTGGATCGGACACGGTCAGCTGCTTGTTGCTGGTTCCTACCACGAGAATGAGCTCACTCGTCGTGTCTACCTTCCTGCAACAGGCAAAGACGACAAGAAGGTGTACTACGACACCAACGCACCTTTCAATGTTTACAAGGCAGGTCAGTGGATCGACAACGTCTCCACTCCTCTTTCGCACTTTGCCATCTTTGCTCGTGAAGGAACCGTTGTCCCTGTCGGTCTTCCTAAGGTCACCCTCACCCAGTCGCAAGGCTTGGCTACGGTCACTTGCAGTGGCACCAAGATCCTCACCGAGGAGGAGGGCGGTCAGGTCGTCCACGATGACTGGCGTGGTGTTGAGGTCTTCCCCTCGCCCGCTGATGCTGTTAGCCCCAGCGACTACACTTATACCTGGATAGAGGACGATGGTGTTTCTGCCAAGCCGGCTGTTGCTGAGATCAAGCTTGAGATCTCTTCGAGCAGGGATGAGGTCAAGGTCAAGGCTACCGCTACAAAGAATGACTTTAAGCCATTGTGGGCCAACAGTCTCTGGGTTATCTTGCCCAGACCAGACACACGAAAAGTGCAAGGCGCCACAAAGACTATGTCTTACAAGGGCCAGACTGCGTACGCCGTCACCGTTGCTGGTCTCTGAGCGCGGCCGCTCATTAACTTGACTCAGAATATAGTTACGTTCCTCAATTCGATCTTTTCACAAACTGATGATGTGATTGCGTGTCCATTCTGAGTCAAACCGCTGATTGAATTGATTGTCGGTGTTGAAAAATCAGGCTCCGTCTGTCGACAAACGGAAAACATCGTTCCAGCTTGTGTTGTCCGGTTGTGCTCCATCCTTCCTCATCTTCAAGGCAACCCTCTCCGCATCGGCAAGGACACGGAGCACGTTCTCTCCGACGAATCCATTAAGCTCTCGATCGGTCCATCCTTTCTCAACAAGCTTGGCTACAAGGTCAGGATAGTGACTCACATCCTCCAAGCCCTTAGGAACCGACATGATCCCATCAAAATCGGTACCAACGCCAACGTGACCCCTTCCAACAATGCTGCTGACGTGTTCTACGTGCTTGACTACCTGGTCCAGATCTTCAGTCCCGCCAATGAAGCCAGGATAGACGTTGATCATAACTACGTGATCTTTCTTTGAAGCTGCGAGTTTATTGAGCACTGAATCAGGCACGTTTCTTTCGATGTCCTTGAGGGCTCTAGCTGAAGAGTGAGACAGCATGACGGGGCCTCGTGTCATGTCGATGGTTTGGAGAGCTGCATCATCCGAAACGTGTGAGATGTCGGGAACGATAGCGAGACGGTTGAGCTCGAAGACGAGATGACGAGCAAAGGGGCTGAGACCGTTCCATCGAGGTGGGTGCTCGCCAGCACTGTCAGCGAAGGCGTTGTGGCATGTATGGGTCAAGGTCAAGTATCGCACTGGGCCGAACGATGTGCTGAACATTGATGCGAACGCTCTCAAGGCAAAGAGAGAGTTGCCGAGTGAGTGTCCTCCTTCGATTCCGATGAAGCTGATCAACTTGCCATCCTTGAAGGCTTTGCGAGCGGACTTGACGTCCGAAACGAGACGGAAGTCCTTGTGATACTTGTCAATCATCTGTTTGATCACGTCGAGCTGCTCTACTGTGTTGCGGACAGCAGGTTGGGATCCAGCATGTTCAAAGTCCTTTCCAACAGCGGCTGAATCGGGGCACTCGACGAAGGCTGACCAGAAGAATCCACCACTCTTGCCTGCTCGGAGCCTTGGGATGTCGACGTGACCCTTGGTAGGATAGCTACCATTAGCGAAGGCCGGCTGGTCAAAAGGAATTTCGTCAAGCTTGTTGTAGTAGAAGTAGCGTGCTAGGGCGGGAACATCGACGTGTCCGTCGATGAGTGGATGCTTTGACAGGAGTTGCTCGGCATACATACGCGAGTTCTGACAGCGCGAGTTTGACAAGGTGGTCTCGTCGCATCGTATATCCATGTTCTGCTGCCATACCGCATATACTGCTTCAGGTACGGACCAGGAGCTGAGAGAAACAAAGATGAACAGAGAGAGAGCTGCTGAGCACAACGCCAGCTTTGCGCGAAGCTTGAGCGACAGCTTGGGCCCTGGTCCAGCGTCTGTGGCAGTCAAAGGAAGATAGCCTTCCTTGGCCCTCTTGTCTAGCGGTATCGGTGGCATGATGAATTGCTGTTTGTTTGATTGATTGTTTGTTTGTCGAGATCCCAGCCTGGCTCACACGGCCGTAAGATGAGGTCAGTCGGTCGATGCAGAAGACAAAATGGAGGTCCTGTTAAATTGCGGGTCAGCGAGGTGGCTCGCTGGCTCAAAGGCTCCCAGCCCGCCGTAAGGGGGCCGATCGAGCGCAGAGAAGAGCGGGTTGTACAGGCGGAACGTAAAGGAGGGAATCGGGTGGGAAAGAAGGGTTTTTAGCAAGGTCGGTGTTGCGTGACTCTTGCGAGAAGAGGAGATGGTGGTAGGAGAGAGAGAGAGAGAGCGAGGAGTGAAATGGAGCCTATATATACAAAATGAGTGGCTGAGTCGGTTTGCGACAGCGCGGAGCAAAACAATCTGACTGAGTAGGTTGTGACACGTGTGGCCTGTGCTCAGATGTGCACGCCAAAATCACGTGCAGCAGAGTCGATGTGGTGGTGTTGCAAGTGAAGGTGGGTCGAGTGTGTGGAGGACGGATGTTGGGAAGGGTCAGAACTCGTCAAGCCTGTCTAGACGGTCAACTCATTTTGCTTCGGTTTATCAATTCGGAAAATTGAGGCTCGATGCCATCTTTGACAGCGAGCGCAAGGATGTTAATCAGTACTTGAGAGCTTCTTTGCTGTGAATCTGTCTGCCTTCGCTCCACATACAAGCATCAATCTTCCCCACCGCCAACAGCGAAAGCCGTTCCCGCAACTGTCATTTACAAGACCGCCTCAAGACGGAAAAACACTCTAGAAAAAATAAGCCAGCAAGAGAACGGCGACAAGCCTCCAGGGAATTTGAACAGGGCCTGACTCTTTGAACAGGACCTGACTCTTTGAAGACTATCGGGCCAAGGACGGTCACGTCTGGGAACACATGCAAGCTTAAGGCGCAAGAAATATTGCCGAGATGGAGGGGACTAGTCCTGAGATGACTTCTCAGCCTTCGTCCAGCGAAGGTGCAGACAGATCAAAGTCAACCTTCGGAGAGGACTCTGGAACAGCTCTTTGACTTTGCAAACTTAGCGTCTTTCACAGAGCCAACGAAGAAGCTGAAGCCCCTCAACTCAGGCCTTTCCGACAAGCTTTGAGGTAAGGGTTGATTGGCATCGCTTTGCGACGAGTTTGAGCTCATTTGGGTATAACAACGCTCAGAGCGTTGCATCCGCGGGGATCTCGGATGCGATCAACTGAGCTCTGCAAAAATTCCCCGAGCGTGCGGGCTTGAGACTCGGCTATGCAGGACATGGCAGTGGCTACGTCAAGATTCAAGACACACAGCCTTCCACCTTGGGCTACAGTTTGTATGACAACCCAGTCGGCATCCTATCCTGGATCCTGGAAAAGTATTACGCCTGGTCGGACCCACGCTGTCCCGCTTTCAACGATGCCGACACGAACGCATTCTCACATTGACACATTTCGGACGAGGACACCCTGACTACGGTCATGATCTACTACCTAACCAACACGATCCACACCTCGTTCTTGCCGTACAAAGAGTCGCACATGTTCGCTAACCCAGATTGGAAGCTGTGGTAGGAAGCAAAGCAAAAGCCTTTTGGGTTTTCGCACTTCAAGTACGAGGCGATCGCGAGACCAAAGAGCTGGCTGATGTCAAGTACCGTCTCAACTGGCAGTTCTACAAGATGCACGACTTTGGTGGACATTTCGCTGCTTTGTAAGTCGTCATCGTCCAAGTCGAGATATCTGAGCTAGTATAAAGCAATCACTGACCATCTTTTTTCCTCTTTTCCTTAATCTGACACGATTGCAGGGACAACCCTGATGCGCTGGTGGGAGACATGCAGGAGTTCGCAAACAAGAACTGGCCTGGCTTCTGATGTTTGATGATGTAGCTAGGCTGTTTTTGCACGCAGAAATGGTCAAATTGTTGTTTTAGGAGTCCATACTATACGTCGAATGTACTGCAACGATGAAACATGTCGAATGCAAATGTGAGTGTCTGTGAAGGCGAGCAGATTACGAAGCGCTGACAAAGTTACGGGCCTTGATCGCTTCCTTGTTTGCCTTCCTCAGAGACTTTCTTCTCCCTTGCTCCACCTGGATCGCTTTCTCCATTTGGTTAGCACGTTTCTCTTCCGGTGTCCATTCGGCCTTCTTCGCGGCAGCGGCGCCCTTTGTGGTTTCCATCCAGGCGTTCCGAGTGGCTCGTTCGGCAGCTTTAGCTGCAGCTTTCTCCTTAGCTAGCTGTGCGGCACGCAGGATCTTGGACTGTCGCTTCTGAGTGGCACGTGCTTCGCCTTTTGACATACCAGCCATCTCAATGGAGGCAAGAGATGAAGAAGAGGCGATAGAAGGGTCATCGAGAAGCTTGAAGAGCCAAGGTGGATATTCCTTGTCCTGAAGCGCAACGGGGTCTGCTTTGTCTTTGTAGATCGAAACACCCTTGAGGATGGTGCCAGGTGGCGCTGCTGATGGGAGAGACGTCGTTTCTGAGGCTGAATTCGAGGACGACGAGGCGGCGGAAGATGAAGGGGATGCAGATGCGTATGTGCGGGAGCATGGCGACAGTCGCAAAGACGAGCCAGAGGCTCTGACAGATCGAGTTGCAGCTCTGAGCATGATGATCAGTATGTAGGGGCGGTGACGAGAGCTTCTTGGTGTTTGGAGATCTTCTGGTATGTATCTCTTGACGATGCAAATGTCGAGCGACCTCGAGTTGGACGAGGATGATGGGAAGGAGCTGCAAGAAGGATCGGAAGCAGTTTGAAGTCGAGAAGAATGCGAAAAAGTGTTGGAACAGGGACTTCTGTCCGAAAAGTGTCCTCACGTGACATTTTCAAACAAAATGTTAGACCTCGTATAAATGCACGATAACATCGTGCTAGCCGCAGCTCGAGCTCACACGATCCGAACATCATGACATTGTCTCACTGTCTCATGAATTGCACGCTCTAGGCACATCTGAAGGTGCGATTTTGATAGCAACAGGAGGAGCGAGATCAGTAGTATGAGTACGACTATCATATTTGTTGGATCGCGATACAAACCATCTAGATGTAATGCTGAGCGAGTAATTGCGGCAAGGTCGTTCAACGGAAGACAGGGGCGAAGTACGATTACGTCGATGCAGAAGCGCCATTTGCGACAGGGTTTGAGCCGTTTGCCGCATTCTGCTGTCGCTCGAGCAGCTTCCTCCTAGCTTCTAAAATCATCTGCTCCTTGCGATCCTTGAGCAGCTTTGCTCTCTCCTCTGGCGTGGTGGCCCAGCTGCTCGGACTGCCTTGGCTGTTGTTGCTGGTGTGTGAGTTTGGCGTTGATGGCAGATCATCGGAGCTGGCTATGCGGGACTGAAGACCGAAGCGAGAGATCAAGTTGGGAGACTTGCTGGGCGTGCTGACCGACGACGCAGATGCAGAGGCGGAGCCGTTGGGAGTGCGATTAGTATTCTGCGCCCGAAGCGTTGCTGCGTTCGGTGTCGATGGCTCCGCAGTACCGAAGAAGCCTGCAGGTGGTAAAGGCAGACCACCTTCGTTGAGAATGCGTTCACAGGTAGCTTCGACGCTACCCGAGCGTTGAAGATCATAGCGGATAGATGCGTCAGAGATGTGCGGGAAAAGGGTCTTGACCGAGTCAACCATGTGTTGTGGGACCTGACGTGTGCGAGCGGTGTTGAGAGCTGGTACCTGATGGCCGCCATTCGAGTTGCTGTTGGAGCCGCCGCCAAACGCGAAGCGCAAGATCGACCAGAGTACGACAATGGCTAGCAGCGCACCAAGACTGTCGTTCATGGTGAAGGAAAACTAAGCGGGCGTGGAATCACAAAGTGGGGCCCTTGCTTTTGCTTGATGTTGTAGATTTGTGGAATGCTCCTAGAAGGAGAGACGTAGAAGCTTATCGGAAGATAGGCCACTGCTACCTCGTGAACAAACGGGCCGGTTCGGAGAGCTGTTAAAGCTTGAGTGTGTCGTTGGAGGATCCTTGAAAGGGTGTGCCGAACGACTACAGGCCAGAATGGTGACTTGGAAGTCTGTGTCGTAACTTGGCGAATGAAAGAGCTGAAGATGCGGAAGAAAGGGTGTGAGTTGGTCTTCATGAAATGGGCGTTCGAGCTCTAAATTGTGGAGCGAGTATGAAAGCGCAGAGTAACACAGCTCTGCTGCTTTCGTCCGCGGCTCAGAAGGCCAGCTGAGTCACGTGAAACCCAGTTAAATTGTCAGATCGTCAGAATCCACATAGCACACACCCCGATTTTGCAGCTCATCTTCGCTCGAAGCCGTCTTCCAATACCACATCCCAGCCAGCAGCTGTGGGCTGCACAATCTAGCTCGTCTCTTTGCTCCTCCTGCGTTCGCACGAGCATGCTCCAACACAGTGTGTCTCCGCACTGAAGAGAGTATTGGCAGCTTGATCTTGTCGTCCGACAATACGCGCTCCTGAGCTCGAATTGCGCCAACCGGATACTCCGGCGAGCTTTATTGCCGGACCAGCAGTCTTGTCCTATTTTTTCCGTGCGACCCCACACGAACTGTTCGGCAACTACATCTACAAAGGAAGGAGGGTCTGGCGTCACAGATGCCCCCAATCCATCCTCCTCTTCTCTCGGTGCCGACTCATCATCAACACCTGAAACTCACCAAACGGCCCCGTATCAGGATCGAGCTGTCGATTCGACCAATTGAGTTTTACATATAGAGTGTTGCAACGACTCTGCTCACCCTCATCTTTCCACGCGTACGCTTCATCACCTTATTGACACGATGCCCACCGACGACTTCCGACCGGCGGAGCTGTTGCCGTCTCTTCAACCTCCCCACCCGCATGTGCGACCCGCCATCCCAATATTAGCCCCACGAGTGGTCTTCACTGCTCCTTCTCAAGACCCATCTTCGAACGGAACACAGCAATGGATCTCGACAACGCACGTCTATCCTGCTGCCTGGCCGCGCTCGCACGTTCGATCTGCGAAATCTGACATCTATGATGCCAAGATCCCAAGCACTTCCCGGCTCGGTCCTCTTCCTTCGGATCCACAAGCAGCCAAGGCGGAACAACGTCGGCGTAGGGAAGCTGACTTCGAACACTGGGTCGGCGTCTGTGGTGGAAAGGAACACGAAGGTCAGCGCAAGGTTATGCGTAGTTTACGTAGCGGCTGCTTGCAGTCTGGACACACACAGCGAATCACTGAAGCAAGAACAGCCAACGAGGCTCAGCTCTGGATGACCGTCAACCGCATTGTTCCCGCTCAGCTCGGGTCCGATGCCAAGCCAAAAACGAAGGATACGAGACAAGGTATCACACTGGTCATGGCACATGCCAATGGCTTTCACAAGGAGATCTTTGAACCAGCTCTTGAAGCATTGGTACAAAAGCTACAGACCGAGGAGCTGCGAGGCAAATATCGCATCGATGAGATCTGGAATTTTGACTGCACGCATTCGGGCCAGGCAGGTAGCATCAACCGTGACATCCTCGGAGACACCATCAGCTGGGCGGATCATCCACGCGACATGCTCAAGTTCCTCGAAAACTACTTGCCTAACTTAGCTTCCGACCCCAACGCTCCTCCGTCGTGGCTTCCCACCTTTCTTCCATCGCACAAGGCTTCTTCACCAACAGCCAAGCGCCGCTTGATAGGTCTTGGTCACTCCTTCGGCGGAGCTTCGATGACCTTCCTCCTTCATGCGAGGCCACGCATGCTTGAGGGTCTCATCCTCATCGATCCCGCCATCATCCCATGCGAGGACGAGGAGCGCCTACAGTTCGACAAGCTCCCCAATGAAGTTTGGCCCGCTCTCACTGATTTTCCTCTCGCAAAAGGCGCCGTCGCACGCAAGGACACCTTCGACTCACTTCCCGACGCGAAAGTCTACTTCGAGTCAAAGCCTTTCTTCAAGGTCTGGCACCCGCGTGTCCTCGACCTCCATCTGCGTTTTGGTCTCCGCCCCTCAACGTTACCTCCTTCACGCGCTCTTGCAGTTGATGACGTACAGGAGAACGATCTCAAACGCACACCGCTAGAACTCAATAACACAAAATGGCACGAGGCCGCTGCTTTCGTCTCAACTTGGATGGGCTACATCGGTAGAAAAGGTATGCTGGCTACAGACCACGGTGCTTGGGTCGGTGTGGTTAACATGAAAGGAGGGTTTGACAACAAGGGCCTTGCAGCCGACATCGACGGTCTTGAGCGTGGTATCAGCTTCACCATCGAGGGCAACCACCTAGTCGCCCAAGAAGAGCCCGACAAGCTCGCAGATGCTCTCGTCAAAGTGCTCAAAGTGCAGTCGAGTCCGCAAGCTTTCAAGGAAGAGAAGCTGCATAGAAACGTACAGAAGCCAAGATTGTAAACTGACTGGAATCGCAATATACCATAGAGTAACCATAGGCTGTCGTGTGAGACTGAGTGCAACATGCTGCCCTTTCAAGGAAGCAAAATAGCGAACTCGATGATAAGCCATGAATTACGGCGAAGAGGTACAATGGCATTGCCGTATGCTGCGCTGGTAAGCTCGTCAAGGACAAAGTGATCAGACAGGGCCGCAACGAAGCCACTGGCCAACTCACGGGCAGTGCAGAATGATAGTCATGCGCATGACGGCGGGCTAGACAGGACTTGCTGCAAGATCGGCTCGCAGAATACGTCCGAACCACACGTTGTGAATGCTTGCAGCTCTCCAGGAGAACTCGCATCGGCATTGTGCTTCGAACGTGCGGTCCCAAATTGGCAAGTGGACCCTGAAAACGTGCTCTCCCTCTCTATGCACAGTTTGCAATTCGGCCGCTCGCTTGGGGTCGTACAAGCCTCGGCAGCGTTTCATCGTATGTTCCTTGTCCTAGCACTTGCTTCTTTCTGTTGAGGCGACTAGCGGATCGAACCTTGTGTGTCAGGAACGTTCGAGTCAGCAGTCACAAGAAGCATGGCTAGGATAGGAATTGAGCAGGATGTACGGGTCAAAGAAGTGTTCGACAAGGCCTGATCGCGATATGCAGCTGTTTGGAAAGTTCACGTTTCGCTTCGAGCAGCCTAAGAAGCGATATTCGAGCTCTCTTTGCCTTACGATACGTCCACCAACTGCTCCTCCTCTACCGGCTGCCCCGGCGGCAGCCTCTATACCCCTCCCCTTCCCTGTCCTTTCCCAGTCGAACGAAGATGGTGAACGAGATGTCGAACGACATAGAAAAGCAACCCTTCCCAGACACCAAACATCCCGCTTCCCTGCCGCCACCCACATCTACATCCACTGCTCCATCTCTCCTCTCCGTTCTGTGGTATATGATGAAGGTGGTCGCCTCCCTGGCCGCCCTCCTGGGTCTGGTCAAGCTCGCATCTTCTTCTCCTGCCCGCTACTTTCCGCGCGATTCTGCCCCATCATCAGCTCCGTCTCGAGCAGGAGACTTCCACCAGCAAACTTCGGCCTACACTGCAGCAAGCGCTTTCCCTACCTCGCTCTTTGCTTCGTACTACAACGATCCCGCATCGATGACTGCTGAGCCTCGTCCTGTGGTCGCTGACGTCGCACGTAACTCTGTCTTCTCCGATCTCCTCGCCAACCCCACCATCCTACCACTCGGACCTTCGCCTTCTGAGGCCGTATACCCGCTTCCCACCGGTGCAGCTTCACCGGATATCGCATCTCAAGTCCGCAAGGAGCTCAGCGACATCTTTAGCTCGACCAACGCCAACTGCACAAAGTGCACCGATGCTCTCAAGGTCGCACAGAAGCTCACCAAGCAGTCACCCAAGGAGGTCCCCGGTATGCTTGTCGAGATGTGCAAGAAGTACAGCTACAAGTCCAGCTCAGCTTGCGAGAAGACGTACGCTCCGCAAGTCCTCGGATCTGTCTACGCTCAGGTGCTGAGCTATGCCGACTTTTCCTCGTCGAACAGCACCGATGCTCAGTACATCTGTAACATCGTTGTCGGCTCTTCCACTTCCAACTGCACTCTTCCCAAGCCTCGTCACCTTGACGAGAGCTTCCTTGACAACTGGTTTGGTAGTAAACGTACTCTACCTGCATCGTACAACCGCAACGTAGGCGAGCCGACCGAGAATGGGAAAGATCTCCGTGTGCTGCATATGTCGGACATCCACGTCGACCCACGCTTCTTCGTCGGCGGTGAAGCTTCATGCACCAACGGACGATGCTGTCGAGCTGATGCATACAACTCCACCCTCAGCAACGGCAACTTCACACAGGGAATGCTGCCCAAGTCCAACATCTCAGAACCTGCTACATACTGGGGCAACTTCAAATGTGATGCACCCTGGAGTCTCGCCATGTCCTCTCTTGAAGCTGTTACTCCCCTCAACGGCGGAGAAGAGGTCGACATGACCATTCACACCGGTGACATGGTCGTGCATGATCTTGCGCAGTATATTTCGCAAGATTTGGTCAAGTACACCCACCAAGCGCTGTACGACAGTATCCGAGCATTGCTGGGTAAAGGTCCAGTCTTTAATGCTATCGGTAACCACGATTCGGCACCGTCCGATCTCGCCTCACAAGATGCACTACCGGATGGAAGGTCCGATCAACTTTCTTGGGACTGGGACAATCTTGCTCGTCTCTGGGAAGCTGAGGGGTGGTTCAACCACAAGGAGGCTGAGCAAGTTCGTTCTCACTATGCTGGATACTCGGTTACTCCGCGAAAGGGGCTGAGGATCATTGCGATTAACACTGACTTTTGGTACAAGAACAACGTGTTCAACATGATCCATACTCAAAACCCTGACTATTCGGGCAGTTTGCGGTTCCTGACGGACGAACTGTTCCGTGCGGAGAAGCACGGAGAACGGGTCTGGATCGTAGGTCATGTGCTCACAGGATGGGATGGAAGCAATCCCTTGGACAACCCAACCAACCTGTTCTACCAGATCGTAGACCGATTCGCACCGCATGTCATCGCACATATCTTCTTCGGTCACACCCACGAAGATCAATTCAACATCTTCTACACCAACAACGCTACAAGCAAAGCAGCTTCTGCTGCTAAAGCTGTCTCTTTCATGGCTCCCTCTATTACTCCGGGTAACAACGTCAATCCAGCACTACGAATCATGCATGTGAACGCGACAACCTACGAAGTTGTTGACTATCATCAGTTCTACACTGAAGTTCCCACTTTCCCTGGGTTGCTGGAGACAAGTCACGGACCAGTGTACGACTATCTTTACTCGGCAAGGGATGCGTATGGTAACTTTACCGCTTCGAATGGGAACTCAACGCATCCTGTCCCGGGCGGTGTTTGGCCGAAAGATGCTCCGTTGAACGCCACTTTCTGGGCAAAGCTGACAGAGGAGATGGCGGTCAGGAAGGAGTTGGTGCAGCAGTTTACGGTGTATCAGGGTAGGAATAGTCCGAAGAGTCCAAAGTGTACGAGTGATGAATGTGTGAAGGCAAAAATCTGTTATATGCAGTCAGGATCGGGTCCGTTGGGGAAACAGTGTATTCCTGGTTATGCTTCTGTTCAGTCCGAATAGGCACCCTCGCCATCACAGACGCGTTAGGTGTACCACTTCACAGAACCGCTTCGTGATAGAATTTAGAACATCCTCAGACGCACAGGCTCAGGCGTGAAATGTGTGAGAGAAAAATGCTTTCCGTGCCAAGAGAGTGTGAGAGAGAGATCTAAAAGTACACCGAGACCAAAGGATATATATGAAGAGATTAAGCAAAATGTAATGGGAAAAGAGAGGCTAAAGTCATCGAGAGAGAAGAGGGGTATCCAGCGCCGTATCTTTTTCCGTTTTCCTTGCCGTGGAGTGAGGTTTTACTTGCGAGCAGAAAGCTTTTCCTGTTCGACCATAGCTCGGATGTCCTTCTTAAGGATCTTACCCGATGCAGACTTGGGGAGGGCATCGAGCCATGTCAATCCATGAAGCTTCTTGTAGCTAGCGTTGACACGACCGTTGACGAAAGCAAGAAGCTCCTTTTGGAGTTGCTTCTTCTTTTCAGCGTCATCACCAACTTGCTCTTTGGTTTTGGGGTTGAGGACGACGAATGCCCATGGAAGTTCTGTGCCTTCTGCGTCAGGGACGCCGAGAACGGCACAGTCGCCAACACGGTCTTCTTTGAACAAGAGAGCTTCGAGTTCCGAGGGAGGCACTTGGAAACCGTTGTGCTTGATTACGTCCTTGAGACGGTCGGTGATGGTGACGTAGCCTTCCTTGTTGATTTTGACAATATCACCGGTGCGAAGGAAGCGGTCAGGAGCGTCGACGGAGGGGATGAAGGTCTTGGCGTTGGCTTCGTCGTTGTTGAGGTAGCCTTGCATCATTTGGGGGCCGCGGAGGCAGAGTTCACCTTCCTCGTCAAAGCCGACTTCTTTCCCGTCCAGACCGATGACTTTGGCTTCGGTGCCGGGGACAAGCCGACCGACAGTGCCGGGGTAGTGTTTAAGATCCTTGTTGTTTTGACTGCAGACAAGGGGAGACATCTCGGACATACCGTAGCCGTCGGTGGAGAGGATGCCGAGACGCTTCTTGACAGCATCTCGTAGCTCGAGTGGTAAGGAAGCGGCACCGGAGCTGACCTTGGTCAACGAGCGAAGATCGTACTTCTCAACGCTGGGGTGTTTGGCGAGAGCGAGGAGGATGGGAGGAACGACGAAGCAGAATGTGACTCGGTAGTTCTGAACAGTGGAGAGGAAGACGTCAAGCTGCAATCGTGGAAGCACGATGCGGGGAGTGCACGTGTGGAGACCCATGAAACCCATCAAGAGACCGTAGCAGTGGAAGAGAGGCAACAAGTCAAGGTGGAACTCGCCGCGACTGAGACGAGGAGCGAGCTGAAGACCACCAAGTTTGTCGGTGACAGTGTTGATGGTGTCGGCAGCAGTGTTCCAAGTCTCGGCGAGGCGGGTGGTAAAGTAGCCACGGAGGTGCTCGCGACCGTCAGCGTACCAGTTGCCCTCGTCAAGGAGAGGGTCGTTAGTACGGTCAAGCATGGAGTAAGAAGCCTGGATGACGTTGGCAACCATAGCATAGTGCGAAAGCATGACAGCCTTGGGACCACCGGTAGTACCGGAAGAGAAGCAGAAGACGGCGGTGGTGGTCTTTGGGTCGACCTCGACATTGTCCAGCAATGCGCGGGTCTCTGGCAACTCATCCTTACCGACCTTGAGGATCTTGGCGATGGAAGACGTGTGGGACTCTTCGAAGACGAGGATCTCAGGAACGGAGGTGAGGTGCTCAAGACCGTCCTCGCCCTTCATGGCAGCCTGACGAGCGGCCTCTTGGGTGGACTGGTAAGATGCCTGGGTGGTGATGACAGCAGTGGCCTTGACCATTCGGATCTGGTGAGCAATCTCGTCTGGCTTGTAAGCGGGATTGAAGAGAGCGACACTGGCACCGGTCATCATGATACCGAGAGCGCAGGCGAGGTAGTCGTGCTGGTTGGCAGCGTTGATACCGACGACATCGCCCTTGCCATACTTGCGACCGGATTCGGTGGAACCCGAGATGAGTGCCGAAGCAAGGTTGGTGGCATATTCGCGAGCGTCGACAAGAGAGAGGGGCTTGGCATCAGGGCGGCCAGAAACCTCAGGATCAGCGGGGTAGAGGAGAGGTGCGTTAGCTCGCTTCTTGCATGCCGGGTTATCGATGGGCTTGAAGAGGAACTGGGGCAGAGTGTAGTTGGTGGGAGCGGTGAACTGGCGAGGCGAAGTGATGATCGTTGTACCGTTGTCGATCTTGAAGGTGCGGTTGTAATCTTTTCGGGCAGCTTTGAGAACGCCGAGCGAGCCGAGAGATGCAGCGAGGATGGCTGCATAGAGTAAGACGGGATGAAGCGAGGAGGATCCTGAATGGGATCCAGAAGACGTCGAGAAAGCGACGGATGAAGATGTGGAGGAGCTTGTGAAAGCTTGGAGGTAGTCGGAAAGGTGATAGAAGGAGTTGCGAAAAGAGTCGAGCATGTTGGAAGGGTTATATATGAGTTCCTAGCAGGGGTCGGAGTATGTAGGTGCACGGACGAGTGTGCTCCACCCGGATGGGTGAGCGATAGGCAGATGCCGAGGAAGACCACAAGCGAGTGTACCAGCGAGGCTGAACCTTTGGAGAGGCTGCAGAGACACGGCGAGCACAACGCAATGAAGAAGCTTGGCAAAGAGCGACACACATGCACAGTGAAAAGAGGGCACAATCTGGACGAGCGAGGCGAGGCGGAGATTAAAGGATAGGGACGGCGTCGACTGATGAGAAGGTATAGCTTAGAGCTGGTGCTGGCGGCAAAGGTTTGTGTCTAGGAATGGGAAGAGCGAAGGAAATGAGATGGTGATAGGAGATGAGATGGTGATAGGAGATGAGAGATGGGACAAGGACAGACGAGTGGAACACAGGAAATGGACCAAAAGGCCGACTAACTACAACGGAGCGTTCCGACGTCAAACAAGGTTGGGAGGAATACAGCCGAAATACTGTTCTCACACCAAGAGGGAGAGGCGAGAAAGCCAAAGAGAAGATGATCCGTGCCTCTTGCTGCAAGCGTGAAAGGAACCAAGCCAGCCGCCCAATTCCTGCGTGAAAGTGCAGTTGGAAAGTGGAGGCGTGACTGTTCCGGTTCGGATGTGCCGCTTGGAGAAATTTCAGCTTTGAAAAGTGAACAGGACGGTGTAGAAAGATTTGACTCTTATCGACGCTTATCGGGCGATGTCAATCTAAGCACAGTGTTTGCGCTTTTGAGCAGAAACACTATACCATGTATATTGACCTGAGAGAAGAACGTAGCGGGAGCATTCCACTTAATGACAAAGTCTGTCAACGAGCGGGACCCAGCAGTCCCCCGATCCCCACTAATCGGCCTTGCCCGATCTCTGATCAGATCGACTTTGGCCGATTCGTCATCAGATCGGTTCTGCCCGATCTCTCGCAACATCGACTCATGTCACTCTTCGCGTCCTGCTGGATCGTTATCTTCAGCAGACGGAAGGGTCAAAATTGAAATAGATGCTCCACTTCGTTGAGGCCACGATCAGGCTCTCTTCGTAGCCGCCACGCGAATACATCTTTTCTAAGTTACTTTGCGACTACTCGCCGCGATAGACAGGCTCACGCTTCTCCGCAAACGCCTTGAGTCCTTCCAATCGGTCCTTGGTGCCGAGGATTGTCTCATAGCACTGTCGCTCAAAGTCAAGTGCTGTTTCAGGATCCATCTGTTCACCCTTGTCGATCGCAAGCTTGGCCGCTCGTACCGCCAACGGTCCTGTTAAAAGGCAGGAGCAAGACCAAAAAAAATAAATTGTGTCAGTGTTAGGTTCGCCGAATTTTCGAGACAACGATTTTGTTCCGCTTTCGGACGCTCCTGCCTTGGTGTCGAGTTGAGATTGTAGTTCCTTTCTTCACCACATGTGTTAAGCATGCTGCGATCATACTCTGATGAGCTGCAATCCCATCAGAGGACATTGTCATCAGCCGGAATCATTTTCCCTGCTGATCCGAGCTTGCTGTCGACCCCTTGCGCCCTCGGCACTCTATCCCGCACCATCCAACGATAGATGCGGTTGAGATGAACGAGGTCGTACGATGCTGTCTTTCTTCTATTCCGAGCAGATCCCAGTGGTATTCCGAGTTCTCCAGCGTGTTCCGCAGCCACCCGATCCCGCATCGATTCGGCTTAAGTGAAAGAGAGCGAGTTCGGCGCGACTTACCATTCTTAGCAAACGATCGAGCGAGCTGTACGCCCTTTTGGAAAGCAGCTGTACTTTCACCTTCCTGAGCCACAATGTCGACAAAGCCAATTCTACTTGCCTCGACAGCATCGACCAGCTTGGCACTGAAGATGAGCTCCTTGGCACGCGCAGGTCCCACCAACCTTGTTATCCTGCTCGTACCGCCAGCACCAGGAATGATACCCAGCTTAGTCTCTGTAAGACCGAGCTTGGTGGCAGCAGGACCAGCAATACGCAAGTCACACGTAAGAGCCAGTTCCAGACCACCACCCATGGCCAAGCCATCCAGACAAGCAACGGTAGGCATGGGCAATCTGGAGACGTTTGTAAACACTTTGCGCAGGCCAAGCAGGAAAGCGTCTACTTCAGGCTTCGACATTCCTTTGCGTTCTTTGAGGTCTGCACCAGCGCAGAAGGTGCCTGGAACCGACGATCGTATCAAGAGTGTGCGGACGTTGCTGGAGGTGAGAAGCGAGCTGACGTGCTGGTCCATCTCAGCGAGCAGCACGCGAGAAATGGCATTCTTGGCGGGAGCACGGTTGAGCGTCAGTACTGAGATATGCTCATCGTAAGGCGAAGTCGAACCAAACTCGCTCTTGGCAATGTCTGAGAGATGGGAGAGTGTTACAAGTTGAGATGGGTCGGTCGCTGTCGAGTAGCTTCTAAGTACCGAGGTTGAACGGCTGACGGTTGAGCAACGCAGCGAGGCGGCAGCGAAAGTTGCGCTCGCCAGAGCTGGTCGGAGCGAGAGCATACTTATGGTGATGATCAGCGCGCTCAAGTATGTGCAGATGCGAGAAGTAAGTGTGCAACAAGTGTCGACGTCGACGAGCAAGTGTTGGTCTCTGTCGGTCCAAGCGTTTACCCCGCAACAGCTGCCCCGGGCGGACCGGTCAAGGGTCTATCCAACTGAGCCGGTATACCCGAATGCGTTGCCACGAATCGGGTTGAAACTCATGCAGTATCGCGATTATATCGGGAATTTGAAATTGCACCTTCCTCTTGTTGCGGTCGGTCCAACAAAGTGTTGGTCTGGAGGCGAAGGCGGCATATAAAGCTCATGGCATCAGATACTTGCCTCTTGATTTCTTTCCCTGAGCGACAGCAGCAAAAACATCTGCATGTCGCAACCGGAAGAACACCGCATCAACCAAGGCGATTGGTCCAAGGTCTACGGCGAGCCCACCACCAAACCAGGCTCAATCAGCGTCGACGAACTCACATCTTGGTACGCCGACAAGACCCCTGGCAAAGACTTTGTTGTCATTGATGTGAGGCGTGCAGATTGCGAGGTAAGCAGTCTCCGACACTGACCTTTGCAACATCGATGTGCTTCACTAACATCGCTTGTTTGCGTCTCTGCAGTATATTATCCCAGGAGCTATCAACCTTCCAGCCCACTCGATGCCAGCGACATTGCCGACAATGGTCAATATGCTCTCGACCATTCCGAAGCTCATCTTCCACTGCAACTCGAGTAAACGTCGAGGAACAAGGACGGCTGGATGGGTAGCAGATGCGCTTGTAAAGGTGCACACGCAGGCAGGAGCGTCCGAGGCACAAGCAGATGAGAGTATTGCAAAGCAGGTTCTCATCCTTACGGGTGGCATCAATGCCTGGACAGAGAAACATGGCAAGCGTCGTTTCGAAAGCAGAGGTCAGCCTTGGGATGGCAAGTCGCTGGCCACGATTCCGCTATAGGTCGGGATCGAGGCACAAAACTGTAATGCAATGGTAATCTGCGCACTGCGCATGAATCTCTGTTTACATACCCTCAATCATCTTTGAGAAGGTGAGCTGGGCGGCTTCTTTGAGTCGGATGAGGATCAGAACTTGCCAAGGAGCAAGTTACCGATCATCTCTCGAGCAGTGATCCAAACAGTGACACCAAATGTAGGGAAATCAAGGGTGGAGCTGAGCACGTCAGCAAGACCAAAAGGAAGCATAGGAGGGATCCAGCCCTGAGCCAACTCGAGAGCCCAGCAGCCATCTTCGGGCATCATATACTGCTTGACCAGTCCTCGGCGAAGGTGGTGTACCGAACCAGCAGGGTAGTGCTCAGCCTTGAGTGCACCAGCAGGGAAAGCATACTGGCTACCAGTGAGGATGTTGAAGTAGTCATCAGCCTGTCGCGTCGCAATCCAAATAGAACATGAGTCAGTATATGGAAACCTCTCTTCATCATACCGGGGCTGGTATGGAAACTTACAGTGTGTCGACCGGTATGACCCTCAGTACCAACCGGAGTACCGAAGAAGATCAAGTACTCGGTAATCGAAGCATGAATGATGTACATGCTACCCATAGCACCACCTGCATTGTTAAACATCCACTCGGACTCTACGCTAAAGTGGTTCTTGTTGATGTAGGGAGCTGTCTTGGGGTCTGCACGGAGGTGGTCGAGGATCTCGTCAAAGATAGCGGTTGCGTTGCCTGGGTGGTTTGCAACAGCTGTTGAAGCGACCTTGTGGATCTGCTTGTGGTCAAAGATGTAGAAGTTGGATCGAATCGAGTCGAGAGCGGCGATGAGGGCGCAGAAACCGACAATCAGAGCAGAGAGCAAGACCGAGGTGCGCTTGGGAGAGGCCGAAGCAGCATTGGCAGTTGCCTTACGAGGTCGGTGCGAGGACATGGTTGTAGATGAAGCGAGAAGTTCAAGGGCAGGAATGAAACACAGATCGAGAAGGTGAAACGAGAAGGAACCGTGTAAAGACCGTGTAGATAAAGAGAAGAACGAAGTTGTGAGGAAGTGATGGTGATGATATTGGCTGGAAAGTGTTGGTCTTTGTGTGCTTTCTTCTTGATTTCTTCGAGCTGATGTCAGGAACAGAAGAAATAAAAAGACGAGGCAACAACAAACAAGTCGAACCCGAAAAAACGCCCGATTTTTGGAGCACCACAACTTCAAGGCAAAAATCAGACCACTCTCTCCACATGTTGCCAATCCACGCAAAACAAAGACACATCATCACTCCCCGGAGTTGGTGTGCTGTGAATGCGGCTTCATAGCTCAAAGGAGAAGATTGTCAGCTCCGTTCGGGACCGTCTGACGTTGCTGTCGAATGCCCGAAGAGCTATGTGATATTTAGCCAGATCACGAGCCAGGTCACGAGCCAGATCACGAGCCAGATCACGAGTGTTACATCGTCTTCGGCTGACAAGATTTGGAATTTTGCGACGTTCTTTTCTCTTGATAAAGGACAGCTGAAGTTCAGGGTCTCTCTGATGTTGTGGAACGCTGAGAATAATACTCGCGGTTTTTGCTTGTGAAATTGGAAATGTCAACTCAGCCAGCCAAGCAGAGCGCTATTTTGAGATCTGCCAACAAGCAAGCGAACCTTTTGTCCCTGTTGCTCATAGAAGGCCATTCAGGAGCCGCTGTCCCTGCATTCAGGCACGCCCGTTCCTGTCCGGCGCTTATACAGTGTACTCAAGCTAGCTCTATTCGACGACACCAAGTCTGACGAGCGTGACCCCGTCCCTTCTCTTGCTATCATTCCTCCATCTGACACGTCCACCTTGTCCGAACTTCGAACATTATACCCGACGAACATACCCCTCTCGTCACCTCATCTTCCACACATCATGACAGTCATCGCACAGCCTGTCTCCGCCCTCAACGCGGCATGTACCTCGGACGAATACGTGCTTGACCCATGCAAATCGCTCCCAGACTACCGACGCGAGATCTACGACCTACTCCAATACCTTGATGAAGAGCAAGATAAGATCGAAAAGCAGCTCGCCCGCTTCTCCTCTTCCTCCACAAACGCGAACAAACAGCCAAAGACACGGCGGCCCTCCATCTCTTCCGCTAACAAGCGCGACGACCATGGTGCCTGCTCAGAGTCGGAAGACGGCGACGACGATTTTGTCGTTGTCGAAGATGTCAACGCAGCGAGTAGGAAGAAGCAGCTTTTGACTCAATTGCAGCAGCTTTGGAGGACAAGAGACGCGCTGAGGAAGCGTGCAAAGCAGCTCAATATCAGGATCGATAGCTTGACTCACGGCAAAGGTTCCGGTCTCAAGCCTACCGACGAGCTGATCCAGACCGGAGTCCACTTCAATGGCCAGGATTTTGGCGAGGAGTTCTGATTGCAGGTATAAAGTTCAAAAGCGACATCGATTGTTGCAATTTCCCCTGTCCAGCTATATAGAGTTCCGTACGCTCGTCTGTCACATATCGCATGGCAAAGTTTCTTCATCTTCGCCTTCAGTTGTCGCGGTAATTCAATACCCTTGTGCACGCTTCACACTTGCGATTCGGTGTCATTTGCTGTGATTGCTACTAAGCACTAACCTAAACATCGTACAAGTTCATCCCATTGAGGATCTGCATCTGCATCTTCGCCTTCACCCTTACCCTGATCGCTAATCGTCTTGAGACAAGCCAAGTGCCGCATCGTCGGTCTGCCATGTGGACAGTTCCACGGCTGCTCAATCGTTCCCATATTCCGCAAGATCGCGCTCATCTTCGCCTTGTTCAGCGCAGTTCCGATCATGATCGATTTCCTACACGCCCTGCTAGCGAACATGTTCCTCGCTTTACTGCAGCGTATTCTCCGTGCTGCTTCCGACCCTGCGCTTGTGTCTCTTAGTAAGAAGAGTAGCTCTTCGAGATCTTTGACACCAAAGACGGTGCTCTTGCTGATTGGCTGGGTGACGAGCTTCACCCGTGTCCCAGGCAGTCCTGTTTCTGAGACGGAGATCTCGAAACCGTTCGCGAGTAGCGTGTCTTGGTGTTCAATCGCGACTAGTTCGTCAGAAGCAGACAGCTCGAGCAAGCGTGGAGAGATGAGCTTCTGTGACCGGATGGTGGTGGTGAGCTGGAGCGTTTCGAAGTTGTACTTCTCGTCTGATGCGTGCTGGTCGACAATGAAGAGGTCGTCCATGTCGTCGTAGTCAGTGCGGCGACGAGCGATGATAAAGCCAACATTGAATTGGCCGACGACTTCCATGGTCGAGAAATCTTCTTTGTGGATGACGCGAGAGAGTGCTTGTTCGACTTGGTTTTCGTCTTGATTGGAGACTCCGGCTCCTTGCAACAGCTCTTCATCGCCGGATGCTGGGAGACTCTGGGAGGCTGATTTGGATGCAGACAGAGCAACGGCTCCTTTTCGGGCTTGCAGCCTTTTTTGCAGACCAGTAAGGTCGAAAAGGATATGCGCTCCGTCTGTCACATCATCATCAATGGTAAGGGAAGACTGTTGCATAGCAGCAAGCCTGTTCGACAGCGGCTCCTCGTCTTCTTCGTCCATTGGGACGTCAAGGCCAGCTTCTTCGGCAGCTTTGAGAGCTGGAGCAGACTCCTTCTCTTCCTCCTCGTCAACTGTGGAACTGTCTTCCACCTCGTGCTCAATCGCCATGGGGATCGACTCTGCTTCCTCCTCACCAGCTGCCATCCTGCTGGACACGGGCAGATCGTTATCCATCTGGGATCCTGGAAGCGCGAACGTCCGCAGAGAAGCAAGCACATTCCGAGCCTCACTTCTAGACCGATCGGATGAAGGCGATTGCAGCGACCTCGATGGTCCAGGAGGAGACTGTGCGGTGCGAGGCTTCTTTGATGGTGACCAAGAAGCCTGGCTAGTATCGAGAACTTCTTCGTAGTCGCGCTTTGAAGAGGCGCGTGCGGAGGAGTCAACCTCAGGAACAAGCGGGGCTGGCACATCGGGCTCGCTGCCATCGTCGTCATCCATTGGATTCGCAGCGCGTCGCGGGAGTGGTAGTGCGGGTGAATCTGACTCCTCACGATACTCGAGATCCTTTTCCTTTGCTGACGATGCGAGAATCTTCAAAGGTGGCGGCATCGAATCCAAGTCCTCGTCATCGCCTTGACCGACCCATCCTGCAGCATCCTCTTCGTCATGGACGTTTTGATCCTCTTTATCGTCAGCCTGACCGAGCCATACCGCGTCTTCCTCTTCGCGATCATCCTGAACCTCCTCTGGCGATGCTGCTGAGCTTGACCTTCTCGCTGTCGATGTGAAACTGCTCAGCTTCGACTGAGCGCTTAAGCTTGTGATCCCGTTGCCGTTCCGAAGTGAGTGACTTGCTCCGTTGACCAAGAAAGTCGCCCTACTAGGCGCAAAGAGCTCGTCGAGCGCCTCCTTGACCTTCTCGATAAGTCGACTCTCCTCGTGCAGAAAGATGGTCCGCTTGTCAGGGCTGACGTTGACATCGTACGAGTCTGTGGGCAGTCGGAAGTCAGCGATGACAAAGGGAAAGTGATTCGAGTTGAACGACTTGTACACTTCGTTGAACGCTCGACTGACTCTGCCTGCTTCCCAAGGTCGACCGTTAATGTAGAAGAACTGACGATCGGAAGAGGTGCGACCTGAACCATAGACCGGTTTGCTGATGAGACCTACGACGGTGACTGTTGATGTTTCGTCTTTTTCTTCCTCTCCATCTGCGTCCTGCTCGCTTTGCCTCGCGACGCTCTGCAGATACTTGTTGCGAGCTCTGGCCACCGAGAACGTGAGCTCGAGGTTCAACGGCATCAATGTAGGAGCAACTCTCGCACCGAACAAAGCAGACACATTGGTAGAAAGGTAGTTGTAAGCGCCCGAAGAGTTGACGCTGAATTGCGGAGTCTTGCGACCGCTTGCTGGAGTGTTGGTGGTCGTCCAGCGGACTCCTTTTGTGATAAGCGCGTAGGCTTGCAATAGATTCTGCGCCTTGGCGTATTCTCGTTTAAGGTTTTTCTCGAACTCCTTTCTGCGCACTGGTAGGGTCTTGAAGAGACCCTCGATGGTGATTGTCGTGCCACGCTGTCTGGCGGCTCTGCCGGCGTCGCTTTCGACTCTGCCTCCACGGTCGAGTCGTAAGATGGTGCCCATAGGAGCCTGCTCAGAGGTTGCAGTGTGGATCGTTACCTTCGCCAAGGCGCAGAGAGAGGAGAGCGCTTCACCACGAAAGCCGAACGTTCGTACAAGAGCTAGGTCTGAGAAGGATGAGAGCTTGCTGGTATAGTGCTTGAGAGCGACTGAAGCGTAGTTGGACGGGTCGATCCCGGTACCATTGTCGATGACCTCGAACGACTCTGCGCCGTAGTCACGGAAGTTGATGGTGATGTTGGACGCTGAGGCGTCAAGAGCATTCTCGATCAGCTCTTTGACAGCTGTCTGGAGGTCGAGAACAACTTGACCACTGGTGATGCGGTGTACGTCGGTCGAGGGGATCGGTCGGATGACGTTTGAGCTCGTTGATGCGGTGTTTGCAGAGGGATCGCCCCTGTCGCTCTGCCGAAGACTTACGGTCGTCATGTTCGATTGTACATGGCCGTACTGAAGAAATGCACTCCCTGATTCGCAGTGAGCCCTATATTGAAGTTGGAGGGATTGCGTGTGGCTCAGTCAAGAGCGCATGTGGTGGGTGAGCGCAATGAAGTGCAACGAAAAGTGTTCTTCTCAGCTGTCACAAGTGGAGTCGAACAGACCCTTTTTGTGGCGTAAAGCACAAGCGCGTATCGCGTTTTCCGTGCAAAGATGTGAGAGCGCATTTTGTCAACAAACTCAGCCTGTCAAAACCTCCACCTTGAGCATGGACTGGACCCTAATAAACACCACCATCTTTGCCGAACGGTTTCCTACCTCCATCCATACCCTACACCCATGCTGATACTCACAGAGCCGAACAGAAGGCGCACAAGAAGATGAAGAGGCAAAGAGCCGGCAGACCGCGACCATCTCAGCCACCATGACCACCGTGGACAGCGCTGCACCGAGAGACACTGCCCGACTACCTCGCACAGAAAAGACGGACCCCACCTCATCCGACCCTTTCTTTCGTGTACGACTGATCAACATCGATCACATCCTCACCGTACCTGGTCCGCTAGATCGAACGCAATGTGCCTTCAATGCCGAAGGTCAGACGTTGCGCAAGGTCCCAATCCTTCGCATCTTTGGTGCAACACCTGCCGGCCAACGAGTTTGTCTTCACATCCATAACGTATACCCCTACTGCTACGTCCAGTACAAAGGCTCGCTCGATCCAGGTGACGCGCTCAGATACATCCACCGTCTCGGTAGGGAGCTCAACGCGGCTATGGCTGTCTCTTTGCGCCGCAATCCGGACGACCCAGAAGCAAACCAATTTATTGCTGCTATCCACCTCTGCAAAGGCGTCAACTTTTACGGCTACCACGTCGGCTACTCCTACTTCCTCAAGATCTCCTTTGTTGATCCATCACACAACTACCGCATTGCAACAATCCTCGAATCAGGCGGTGTCATGAAGACCATCTTTCAGCCTTTCGAGATTCACATCCGATATCAGCTTCAGTTTATGCTCGACTACAACATCTTTGGCTGCGACTATGTTGATCTGGACGATGTCAGCTTTCGCCTGCCAATACCGGAGGGCAGCACCGTGGCTTCGGATGAGCCATCACCTCCCGACTCTCGCCGTAAGATCTGGGACCGCAACTCAATACCTTACACCCACGTTCAACCGGAAGAAGTGCATCGAGGAACACATTGCGAGTTGGAAGCAGATGCTAGTGCGCCTTGGATCATCAATCGGCGCAGGCTGAAGCAGCGAGACCTACATCGCGACTTTGATGAGGCTCCCAACTCAGGGACGGAGCAGAACATCCTCGTGCCGAGTCTTTCGGGGCTGTGGGAGGGCGAAAAGGATCGTAGAGCTGCGGCGGGTCTTCCACCATCTATACCTACAGAAGATCCTTCTCGAGATCCACGCCTGTACGCCACTGGAGAGTCCCCACCATGGAACTCAGAAGACCGCATGCGCCTGCTACTAAAGAAGCGACTCATAGATGAAAAGCAAAAGACATTGCCGCGGGAACGAGCACCGAACCACTTCACCGATCGTTCTGGGCTAGACCATTACATCATGACTACCTTTGATGCCGTCGAAGTCTTTCATCCGTATCAGGATCAGATCCATGCTGCAGATCCATACTCGCAGCGCACGGGACCTTCTGCTTCTTCCAAGCTCTACGATCTTCAGCATGTCCTTTCACAGACGCAGCGAGGCGATTCCGATCAGACCGACCCACCTCAGCTGACGCAACAAATGAAGGGGCAACCAGAGGACTTCGACGCCAAGTTCTTCGAGAGCCAGGAATTCACCAACCGGCTCAATCAGGCAGAAATGGAAGACGTGGCCGGCAACAACGACCCGCCATCAGATGGGGAAGACGAGCCGACCGAAGGCGAAGCTGCTGATCCCGCAGAAAATGTGAACGACGGTCAAGGGCCACCTCGGAGATGGCACTGTACAGAAAGCTCGGATTCGAATATGTCAACAAGCAGCACCTTCAGCCGGAGCCCTTCGTCGACACCTAAGAAGCGAAGATATGCTGATGTTCTGGGCAATACGACGAAGACGCCCACCATGAGTCCATCGTCCAGACTGTCGAGAGAGTTCCATGAAGACAGCGTGTGCAAGTTCAAGCAAGCCAAGCACGAACATTCGACTGGCACGACCAACGGTACGAACAGCACAAAGTCACCACCATCGGCGACTGCCGGCCGTTCGACAAGAGTGAGATTCGCAAGCGAATCGTCGCCTTCGCCTGCGGAGACAGCAAAGTCTAATGGCTCAAGTACGAAGCGAGGGTCGCACACGATGACTTCCGTCTCTGAAACTTCGCCATTCAACGGCTCGGAATTAGGCAAGCGACTGTTCACCTTTCACGAGCCAGCTCCGTCCCTCAAAACAGTCGTCGAGACCTTCTCGCTATTCTCCATCGTCCGCCAGGTCCATCTGGAGCCTTTCTTTAGTGATCCGAATGATGTCCCAGCTCGACCTCGAGAATATGCGGGACGGATGTTCCAGTTTCAGTCACGGACCTTGCCTTATCTACACCCATTTGAGCACTGGCACAAGTCATCCGCAGACACCTCTGCTCAGCAGGGGAAGCCACCCCGACGGCTGTACTGGCAATTCGGTCCGCCTCCACCGACAATGCTTGAAGCCCGCGCTTGGAGGCAGAGGGAGAAGATCGTCGAGAAACAACTTTCCAAACGTCGCCGTGCCCGACTGCTCTCGCAAATCGAAAGACTAACCCAGACCAACGATTACGGCTTCAAGATCTCCCAGCACAAAGCAACCACCCTCGTCGCGCGTGACAAGCAACACATGACGATACTCGCCGTCGAAGTGCTCACCACCACACGAGGCAACCTTTTCCCCGACCCCGCCTTCGACCCAGTCCAAGCCATCATATATTCCTTCCAAAACGAAGATGAGAATCTCCAAGACACAGGTAGTCGACCCGACCTACGCACAGGATTGATCCTTGTTGCGAATGAAAACATGAACGCAGACCGACTGGGACTCTCCCATCTTGCAGTCGAAGTCGTCGAAGATGAACTTGAATTGTTCAACACTCTGATTGATCTGATTCGGGCTTTTGACCCAGAAATCATCGTTGGATGGGAAATCCACTCCTCTTCATGGGGGTACATTATCGAACGAGCCAGTAAAGAGTATGATTTTGATCTTGTGCCCCAACTGGGTCGATCTGTTGTACACAACACCGGTAGAGCAGGTGGCAAATCAGACAACTACGCCTATACCCAATCTTCCGCCCTACGCATCACTGGTCGGCACACTCTAAATCTTTGGAGGCTGATGAAAGGCGAGCTTACACTCAACCTCTACACGCTGGAGAATGTTTGTTATCATCTACTGCATAGACGGATGCCCAAGTTTTCGCACCAGACGTTGACGCAGTGGTTTGTTTCAGGGAGGGTGGAGTTGATGAGGAAAGCATTGTTGTATTTTGTCGACACGGTGGAGTTGGAGTTGGAGATCATAGCCGAGTCGGAATTCGTTTTGAGGACTGCAGAGTTTGCCAGGATCTACGGAATTGATTTCTTCTCGGTCATTTCGAGAGGCAGTCAGTTTAAGGTGGAGAGCATCATGTTACGCATCGCCAAACCCGAGAACTTTGTCCTTATCTCTCCAAGCCGAGCTCAAGTAGGGAAGCAAAACGCAGCAGAATGCTTGCCGTTGATCATGGAGCCACAGTCAGCGTTCTACAAAGGACCTTTGATTGTGTTGGATTTTCAATCGCTCTATCCTTCCATCATGATTGCGTACAATCTCTGCTACTCGACCTGTCTCGGTCGTGTAGCGGGGTTTAAAGGGACTAGCAAATTCGGAGTGGTGGATTATGCTCCGCCGAAGGGATTGCTGAGTCTGTTACAGGACGATGTGAATATTTCGAGTAATGGCTTGTTGTTCGTCAAACCGCATGTTCGAAAGTCGTTGCTAGCAAAGATGCTTTCAGAGATTCTGGATACGAGGGTTATGGTGAAAGGTTCAATGAAGGGGACGAAGGCAGACAAGTCTTTTCAGCGAATTCAGAATGCTCGGCAGCTCTCGTTGAAGCTTTTGGCGAACGTGACCTACGGATATACTTCGGCAAGTTTCTCGGGTCGTATGCCATGCGTGGAGATCGCAGACGCAATTGTTCAGACGGGAAGAGAAACTCTGGAGAGGGCAATGGATCTCATCAACGGAACCGAGGAATGGGGTGCACAAGTTGTATACGGTGATACCGACTCGCTTTTCGTTTACCTCCCAGGTCGGACGAAAGAAGAAGCGTTTCGACTGGGCAACCTTATTGCGGATAAGGTCACCAGTCTTAATCCGAGACCGGTTAAGCTCAAGTTCGAAAAAGTCTACCTACCCTCTGTCCTGCTAGCTAAAAAGAGGTATGTTGGGTTTAAATACGAAACCCTGGACGAAAGAGAACCTGGATTTGATGCAAAAGGGATAGAGACGGTCAGGAGAGATTTCCACCCAGCGATCCAACGTATGCTCGAAGCTTGCATTCGCATTTTGTTCCGCTCGAGGGATCTTAGTATCGTCAAGAGCTATCTTCAACGACAATGGCGGAAGATCTTGGAGGGCAGAGTCAGCCCACAAGACTTTATCTTCGCTAAGGAGGTGAAATTGGGTTCTTATAGTGACAAGGTTGCCCCGCCCCCCGGTGCAGCGGTTTCTTCGAGGAGAATGCTAGCCGATCCCAGGTCAGAGCCGCAATATGGAGAAAGAGTGCCGTACATCATTTCGCAAGGTGAACCGAGGGCAAAGTTGAACCAGCAAGCCGTGTCCCCCGATGCATTCCTCAAGAACCCTCAACTGCAGATCAATGCGATGTACTACATCACCCGAACGATCATTCCTCCGTTAGCTAGGGTGTTCAATCTTCTGGGTGCGGATGTGGAAGGATGGTTCCACGAAATGCCAAAACCAAATAACGCTTACTGGAACAAGCGGCCGACCGCGGCGCTTCTGTCAGCGGTACTAGAGCAACAGCGACTGGAAGGCAAGGCTTTAGATGAGGAAGAACCAACATCTTCACCCTCAATACCAAAACCGATCAAAACAGCAACTTCGACAACATTGACCACACTCAACTCGCACTATGCCACCGAAACCTGCCTGCTCTGCTCCAACAGGACGGAAGCGTTGGTTTGCATCGAATGTCGTCAATCGCCGACGGATAGCATGCATAGCGTCGCGTCAAAGTTGCACAGGTTGGAGGCGCAAGCAGTGGCGATTGATCGGATTTGTAGCACTTGTGCGGGGATGGAAAGACCGGAACCGGTGGAGTGCGTTTCGTTGGACTGCCCGTATACGTATCAGAAGACGAAAGTGAAGAAGGCGTTGGAGTATACAACGTTGGTTCATACCTATGTTGCGAGGATGTTTGATGCGGAGGGTCAACGTGTGGCTGCTGTGAGACATGCTTGGTCTCATATAGAAGATACTAGCAATGACATCTGATCAGTCTGCAGGCAAGATTGGGATAGAGATGATGCAAGAACTGACTTTGATGACAAATGCGAATGATGACAAGCTAATGCTGTTGATACAACTACAAACTGACGAGAAACTTTGCATTTTGAGACGATACATGGAGCAAAAAACTGAGCACTTAAGCTTCACTGAGAGCGGCCGGCATCTTCTCCTTCGATCCTGGTCCAAATGCTGGAGCGCCCCTCTTCGACTTGATGTTGAGAGGCGAATCGCCACCGGTGTAGCAGAGTGTGTCGTAGATGATGCAACCCATAATGGCACCGGAGCACACTGCGATGATGGGCGTCCAGAGCCAGTACCACGCGTTGAAGGTCCAGAGGATCTTGGGCGAGTATCCGACAATGTACAGCATCAATCGAGGACCCAAGTCTCGAGCGGGGTTGACCGCATAAGCAGTCTGCCAGCCGAGACAAGCACCGAGACCCCAGATCAACCAGAGGAGAACCAAAGGTGCCATACCATCGGGTGGAGGCGTGTTGGACGAATCACCGATGGCGAGAATGACAATGAGCAAAATGGCGGAGGTGAAGAACTCGTTGTAGAACGCGCTCATGCGGGTTGTGGGTGAGCGAAGGAATTCGGCAGGGTAGGTGGTGAAGAGCGCTGCGGTGGTCTCGGTCTGGTTAGGATCGACGGCACGGATAGGGTTGACGTAGAGACCGTAGATGCACAACGAGCCGACCAGACAGCCGAGGATCTGAGCGAAGATGTAGATTGGCACCTTCTTCCAAGGAAACTTGCGGAAGATCGCAAGTGCGAGGGTGACAGCTGGGTTGATCATACCACCAGAGATACCACCTGCAACCCAGACACCCATGGCGACACCGACACCCCATCCGAACGAGATCGAGAGGTAGTCACCCTTAGGAGCACTAGGATCGTAGAGCTTCGAGACGCTGACCTGACAGTTGATACCGTTTCCAAAGACCATGAGCATGAAGCAGCCTAGGAACTCTGCGAATGGCTCGCGCAGCTTGTATCGGATGGCAGCCCACTTGTTGGGAAACTCGTATTCATCGTCGCTCTCGTCTCCTTCATCTCGGTAGCCGCGTTCGGCAGGCTGGGGATCCTTGATGGCAGTAATTTGGCCGTCGATGACGCGAGTACCCTCGCTGTTCTTCCTCTCGTAAGAGAGCGCCTTGTCATCGTCGGTGGTGGCGATGGCAGTCTCGCTAGAGTCGGGACCCTTAGACTTCTTGAAGACCGAGCCGTCAGAGTCGACGCCATCCTCCGAAAGAGGTTGCTCAGTGGCAATGATCTCTTTGACATCCTCGATGTGATCTTCGAAGCGCTGTTGCTGTTCGAGATTTGCCTGATGCACGTGTTTCCTCAGCTCTTCGCTCTGACCCTTGTTTGCCTTGGCAAACTCGTCGTGGATGACCTCACGAAGCTGCTGGAAAAGCTGAGCCCTGCCTTCAAGTGTGTTGACATCCATAGAAGCACGGTGACCATTCACGCTGGCGCCAGCGACAGAGGGTGACCTGGTACCGGAACCATTGTTGGACCTGCGAGCCACCTTCTCTGCCTTGTACTGCCTGTTCTGCTCTTCAGTTGGGAAAGCGTGACCAAGACCGATTCGACCAGTAGTACGAACGCTAGCAGCTGAGACGGTGGGAGCACCAGTGGTGTGACCGAGAGAGTAAGCGGGCTTGGCTACAGGCCGCTTCTTGTAATGCTTGCCGGTCTTGACGTCCCTGACGACTTCACCGGAGTTTGCGTGCTCGTGAGGCTGGACCTGGTGTAGCTCGTACATGCCGCCTTGCAAGGAAGAGTCACCAGTAGCATGTTCTGGCAGATAGATCTGGTGTCCTGTGAGGTCGACCTGGCTGTTGTTGGCGCTGTTGCTAGCGCTGTTGCGGCCGGGAAGGTTGATGTCGATGGGGACGGCGACGTCAGCAGCTGTGGAAGGCTGCTGCTCGGCCGCAGCCATACTTGAGCGGCGAGATCGCATGGTTGTTGCGTAATGGAAGTTGAGAAAAAGCAGAAGTAACGTCGAGATGGTCAGGCGCGAAGGAAGCTGGGGTGGATTATGGGGACCTTTGACAGGTGCGGGTTGCTTTTGTAGTCGTAGGCTGGAGGAAAGGAGGAAGGGTGGAGTCCCGCAAAGATCGAGACTATGCTGGAGCGGAGGGAAGGAGAAAGAGGAGAGAAGAAAGAATGTAGCGTCTTTATGGCTGTTGCTGTTAGGAAGCCAATCAGATGATGCTTCGGCTGTACCTGAATCCGTGCTGCTGACTGCCACGCACGCTATGCAGCTTCACTCGTTCTCGCTTGAGGCTGCCTGACTGTCGGAAGGACCGATGGCAGTAGCAGAGGAGCAACGCAACTTGAGGCAGCTGAAGAGTGTCGGCTTTGATGCGATAGAGCAGCGCCTGAGGTCTCGCCTGGACTCGGGCGTATGCCGCCGAGCTGCGATAAGTAGGATGGTGCGGGCGATTGGGCTGTTGCAAGTTACTAGCTACGCCACCGCTCAATCTCGAATCAAAGTCGGGTTGAGAGCCAAGGACAATCCGCCAACCAGAACGAAGCCTAAGACTGAAGGCAGAAGAGACTGATTCTGGGGTATGCTTTGCGTTGCCAAGGAGAACCTCGTATGAATAGAATCGAGAGACAAAGGGAAACGAGCCCTTAGGTCATCTCAAGGTCATCGTCGGTAGGGCCATGCGACAGGACAGATCGGTCACTTGATTCATTGAGCGACAAAATGCTGAGTTGCTTGGACGGAAAGAGTTCCGAAAGCTAACACACAAGAGCGAGCCTTTGACACTCGACTGCTGCGTCCGAGTTTAGCCCGAAAGACATCGAGCAGGCATGAAGATGCGTTGCTCTCTTTCTTTCCTGAGAGTGACGTAGCAAGAGCCAAGCTTTCTCTGTCTCGCTTACACTTTGTCAAGAGGGGTTCCACTTTGCACTTTTCTCTCTGCCTCTTCCTCTTCCTCTGCCTCTGCCAGACTAGAATTGGCTCACGACTAAAGATCCTCCAGTTCTTCGAGATTCATCTTGCGTTCAGACCTACACCTTAGCATGGCTTCCTTGACTACAGTATTGGCTTGGGTTCTTAATCTTTTCTCAAGGATATGACCCAAGGCGCCCCGATAAGAAGACGAAACTCACCGGTAGCGTGGGAGCATGCGCTTTGTCTTTGTTGCATCAATAACAGTCAGCCTAGGTTACGAGGCAGAGCTAGGGGATGAAAATGATTTTTTCTTCGTCAGAGCTATGACCTCGAGGACCAGCCGCAAGCCTCTCTGGCTGTTCATGCCAGCCAAAGAACGACAGCTTGAGGGGAATAGAGAGAGGGGATGTTCGTATGAGCCGGTTATTCAGCTCTGCTGCAAATCTGGAAAACCTGTAGGGTCAGCTGTCTCTTTTTCCGTTGCCGAGCTCTCTCGTTTCCCAAGCATCGGCACCAGCGGGCAGCAGCATCACAGCAGCAGTGACCAACTCGCAATCGAATGAACCGTTCCCAGGCGTCGTTCTCAGGGTAAATAAAAGAAAAAACGACTTTTCTTCACCTTTTTCTCTTTTCTTCCTGCGTTCTTTCGCCTGTCAAAGAGAGCGAGCGCAATTCCCAGAATGAAATCACCGCGACACGTAAATTGGTTTGTCACGATCTTCAGCTAAGAATCTAGAGAGGCGGCTAGACGCTTTGAAAGATTTCGATCTCAGAGGCAGAGAGAAGCTCATAGATTGCGAGTTGCAGTAGAGCCTTGGCGAATGAAGTTGCTGGCTGGCCTCAAACTTTCAATGCATAGCCTGCTTCACGCTCACATGATTTGTCTTCCCTTTCTCTCGGATCCGAACGACTTCCAAGCACTGCTCCGGATAGATCGTGACCTTGACTTCTCGGGTCTTCCCTTTCCGCAGCAGACAGCGTGGCGTTGCGAACATGAGCCCTTCCTGATGGGCGGGCGCGCTCGAACGCCAGGAGAGTCGGTCGTGCCGGCAAAAGGCCACCGCCATGCGAATGCGAATGAAATGACCGATCGACTTGGAGCACCCGCTCGAAAGCAGGTTCGGGGACGTGCGCCATGCTTCTCTTCACCTCTGCCGCGCAACCCTTGGCGTTGGGAGTGCAAAATACTCTCTCCGAGCTTCTGCCGCATGGAAGACAGTTTACGGGTGGCGCCTTTACTTGCAAAAAGAAGCCACCATCCAAGCCGAGGAAGGAGAAGCGTGGAGTGTTAGGACGCCGGTCGCTATCGAGCGAGTTGTGGCTTGTCTTTGTGCGGCAGGCCAGCATGATGCACAGCACCCGGGCTGTCCGAACATCCGGATGAGCCGACAGAGTCCGTGAACTGGCTCGCTCCAAGGCTTTAAGGTATCCATAGTCCGAACCATTTTCAAACCTGAGAGCTCTTGGAAACTTTCTGTTTTCTATAAATCGGCGAAAGTGCCGACTCCGGCTAGCTTCTCCCTTTCAGGCTTTCAGGCCGGTGTAAGCGCTTTCGAGACAGACGGTCTGATCTGGAGCTCTTTTGAGAAGGCAAACATGAACACTGTCACCGATACATAGGAGCTCAACGGTCTCCCGCAAGCGAGAGGCGCAGATTGGCTCAGCTCGTCGCTTTGAGGAAAAGCATCGCCAAAATCCCAATGCCTTGGTATGCTGATCCAGGCGAGTGAAAATTTCTCCGAAGCGGACCACGTCAGAAATTCAGCCTAAATTTCGTTCGAATCTTCTGTTGTTATCGAACATAGCTGTAACACTTAGCACTCTCGTAAATTTGTTCTTACTCCCGACTTCCGAGACACAAAGTCCATGCACGGACTCCAGCATGCAATCAAACCTCCACGACACTTATTCTCCTCAGTACAACTCACACACCCTTCTAGCTGCGGGCCGCCCTTAACTGCTCTTCATTGGCCGCTTCTATCCGCAAAGGCGATGCAGAGGCTTCTAGTCATCAAGTTGGATTCCGAGCGCAGTCAATAGTTACGATGTCGAACCTAGGGCCACTCGCGCCGGACAACAACCCATTCGCCGATGATCAGGACGAAACAGATACTCACACCACACCGAGAGCATCGAATGGCACCACAAACAGAGCGAAAGGCACAATACTAGAAGATGCAACAGCCCGTGACCTGGCAGGACTTCAGCAGCAACACTGGGACGACCAAGACCAACACCTGGATGCGCTTTCAGCCTCGCTCAATCGGCAACATGAGATGAGTCTCCAAATGAACGAGGAGCTCGATTTGCACCAGGAGCTCCTGGAAGAGTTTGACGGCGATGCAAATCGGACAGGACTGCGGCTGGGTGGCGCTTCGAACCAAATGGACCGCCTAAGGAACAGCCTCAAGGATCACGGTGAGTCGCCAACCTCTGCTACATTGGAGTTTTCAGGAAAACATCACGCTGACAACGAGAGTCTCGCTTTCTTCCAAATGTATGCAGGCACCATGTGGATACTTGGAGCGTTGATCGTCGCACTGATCCTGCTCATAGCGTTCTTCAAGTGATCGTCGGATCATTGCTTTATGTGATCAGCAACTACTCGGTCCATTGTCGGCAACGGCCACTCTCATTGTCGGTATTTATGATGGGTAGGGCTAGGCAAAGACACGGATTGTCCCAGCGCCATCATCGTTCAAGTTGGTAGCCGTTCGAATTGGCGGTCTAGTCCCGTTGATGTGGCTGCCAGGTACAGTCTTCGGACCTGCATCCTGCATCCGCGTCCCCGGCGCTGACCCAAACGAGCGATCATCGGGATCTTTGCCGATCCGATCTACCGTTGCAAGATCCACATGATCCACGCATGAACAGCAGGTGGATGATGGTCGACTTTGAAAGCTTCCGTATCTTCAGACAAAAGCCATGGCGGGGACAAGCCTGTCTCGGAGACACACGAAAAGGGAGTCAGGGCCAGCGTCCCGGCGCGTCCACAGGTTCGAGACACGATCTGAACACGCCGTTGCAGCACCTGTCATTGTAATTATAGAAGCTCAAGTTTCATGCTTCCAGAGCCTCATATCATACACACATACACTTCCGCAATCAGCCGTAACCTACGGATAGATCAGAGAGAACAGAAGTTTCTTGGCTGTGTCGGGCCCAAGTGTACAACGGTTGGAAGTGAGAACAAGAAGAAAAGAGGAAAGGGTTACCGGACTTCCTTGTACGGCCAGGGTCCACCGACCTTTCGCAAGGAGCTTGGCGAGATGGGAAGCACTTTCAAGACGTCATCCAGCATCCGCTTTCGAGACTTTTCCTTTGGGTCTCGCGCTCTGGCTCAAATGCCACAAGGTAGGCTGCAACACGGGAATTTCTGATTCAAAAGTCCAGGCCAAGAAAGGCCAATTTGCTTTGCTTTTCTTTTCTCTCTCTGTCTCTCGCCAACCACGGATCACATCAGGTGACCAAAGTCACGTGATTACCAAACTTGCCCCCACTCTGTTTCGACTGTGGGTGTGTATCCTCCTTTCCCCCCTTGGTTCTCGCCTCCGGACCCCGCTGTGTGCCGTTGCGAGCAGGCCACACTTTCCAACTCCGGCTCTGTCACCGGTGGGACGAGGACGAGGCAACCCTTGTCAACCCAACTTTCATGCTTTCTTCACCCTTACGGCACGACAGGATGGTTGATGGTGGTGCAACGCCATCTTTCATTTCATGTTGTCAACGAATGCAAGCGCATGTCAAAAAGCATACACACAATGCGTTCGAGCAGCGTGTGCATGAGGTGGAAGATGGATGGATGGACAGGGGTCCCACGTCCTACTGTGGTTCTGTCGAAGAAGCAGGCGGTCTGCGCGCAGCTTTGTTCGGCTCTCATCGTGCTTGTGGTTCATGCGTCTCTTGCATCTCATCTCCTATCCTCGAAGAACCCTGCACAGCATATCTTGTGCTTAGGCAGTCCTCGCTTATGCAATAGCAAAGCCACACAGTTGCCCCACACCAACTGGTCTAAGCCTCGTTGAACTTGGATGCTGCTTGCCCACCATCGCAAGCCTTTGCTTCTCAAGTCGCCCAACTCCGCCTTCCAGTTTTTCCTCCTAGTGCTTTCATTCTAGCCAGACTCGGAACTCCGCTCATCTTCGCTGAGATATCCGCCTTCCTCTACCGAGCATTCCTACATGACACTTGGCCGTCTGACACTACCTTGCTTTCTTCCACATCATCTACACCCTCCTCATTCTTCAGCATACATCTGTTTAAAAGAGCAGGCGCCTTCCAGCTGCTCGGGTGCAGGAACCCACGCTCCTGTCCTCAACTCTGTCAATCATATTCACAACCATCGTTGGCTGCCAGCGCCAGTAGCTAGCTATCCACCATGACTACAGCTCACGGCAGGGCATCATCACAGCTTACGGATTCGCTCCGAGCTGAAGCGCAAGCCAATCTCTGGAGAGGAGCGATAGCCAAGGACTCCCCTTGCTCGACCTCTTCATCATCACTCACCGTCAAACCAGCAGCACCATTTACACGCAACCTCAAGCGAAAACCAGCACCCAAGATCCCCACGGAGCTCTTACAAGATCCTTCACTTTCCATCCCCACCACTGCGGCATTAACATCTGTTCTCGGGGAGAAGTCGCTGAAGGCTGGAAGCGATGCGAAGATGACACTGACCCCAAGCACGCCAGAGCCAGTCAAATCGGCACAGCGACCCCAGCAGCAGTACATCCTCAACATTGATGAGCCCGTCACATTTGCAGAGAGCAACAGCGCCGCTGACAACGCTGTTCAGCAACTCCTTCGCTCTGCTAGCGTTTCCCCTGCTTCTGCCTCCACCGCCGCTGCAGCACGTACCCGCAAAGGGCCCCTTCGATGGATGCAGGACAAGGAAGAGCATACACCAGCAGCATCCACCTCAACATTACCACCACGTCAATCCGCACTCACCCGCAAAACCAGCATATCTGCTCATCTCAAACTCCTACGACGTAACAAGAGCGAAAACCAACCAGCTTCCATCACCATCTCTCGTCCGACCAACTTTGTTCATGTCGCCACAGGAACGGATGATTCTTGTGCCAGTGCAGGTGCGCAACAGGCGACATCGCTTCGACGAGCATCTACAACGTCGAGAGTCTCAGATCAGCCTTTGTTGCGATCGAGTATGTCCTCGAACTACAATACGAGTTCGTATGTTAGTGGAGACACTTCGCCTTCAGCGACGGAGAAAGATGCAGCGAATGAGGATAAGCCCTTGTGTGTAGCGATGGAGAAGAAGCATCCTCTTCGACCGCTCAAGTCCATCCGTCGCCCTTCGAAGCCGACGCTAAAGCCGGACGAGCCGGCTGTAGACGTTCCAGCTGGACCCACAAGCCCCAAGGACAAACGCAAAGCGATCTACGCTTCCCTTGGTTCAGTACCCGCTATCCTAGAACCTATCAATGTCACTCAACCTTCATCGAACCGAGGGGCAAAGCTGAGCCCTATCGTATCTCCGGTGGGTTCGCAAGCAGGAGAACACTTTGCAGCTGCTCTCGATTACACCCTTGGTCGTACAAGAGGGTTGAGTTCGGAAGGAGGAGAATTGTCACCAGAACCAGACCTCAGTAGAAGTCCTGGTTCAGGGTATGAGTCTTCTGCATGCACCAGTAACAGGTCGAGCTTCGGTTCGTTGCATGAGTTCAAGAGCTTCTTGGATTTTCCTGATACGCCAATGTCGAGGAGGAATTCGGAGAAGGGAAGACAGGAGGAAGATATTTGGTCGGGTGTTGCTTTGACTTTTCCCGTAGCTGGAAGGTTTTGAGTTTTCGGGTTCTTGTATACATTGATATCCTCATCCTTATTTTAACATACTGATAATGCTTTCGTCTTCAAGAGGATCTCTTCTTCATACAAGTGAGCAATCTAGTGTGGCAACATCTTATCATTCAAAGTCTATAAAGTACAAGGCGCTCCGGCTCGGAGGAGACTGAGATCAGAGCGAACGCCAAGGGCTATCATCTTCCTCCTCAACAGGAGGATGTGCCGACAATGGCGCGCGGGTGATACTATTGCTCCTACCTGCATCACATGTTGCTGCATGTCTCGAAAACGATCTTGGCGACAGCAGTGTTGGCGGGTAAGGGCTTTCTGGAGTCTGAGGAATCCATGGGCTCGAATTTGCACTTTCACCTGTTCCACCACCGTTCAAATGCCCCAGATAAGGATTATGGCTGTGCCCCGTCGGCCTTCTCGCCAAGGTTGGTACAGTAACAGGATCGAATGCAGCCCTTTCAGAATCCACTTTTTGCGTCGAACTATGACCTTCGCTGGATCTATGCGCAGCTTCATCCGTACCTTGGATCGCCAGTCTGGGCCACTGACGCTGCATTTCGAGCGTTTCAGGATCAGGATTGTCGGAAGAGTAACGAGGTGAGCCACCGTCCCATTCCTGATCGACGTCTTCGGAGCGAGAGACGGTGCCGATGGTGACGAGGATGCTGTTGTGTTCAAGATCGGTGGGATCGTTGCGTGAGCGGGTGAGCGGGTTGCGTCGACCACCCCAGGAGATGCGGGTTAATTTTTCGGGTTGGGCGCTGATAGTGCCTGGATTGGAACGCGATTGGAGGACATATGAGTTGACACCTACTCCTCCGGTCACAGAAGTTACACCGTTCAATTCGGCGGAAATACCGCTAAGAGGGGCGGCGGAGCCCTGTCGGTTACGAGTACCTCGAGCACCAGAATTATCACCAGAGGGAGAGTTGGTAGAGTTCATAATCTCGTTCACGTCTGCATTCTTTGCTGTGACGAGAGAGGCTTTCTTGCCCATCTCTCTGAATGCAGCTGCTGCGGCAATGGGTGGAATGCAGAGAATCAAAGCAGTACCCAAAACTTGATACGAAGGCTCGGTGAGACTGAAGTAGGTCGAGACGAAGAAAATGTCGGTACCCAGCTGAAGGACGTAGAAGTGGAAACCTTGGCGAATGAGGAAGCTCGATAAGCTGCGGTCCGTGATACCTGAGTAAAGCTGTTGAGGTTTCTTGCTGAAAACTGCTTTGAGACCGCCGTCGACAAGTCGATGCAGAGTGAGAAGGAGCAAAATGACATCGAAACTCATGCTGAGAGACTTGTAGACGATGTTGGCTGCAAGTGTCCTTGTGAGGTGTCTGCGGGTATTGTATGCACAGAACTCGGTTCCTGGGATCCTGTACCCGACACCATAGAAAGGAATGCACACTGCCGCAGCAGCCAGCACTACACAGTAGAACATTGTCAACGGAGCAACAATCTTCGGCTTCCAACCATACAAGGCCATCGTCCTTTGCACAAAGACCAGCGAAACCGAATCCAGCAGAATCATACCCAAAATGTTGAACGCCTCGGGCACTGCTTTGCAATCATCAAACTTTAAGCAAAGGAAAAGCACCACAAGAAGCAAACAAACGACAGAGAGGTAGCGGCAGGAGAGATAGGCGATACGGGAGACGAATTTGGCTGGCTGTGTCCAACCCGGTTTACGGATGAGATTGATGTCGAATCGGATGTGGTTGAAGAGCTCCATAGTGACAGCGCCGAGACAGAGACACATGACGATAAGGAGAACGAGGAAGGATTTACCAGCGGAAGGGGGGATGACGTTGAAGATGACTTGCGGGTCAGCGGAGAAGGCGGCAGAGCCAGAGTAAGTGGCAGGGAGGGTGTCACTGAAAGGCATGGCGAGTCCGGGGGCGACGGCTGCCATCTCGACAAAGACAAGAGGAGCACAGGTGTCGCAAGGTACGAAATGAGTGGTTTGGAACGGGGAAAGGGTGAATAGGTCGTTACCTAGCGTTGCAAAGGGCTAATTTTTAATTCGAGGTGTTCCAGAATAGACAGGCTGAACAGGAGGAAAACGACGTGAATTGGTGGCTCTGGATGGTTGATACGAGTCGAGCAGGGGAAGTCGGAGAGTGAGGGTCGGGAAAAATGGTCCTGGGCGGTTGCAGGATGGCAAGGGCGACGGAGGTGGCATTCCCTCACGACCATGGTCATCTATATATCTCAGTCCTCATGTTCAGGTTCAAGACGATGTATGCACGACGGCGAAAAAGGGAGCTGTCACACAGTCACTCACACTAGATTTGCATGTCACTTGACCTCGACCTCTCGCAACCGAGCGCCACTCGGTCCTGTCTGAGTCCGACTGATTGCGAAGGAGGGGCAAGACGGCGGACCTTGAAGGTTAGCGGCGAGGTTTTCGGGGGTGGCGGCTGCCTGTCAAAAAAAGTAGTGAGCACAATTTTTCGAAGCTTGCAGCATTTAGCGCGGTCTCGGTATCGGCAGCTCGGTTGGACCTGGTCAAGAGTGATGCGACCTCGCACAACACTCAGCTGCAAAGAGCGAGCGAAGCCTGTTCAGATACCCGCACAGCACGGCTCTCGAGCATCTCAGCATCTCTGCCGAGCTGGAAAGCAGCGACCGAATGGGAAGGCAGGGGAGAAGGAGGTCGGAGGAACAGAAGTTTGAGGGAGAGAGTTGAAAACAGATGCGAAGTGCAGCTGCAACTGCATTGCTGTAGAGGCGCAGAAGCGAGTTGGACAGCTTGAATGAGCAAAGAAGCATCTCCTTCTCATTCGTGGTCATTCATTGCCGCTCGGTCGGTTCGCACAGACATCTGAAAGCATAGCTGTTTGCTTGGCGCCTGCAATGAACGGCGGCCGTTACTACCGAGCCAGACTGCTTGTGCCAACCCATACATGCCGGCCGAATTTTCTATGCTCCGACCATGATGACATGATCTTCAAGGCGTCGATACTTATCGTGCGAATGGATAGATGCGCATTTTTTCAATGATGAGCAAAGGGGCACCTGACCAACGCGCAGCAATCCTCACCCGAGTTAGGCAATTTAACATTCCTTTCCCCTCAATTTCTCAGCTCCTTTTCCAACAATTTTCACGCGTTGTCCAGGGCGATAACTCACTGTTGAATCATACCGACGGAGAAGACAGATGCGTCAGTTTGTGCGCACAAACGTGCCGTCGTATCCTCTTGGCAACTCAGCAAGAGCCTAGGAGCTCGTGGTGCGGCAGCTTTGATGGCGCACGGTTCGGCGACAACACCTCTCTTTGCTCCGTAAGTTTTCTCGCTCATCTCTCTCCGCTCGTGTCATTCGATCTGTTGCGAACGGCAGCAACCGTTTTACACTCCGATCGCATTAATGTACCAGCTGCTAGACTGGGGTACAAAAGAGAACAGCGTGTGTGTGTGTGTGTGTGTGTGTGTGTGTTCGGCACACAAAGGCGGGGGTGGCTGAATCGGTCTGCATCTCTCTTCTCTCCTTTCGTGGTGTGCATGTGGACGTTTGCACATCGTCATCGTGTTTCGCATTCTTCGAGTTATTTTGTTCCTCCGCAGCTGAATCTAGCATGCTACGGTGTTCACAGCAGATATAGCGCTAGGATGTACAGCCTCGATTGTCATCACGTATCGCGTTTTAGCCGCCGACGGGTCTGAGAACGAAGTAGAAAATGCAAGCGATAGAAGGTCGAGCAAAGAGAGAAAGCCTTGTTGGCACCTCGGATAGCATGGAAGGCTATGGTTTCGCATTCCAACTTGCTCAAAGCGAGACACAGAATTCGAAAAGGCCCCTAGATAGAGGTCCCGTATGGCTAAGCGAACGTCGCTTGTTTGCTTGTCCTCGTGCCAGCAACATCAATTCTTGCTCGCTCGGTTGCTCACACCCGGACTTCCCACGCGGGCTTTGAGTCTTAGCATTGTTTCCAGGCCTCATTGTGGTCCAGAGTCTAATTCCTCAACAATGGTGGCTGCTTGCGTTAGCATCGGATACTTTCCTTCGACCCCTCGCGAATCGAACTTTGCCTCACCGTCGGTAGGTCGCCTGATTGCATCTGAATCTGTCAAGACAGAAGAAGGGCAAATAGTTTGGCGATACCCGAGCTGTCGAATCTCACGAGAAGAAGAGGTTCAAGAATGGCGTTGGCTGCAACGAACCAGAAGGATGGATGCCATGCGACGTGGTTCTTAGTATGAACCAAAAGTTCGGCTAGCAAGCGAGCTCAAATCGACACACGCGCAAGCTCGCACCCAACTCACACAAGCGACCCTTTCCTTCAACGGTGAGTTATCTCAAGTGCCTGGAGTCTGTGTCAGAATGTTAAATTGCCTAACTCAGGTGAGTCGCTTGCGGGCTCCCAGCCGTGGCCGTAAGAGGCACGGCCGGTCGAGCGCCGCGTGAGAGCGAGGCGGAATGCACGTGAGAACGAAGTACAAAAGAGAACTAAGTGTGAGAAGCATGAACCAGCGTGAGAAGGTAAGGGAGGGAAGGGAGGGTGAACTTGAGACGAAGCGCAGCCAGGAGAAGGCTTGCGCAAGAGAGAAGATGATGGAGAAGAAGCAACGAGAGAGACAGGAGATGAGATGAGCGATATGAAGTGACACGACTCAGGTCACGTGCCTTCGCCCACCATTGAAACGAGCGCACCTTCCATTCGCACGACTCGACTTTTTCTCGCTCTCATCCGAACCTATCAGATTTGCGTGTTGGATTCCGAGGCATGCTGCTGCAGAGATCTTGGTCTTGACTATGCATTGGTCGTTCTTTCATTCATTCCGCAGATGTCTTTGGTTGTAGGTGTTACGGATTCCGACGGTCGAAGATGAGCTTTCAGGGTTTTGACGTCCAAGTGCCGAATCAAATCTATGCTATGGGAGGAGAATTCGAGGGCGCTTCCCGCTGCTGTGTCTGTTGTTCGGCTTCGGCTAGCTCTAAACGTACTTGTGTCTCTTTCACTCTTGAGTCGGAGCCGCTTCGGACGACGACGACGACCTCGACTTTGCTTGTAGCGAGATTCAGTCACTACAAGGAGAAGCATCGGTAGCTTGAATGTCAGAAACCGGCCTCAGATCGAGCTGCACAGTCGCTTGCTTGGGCACCTGTTCAGAAGCTTCCTACAGATGGCAGCATCTGTACTTTGTTGCGTCCTGAGTATAATAAGGCCCATCGACAGCCGGAGTCGGCGCCGAAACTGTGGCGTTGTTGTCATCTCGCATCTCCTCCTTGACGGGTTGCACAAATGCAACTCGTACAATAGATCGGACATGCAATATGGGACGCCACAATAATGTTCTTATGTACAACACGGACTACATTGAGGCCCGAGCGGTCTGTGCCCTTGTCACCTCTTCCATGCTTCGAAAGAAAGGAGGAAGTACAGAGCGGTCGAGTTTGCCGAAATCCGATGGGATCTTCCCAGACTGTGGTGCAAACAAAAGCCTCATCATTGTTTGGCAGTCACCGATGCATTCCCGCTTTGGCCCCGATCGACACCGCAACAATAAGCTCAACTTCTTCCCCACAGATCAGACGTCGCCGGTGAGAGGTCAAAGCTCTGTGTATGGGAGCCATCGAGAGTCATTGAGCTTGGGCCTCCCTGGGAAATGAGAAGGTTCTATGGGGAAGGAATCCGTGTGACGACGGTATCACACTAATGGTCTTGATGACGAGAATTGGGTTGATGAAGATCGCTATCGTGTCTTGCTAATGGAATCGGGGCAACGAGTTGTTTCGTCTTCCGATGGGAAACGGGGCCATCCTTTGCGTTAGAATGAGTTGCGGCAATAACGCGTGCATAAGCAGAACATAGAGGTCTGTCAGCGCCTTCTCGGCATGATTCATAATATTGTGGAGAAATGATGGGCATAAATGTTTGTGACACCTTCCACCATCACCTCTTCTTGGCATAGAATATCCCCCGGAATAGAGTGGAGCAGGATGCCGCTACCCCATCCACCAAAGAACGCACGATATGCGGTATCCATCATCACCCTAGAGATCCCTCTCGACACGCCAATAACCCAAGATTCCCCGACACCATACACCTACGCGGAAGGCGGGACCACGAAACCCATTCTCACTACAGACACTGTCCTCGTCACTATCTACTACCCGTCTCAGCTTGCGAAGGAACACAATCATGGTCAAGCACTCGACTGGCTCGAAGCACCCAAACTACGCTCCATCGGCGGTCTATTGAAATATGCAGGCATTCCGAAGTATCTCGCTGTGCCCATCATCTTGCCTGCATACAGCGTCGTTTCGCAGAAGCTTCCTGTTGTGGTTGATGCTCCTTTAGCCTCGGAAGGACTCGAGGGCGGATTCCCAGTAGCAGTATTCAGCCATGGTATGGGAGGTACACGCACAACGTACTCTGCGTATTGCACTTCGCTCGCAGGTTCCGGCATCGTGGTTGCTGCAGTGGAGCATAGAGATGGATCTTCAGCTTCAACGACCATCCACCATCCTCTTGACAAGGACAACCACACCGGTGGTGGAGGCCTGCTCCGATGGTTTACAGGCAGGTCGAATGGTGTGGAGAACAAGATCTACGTGCGACCCACCGAAGTCGATGGTAAACCTGAACCACTCGATTTCCGTCGAGCCCAAGTCGAGTTCCGTCGCAAAGAAGTTCTCGCTGCTCTCAATATCCTCACCGACGTCAGCGCTGGTAAGGGCTCAACGCTTGTCAATTCTTGCACTCGAACAACACGCAATGATGCAAAAACACGCGACCATCGTTCTACCATCCTTGCTGGGTTCAGCGACAAGCTTAAGATGTCAGACCCCTGGCTCATCGGTCACAGCTTCGGCGGTTCCACCGCGATACAAACTCTTCGTCAATCTGATTGTCCCTTCGGCCAAGCCCTTGTGCTCGATCCATGGGTCGAGCCCGTTCTCATCACCGGCGCGAATGTAGTTCCTGTTAGCAAACCACTTTACACGATCAATAGCGAAGATTTCACACAATGGAAATCGCACATGGACGACGTCACCACCATCTGTCGCGAATCGAAAGCTAGTACTGGAGGTAAAGGATGGCTGCTTACCCTCGGAGCTGAGGGAACGGAGAAGTCGGATGCTGCTGCTGCGGCTGCATCCGCGAGAGTGCGACCACCGAGCAGGCTCGTTATCGTGCACGACATGTTCGGTACACTGTTCGGGCTGGGTGCTTGTATCGAAGCGCTAGTCTCGTTGTTCCCGGACCAGCTGAAGGAAGCGAAAGGAATGCCGAAGATTGTACCGGAGTTGGTGGTGATGGATTGGTTCCATGGTACGCAGCGCGATTTCACGTATTCGAGCATCTGCGGACAGTACAAGTCTATTGCTGAGGTGTTCAAGGGTACTCTGCCTCGAGTCTTGCTTCAAGCTGAAATTTTGCCGAAGAAGGGCGCTGATGCAAATGCAAAGCCACTCGCCCAAGCAGGATCCTTCGCAGATGGCGGGGCAGCAGAAGAAGCTCTCAACGATCCATTCGACGCCGTAGTCACCGAGACGATGATGGGCGCTCTAAAACAGCTTCGGCCGCGACCAGGAATGGTTGATGCTCTCACGCGAATCTACCGTGACCGCGATGGGAAGGGCCGTCTACCATCAGGCGTAGACAAAGTTGATGTATGGGCTGCCACCAACGGCTCACTTCAACTCGGACGCTCTTCCTTCCTCCGTGCACTAGGCGACACTGACGGAGCAGACATCGACAGCGAAGCCGCTCGCTCCGGTCGCTCTGCTCAAGACAACGCCATCGGTTCCGGAATTGGTCTCTTCAGCTGCGACGAGGTCGGAGTAGCCAAACCTGACCCGAAAGTCTACGCTGAACTTCTGCGTCGAATCAACGCTGAACCTCTTGACCCCAACTCGGCGAAAAAGGAGTATCAGGGGATCTGGTTCGTTGCTTCGCACACATGGGACACGTTTGCAGCCAAAAAAGCAGGGTTCCGAACCGCCTGGGTTACGTACGAAGAACACTACTCTTGCCCTTCTGTTTACGGTACACCCGATGTGGTGGGGCGAAATATGAAAGAGGTGGCGGAGAAAATCCTCGCCTTTGAACGAGACCTTGCGTCGAAGAGCGACGGTAAGGCTCTGAAGGGGTGGACATACAGCAAAGGTGAACAGGTACAGGAGAACAAGGCAAGTCAACATGTGTCGTTCTCCGATTTCCCTTTCTTGCTGCCTAACATGACCAAGTTCGCGGGTTCGCTTTCCTCACAGTCGATCTTGGAGGTGAACAGTGAGATCGCGAGGAGGATGGTGCTGGACGGGAAGAGGGAGGAGTCGGAGGGTGTGTTCAGTGCACTGAAAGGGGAGAAGGATGGAACGATCTGGAGGATTTGGAAGGAGGGTAAGGAAAGACCTGCTAATCTGGAAGAAAAGAACATGGGAAGCGATGGCAACCGCTTAGGAAGGCTTGTTGTCCACGCTCTCTAGTGCTGGCTTTGACGTTGTTTCCGTCCTCATGTTATCAGATATACTCGACATAGACGCGATGATAAATTTGCCATGGAAGCAAACAGGGCTTGTCTGATGTTGCAGGGATTGACGGTTGGTGAGGTGTGGGCCTATGAATGAATCGGGGCACGGGCGAGTTTCCGAATCAGATCCGAGTTCTGACTGCCGAGAAGAACGCCGACGCGCTTTGACCAATTTCGGCCCAGAATTTGTGGGTGTGTTTCTTCTATCGGACTTCGCCGAGACCCTTGTCCACAGCAAAGAAGCGGATTGAACAGCATGCTAGCACACCATGCTAGCACACCATGCAAAGACTCATTTGCAATAGAGCGGCACCAAGGTGAAGGACGGTAGGCACGCGGTGAAGTCAAGAACACAAAAGCATATGATCGTGTGAGCTGATGGAATGCTGGGCAACGAGGAAAGAAGCTGTCACTTCGCGTCATTTCCCGGCAAGTGAATCGTGATTGTGGAAGGGTGACAGAAGAGAAAGCTGGGGCCCAAACTTGGGTTCGCTTCCCACTTCTTATCGCTTGTCCCACAGCATCCGAACCTGCTTCCTTCCTTCTCTCACCATCCTCGCTCTCTCATCTACTTCTCCATAGATTTACAAAATGACGGCCATCCCCCTCGACCAGTTCGATGCCGTCCTTGGCTCCACCTCGACCGAGATCTCCTCTGTCGCCCTTGGTGGCCACATCCTTAGCACCTCTGATGAGTGGTTCGCTCCCGCCTCTTCCCTTCTCAAAGTCGGCCCTGCACCTTCGCTCAAAGGTCAATTTGGACCCAAAGGAGCCCTTTTCGATGGCTGGGAAACTCGTCGTCACAATCCTACCTACGACTGGGTCATCCTTCGTCTTGGCCCTTCCGCCGGCGGTCGTCTCATTGGCTTCGACGTAGACACTGCTAACTTCAATGGTAACGAAGCACCCGAGATCTCGATTCACGCTCTCGCTCTCACTCCGGAAGAAGAAGCTCAGACTGGCAACGCTCTCGCTCAAAACGACGCTCTTTGGGAAGAAGTTGTCCCCGTCTCGCCATGTGGACCTTCGCAGAGGCACCTGTTTAAGGTGGCAGAGGGTAAAGGAGACAAGATCTACACGCATATTAAGCTGCACATGATCCCGGATGGTGGTATTGCAAGGTTCAGGGTATATGGTGTGATCCCACCCCCTCCTGTTGGGCAGGGCGAGGGAGAGGAGGTGAATGCAGAAAACAGCGCGCTTAATGTGTTGGATCTGGCTCATTGTTTGAATGGCGGTAGAGTGGTGTTCACGGATGACCAACACTTCGGTGCGGGTAGCAACATCATCTTGCCCGGCAGGGGTAAAGATATGGGTGATGGCTGGGAGACTCGTCGTTCCAGAGCAAAAGGTCATTTCAATTGGGCTATCATCAAGCTGTAAGTGCACCGCCAACCCCTCTTTCACTCATCTTTCTGACTCTTTACTGACCCTCATCCTTGCTCTTTCCTTCCATCTTTCGATACGTGTATAGTGGCGAACCAGGTTTCCTCTCCTACGCAGAAGTCGACACAGCCCACTTCCTCGGCAACTTCCCCGAATCTGTCGAACTTCTCGGCACAGTCTACAACCACTCTTCCACCGTTCCCTCCGCTGCTGCTGAATGGATCACACTCCTTCCTCGTACCAAGCTCGGTCCTGGTCGTCGTCACTTCTTCCCCATCTCCGGTGGCTCCTACATCACCCATGTCATGGTCAAAATGCATCCCGATGGAGGAATCAAGCGTGTCAGACTACACGGTCGTCGTGCCGCCACGATCATTTCTGCTGCCATGGACGTAAATGCCCTCCCCGTCATTCCTGTACCGCAGGATATCCAGGACCCTTTGCCATCAGCCACTTCGGATCCATTCGCTCCTGTAAGTGCCCTCCCTCCCTCCACCATCTCTCGTGGTACCTGCAAGTGCAATACAACCACCGGCATCGTCCTTCATTCCACATTTGTCGCGGCGGTGCATCTCACTGCAGAAGCATTCAAGCCTTACGGTGCGGTGATCGATGGACCTTCCGCGCAAAACCCAGACAAATGGAAGCCGTTCAAGATCGTCAATCAGGGAACCGCCAAAAAGTACCTGAATTTGGCGGAAATTCTTAACAAGTATCCCAGCGAGGCGGGCGCGAAGACCAACGTTCATGTATACCGATGCGATCCTGCCCCAACACTGCCTTTTGAGGTGAAGTTGTTGGAAAGGCACAGATTTACTACGCAGGCGTTCATCCCGATGGTACCGGTGGATGGGAAACAAAAGGGATTCTTGGTTGTGGTTGCGCTTAATGGTCAAGGTACGACCACACCACCTCTTCCCCGTTTCAGATATGGTGACGATGGGATGCTTTTACTGACACCAACTTCTCTTCGTTTTTGGATTGGGATGAACAGATGACAAGCCAGACCTGAACACCCTAGCCGTTTTCCTAGCTACAACCGAACAAGCGATTCAATACCACCCAGGGATTTGGCATCATCCGATGATTGCTCTCGGTAAACAGGCCACGGATTTCGCTTGCATTGTGAACGAGTCCGTCACACAGCCTCAACTCGATTGTGATGAGGTCGAAGTATGAGCTTCCAGGCTTATCACACACATGAACACATGTCAATATAGATCATTTTCATTTTCATTTTTTCTTTTCTTTTACCACTCCTGCATGTTGGTGTCTAGGGCAGATTAATGCGTAAGACCTGGCCCCTCGCTTCCTTCTCCTTCTCGGGGCTATAGAGCGGGTGATTAGTAGCTAAACGAGTGACCATCTCAAAAGTATCCACCGCAGCATTCTTCGACAAAAGCCTGACCCAGATATCGTGCCTTCTACTAGTACCAGCGACCCTCTTCCACTCTCCTTCCTCCCCCCTTTCCCACCTTTTTAACGGAATGTCTTCGTCCCTCAACCTCTCTTTCTGATCAAACTCCACCTTCATCCTCTCCTGAGTCAACACCATCCACCAGCAAACACCGCAAACCACAACATTGACCACTGCAAACCACCATCCCACACCTTCGACCTTCCTCACCCACTCCGCCCCACCACCCTTCGTCAATCCTAAATACACCTGTGGAAGGTTCGAAAGCAGCGAGGTCGCAACGAGGATTCTATAGATAGTAGACATGCCTCCCTGGCTGAGCACAGTTCGATTAGCGAGAGTTGCATCGAATTCGGGTTTGTTTAGAACCAGGCGCAAGGCACAAGCCCGTTCGAGAGTGATGTAGCGAGATGTGAGAAGGTTGAATGTGACGAGTGTACAAGCCCATGTTGCGATTACGCGGTAGAATAGGGGTGAAGAGGGGAGGGGAGAGTTGAGGATGATTGCGGAAAGGAGGGCGTGGAGGACGAGGGAAATGGTTGAATGGGTCCGGTAGGTTGGGTCGATGGGGGTTATGGAGGGGAGGGTGGATGTGTATGATGGTGGTGCGCCTGATGGGAGTGGAGAAGACATGTTGGATGCAGTGGAGGTGGTGCTGTGGCGCTGTGGTAGGGTGTAGGATGGTGGTGATTGAGAAGTCATTGTGGATGATGGTGGTCGAGGTTGGGAAGGAAGCGGAGAGAGTGTCAGACGATGGGAAGAAGTCTCCTAGTCGGCTCACCGTGCCAAGCTTTCATAGAATTCCGAAAAGTGGGCGGGTTCTACTGGAGAATCCGGCGGCGCTTAAGCAAAATTTGATCGACATGGCGCATAGCAGCCACCTGTCAATCTTCGTTTGACCTTACATCATCATCAAAATGGTCGTTGGACTTCCTCTATACGGTTCTATTCTGACAGGCGTGGTTGAGGTAGAGAATGTTCGAATAGACCTCCTTCACCATCGAAAGAGCCCCATTTGATTATAGCTTGACGCTTTTCTAGAACATCTCGCGATATCGTACCGTCAAAACTCCCAATCGCACAAAGCACAAACGCAAACACGAAAGCATACCATCAACATTCTTTATATTACCTCTGTATGAGCTCAAAGTGTAACACGCAACACCTTCCCAACAACGGTTCCATACAAGGAGCATTGCGAGTCAGACATGCATACCCTAGAGAACGACATCTATTGCAAGGTTACACCGGCTAGCAACACTCAGGTTGTTTCGCCTGTTGCTCAGGACAAGATCGGTAAAAACTGCAAAAATCAACCACCAAAACGCAAAAAATAAAATAAAACTTGTCAGCTTTTATCCTCACCAACTTTCCCATCGCAACAGTAGAGCGTGAGGACGGGGTAACTTACATTCCCAACAACCAAACTCGGCAAGTCAAAGATATCCCTCTTGATCGTAAAACTCCATGCACAAGGAACCAGTTTCCCATCCGGCTTCACCAGTGTACATGTGGTCATCACGCTCTGTGTTGTATTCTCAAACGCATGCAATGCGAACTTTTCCCAATAATCCAAGGTACTCTCCTTATCCATAAACTCATATATCCTCCTTCCCACCAGCTGATCCTTACTCCACTGCGTAAGCATGCAAAACTCTGCCCCGACTACGCAGATCTCGCACGTCCTTCTCCACACTACCGTCGGCGTTCCACTGAAGCTGATCAGTTTTTCGAATTCGAGCATTGTTCGCTGGAATGATCGCTCGACGAAAATCTCGTCTTCTTCGGTTAGGGGCATTTGGAGGGCAATGAGGGAGGGTCGGAAAATGGCAAGGGCGCGAACGATGCGTAGGACGTCTTGCTTTTCGAATTTCGAAGTGACGTATTTGATGAGGAAGTGGTAGCCTTCGGGGTAAGGAAAAGGGGCGGTGTTGTCGCGGTAGGTTTTGGCGATACGGGCACGCCAAATTGTGTCTTGTTGTTGACGTGCGACTCGACGGGAAGCGATGGCTTTGTTGATGTCTGCGACCGGTTCGTTGGAGGTGCTGCGTTGGGAGGAGGATCCGAGATCCACTTGATTGTTCCCTCCACCAGAGTTGTGATTGCTGACACTCGATTGCTGCTGCTTCTGTCCCTGCTCGTCAGCAAGCAGCGTCGATTCTTCCATCATAGCCGGTTTAGGACTGGGCACTTCCAAATCCCCAAACTCCCCAGCGCCAGTCATATCCGTCAACCCTGTGGTCCCTGCCCCTCCTGCATCCGCATACGGGCCCATCCCCGCAGTATCGCTATACGTTGCTGCAGCAGTATCCAACCCACCCGTCCGCGGAACTCCTTGCTGCTGCTGTTGCATGTCCATATTTAAAATCGCATCCAGTCCACCACTGGCGATGTTCCATCCATCCATCACACCCACCGCCGGGCTAGTCTGGAAATCAGGACTTGCACCCGATGGACCCAACAATTGCAGATCTGTCCCGTTGAGCATCGACGAAAGGATGGAATACTCTAGACTCGTTGCTTCACTTCCAAAGTTGTGCGTTGATGGGTCGAACGAAAGATCGAACGGTGCTCCTCCTGCTCCGCTGTTCCCGCCATTACCAGACGGTGCAAGATCATTCGTGGAGGAGGAGTCGAATGTGTTACTGGAAAGATAGTCGTGCTGATGCGGCGAAGGACCATGACCGGAAGACGAGGGGGTAGGAACACTATTTGCGGCGACCTGATCGAGGATGCTGCTTACTGCCATTGCTTGCTTCTGGGATGATGAAGCTGTTGCTTGCGATACTGCTGAATCCTGCTGCTGCTGCTGCTGCTGCTGTTGCTGCTGTTGCTGCTGGGCATTCTTCGCCTTCTGCGCCTGCTTAGCCGCCTTCTTTGCCTCCTTCTGCCTTTTCAACTCCTCCAATTCATCATCATCCAGCAAGTATTTCGCCTTCTTCCGATGTCCATCCGTACAAGAATCAGCCAGACCCTTCTTAACACACCTTTGACAAGGCCGAGAGTCGTTGCAGGTCAAATGAGCTTTTTGACAGTGCAAACATGCGCGACTCGCTTTCTTTCTCTTGCCTGAACCACCTCCGCCCTTGGCTGCGCTTCCACCTCCAGTCGAAGCCGGTGTGCCTGCCGAATAAGAGGGCTTCCTGGCTGGAGTCGAAGAGGTTGAGGGAGAGGCGGAAGATTTTGTGCTTAGATCGACTTCTTTCTTCAGGGGTGAACCGGAGGGTGACCGGCCTGCATTGTTCGCTGAAGATTTGGATGCTGATGAGGAAGCGTTGGAGTATAAGCTCTGATCCAACATGGATGCTGTGTTGGAGCGGACGCCGACGGAAGAAGTTGAAGTGGATGCAGATGGGTTTCGCTGCTGTGATGGTGGTAGAGGGGGTATAGAGCTGGCAGGTGGACTAGATGCAAGAGCGGCAAGGGTGGATGCGGCTGCGTGTGATGCTGGGCTTTGCTGACGTTGCGAGTTGGTTGTCGACGGATGTGGTGGTAGGGAGTGAGATGGGATAGATGAAGAGCCGGAGGAGGAGGAAAAGGATGGCGGGCGCGGAGCCGACTTGTTGCCATTTGCACCGGACATGGTGACTCGGTAAGTATGCGAGGTGTTATGAGCTCATGCGAGGGTTCAATGTCTCGACAAGAGTATTTGTGATACTGTGCGCCTTGCTAGGTGCGTTGCAGCTCTTGGTCTTACAAGGTGGTTGATTTCGATGTTCCCGTGGGCGAGCGGAGGTCGGTCCAATCTCGACAGGATGGCGTCTCGGAGCAACGATGGTATCTATGGCGAAGACAAATCGGCGTCGGGCGAGGCCAGCAGAAGAGCGACCCCCTCAGGTGTATGTGGTGGTGCTGGTTGCCGAATTCGCCGCAGCTGGTGATGATGTGGGAGAGACGATGGAAGTTGCTTTGACATGTGACTCGTCCACGACAGCATGACTGTTTCCAACGCGAGCTGTGGAAATTGACCGTTGCAGGGCACAGGAACGGTGCAATCTACGCGAGGACACCGCGGAATTTAAACAATGTTAGCAAAGCAAGAGGAAACATTGCTCAAAATTCTCGAGCCTGCTATCTGTGCCGAAAGCTGACTGACTTACGCTTCAACTGGTACAGCCTCAGGATGCAGCGTATGCCAGTCGAGATCAATCAGACCTGTGGTCATTGGTTAGCTGAAAAGCTATAAGAATACAGTGAAGAGCGCAGAAGAAAGAGATTGACCGCAAAAAAAGTCATCGGACGGGTCGTTCGTCAAAGGCCGTATGAAGCCCGAGTCCGGAAAGGCTGATATCTTGCTCTGCTCAGAAGAGCTTGCTCAACATTCTCTTGATAAAGTCGATAACGAACGGAATATAGCTCAACGAATAGAGCAAGAAAGCGACGCTGTTTTCACAAAGCCAGATCGAAGAAAAGAATCATTGTCAGTAACCTCCTCCTCCATCACTTCTCCCCTTACCCCGCTTATTATGATACTTACTACAGCACAATAACAAAGATTACCGCCAAAATGGTACTATCGATCGCAAACACCGACACCCAAACCATGATGAACGCCACGATCATCACCAGTGTAAACGCGATCCGGACCGGTTTGAACATCTGTTGGAACTGCTTCATGAATCCAATCAAAAACCCTGTTCCTGTCAAAGCTACCAGCACTCCTACCGTATACAGCACTACGAAAACTGATATTGATCCGGTAACGAGAAGGACTGTGCCGAGGATCGAGAGCACAAATCCACCGAGAGTACAGGCAACGAAACCGATCATACGTTGTTGTCGAGTAAGTTCGATACCGAACGTTTTGGAGAATGCGTCGGATTCGCCTGTGAGTTCTCCCGAGAAGTTCTTGACTTGTTGCGTGTCCATATTGATCCATCGTGAGGAGCCGGTGTTGGCGAATGGGTTGGAGAATGAGGTGGAGGTGGTGCCGCCAGAGGGGGCTGCGTTGGATTTGAACCACGACATGGTGTGCGATGTAGAGACTGAGATGGATGACCAGGTATCGATTCCAGTAAGGTGTGTAGGTAAAGAACCGTGCGTGTGCGGGTAAATGACGATGAGATGGTGGGGTTGAGGAGAAGAATTAAGCGCGTGTGCATGTCTCAATAGTGGATCTGGTGTTGCACTTTTTCCACTCCGCCCGAAAAAGACGTCGTAGCGTGGCAAAAGACAGGCCCTGACTGCGACTCAATTTGCTGGCCCCTTTTCGTCTGCCCGGTGTTCCACGCTGACCATCATACCTCATCTGGAACGCTGGTGTTCGCACATCACACTCTATCTTGTCACAATCAAGGTAGCAAAGTATTCTATCACTGCCTGCGTATGAGTTCAAGGCCCAATAGCGCCCTCCTCCCGCAACTTGACAACCTCTTCCTCACTCAACCCCAACTCCTGCATCAGCACCTCATCCGTATGCTGTCCCAACACTGGCGGAGCACGCCTCACCCTCATTTTCCCATCACCATACCTTACCGCGGGCGCAACAATCTTAATCCTCCCCGCTCTCGGATGATCCACTTCCTCCACCACCTTCCTATCTTTACTCTGCGGATGCTCATCAAACGTTCCCCTGATATTCCTAATCGGGGCAGCCGGAATTTTTCCGTTAATCGCATCGCACCATTCCTGCACCGTCTTTTCCTTGAGCAATTTATCCAGCAGTGGGATCAGTTCTTCTCTGTGCTGAACCCTTGCTGCGTTCGTCGCATACTTAGAGTCTGAAGAGAGTTCAGGTTTGCCGAGAAGATTGCAGAGGAACTTGAACTGACCGTCATTTCCTGCGCCCAGCATGATCCGGCCGTCTTTGGCCTGAAATGTTTGGTAGGGGACGATGGAAGGGTGCTTGTCTCCGTGTCGACCAGCTTCTTGTCCTGCGATGAGGTAGTTAGATGCGATGTTGGCAAGAGAGGCAATTTGAGATTCGAACAAGCTGGCATCGATATGGACGCCTTTGCCTGTTTGCGCTCTGCCGAGTAGGGCGGCCATGATCGCTCCATGAACGTATAACCCCGTCGTGAGATCTGTCATTGCAACTCCAATCTTGACGGGAGGTCGATCAGCTTCGCCGGTGATATGCATCATTCCCGCATCCGCTGCAATAATCACATCGTATCCCGCTTTGTCCCTGTACGATCCCGTCTGGCCGTATCCTGTCAAACTAGCATAGATGATGTCGGGTTTGATCTTGTTCAAATCCTCATAGCCCAGACCCATACTGGCGAGTTTCCCGGGGAGGTAGTTCTCGACCACAACGTCCGCTTTAGCAACGAGATCGTGGATGATCTTCTTTCCCGCGGGAGATTTAAGGTCAACAGTGATGGATCGCTTGGAGCGGTTGACGGAGAGAAAGTAGGCTGATTCGGGAGGCAGGCTAGCCCAGTAGTCCTCTTTTCCAGGCGGAGGTTTGGGTGCGTCCTTGCCGGTGGGTGGTTGAGCGAAAGGAGGGAGCCAAGCTCGGGTATCGTCACCGCCGCGAGGATGTTCGACTTTGATGACGTCTGCACCAAGGTCAGCGAGGAGCATGGTGCAGTAAGGGCCTGCAAGAACGCGAGTGAGATCGACGATGCGGATTCCTTTGAGCGGTGGTGGGATGGAAGGGCCGTCGTCGGTGGATGTGCCTGATGCTCTTGTGTCGCTGGACAGCTTTGGCTGCCAAGTTGCAAAGCCGCGATGGATTGCCTGGACGATCTGGCGCTTCGATAACTTGGTGCCCTGATCGGACGGGGTCGTCATGGAGACGACGGATACTGTCCTCGTAGAGATTGACTTTGGAAGCCCCAGCCTTGCCCGCTCGCGCAGCACGGGTCGAAAGCGGCTGGCAATTGCCCGCATCTTTGATCTTTTGTTATCGGAACAGTTGAGAAGCTCGATGGCTCTGAGACCCTTCAGACGTCGCGCCCTTATCAAGTTGTCGGATCTCGTCTATCTACGTTTGACGAGCGTAGGAAGGATGTGGTCGAGTAAGAAGCCAGAGTGTCGAGGACTTTGAATGCTTCCGGTTGTTGGTGCCACACACGCTTGTAAGTAACCGAATTACCGCACCTCTTCGGACCGCATCGCCCGATTTTTATCTCCACGAATGCGGCGAAAGCGGAATTTAGCTGCACAACTCCACTTTCTCACAACTCGACTTTCCCCCGCACTTTTCACTTTTTGACATTCGGACACTTCGACTCTATCATTCTTCCTGCTCATACACCATACGCTCTCTCTGACAAACCGCCTTCTCGCTGCAAGAGGTCGTCGAAGCAAAGATGGTAACCCGCAATCTAATCTCTCCGCTCTCTAGGGTCCTTCCCTCAGTCAAAACCCCCGTCGTCCTCGGCGCGATGGCCGGCGCCTCGGGCGGCGATCTAGCAGGTTCTGTCTCGGCAGCAGGCGGCTTCGGCTTCATTGGCGCAGGCTACCTCACTCCCACCTCTATCCAAACCGAAGTCGAAAAAGCATACGTTCAGCTCTCCATCACTTATTCTTCCCTTCTCTCTAACAAGAAGAGGGCTGATTTTGGAATCGGAATCCTCGTCTGGCGTCTTACCGAATTAAACAATGGCAAACGACCGCACCAGTCCAGCCCCAATAAGGCTGTCACTGACTTCTTAGAGGCTATCCTCAAAGCTAGACCACGCGCTGTCTGGCTCAGTTTCGGAGATGAAGAAGAGCTCACCTCTTGGCAAAACGTTCTTGTTGAGCTCGATGAGAAGATCAATGCGGATATAAAGGGAAAGGAAGGAGAGGAGATAAGGTGGTTCATCATGATCGGCAGAGAGCAGGAGCTGCAGTCTGCAGTTGAGAAATGTCGATGCGATGTGCTGATTGTACAAGGCTGCGAGGCGGGAGGTCATGGACATTCGCAAGCTCCACCACTGTCTGCGTTGCTATCGGGCGTTTTGAAACGCCTTCCTTCGTTGAAGTCGAATAATGTAGGGAATACTACACCGCCGGTGCTGGGAGCCGGAGGTTTGGCAGATGGCAAATCGCTAGCGTCTCTCCTCGCAGCTGGCTGCGCAGGCGGTGTGTACGGAACACGCTTTGTTCTTACCCCTGAATCAACATATTCGCAACTGCAAAAAGAGCAGCTGGTCAAGGCGAAGAGTTCAGCTACGCTTCGTACATTCGCTTTCGACGATGCTAGGGGAACACTGGGCTGGCCCAAAGGAACTGATGGAAGAGGGTTGAGAAACAAAACGGTCCAAGAGTATGAACAGGACCTGCAACAGGAGGTGAAAGAGGGAAGAGAGGACCCAGAAGGCGCAAAGAGGAGGATGGAGAGATACAAGCAAGCAGCGAAAGAGAACGATACGGATCGAATTGTCATCTGGTCTGGGACGGGTGTCGGAGCGATGGACGCTATTGTGCCTGTGAGGAAGGTGGTGCAAGATATCACAGAGGAGGCGATCGAGGCGCTGGCTAGGGTTCAGGGCTATATTCAATAGTGATTTTGTTGCTTCATTCATTGCATTACGATTCAAACAAAGAGGATGCCGATAGATTGTGTGAATGTTACTGCCCCTTCTGACCCCGTTCCTCAAGCTCCTTCCACGCGCCAATGATATCGGTGTACACCTGAGTCCTTCCCTCTCTCGGTCTACAAATTACCTGCACACCGCCCTCGACCCTGTCACCTCCCTGTTTCTCACCCAACCCGGCCTTTTCCGCCTGCTTACTCTTGGTTGCAAGAACGAAATCATCAAACTCCATCTTCCCTCCCTGACTCCTGCTCCAGCCCCAAACAGCCTTGTACGCCGCACCAACACTGCAAAAGTTGTAGTTCGCCGCAGTCCAACCCTTGCCATCTTCGCTCGGTTGGACGGGTTTGACGATCGCGCAACCGAACACGTCTGCCATGGCTTGAGTGATGGTTGTATTCGAAGAGGCTCCTCCAACGGCGTAGATCGAGGCAAGGGGCAACTTAGATGTGTCCCGTGCAGAAGAGGAGGTGCCAGAGACGATCGAGGATGAGCGATAGCGGTAGTTCAGCAATTGTGTTTCCAGGATTGCTGCTGCGTTCATACCTGCCATTTCAAAGTCTTTTACCTTGTTCCATTCCGAGCTGGAGGGAGGGGAAGAGGTGTAGCGATGAATACCAGATGCGCCGGAAGGGATGATCTCGGGACGCAACCAGTAGAAGCCCACCCTCTTCTCTCCTTCCTTCGCCTGAAGCTTGTACTTTTCAGCATCGGCGTTGAACGTGTCCCAGTTGGAGTTGCTGTACTGATCACGGATCCACTCGCGTGCCAGACTGCCAGACTTGTAGACGAGCATGTTGAAGAATGCGTTCTCCTTGGATGGTAGCTTGGCGGGGTGGAAGAATGCATGAAAGTCCGGGTCGGGAACATATTGGTTTGTGGCGACCATAACAGTGTCGGATGTTCCAAGGCTGATGATCGCTTGTCTTTCGGCTAAGCTGAATGCGAGGAAGGTGGCTGGGTTGTCGCCAGTGCCTGGGAATACTTGACAGTCGGGTGAGAAACCGTAGCGTTGAGTCCACCAGCTGCCGACCTTGCCAACTGGCGCACCTGCATCTCGGTAGATTACGCCGAGCTTGCGTTCCAACTCTTCTGCTCCACCGAGGGAGGAGTCGGCTCCTTCGCTTTCGCCAGAGGCAAGGGAGAGGAGGGTCTGGTTCCAACCTGGTTCCAACTTTCCTCTCTTCTCATCAGAAGAGATAGAAGGGGAAGATCGCATGTCCAGCAAGTTCATACCACAGGCATCCGACTCGTCGATACCCTTGATCACCTCTTTCTCGTCCTCCCCCTCTCCGACACAGAGCATGGTAGTAATGAAGCTCGATACCAATCCGATGCGTTCCGTGTCCTTGTACGCTTCCGGCTGCTGCTTGCGGAACTTGTAAATCTGTGGACCTGTAAACCTCGTGTGTGCCTTTGATCCTGTCACTTTCGCCAGCTCCTCCGCTCCACCCGCTGCCGCTTCAAACGCCTTGCATGCTTCCGTAGTTGACGAGTCTTGCCAATTAGGAACGACTTTTCTGCTGAATGCTCCCTCAACCTGCTCCGTAAGTTTCTTCTCAGAGGACAAAGTGGTGAAGATGCGAGGCGCAGCACGAGAGAAGTATACCGAAGCATGCTGTTGTCCAGCAGCAGAGACTGATTTGATCCTCGAGACTGGCCAGGAAGCTGATCGGATCTTGTCGGCGAGAAGATCGATCGACTCGACATACAGCATGATGGGTGCTACGACTGTGCCTTCATCGTCGTCAGCGGTGGGTTGGGAGACTCCACCCGTAGTTTTGTGGTGAGGTAGGTCACGATCAAATCGGACCTCGAGCTCGGAGAGGACATTGAGGTCAATATCAAGGAGAGCAGCTTTCAGGGCTTGAGTGCTGGCGTCGAGGCCGAGGAAGAGGGGGCCCGTGCCGTCCATTTTTGCTATCCGTCGGATGATGCCAGTGGTGATGCAACGAGACGAGGAGTCAGGAGGGGAGGAAGGAAGGCAGGCTGCTGGGTATTATATGGCTGACGCTCGGTACGCCCCCCTTATCGACAAGTCAGGAACCAGAAGAAAGGTCCGGGAGAAGGTCACCGGTGTCAGTCTCCTTGGTCGAACAAATGCACCGATGCAAAGCAAAGATTCCCGCCACGAAAGATTTCCGAGGATTTTTTTTTGATGATTTGTTAGCCCCGCTTTCTAACACCACGAAAACGAGCAGATTATTGCGGAGAAGCGGTGGCACAAACGAGAACCATGCCATTTCCTGTTCCCTTCTGACCATCATCATCGACAACCATCTCTACGTTCTCAACTATCTCATACAAAAGCATCGAATCTTGGTAGCAAACCAAGGTCGCTCATCGTCTCTCCAGCACTGAATTCCGCTACTCAACCAGCTCTCAAGCTGCCCAATCGAATGCAGCCCTCATCGCAGCTCCTCAACTCTGTCTCTATGGTCAGCAACACTTCTGGCCTCAACTGCTTCTTCGCCTCCGTTCAATGACATAGGCTATTCGTCCTCTGTGGCCTACATTCTTAGATCGTCACAAATCGGGTCAGCTTCAACTCATCTTAAACCAACCCCCTCGTGTGCAGGCATCGTAACAATGCCAGCGCACCTCATCGAAGTGGACCTAAGCGAGGTCTCCAAGTCGCTCGCTGTGCTTGGTGGCTTCATCGTCATCTATGGTCTGCTGTCATACGTCGTGAAAGAACGACTGTACCTGTCGGAGCCTCTTCTGGCAGTGATGGCGGGTATCATCGTTGGACCGTATGTGCTCAACTGGGTCGACCCTATCAGTTGGGGCACGATTGAAGAGACCAATGAGGTCACTTATCAACTCACCCGCATCGTCGTGGGGATTCAGGTGCTGTTCTGTGGTATATCTCTACCTAAGGCGTACTTATGGAGAGAGAAGTTCTCGCTTGTCATCTTGCTGTTTGGCATCATGACTACGGCTTGGTTTGCAACAGCTTTGCTCATCTGGGGTCTCATTCCCAATCTTACCTTTCTGGAAAGCCTTTGTATCGCAGCAGCCGTGACACCCACTGATCCGGTGCTCGCCAACTCCATCACCACGGGTCGCTACGCCGAGAAGCACGTCCCCGCCAACGTACGTAACATCATCATCGCCGAGTCCGGAGCAAACGACGGCCTCGGATTTCCCTTTCTCTACCTGGCTATCTATCTCCTTGCTCGCCACGGTGAAGATGCGGATAAGAGCGTAGAAACCGAAGTAGGAAGCTGGACGTATGCCGTTGTCATTTACCAAATTGTTCTCTCCATCGCATTTGGCGCTCTGATTGGGTATTTGGCTCGTAAGTCGCTCAAGTGGGCCGAATCAAGATCGTACATCGACAAAGCCAATTTCTTCGCCTATGGTCTCGGATTGGCCTTCTTCACCCTCGGAACCACGGGCTTGTTTGGGTCGGACGATATCTTGGCATGCTTCATCGCTGGTAACTCGTTCACTTGGGATGACTGGTTCCGTATCCGCACCGAAGACAACGATTTCCAGGAGATCATCGATACAGTTCTCAACATGACAGTATTTGTCTATATCGGTGCTATTATTCCTTGGTCTGCTTACTCGAACATGGAGTTGCAGCTGACAGGTTGGAGGATGGTAGTGCTGGGGATTACAGTGCTGTTGCTCCGTAGGCCGCCTTGGGTGATTGCAGCTACGAAAGCCATCCCGGCACTGCGAGACTTCAAGGAGTCGGCATTTGCTGGTTGGTTCGGTCCGATTGGCGTTGGAGCCGTGTTCTACATTCAGGTCGCACTCAGGCAGTTGCCAGAAGATGGAACAAGGGAAAGGCTGCGTGCGGTGTATGCACCTATCGTGCTCTTCATGGTGTTCAGTTCGGTCCTGACCCATGGAGTCACGATCCCGATCTCCAAGCTTGGACCTGGTGTTATGCGTCGCACTGCTACACTGACCAAGACCAAATCGATCACCTTCTCGCGCCCTATCAGCCGCAGCAACACGATCCAGCCCACCAAGACGAACGCAAACACCGCTGTAGCTCGGGAGAGCTCGCCTGAATCAGCGTCCATGCCTGATCGTTCGGACTCTGAACGATCGGGCGGCGGCAGCCGTGGATCGTTGCAGGGCTCGCCCCGAGGTCACGTAGGATACGATGAATCAGGTAAAGCGTTGTGGAATCCGCTGGTTGCAATCGCCGACTGGGGCATTCACGTGTTTGCCTTTTGGCAGAAAGACAGTTTTTGGCGCAAGGATGTGACACCAGGCAAACACAATGCTCTCGCCTCCCACCACGGCGGCGTCAATAAAACCCACATCTCTGCTCCCACTCGCCCTGTCAAACAGCGCAGCGTTGAAGAGGACAAAGATAACAGCGCTGACAGCATCCGCATGGTGGAGACCAACGCAGATGGTGAGCAAATGAAGTCGCGTCTCCCTCCTCCGTCCATGGAGCTTCCCACCACAGGCAGTGTCAAGATCCCGAGTGCAATCTTGCAGAACCCTTCAAAGTTCGGTTCGAACAGCGAAGGCAAGCCGGACATGCCAGCGTTGTCGAGAACAGTCTCGCCAAGGAGGTTTGCGATCCTACGTGTCTTAGACAAGGAGATGAGCGAAGAACGTAAGGAGGCGCAGACGGAAGCGCAGCAGGGTTGGGAGAAGGGAGAGCAGAAGGAGCAGAAGCGGCTCAGGGAGATGTTGAAGCTTCGCGAGGCTGAGCAGAATGGTGGTGCGGAAGAGGTGCAAGGAGATGCGCAATCCACTCATTCGAGTCAGAGAAGGACTCTTCGCTTCGTTTAAGTTGTATCAACTCGACTTCATCACATACATCACACACAATTCATCACGCATCCCGTTCGCATCATATCACATCACACTACGCCTCACTACCTTTCCTACCACCGATCGTCTCGGTCCATCTCATCACACACATTCGACTTCGCTTTGATACAAATTCGATACATCAATTAAAGGATTCCATTGCGATAATAGTGCCAATTGTCTGTAACGACGCCAAGCTTTAGCCAAGGGCAGGCAAGCCAGGTCTACCGGACGAGGCCTTTCCAACCTGACCACCGTCTCTTCTCTTGGCAGTGTTCAAAGTGAAGGCATTCTTGAATGTTGAGTTGCGATAGGCTGACTTTGCTGTGCCCTGTTCCTCCGCCCTCTCTTCCCCTGTTGACGGCGCTGGGTGTGGTCTGGCAGGCAAAGGAGGCAAGCTGATGGGTTTCCTGACCTTGACGCAGCACAACAAGAGGAACGCGATGGCAAACATAGCTGTGCCCGCCACGAAGATAGCTGGAGGGAAGGTCTTTGTCGTCCTCTTGAACACCTCGGCGAAGAGAATAGGGCCAACGACAGTACCTGAGATGGCAGAGGTGATGCTCCATGCGCCGAAAAGCTTTCCTGCGTCTGCAGGAGACTTGAGCAATGCGAGTGCTAGCGAGGACATGGCTGCACCTCCACCACCGCCGAGCGCCGTAATAGCCGTGGCTAGGAAGAAGAGCTGTGGGGTGTCCGAGAAGATGAGAAGGCCATAAGATATGGTGTTGACGATGACCGAGATTTTTGCGAGTTTGAGGTCAAACTTGCTGTCGTGAATGAGGCGGAGGTGCTTTGCTCGCAAGGTCCACAATTCTTCGACGGACTTCTTAGTCTCATCCCATTCGCCATCTGCTTGCTCGTTCTCCGCGTCCTCGCCTGCAGTGTCGTGGTGAGATGAGCGACGAGACTGATCGACAGCACCGTACGAGTTCATACGTCGATGCGGTCTACCATCGTCGTCCAGCGTGGAGTGCCGACGAGAGTCAGGAGCAACAGTCTGCTCCTCCTCGACCGGCGGCCCGTCTTGTGGCAGCCTCAACGCCTTGACTGGTCGATGGAGGAACTTGATGGCCACCGGCAGGATGAAGGTAAGTGCAAGGACACGAGTGATGCTGAGGAAAGTAAGATACATGCCCAACTCAGCCGATCCCCAGATGAACTGCTTCTGGGCGTACTGCATCTTGAAGGACATGATGCCAATGATGGCAGTCTCGGCGAAGTACGTGAGCGAGAGGAAGGAAAGATTCCAGTCGTAACGCATCTTGGGTGCGACACGAGAGACGGAGATGTGCGATGCTGATGCTTCGGGCGCAGCAAGTGCACCACCAGGTCGAGGTGTGCTGCTGCCAGAAACACCACCTTGGTGGTCGGCTTCTTCGGGCTGGTGAACGGGTACCTTCTTGGGTAGAAGGAAGCTTAGCGGTTCCAGAGGAGCGTAGAGGAAGCTATTCAGGAAGAGAACCTTGGCTCGCTTCCAGACACGCTTCTTGAATGGTCGACGGTCGCCTTCCCAGCTTCTTGAGCCGAGCAGCGGTTGCATTTCGACAGTCTTGCGTTCATCAGCCTTACGTTTAATTTCGGCACGTTGCTCCCCGTACTCCTTCAATGCTTTGGCACGGAACTGCTGGCTGGTGCTCTCGGGGATGAAGGAAAAGATGCCGACAACATAGAGCAAGTGCATGGCGAGCGCGAACCAGAAGGGCGCCAAAATATTGTCTGTGTGCTTGACGAGCAGACCTCCGAGTGTAGGACCAACTGCAAGACCAGCATAGACGATGCCCATAAAGTGTGCAAAGATGTGGGCACGGGTGCCACTGGGAGTGACGTCCGAGATGTAGGACTGATGAACGGCGATTGCAGCGCTGTATCCTCCGAGCAAACCTTCGACTGTAGTTCCGAGGACGAGGAAGCTGTAACCGAAAGGAAGCCTGTTGCGAGGCACGAGGGCAGCCGTAAGAATGACAAGGTCGGTGAAAACGATACCGGCCATAGCGAGACGAAGTACAGGCAGACGACCACGCCTCGAGGACAAGTTAGACCAGAAGCCCGTAGTGAGTGCAGCAAGAATACCCATGGACAGGGTCATTCGGAGCTGCAATGTAGCGAGGGCGGACTGCACCTCTGGACTGGCGAAGCAGGCTTTGCTTGGTCGTCGGGGTATCGGGATGATGGTGGAGTTGGGTTGTTCGAGGGCTGCAAAGTAGGCGGTGACGGCGTACATGTCCGAGGCAGTGTCTGTGTGCGAGATAGGGTTCGAAGCCACCGACCATGGATGGAAGCTGTCAAGGTGTGCGCCTGCAGCTGTTGTCGCAGTCTCTACGCTCGCGAGTTGGGCGAGGGTGGTGTTGGCTTTGGCAGGAGGTTGTGGAACGATGATGTCGCCGCCGCCGACGTAGCTGTCTCCAAGGACATGCTCGCAAACGAACATGTTGAGTAACTCGAGCTTGGGACCCATGCACATACCTCCTGCCATTGAGATGAGCAAAGCGAAGGGACGAAGCCACTTTTCTGAAGGTTTGCGGTACCAGGGCTGATCTTTGAACCATGCGAGATGGTCGTCGATTGCGACGTCGCTGTGCGCTTCAGGATTGGGTGCGTGATTGTTGTTGCCGTCGCCTGCAGCTCCATCACGCTGCCGTTGCTGCCGTTGATGTTGCTCTTCCTGCACCTCATCATCATAGCGATAGATCATGTCAGCGAGGACTGGATTGCTCGAATCGATTTCGAGCTCACCACCGAGTGGTCGAGCGATAGAAAAAGACTCTGGCGGTGCATTGGAGCCGTTGCTCGCCGAGCGCTTGATCGGTGGTGGATGAAGGGTTGCACCAGCAGAGCGGGAAGTAGATCGAGATTTGCGCTCCTCCTCCAAGACGTCGCGTGGCAACGAAGGAGAAGAGACTGTAGATGAGAAGTCCGATAGAAGCTTATCATTCATACTTTTTGCCTCGTCTGCGGTGATGGGTTTACCACCGATTTTGACACCGAACTGCTCGCTGGGAGCTGGCAGGCAGTAGTGACCTCGCACCCCGTAGGCATCACTGGTGGTGAAAGGCTTTGAGTAAGACCAGATGGCAGCTTTGAGCTCCTCAATGCGTGATCCGGCCTGAGCTACATCGTGATACTGAGCAAAGCCTTTGAAGGGGCAGTAGGTGACCTTCTTCTCGCTGGGTTTGAGCGCAAATGACCATTGCAGTGCGTCGGGTAGGAAGTAGAATCTGATGGGATAGTTGGTTTCGGCGAGCTGAAGAGCATCAGATGTGTCGACGAGGGTACGTTTACGTCCCTCAATGGTTGTGGTGATGGTGAGTTGTCGACCGAGCGGCTTGACTACGACTCTGTGAGGCGGCTTGGAAGCCGATGCTTCTGAGCTCGACATGATGGCGGGCATTGATGTGAATCAAACCTGCAGGGCTAACTAAGCCAGCATGTTGGTGGTAGTGGTGGAGAGGAGGAGAAAGATGGAGCTCGTTCCGATGCTGGATGATGAGGAGGCACGAAGGTGCTTATCTCACAGCATGAAGGAATGACCGATGCTGCTTCCCAAACTGTCAATGCAGCAAGCAGCATGTTGGCAGCGAGCTTGGCTTTTTGGACTCGGGCCGATTCAAACAACGAAACGCAGCTCTTCTGTTTCTGCTTGCTCAACAGCGAACCAGCCAAGGAAGTGTGCGGCGTTGTGATATCATCAAGCGCTTGCGACGTCTTTCCAGACTCCCTACTGTACAGTTCCTTCCGAAAGTTTGGGGACAGGGTTCAGTGAATAATCATTTAACTCGTGCGGTAGCATACCTTCCGTCCGCTTGAACGACTTACGTCCTATAAGTGTCAGGCTGTACGAAACACACAGTGAGCAAGTCCGAAAAAAGAGCTTTCGATTGCAGTGAGTCTCGGAGCTGATTGAGCGGACCTCCATTTGGGCAGGCAACACTTACAACCAGAGTGGATGTAACGCGCACTACCCCGCTTGCAGTTATCAGGTGGGCTATAATGGAAGTACTTCAATCAGAATTATTGCGAGGTGGAATCGTTGAGGTTGTTCACAGAGGGTGGGAGCACAGCGAATGCGAAAAACCCGCCTCAGACGGCGTCTAGTCAGAAGAGCACTCAGTCGGGCGCAATGTCGTTGGTGACTTCGAGGAGCTCGAAGGTCTTAGCTTCCGTGTTAGCGGTGGTTGCCTCGGTGGCGTTTGTTGCTGCTTTGTAGAGAGAGACCTACAGCGATTAATTAGAGCTTCATTAGACCACACAATTGCATTTGTCAAGAGGTGTCAATTCCACACACCTGGTTGTCAGACATTGAGTGGGATGTCAGGGTGAACGTTTCGATTTCATGATAATGTTCATGAGCGTGAACAATTGGACCGCTTCCGTCCCCGAAGTGAACACAAATCCAGCAGGTGCATCGACACGACTCACGCAGTTCGAACCCGTGACACTTCCATCGCCGGACGGAACTCGGGGAGGCGACAGGTCTGAAGAGGAGTCGACGTCGTAGTTGTTGGAATATGATAGTCTTTGATGGTAGGACGCGATGTTAATTACGTGTAGCGACAACGAACGTAAGTACAGATGGATGGTTCTTTTTACAGGAGCTACTAACTGAGTGCCATTTCTTCTACGTACTGAGCACAACGGAAACTACCTTCTACCTTCTAGAAGCTTCCACTTAACCGGTATGTCCGAGCCTTATCGGGTTACCGGTCTTAACGAGCCGATATGCCCGAGTTGAAGATGCGTCGGCATCTCAAGCAAGGTGCACGTGTTACGGCCGAGACATCGAGATACGGGAGGCTCACATAAGCGAGGAGCACAATGAGGTACGCAATTGTTGTCATGATGACAGCACAATGGCACCCGGTATCATAGCAACACAGGGGTACAAATGAAGGAACACACCCTGCCTCGGATGGGATCAGAGCAGTGAATGGAGTATATATATGTGTTTGTCATTTAGTCTCACACTAAGAAAACTAAGCATTACATAGAACATACGGCTGTGGCAAAGGGAGTCTGATCGTGACCCCGATAACGCCGTATATTAATTGTTATCTTCAATTGATTAAGAGTCTGAAGAAGCTATCACCGAGCTAACCGAAAACTCGCCGACAACCATGGTAGAAGACACCGAAACGAGGACTAAAGGAAGCAGAAAAGGCAAGAACACCCAGGTTCGGGTCGACAATAATGCCACGAGCGAGAACGAGCCGGAGGCCATCAACGATGAAGCCGACGGAGACACCGATTCCGACTCCGACTTTGATGATGGCGACAAGCGATATAACTTTCGCACCCTAGCAAAGCTCCTTGAACCTGTGCCAAAGCTCACGTCACGAAACTACCATAGCTGGAGCGCTCACGTGAAATCTTTCCTCCGATCCGTGCCTCATGCGATGAAACATCTCGAGGGAACGTACGACAAGAAACACCCAAAATGGAGCCGCTCCCTTGACGATGCTTTAATTAACGCCCTGCGTGGAACAATCGACACTACCGGAGAACACAATATAAACTACCTCGTTCTAGATGTAATCAAGGAGTACCTTACTTTCAACCAAGTATGGAGAAAGATCGAAAACGGTCTCACGAATGAAGCCACCAAGACGTCCCACAGACTTGCGCTTATCTCGCAACTCAACGATGCAAAGATGTTTCACTCGGATGCCAGAAAGCTAATTCAAGAGATCCGGTCCATACAAACTGAAAGCAGTCTCCTCGGAAAACCATTCGCCGATGATACATTGTTCTCGGCCCTGCAGAAATGCACGATCCGGCATCCGGTGTACAAGGAGACGGTTGCCACCGTCCATCAAATCGACTTCAACGCCCTTGCCACCGCATTAAGCATCCGGCAGACTGCTGTCGAGAGTGTCCCCGCACAAAGGATCGACCCCCGACAAGCCAGCGCTAGAACCGCCGGCAACGACGATCAAAATGAACGGGCCGGAGAGACCGAAGCCGAAGCCGACAACAGCCACGCGAGCCCGAGGAACGCAAGCAAACCACGCCGAATCCGATGCTGGATCTGCAAGCGACCGGGACATGGTATCAGCCAATGCGACGCCTTGGTTACCATTCCCAAGGACTCTCCCCTCGCTGAACCCAAATAGGAAGCGTGGTGCTCCCTCACCCTCCCAATGAAATGGCAGGACCCCTCGAACCCAAAAGAAACAGCTCATTGGATCTTGGACTCGGGGGCGAGTTATCATATGGTGAACGACTACAGCATGCTCATTCACCCGAGAACTTGCCGAAAGCGGATAATTACCGCCGGAAGCGAGGTCTTGGAAGCGGCAGCTATAGGAGATGCGAGCATATCAACAGATTACGGGGAAATCCCTCTGCAAAATGTATTGTATGTAAAGCACCTTAATGTTAACCTTCTGTCAACAAATTCATTAACGGATGAAGGAGCACGAGTGATATTGGACACAACCGGCGGCCAAATTTTCTTAACAAACGGCATGACACTTAAGATTGCAAAGAATCGCGAGCGAGGACTTCTGGAGTTCCGAGGCGACACATGGCAAGAAAGCGCGATGGCCACATCAGCACCATTGTTTGAAGGTGTTGATGAGGAGTTCGAGCATATTAAGAATGAGCCGAAAGTTTCAAAGCAACAACTATGGCATGAGCGTCTCGGGCACCCAGGAAGAGATAAGGCTAAGGCGATCACAAACAAGTTAAAGGATAAGCATACCATGAAATTGGATCCAAACACCGCTCTGACATGTGAGCAGTGCGTACGATCCAAGAGCACAAGCGCTCGGATGGGGAAAGGTAGCGGCGAGAGAGCCGTAGGGCCCCTGGATCTTATCCACGTCGATCTAATAATAGACTCGTCCCACGTGACGGAGTATACATGCACGTTGGTGCTGGTCGACGATCATAGCAAGTATGTGTATGCACAGCCATTGACACGAAAGAGTCATGCCTTTATGCAACTTAAAAGGATTGTTTCGTTCCTGGAGACACAGACGGATCGGAAGCTAAAAGCGATCCGATCCGATCAAGGAACAGAATGGAAAAGCAATGATGCATTAGAATGGTCGCTAGAAAAGGGCATAGAGTGGCAAACCACCGTAGGGTACAACAGCAAACAAAATGGACGGGTAGAGAGAATGAACAGGACCCTTGGAGAGAAGATGAGAACGTTGCTAATGCAGAGGAGACTACCGAAGAAGTTCTGGCCATACGCGATCAGAGCTGCAGCGTTCAAAATAAACCTCACTCCGAGCGTTGATAATGAATTCCCTTATCAAGCGATGTTTGGCAAGTCGCCGGAACGAGCTTTAAAGCTCCTACGAGTGTTTGGTTGTCTGGCATGGGTAAACATACCCAAAGTTAAACGGGACAACAAGAAACTGGACCAGCGAGCCGTCGCATCCATTTTCTTAGGGTACAGTCTAGAGAGGAAGGGCTGGCTTTTCTACAGTCCGGACTATAATCCGAACATCTTCTGGAGCAATTCAGCAAAATTCATGGAATCAAAGTGCTGGTCAGACAGAACAGAGTGGCGACCGGTTGATACAAAGGCACCCCTAATGACGATGACAGAAGAAAATCTCGAAGATCTAGGATATAACAAAGAAAATATATTCGACGAAACAGATGAAGAGCCACTACGAGAATACATGGATATGGAGTCAGACTCGGAAGAAAGATTACGCGAAGGAATAGCAGAGGTGATGGAACAAGGACCAATCGCCGAAACTCAAATTGACAGCGAATTCTATGGACTCGTAGCGACGCGACCGGAACGGAGAAAGAACCTGGACCCAACCATACATGAAGCAATGAATGGAGAGGACAGAAAGCACTGGGAGGAGGCCATGCGAAAGGAGCTGGATGGATTAGAGGCGATGGGCACATGGGAGATAGTCGACCTTCCAAAGGGTGCAAACACCGTCGACACACGTTGGGTACTCAAGATCAAAACCGATGCAAACCTCGTGCCAACAAAGTTCAAAGCCCGACTCGTGGCACGAGGTTTCACTCAACGCGAGGGCATCGACTATACAGAGGTCTTCGCACCAGTAGCACCTATCCAATCCATTCGAGGGGTGATCGCGGTCGCAGCAGTACGAGATTGGGAAATGGATTCTATTGACGTAAAGCAAGCGTACCTGAACTCCACTATACACCATGATGTATACCTCAAGCCCCCAGTAGGAATCGAAATACCACCCGGAAAAGTGTTGAAGGTAGTGAAAGGACTGTACGGTTTGAAACAGTCGGGCCGAGAATGGAACATTGAGTTAGACTCACACCTCCGGACGATCGGATTTCATTGCATGCAGAGCGCTCCATGCCTATACTCAAGAGGGACAGGCGACAAGATCACGATCATCACAGCATACGTGGACGACATGCTGATAACATCACCCAGTCGTGAGGAAGTAGACCGCGCAAAGCGGGAGATCATGGACAAATGGGAGACGCAAGACAATGGAAGGATCAAAGAATTTCTGGGCATCAAGATTATACGTGATAGAAGACGGAGGAGGATATCCCTGAGTCTAACGGCATACATCAAGGAAATGGTGAACAAATGGTTAGGAGGAGCAAACGAGAAATCCTGGATACCCATGCTGAGTGTAGCGAACACCGCCGGAGGCGAGCGATGTGAACCTAAGCGAGCAAAGAGGTATCAAGAATTGGTCGGCCAACTATTATGGGTCTCCAACACAGCCCGACCAGATATTGCCTTTGCCGTCGGCGTATTGGCGCGATATATGTCGATCCCGATCGACAGTGCATGGAAGGCAGCTGTCCACGTGGTAAAGTACCTGAACCAAACGAACGAATATCAGTTGCACCTAGGAGGAGAGACAAACGAGCACTCGGATACACCGGTAACGACGTATACCGACGCAAACTGGGCATCCGACCCCACAAATGGACGAAGAAGTACCTCGGGGTCGATAACATATGTGTATGGATGTCCGGTGAGTTGGAAATCACACGTTCAGAAGTGTGTGGCACTGTCGGCAGTCGAAGCAGAGTTTGTCGCCGCTTCCGAAGCGGTACGAGAAACCTTATTCTTCTCATATTTGCTCCAGGATTTGGAGGCCACGGGCGTTCGGCCCGTACTATACACAGACAGCCAGGGGTGCATACAGGTGAGTAAAGACCCAGCCAAACATTGGAAGTTAAAGCACATCGACACACGGTATCATTTCGTACGCGATCACGTACAAGAGGGCGATGTGGAGATCAAATATGTCGGAACGGCAAACAACGTTGCAGATGTCTTAACAAAACCCTTACAGGGTCTTAACACCTCACGATTGGCTAGGATGATAGGACTGGAGATCCCGCCGAAGGGGGGAGTTGAAGATGCGTCGGCATCTCAAGCAAGGTGCACGTGTTACGGCCGAGACATCGAGATACGGGAGGCTCACATAAGCGAGGAGCACAATGAGGTACGCAATTGTTGTCATGATGACAGCACAATGGCACCCGGTATCATAGCAACACAGGGGTACAAATGAAGGAACACACCCTGCCTCGGATGGGATCAGAGCAGTGAATGGAGTATATATATGTGTTTGTCATTTAGTCTCACACTAAGAAAACTAAGCATTACATAGAACATACGGCTGTGGCAAAGGGAGTCTGATCGTGACCCCGATAACGCCGTATATTAATTGTTATCTTCAATTGCCCGAAATCCCCTAACAGTAGTTGGGTAGTTGCCCGTGCCAAGCCTATGCTTGCTGGTGCTCAGGCTGTACGACGAGATTGATCTGGTGCAGTTGCGAACTTGAGTTGGTGCATTTAGACACCCAGACATGAAGGTACGAAAGTGCTGTGGTGCAAAGTGCGAAAGCTATCGACAAAGAGAGTATTAGAACAGCAACGGACACATGAACTCTTGAGACGCCGGATGAGAAAATGCCGGCTTCCGTCTCAGCCCGTAGCTCGTTGTCACACTCTTTCAATCTCGATCATGATACGTCACTTCTGAGGAAATGAGTGTGGAAATTGCGATTCAAAGAATGTAACGACGTGGTGGGTGTGAAGAGAAGGACAATAATCTTATGAATGTGAGTGTTGGCTACGATTGAAGAGAGCGGAACAACGTAGCAAGTGTCAGTGGCCTTGTCAGTGGCCTTTTTTGTCGAGAAGAGGACCTGCCTCTGATAGTTTGTCGTTTTAAGAGAGAGAGAGAGAGACAGCTATCGGCCCTAAAGAGATAGTCCGGCCCAAACGACCGTTGAACGAGCATATGAAAGTTTGGATCGGAAGGATACTGCTCGAGCATTCCCGAGATATCTGCTGTTGCACTCCTAGTGAACGTGCGCAGCAGCTACGGCTTCCTGGGTTATCGCCTCTATGTGCTTGTCCACTGCTTCAAAGTGTGTGGGTTTTACATAGCCCATGCCGTAGTGCACGACGGTCTTTCGAAGGTCTAACTGTTCATGTTCAAGAAAGCCCCAGAAGTTGTAGAGCGTCTTACCAGACAGTTTGTTTCCCGTTGCCTTCTTTCTTTGCAACCTCAACCTGTGAACGGTCATCCGGACCTTATCAATACCATCTGCTCCTCCCTCCAATCCTTGCGACTTAAGGGTAACGTAAGGGAGTACGCGGCTAGGCTGATGGACTGCCCTCTTCTCGTCCGTCCAAATACGAGGATCCAATTCTGAAACATCAACTTTCTCTAGTTTTCCGCCGAATATTTTTGTGTTGATATCGTTGAATATTGTAGGGTTCTTGACCTCCCGAAATTGAGTGGGGCGGCGTTGTTGTTTTATGGGCGCCACATCTTTTCCTATGGGCGCCACATATTTCAACGGAGAGGCACTGTAATGGAAGCTATTGAGAGATTTGGGTTCCTGCACTTTTTTTTGCATAATCTTGGCGTACTCATTGACTTCGTCAGGGGTTGTGTAGATTTTGAGCGAGCTCGAAGCTCGCTTCTTGGAGACTCGGTTGTGCATTGCAGTTGCTGCACTACCGTGGGGTGGAACATCAGGTTCATCCTGTCTCTGTAAAGCTCCTGCATTTTGTCTGAGCTCAACCGCGTGGTTGTAGCTCGGTCCGGGTTCGAGGAATCCACGCGCTTCGGAAGATGAAGGGTACCAACCGGCATGAGATGGTGGAAGAGGTGGAGGGATTAGCGATTCTCTTCGAGGAGGGCCTTGCAATGCAGAATCCAAGGCAAAACGGCCCCATTCGTTGTCAGGAAGAATGCGAGATGTTGAACTGAATCCTGGAGGATTTTGCGCGAGTTGTGGGGCGTTCCCGAAGGACGACAAATGCTGTTGAGGCAACCCATGTTGAGGGACATTCGGACCTTGTTGAGTTACGACACTCTGGAGGCTAGACGGTGGCCACTGGTTGGGGGTTCGGCTCTGGAAGCCGTAGGGTGACCATCCATAATTGGGACCGGTAGGTAGTGATAGTGCAACAGGAACAAGGCTGAGGAAGAGGAGAGAACCCAAACCCGAGTGTAAGGATAGTGGATTCCGCATGATTGCAAAAGGAATGGAAGAGGCTGGATGGGAAGGAAAGGAATGTGCTGTGAGCTCTGTATGCTGCCTGGGATGCCGACGCACCCTATTTGTGGGCCAGAGCAAACATGGTTATATACCCACACATCCTCAAACACTTTGTGGCGAGTGCAAGACCAATTTGCGACCTCGTTGTCTCCTCGGCACGTTTTAGTCGCCAAGCCGTTCACCAAACCCTCCATCATTTCAGGTGTGGGAAAGTTGGGCAGCCGCCTCGGATTCGTGCTTCAGAGCCTCTAACAGAGACCAGGGAGGAGCTAGACAAACGCTCCGTGTAAGTGGGAGCCAAACGAAGGTGTTGCAAAGCTGAAATCGACAACGTTGCTTCGGTTGCACAGGCCTCCCACACCTAATTGTTGAAAAGTGAAGATATTTGGGTCCCGATACTGGCGATCAGGGAGAGACTAAGTACGATGTCACTGCTGCTTTACGACAGAAACATATATACTCAATTGACTAAGTGAATGTGGCAAGAACCTGTGGAAGTTTGAGTCCCGATACTGGCGATCGGGGAGAGTCTAAGTACGATGCCACTGCTGGTTTAGACAGAAACATGTATACTCAATTGACTAAGTGAACATGGCGAGAGCCTAGCGCTCCCTGCTCGATATATATACAAAAGTGTGGCACATGCCGAATGCGGGAGTCTCTATAGTTAATGACCCAGCCTGACAACGAGCGGGACTTGGTTGTACCCGATCCCCGATCTCGTCGTCTTTGCGTCACCTCTTAGCGTCGTCACTGGATCGTAATCTTCAACCGAGAGAAGCTAGAGAACATGAGTTATATACCTTAACAGCTGATCATGCTCGCCCTCCGAGTTATTGTCATACTGACATACCTCCTGCATGCCCCGGTGTCAAACCTCGTGCGTAGGCTGCATATGCTCCCACGAGCTTCGCATCCACCTCATCTCTGTTTACACTTGGCATCGCTCCGGCCTCCCGGCCCTTAATGCTCCAATCTAACATGTCGACCCTTGGAAATACCGACGTATCTTCAACTCATTTCCCCACGCCTCGCTCTTTTCGCTTCTGCTCCGTCCGAAAGTCATCGGGCAAGCCGAGCAATGGAATCAATTGAAGATAACAATTAATATACGGCGTTATCGGGGTCACGATCAGACTCCCTTTACCACAGCTGTATGTTCTATGTAATGCATAGTTTTCATAGTGTGAGACTGAATGACAAACACATATATATACTCCATTCACTGCTCTGGTCCTATCCGAGGCAGGATGTGTCTCTTCATTTGTACTCCTGTGTTGCTATGATACCGGGTGCCACTGTGCTGTCACCATGACAACAATTACGTACCTCATTGTACTTCTCGCTTACGTGAGCCTCCCGTGTCTCAATGTCTCGGCCGTAACATGTGCATCTTGCTTGAGATGCCGACGCATCTTCAACTGAATCTGAAATCGCGTTTTCCGTTCAAAGGTGTTGGTTTCGCATTCTGAAGATACGCAGCAAAGCGGATGCTCGGAAGATGCCGAAAGTGATAGCCAGCCAAGCGCACGGACGATGTCTTATGACCTTGAATTGCACCCTTTCCAAATCGACAAGTTCATCAACCACTCCTCGTCTTCCTCGTATCGTCATACCGCAGTCATCCCAACTCGCTCAACAAGTACAAAGATGGACTCTAAAGACCTGCAGCTTATCGCAAACAAGAAGCACGACCTGCTCCACGCTGCGCAAGAAGCACGCAAGCTCTCATACTCTCCGTACAGGTAAGCACCAAACCCTCAATCCTTGGGTACCGCACCACTAATGCTAATAACAAGGCCGCATCGTCTCATCATCCCGCTTCTTCTCTGATAGCAAGTTCCGCGTTGGCGCGGCCCTCTTCACCAAATGGGGCGAGATCATCCTCGGCGCCAACTACGAGAACGCATCCTACGGCGGCACTGTCTGTGCTGAACGCACCGCTCTCGCCAAAGCTCTCATCCGATCCAATACTCTCGACGTTCAAGAACAGAATACAGCACGCAAGATTGAGCGAGGCGACATTATTGCTGTAGCGGTAGCAAGCGATCTCGAGGGCAGTTGCAGTCCATGCGGCATCTGTCGACAGGTCATTCGAGAACACTGCAGCTTGCAGGCTCGTGTGCTCATGGTAGGGTGCAACTGGAACAAGGCAAATGCACAGCAGGCTGTTCAAGGCACAGTGAAGGATGAAGGCGGAAAGGAGCTGAACGAGCCCAATGTTGAGGTCGTCACTCTGGAGTATCTGCTGCCAATGAGCTTTGGCCCTGAGGATCTGGACAAGCCAAGACACTAATGAACGCAGTCGATTGCATTCAATGATACCTTCTTTCAAGCCTTCAAGTGCCTGCGTATTGCTATTGTAGGCCAGTCTAGATTACAGTGATGTTGGAGATGTGAGATGAGAGCGCTTCATGCTTGTATTTGTTCACGAGTTCAGCGCCTCTTGTTGCTCTTATTGCCAGCTGGGCTCCTGCCGCCTTGAGGCAGCCAATCTTGGTCGACATTAGGATTCCGAATAGCTGTCGAACTGCCTGCGTTTTGCGACTGTGCCCTAGCGAGCGCCTCTTCAATCTCTTCTTGCGAAACTTGCTCTCCTGCTCGCATCCTTGCCGCAATCTCGGGTGTCACTGCCATGCGCTTCACTCCAGTCTCTGTTCAGTCCAAGCACGAAAACAAACAAGTTCGGTTTAGTATGTGTTCACGGCTGAGGAAATCGTGCACGAGCGACGTTGGAGTGAGATACTTACGGAACCCGGGGGCACCGCGTCCGAGACCAGTCTTTGGGTCATACTTGCCAGTGTATCCTCCCTTCTTGCCAGCGCCAAAAAAGCGTGATGCGACAGCACCGACAATGATGAGCGGTATGAGGACTGAGGGGATGCTATAGCATTTATTGAGTGGGACGATGAGGGACCAGGTCAGCCAGAGAAAGCACGACAACCAGCTTTGGGGCCATGATCAAGAGTCTTTGCTACCCTCATACTTACAGATACCAGCCTGCCATGGTGGTGTTGATTCGTGGAGATGGTGAGTGTTTTGAAGGAGGAGCACCAAGATAGCGTTGGAAGAACGCGCTCTGTTGGTTGGTACAAGCTGCATTTCGCCTCCACAGCTCTAAAACGCGGAAATCGGAACTGCAACTTCAACCAACACTTTGACTTCCACCCTTCCATTCTCCTTCCTCTCGATCTCAGTGGCCATTCTCACCATCACACATTGCCACCGCTTCGGCCTCTAGGCGCGATGTCAGCTCCTGCTCTACCAGGCGCCGTAGCCAGCCCCTCATCACAGACCGGTGCTCCAGCAGCCCAACGAGCACGCGAGATCCAAGACGCACTCAAATCAATCGTTCTTCAAACCGCCTCCACCCTTCGAGCCAAAACCCAGCTTGCGCGGCTACAGTCGTCTATCCCTCCATCATCAAGCACTGCAGCAGCAGACGTCAGTGCTGTATCATCCGGCTTGGATCAGCTCACCGGCGAATGTACACGTTACCTCTCACTGGTACATGGTCTGCGCGACTACTTGCTGCATGCACAAGCAGCACTAGAGATCGAGCTAGAAGCAGCGACTCAGAGAGAAGCAGAAGAGTCCAAGAGAGCAGCAGAAGCAGCGGCAGAGGCATTGAAGAAGCAGCAGCAAGCAGAGGCAGAAGCAAAGAAGAAGGCTAAGGTGGAAGAGGAACGAAAGAAGAAGAAGGATGAGGAGAAGGCCAAGGCTCAACCTGCAGAAGAGAGTAAGAAGGAAGACCTGACCGAGACAGGAGATGGGAAGAAGGATTCAGGAGCAGATGACTCGTTTTCTGGATTGACGACTCCGCCATTACCACCTGCGAAGAGTGAAGGTGCGGAAATGAAGCCCGGTTCTAACGAGGCGAAGAAGAAAGACCCTGGCAAAGCGGCAAACGATGCCATTGTTATCGATAGTGATGGAGATGACGATGAAGACGATGTGCCACTTGCCTTTGCACCCAAGGCTGGTGCAGCAGAAGGTAGTTCGAAGGCGATCGATCTCACAGAATCACCTGCTCTTGCCAACGCTGCTAAGCCACTTCCCTCCGACACCAATAGCACCTCCGTGCCAGCCTCCATAGCAACAGACGCAGCAGCAGCAACAACAACAACAACAACAACAACTCAGGACCCAACGCCATCTACCTCTACCGATACTGCTGCTGCAGGCGGCATCCAAGGATTGGACCTCTCAGCATTTGGCATCAACCTCTCATCCCTCGGCAACTTCGCTGATCTCTCCTCCCTCGGTATACCCTCACTCAACACCGCCTCGTCCTCCACAGATACATCGAACCCCCTGGTACCAGCAACAGACTTTTCAGAACTGGAAAAGATGATGGGCATGGACTTTTCATCCGCTAACAACACCACCTCCTCCGCCACGGGCGACACGAATACAGGCGCACAGGACTTCTCTTCACTAGGCAACTACAACCTTGGCAGCCTCGGGGGCAATACTGGATTTGGAGATGATAATGACTTGTTCGGCGCAGGTAGCGGCGGGATAGACCTCAGCCAATATGACTTTTCATCACTAGGGGGCAGTGGTGATGCCGGTGCGGGAGGTGTTGATTTGAGACGTTCTTGACCAACCATGTTTCGAGTAACAGTGGTGGTGGTGAGGGAGACAAGGACAATAACACTAGCTAGACTGATCGAGGAAAAAATTTGTATTTGTACTTGTGAACGAGTCTGTAAACTATGCTTAGCACGCTTGTGAACAAAGTCGTATGCCTCAAAGTACCAGTTAGGCTTGCCGACTTGCGATTTGGCGAAAGCAGACAAAGCTTCGCAAAAAGCGCTCCGACTCTAGAAGCTGGTGTCTCCGCACAAATGCGCTTGAGCTCCTCGAGAGAGTTCTCTTTTGTGAGCCGTGTACGCGCTGCTTTACGAGCAGATCATGCAGCGGCAGTAGCCGTCGAACGCAATCAAACTTGTGCTTTCCAAAACATGCCTTTCGCCACATCATTGCAGGGCTTGACGAGCTCGGGAACGAAAGTTTCTATGACTTCGGCCGTCTTTGCACGCCAAGCTGCCCTAACCTCTGGCAGCCTTGGACGAATCGCATCCTCAACGATCGTCCTGATTGAGTTGTTGGGTGAATAAAACATAAGCTTGTGTACTTGCCACGGAAAATCCTCTTGGACCCTTGGATTTTAGGTTCTTCCAAACCAACACTTTTGTTTCTTGCTATTCGACTTTTTCCTACCAACCTGGCGCCCTTCTCTTCCCTCTGTCCTCTGTCCTTTACTCACCACCTTTCGTCTTTGCCTCAATCAGGTTAGCCGCGCTTATGAGCGGTAGTCGAGCGACGAGACCGGGCGCAGGGGGCTTACCTTACCACGAAGCATCGTATTGGCAGAATCGCTTCACCACCGACCCTCGCGAAGCATCTGGATTCGAATGGCTTTCATCCTCAACATCCCTCATCTCACTTCTGCCTCAATCTCTCCTGCTTCGCTCATCTCCGACTCGCATATTACACATTGGTGTTGGAACCTCCCGCCTCTCCCTCGAACTCATACAATACTATAGACAGAATGCGCCAGAAAATTGGAAAGAGCGAGCAAAGCAGGTTGTGAACGTTGATTTCTCAGAGAAAAGTATTGGGTTTCAACGACATGCAGAGGCAGTATGGCTCAAACAGGTCGGGGAAGATGCAGGAGAGGAGACACTCATGGTATATCACGTGCTTGACCTGCTCGACTATGCTGAGGTGAATAGAGAGCTAGGAGGCAAGGGGAGAAAGTTCGATGTTGTGTTGGATAAGAGTACGTCCGATTCAATATCTACTGGTGAAGATATACCGCTGGAATCAATACACAAGGGAAAGCATCACTCAAGCTTGATGGAGCTTACTCAAGGGAGAAAGGAGAGGAGAGTGGCGACAACGCAGATTCTAGGAGTCAACCTAGCTTCGATTGTGGAGAAGGGTGGTGTTTGGTTGTGTCATAGCTATAGTTCTGACCGGTGGGAAGACGTCATCCCAGGCAGTAACCACGTTACTGAAGAGCAAGTATGGCCATGGACAGAAACATCAAAGATACCGGTCCCGGTGAAGTCGTCAGACCCAAACGCACCACAGATCAATCACTGGATATATACCTTGCATCGCACATAGCATTCGATATACCACGCCCGAGACACACAGATCATAGGAAAGTGACGATTGACAAAGCTTGTCGTTGTGTTGTGATCAAGCCTTCTTCGAGCTCCTGCTGGACTTAGCACGCAGCAATTTGTTCCGTAGCTCTCGTTCTCTGTCCCTCTCGTGCTCCTTCTCAGCGTCGCTTGGCAGTTCGAACTCGTCATCATCGGAACTCAGATCACTTCTTGACATCTTCTGTCTGCTTCGTTCGGCTTCAAGCCTGTCTTCCGACTCGCTATCGCTGAAGACCATGTCTCGGAAAGCAGACCGCTCGACACCCCTCTTATACGCATCTTCCTCCTCCTCTGGTTCTTCCCGCCCGGTTTTGGATCTTGGACCAGGCTGCGAGCGAAACTTCTCCCGTAAAGTCTCGACCTTGAGGGCGTCCCGGTTGGAAGCATCCTCTCGGTCCTCCGGCTTTGGGTGCTTAGATCTGGAGGGTTGTGCAGAACGCTTATTCTCGCGGATAGCGGCGCGATAGTCTGGTGTGACAGAGCGTGATCGTGATGGTGAGCGAGGAGGTGGTGATGGACGAGGAGGTGGCACGGGGGAGGGTGATCGTCGACGATGACGAGGTGGAGGAGAAGGGGATCGACGAGAAGGACGATAGGAGTCTGCCTGTTGAGGAGCTCGAGAGCCCCAGCCTGAATCACGGCTTCGGTCGGTGTTGTTACCGTTTCGATTTCTGAAATTGCCACTGTTGCGGTCATCTCGACGGTTCCGAGTGCTTCGATCATCTCTGCGACGATAGTCGACTCGAGGAAGAGGTGGTTGCTCCCTATCCCTCCCCCTTGTATATGCCGGAGGACGTCGATCAACCTCTCCTGCTGGCGCTGAAGTTGTTGGAGCTCCTGCACCCCATCTCGATCTCCTCTTGCCCTCCCTCGCCACCGCCTCACCACTTGCACCCGCACTCTCTGCCGCTCTCGCCGCCCTCTCCCTCGCCTCCCTCACTACTCTCTCCCCCTCCTCCCTCTTCTTCCTCAACTCCTCCTTCTTCTCCTCCACAAACCTCTTCGGCACGCCCCCTAGACTCTCCTGTGCGCTCACCAACAGTTCCCACAACTCACTCATAAACTCTGCTGTTTTACCCTCCAAAAACCCCATCAGCTGAATTTGCACCTTTCGCGGATCCGGAAACCTCTCTTCCTCCAGCATACCACTCGCATACTCGAGTACGACATCATCTTCAAAGCCGAGAAGTTCGGTGACTCGGCGAGCAATCCAGGGTTTGATGACGGACAGTTCGACTTTGCGCATGTCGACTTTGGTGTTGAAGTGCGGTGGGAAGGTGAGTTTGCGGAGAAGGGTGGATTCTTTGTTGGAAAAGCGAGAGTCTTGGGACGCTGAGACGCCTTTGTATGATGAGTCGCCCATGGTGGTGGTGCTAGCTGCTGAGCAGCGGCGAAAGTAAGACGGTGAGGAATCGTGGTGGTCGATCGTGTCGGAGAGAAGGATGGACAGGGGTGAGAAGAAGTGACCAAAAGGCAAGAATTGCATCGAGCTCGAAATTTCGAAAGGGTCCGCTCGCTTCACGTGAAGCTTTCCAAGCCACAACACAACATGTTGCTGCTCAGCATACGATACCAGCCTTTCGCAAGATATACAACACACCTCAAGCAAATATGTGGAATAGATCAATACTGGCATTCATGTGTCGTACAGTACTGCTACTACTCCCTGTCAGGATCTAGAGCTTGGCGAATTTAGGAGTCTTCTTCTGCATAACAGCCAGCATAGCCACTGGCATATCATCCGACTGCAACAAGGCCGAGTTCAATGCCGTAGTGTACTTCAATCCCTCATCCACAGTGTGATCCCTTCCGTGCAGCAAGAAGATCTTTGTCCCTCTCACCGCAACTGGTGCCTTACCAGCGATGAAACTAGCAGTCTTGACGGCCTCAGCTACGACCTCTTCCCTACCACCATCCACAACTTTGCTCAAGAATCCAATCTCTCGTGCCTCCGCTGCGTCGAATTCCCTCGCAGTATAGCAGAGTTCTCTTGCCAGCGAATCATTTCCGACGATCTTGGGGAAGCGCTGCAAGGTACCGATATCAGCAGCTAATCCTGCGTCAACCTCTTTGATGCTGAACCGAGCATCTTTAGTGGCGTAACGAATGTCGCAAGCAGACATAATGTCGATGGCGAGACCGAAAGCTACACCGTGTACGGCGGTGATGACTGGTTTCTCGACGTATTCGAACCAAGAGATGGCTTCTTGGAAGTCTCGGATGTGGGCTCGCATGGCAATGGCTTTGCGGGCGGGGTCGGGGAGGTCAGAGGTGACAGAGCCTAGGGATTGCTCGTTGAGATCGAGGCCAGCGGTGAAGCATCGCCCTTCACCAGCGACTACGATGGCGGATACGTTGGGATCATCACGGACTCGACGAAGGATGAGGGCAAGCTCATTCCATTTAGGATCGTTCCATGCGTTGACGGGAGGTCGGTTGAAGCAGAGAAGCAGGACTCCCTCGGCAGGGAGAGTGAGTTTGTGGTACTTGGCGTCTGTATAGCCGGTGTATGGTTGAGGGTAGGACATATTCGATAGTGCGATAAGCGAACAGGTTGGGAAGAGGTTGATGCTGCCAGGGATGGTGGAGAGAGAAAGGTATAAGAGGGTGTGATGGGGAAGGAGGCGACACGCGCGGTTGTCGGAAACGTTAGAAGCCGCTTAGCCGGTTAGGGTTCCTGCGAAATTCCGGCCCAAGCACTCGCAGCGTCGTAAACATCGGGCGGATCCATCGGACTATTCATCTTCACTTGCTTCAGGCACAGCCAAATTGCTGTCTTGGTCGTCATGAGCCGCTCCAAGCATCATTCGAGTCTTCCATTTTCAGTCTCATGGAACCTATGGTGACGCTGAAGAGTTTGGGGGGGGGGGGGAAATCGTGTAAAGTACATAGGGGCGGTTTTGTGCGAGAGAAGCGGCGTGCATGATCACTGTTCAGAGTCATCCTTGTTCGACTCTCTACCACGCGAGCGCTGTGTTGTCTGACGATTGAAAGCAGCCGTAAGGCTTTGTAATGGCGACTGTGCGTACTTTTCCTGGTTGCTTGAAGACATAACTGTGAGGCAACGATGGCGAAAGAACGGAATGAAATCGGTCAAAACATCTGAGTAGATGATCGGTACGTTCGCAGATAATCAAGTGCTACTTACGGACTGGCGTTGAAGAAGGAGCAGGCGACCCATCCTCCAAAGATCCATTCTGCCGCCGTTGCAGCTCCTGACCCTGCTTGATCATAAAATCGCGCTTCTTGGCTGTGTTGTTCGACTTGACCGCGAAGTAACCGAAGCCAGCGACGACGACCAATGCTGCCCAGCTATCGCACATCAAGGTAAAGACAGTCGTTGTTAGTAGCTGTGAGAGACTTTGTCGTTCGACATCGAGCAAAGAGACTCACCCCCAGAAGATTGCCTTGGGCTGATCCAAGCCTTGTCCTTTTGGTGCTTGCCCAGGTCGAGGTGGTGGTGGTGTCGCGGTGCTGGTGGAGTTGAACCTGCGGTGTGCGACATTCGTGAGCCTTGTCCGTATTGTTGACGGGAGCATCTTGTTCGTGTTGGCCTCGTTGCGGTAGGGTTGTTGAAAGGTGTTGGGAGCAGGACGGTGGTGAGCTCATACAACTTTTCTGTGAGTGGAGGCTGCGAAGGTCTACAGTTGTGAGATCTTGCTACACAACAGCGCATTACATAAAAAAAAAAAAAAAAAAAAAAAAAAAAAAACAAAAAACCAAAAAAAAAAAACAAAAAACCAAAAAAAAAAACCAAAAAAAAAAACGCTCCCGCTCAGGCGAGGCTGTGCGTCTGTTGCAGCTGGACCCTGACTTGTTCCCATTGTGTGGCTTCTCGGCTTGGCGTACCCACATGCGAAAGGTCCCATCATAAAAGGCAAGTCGTCATAGCTTGGGCTCGCTCTTATCTTCTCAACCACACCTCATAGCTGCTGTCGACGAAGTCTTGTGGCCCGAGAGACCGGAAGGTCCGACCGAACTGTAGCTAACAAGATGGCGCTCGACGCCGCACTCTTCACCCTCCACTTTGTACGAAGGAGGACTGAACCATGGATTGTCGACATCTACCCTTCGCCTACTGCCCAGGGTAGCAGTCCAGCACCGCCAATACCCTCGAAAGGCACGAATGGGGCGTCTAGCAGCAGCTCGAAACCAACGGCTTTCACCGGCACTATCCCGGATGTAACTGCACAACGTGCTCTCGCCCTTGAATCGAACGACTTTTCTAAGCAAACACCTAGCTACACACGGGTGCGAGCCGTAAATCATACACAGTACAGCACTATCCTACTAGATGGTCTCATGAACGACTGCCTGCTTGCTTCTATCTCTCAGCCGCACAGCAATACTAAGAAGAAGGATATCCAACTCTACAACCCCGATGCAGAAGTCGAACTTGAAAAGCGCACCAAGACGTTCCAGCAAGCTTGGCTCTTCCACTTTGGCGACCCGTCATCTCAATACACCGAAGAGTTCTCTTGGAAACGTGAAGGTGGACCGTCTAGAGGCTCGCCAACACAGTCCGCCTATGTTTGCGAAGTCATCCGCAAGCCCGACCCGAGCGTGTTAGCAGCACAATACCGACCTCCAGTAGCCAAGGGTAAGCCCGGCACCCTACAGCTGATGGACTACAACCTCGATCGTTTAGACGTGCAAGACAAGAAAGGCCTCGAAGTCGCACTTGTGATGACCCTCAGTGCGCTGCTTGATCAGGAGTATGATGAGAGGCTGGCAACAAAAGGGGAACGTAATATCTACATCTGCACAACGGGCATTCCGACCGATTTGAGCAGGCAAGGATTCAGCTCAGCGTGGCAAGAAGCGGAGCAGCGACATCAAGCAAACACAGCTGTACTACAGCAATCAAGTCGAAATCGCGAAGCTCCAGGTCTACCACGCAACCCTAGCGATTCATCGGACGTTGCCAACGTGGATCGCATTGCCAGTCTCGAGCCTAACGAGATGCTCGTCTCCAAATGGGGCTCTATCGACGAGTATGTCCAGCACGCTATTCGGCTGCTCAGGTCTGATGGTCAGGGTCAATCGATGTACCTCATAGCCTTGCTGTCCGACGCAGCAGAGACCACACCAAAGCTCGTCCAAGTCGCTGCTGCCATTAAGGCTGCTTACTATCGACTGCCTGACGACGCCAAAGGTACAGTGTATGGCCTATCCACTGACGCAAGCGCAATCGAAGACGAGCTCTATCAGTATGTTCAGACTCTCGACGAGGAGCCCAAGCAGCATTCTGCGCCGGAATCACCTTCTGCTGACCCGCAATCGAGAAGACGCATCATCAGGCTCGATCCTCCGTCCCCGCCCGCGGGCTCGGGCACACAGGCAGGAGGCTCTAGCTCTCGACCTTCTTCTGCAGCGCCTTACCAGCCACCAAGCAAGCTCAAAGTCATCCTGTCGAAAGAGCGCATTGGTGAGCTCGAACCAAAGAAGGTCGATGATTCGCATCCTTCAGCTGCATCCAAAGCAAAACCCATCCCGCCCGCGAGCAACGGTCAAGGCAGACTGGATGTACCCGCTTTGCCGAGTCGTCCTGTATCACCAGCACGACCGCAGCCACAGCAGGCGCAACCACAGGAAGATGAAAGCCAATCCTCGCCTCAACCAGAGAAAAAAGGCAAAGGAAAAGCGCTTCTCTCAAAGCTCGGTCTGCATCATTAGCACACAAGTCACACAGCAATATGATTCACCTTGCAATGCTCTTTCGATTGCGTTCCTGTGAGAACGACAGCTCTTGAATCTTCTGAATCACATCTAAAGCCTGTGTCCAGTCTTCGACCCTAATAAGCACTCCGCCTTCCTCTTTCTCCCCCGCTTGCAGGAAGTCTGTGTGATCCTTGTAAAGCTTTTTGATCGGCGGCTTGGCTCTTGCAATAGTCTTGCCGATCGATGACTCCTCAAACCCATCCTTGTTCTTCATCACCAGCCCGAAATCCGCGTTGACTAAGCAGGGTAGATCTGTAGTCGAATCTCCAACGTATACCTTCACTACTTCTTCCTCCTTTGCGAGAGCTTGCATGATCTCAAGCTTGTGAATTCCAGTCCTAATCCCGCCTCTGCTTCCTCCAGCCAGATTCAGCAGACTGAGTGGTAAAGATTTGGTCAACTTCCCTGTTCCCTTTCCATCTTCGTCCATGTCTATTTCGTTTGCGTAAACTTTGCTGATTCCGGCATCGTTACCATCTGCTGGGTTGGTGATTGCTTGACGGATAAAGTCTGCGCTCCAACCAACGCTGATTACGTCTGCTGCACCAATAGTTCCTTCTCTCGATTGTTCAGCGAGCCAGGAGTAGAATGTGTCCCAGCCATCCCTAAACTGTACCTTTTCAGCGCGCTGCAGCAGTTCGGTTTTGGGCATATCCTTGAACAGTCCTCCTTCTTCCACTCGCCCAACGGAAGCAACCTCGACCTCGTCAATCCCGGCCAAAAACTCTAGCTGAGCAGACCAAGAGTCGGGCTCAGAGTGAGATGAAAAGTAGGTGGAGAGATCAGACATGTACGCTTCTGTGTAGTGGTCGAAGCTAGGACCGTGTAGCTGGGTGGAATCTGGAGGAGCGATGAGGGAAAGTGTGTCGGAGGAGGTAATTGTTTCGTCCCAGTCGAAGAAGAGACGAAGTTTGGGTGCCGAAGCGCCAGAAGAAATGATGTCTGTAGCAGCGGTGGTGGGAGTGGCAGGAGTGGACCGTGTAGCTGCTGCTCGACGAGGCGGGCGGGACGGGCGAGTGAGGGAGGATGAGCGGGAGAGCAATTCTGAGTCGTTGGTTAGGTCCGTGGGAACGGCGGAGACAGGGGCTACGGATGATGTTGGAGAGCTGGCGATGAGTGCGACTGGCTCGGAAGAGGCATCGATCGTAGCAGCTTGCGTCTTGATTTCGCTATGCAATGGGATCGAAGCTTCTCCTGCTTCGTATGCCGGGAGATCCACTCCCTGTTCTCTCGATACTTGGTCGAGGGTACTTCGATTGAGCTCGTCGGCAAGGGAATCAACACCATGGAGTCGACGAAGTGGTAGCGCTGGCTTAGGTGGCTCTGGATCGTAAAGGTCAATCGACTCCATCTTTCCCTCGTCCTCTGGCGCCGTTTTCTGCTCTGCGCTCTGGAAGTGCAGCGGCGAAGGAGCAACTCTCCTCTTCCCACCCGGTGTAGTTCCTCTGTTCTCCCAGTACCCCGCCACCTTCTTGTGTCTGGGTGGTGGAGGCAAAGCCCTGACCGCAGCTCTTTCCTCTTCTTCCCTCCTCTTTGCTTCTTCCTTTTCCTTCTTCTCCAGCGCCAGATCCAAGTCGTCGGGAATACCAGCTTCTTCCAAGGCCTCCAACTCCTCTGGCGTAGGGGGAAGTTTCAGCCTCTCGCCATCTTGAAGTAGCTCTGCTGATTCTTCCAGCTGCAGTTGACGCACTGCTACGTTGGGAGGGGCATGGATGTTCTCGTATACGGTTCGCTCGAGCGAGTCACCCTGCGCAACACCTGTTTCGGCATCGCGCAGTGCGCGGTATAGAGGGTCAACGAGGGAAGGTTTCCTCACTTTTCCTTCCAAAATATCGCGTGCCGTGATCCCAGGCCAGTAGTATATGCGTTCGTTTTCGTCGAATCGGTGCAAGAAAGCTTGTGCCATAGCTTCCACTCCTCCGTACAACCCTCTAGAACGAACGTAGGAGAAAACAGGGGAGCGATCAATACCCATTTCAGCGCTGATACCTGTACCGAAAGGTCCTGCTGCAACTGCTGTTTCAGCTCCCAGTGTCACCTTGTGCGATTTGAACGTCTCCATAGCTCTCTCCGTATTCACCACCAGTATCACATCAAAGATGTCGAACCCTAGTAGAAGACCAACGGCAAGATTGTTCGGACTGATAGTCGAAGGAGCACTCCAACTTCCATCCGGCAATCTCGCCAGCATCAGTCCTGCTCCACCAGCACCGCCAAAGGGCGCAATACCAGATCGCATCGCTGTGTATATCACAATACCTTTCGCTCGCTTAATGACTTGAGGAGGGATCTTGCGCAGCACTTTACGCTTCTTCTTTATAAAGCTTTCCTTTCCCTTTTCCTTCGCCACTACTTTATCATCTTCGGCTTCGCCATCTTTCGGGGTGGGAGAGGGTTTTGTTTCGACACCTTCGACGGTGAAAGCTCGGAGAATGCGCTCGCATTTAGCAATTTCTTCGGGGAAGTCGTTGCTCTTGGGCCAGAACCGTTCACCACCGAGCTTGGCGGATGCGGAGTTGGCATAGCCCGATGCCCAGTCGGAGACGACGATGGATTTGTCGAATGCTGTTTTGCCCCATCGTTTCCAACGGCTTTCATCTGTGGAGGAAGAGGGGTTGTTGGACATTGTTGTGGGTTGGTGGCGTTAGAGGAGGAAGTCTATGGGGCGTGTGTGGGCAGGACAGACGAAGCAATGGTGGGAGGATGGAACTGCTATTGGAATTGATTGACAGATCGTTGCCGCGGACTTGCATCTCCGGTCATCTTCATGTTCCACATTTAACTCGCCCGATAAAATTCTAAAAGTGGAGGAAGATCTCAGAAAGACAATCGGCAATACATCCTCCAAGGTTTTCCGCAATCCGAAAAGTGTGTCGACAAGTGTGTCATCGAGCAGTATAAGCTCGGCTCAAGCTCTACCGGCTCTCCGAGTCAGCATTTCTTCTTGCTTCGAAGAAAACGTTGCTACAAGGCGACGTTCGGTTATTCTTACTCGCTCGGCAAGAACTGCTAGTCTCTGTCCGCGTAGCGCTCGTCAATGTGCATGATCGAAGTTGTGTGAGTCTGCCTCGCCTTGCGTGTTGGGCTCGGACTTTAGCCACTTCCTCAAAAGTGAAGATTGATAGCCGAGTGTGTTTTGAGAAGAAGCCCCTGTTGCAGAGACGGAAGAGTATATAGGACATGAGTTTCACCCCACCTTCCTTCTCACCAACGTCAACTCATCCGTCCGTCCTCCCGCTCTGAAACAATCGCAAAAATGGTCACCAACCACCAAGTCCTCTTCAACAAAGTCCAGCCCACTGGTCTTCCCAAGCCGGGCGAAACCACCACTCGTGGCTCTGCCGGGCTCGACATCGACAATGTTGCCCTCAACGGCGGTGTCCTCACTCGCAACATTGCTGTTTCTCTCGACCCTACCATGCGTAACCGTATGAAGGGTGACATTGGCTACTTCACCCCTGCCTACGTCGTTGGCAAGCCTGTCACCGCCATTGGTATCGCCGAAGTTGTTCGATCCGAAGTCGACGACTTCAAGTCTGGCGACATTGTCTTCGTCTGGTCCCTCGGTATCGAAGAATACACTCTTCACCCTAAAGAAGCTACTGCCGGTTTCCGCAAGATGGACCCCACCGCCCTCTCTTCCGGTCTCTCCATCACCACCTTCCTCGGTGCAGCAGGTATGCCTGGCATGACCGCCTACATGTCGATCAAGGAGATCATTGGCGATCTGAAAGCTGGTAACAAGATGTTCGTTTCCGGTGCTGCCGGTGCTGTCGGTCAACTCGTCGTTCAATTGTGTCACCAAGCCGGAGTCAAAGTCATCGCTTCCGCTGGATCTGATGAGAAGTGTGATTTCGTCCGATCCCTCGGCGCTGACGAGACAATCAACTACAAAACCGAAAATCTCCCCGCCAAACTCAAAGCTTTCGCCGCCGACACCGGTATTCACTACTACTACGACAATGTAGGAGGTGAACAGCTCGAAGCATACATCAACGTCGCCGCTCGTTACGGTATCATCGTCGCCTGCGGTTATATCTCGGGTTACAACGCCGAGAAGCCAGAAGATGTTGTTTACCCCAAGAACCTCTTCAATATCGTCACGAAGGAGTTGAAATACCAGGGCTTCATTGTCAGCTCCTTCTTGCCAAAGTGGTACGGGAAATTCATGGAGGAGGTACCGAAGATGTTGGCAGAGGGAAAGATTAAGAACAGGGAAGATGTCACTTTTGGGGTGTACGGTGCAGAGGATGCTTTCTTGAGACTGTTTACGGGTGAGAACCAGGGTAAGGTCGCTGTCTTGATCGACACGGAGCGTGCGGAGAGGTGGAACCTTGGAAAGCAGATGCAGGGGGCCAAGGTTTGGAAGTAAAGCAATGCGATGTATGAGTAGTTATGTTCGGAATCTGAACCATTTGCATAGACAGACACGAAGCACGAAGCATTTCGTCTAAGTACCTCTAGTGGATGTGTGGTGTGTTGGAGTGTTGGTAGTGCAGTGTATAGGTTAGTGTATAGGTTTGCTTCCGGGATATTGCACAAACCTAGGTGCGGAGAGATGCAAACAATGAAAAGTTTATGTAGGACTTTGTCGGCTCAGTCGATACGTCTATTCGCTCCTGTTGACGAGCATGGTAGAACGAGGTCAGACAAAGGTCGACACAACCTAGACAAGCGTTGCTACATCATAAAACCATTTTCATTTACATCCGAAGAACCCAATTATCTCTACAGAGCTACAACGTCATGTGTCTGCTTCAAAGGAGTAGCCTTCACGATTAACGGAATCAACGTTCCAGTCTGAGGCTTAATCACATAGTGTCCCACAACCCTGAACAGACTCTGCATGACACCCGAGTGACTTGTCAACGAAATAACCTGTTCTGTTGGGGCTTCGTTCCAAACCTGCGTCAGAGCCTGTTGAATTCTAGCATCCAGATGGGAGACCTGCTCACGATCGGTTGTCCAAAGGGTATCTTGCTCGGTGAAAGCGGGTTCAAAGTGCATGTTGGGGTAGTCTTTTTGAATTTCGGAACGAGTACGACGTTGATCGCAAGTGTGTTCGCCGTACTCTTCCCTGAAGAGCTCCTTTAGCTCGGGAGAGATTTTGCGTGGACCACCGATCTTGCCGAGAATGTCTTTGAAGAGACCATCGATACCGCCATGTCCAGCAGGCTTAGACACAGTGTTGTTAGAGTTGTTCATAAGAATGTTATCATAGCTAATCTCCATCGTCGAAATAGCTCGGCTGAGGGGGGAAGAATAAAGCTTTGTTGGCAGGGGTGGGGGATCTTGTTGCTCCAACAACGAGACCCAAGCATCATGAACCGCTTGAGCCTGCTGAATGCCGAGTGGAGTCAGACGAGCATCAGGACCCCAAGTGATGTTTCCATCTGTAAAGATTTTGGACCAGGTAGCGTCCCATGCTGGAGTCCCGTATTGTGATTCAGCTACATTGTGGTATCCCTGACCATGGCGGCCTGCGAAGAGAAGTTTGTAGGATGAGCCATCGTGAAGGGCGCCCTCAAGGTTGAGTTGGAAAAGGGTGCGTGTGAGGTCAGCCCAGGTAGTGTTCTCACGAAGACCGAAGTTGGCGGCTACGGCGGGGAGGGATGAGCCATCGGCGTTGTCGTATTTGAAGAAGCCGGTATATGTCTACATTGTGCGAAGGAGAAGAGGTTGAGTGGGTCAGTATACGGGCAAGTAGGACGAAGGAAGTGCGATGAAGGGGCGTGAAGCTTACGGTAAAGTTGTAAGACTTGGCAGGCATGGCGAGAGGGTTCCAAAAGGGAAAGATCTTAGCGGGGACAGCCTGAGCACCGGAGACGGCGACAGCGACAGCGAGGAAAGCCAGAAAGACAGAAGAGGAGACCATTTCAGACGCAGTGAGGTCAAGGAAAGGATTGGTGTGGAGTACAACGCTTACTATGGAAAGGTAGGGTGGGACGGCGAGGGTATATATGCTTGAAGTCGAGCTAGAGGCGACTGGAGGAGAAGCAAGGCGAGGTAGTGGCCAATGCCAAGAGCAACGAAGAAGCTCAGGAATGGCGAATATCGGACCGACGATGCTGGACAGAGACTGACAGCAGAGATACAGGGCCGATGCACGAAGCAGATGGTCGAGAAGAAGCGAGGTCGATGGTCTGAAACCCAAATCGAAGAAGCATTGAAAGGAAAAAGACCGGCGGCGGCGGCGATGGTGAAACGATCCTTCGATTGCCAAGTGTTGGTATGGGGGCGGGTATAACCTCTCAGATTCTTCTTGCAACACATGCAAACAATGACACTGGACCCTCTTTCAAGTTCATCACTGGACGTCCACACACTCTCTTGTGCATCGTTCCATCCAGGCCTCGCACACAACGTCAGCGTGGACACGATTGATGTGCATCTTCAAATTGACCGAAGCACCGAAGGGATTGGCGTAACGGAAGAATCAAGAGGGCTCGTTCTAAACTCGCACCGAACTGTGGGATGAGAACGTGCGCGTTTTCACGCTTTGCAATTCGTGCGGAATCTGACGTTCCGACCAACGCCGGTCACTTTTGGATCCTTCCTATCGACCCTCGCCAACATCACCGATGTCGGTATTCTCACGTGTATCGCTTTACCATTCACATTCATGCCACGATATCAGGATGCCTCCCATTGGTTCCTGACCATCGCCCTTAATCACAAAACCATGGTTCCTGACAGAACATCGTCATAGACTTGCAGACCTCGAGTTCAAGTTCGAGATCTCTTGTCGGTCACCTTCGGACATCAGGGTTCTGTTCCAGACCGAGATCACCCCGGCCTCCTCTCACAGTCACTCATCAACACATCAGCTCAGAGATCTAGGAACGTAAGAAATGTTATCATTGAAAAGACCGAGACATATACATTTATCTACGACGACTCGCACCTGAACACGACGAGAAGCCACGACCTCCAGTGTATATGGTCGTTCGCTTTCCACCGAGACACTTGAAGAGTCCCAATTGCTCCTTCCCCAGAGTTTTACTGCTTGAAGAACCCAACAATAGCCTGAATACCTGCTGGTGAAAGACCGTGTCGTGGGTAGCAGATGTATACCCTGTCTTCGACCGCACCCAACTTCTGCCTGAACTCGCCCTTGTTGGTCAATCGGTTGTGTTCCGCAATCGATGCATAAGCCTTGGTGAGCCACTTGGTAGTCATCTTGCTCAAGCCGTGCTTGGCGACGAAAGTCGAAGTAGCCGAGACACCGAAAGTCATTTTGCTGCCTGCATTGTTCTCAAGTGCATGCAGGATAACATGCTCGATGGTACCGTTGGGAGCACCAGGGAAGTCGAGCGCCCACTTGATGTGCCATCCGTGCTGAGGCGAGAGCTGGTGAAGCACCACCATTGCGCATACTTTTCCGGACGCATCGCGGGCGATGTAGTAAACTCGGTGCGACATGTCTCTCCAAGGGTGGACATCGGTCATGTGCACCTGTTCACCCTTGCGGTTCTTGCGCCAGTCCTCGATGCGCTCGTCGGTCTCGTGCACCACCTCGTCAGGCACATTCTCGTTGAGTGAATAGTCCTCAATCTTGACACCCTCCTTGCGTGCGTGTCGCACCTTCTTCTGGATGTCGGGATCGCGACGCGCAGGGTTCTTGGCCAGGTCGTCAACACGTTCTTCCGCCAAAACCGAGAGCGTGCACCAGTTGAGCCTGCCTCCTAAGATCTCTTCGACCTCTTCGCACACCATCATCCAGATGGGCTTCAGCTTGGCCTCTTTCTTGATGTACTGGAGGAAGGCCGAGACTACCTGGGTCATCTGAGTCTTGTCACACAGAGGATCACCGACGATCATGGCGTAGCCCTTGAAGGGAGAGTAGCCGACAGCAGCACCCGTCTCAGGGTGTCGCCACACCTTGTATCGATCATCGAGCCAGGCGGTGTTGGAAGCATCACCGTAGTTGGCGATGAGCTTCTCAAGAGCCTGCATATCGCGCAGATCGCTCTCGCCATCGGCCTTGAGTGTCAGACGAGGGTGCTTCCAGGGTGGAGGGTTGGTGCTGGCCTCAGGATGACGCAGCTCGCCTTCGACGTTCTTCTGAAGCGGCAAACTGCGTGGATCACGGTGGAATAGAGTGCCGAGACGAACATCGCCCAAGTTGAGGTAGAGGAAGACTAAACGTTCAAGACCGATACCGCATCCAGCGTGAGGAGGTGCACCGAGTCCGAAACCCTCAAGGTAATCCTGCATGCCCTTCGAAGAGATGGAAAGACGCTGCATCTTCTTCTCGAGCTCTTCGATATCATGGATACGCTGGCCACCGGTGCAGATCTCCTGACCTCGGATGAAGATGTCGAACGAGTTGGTCACCTTAGGGTTTTCCTTGTCCTCCATGGCATAGAACGGTCGAACCGAAGTGGGGAACTTGTCGAGGATGTAATAGTCGGTATTGTACTTCTCCTTGATCAGCTCACCAAGGCGAATCTCGGCACGAGTGGCCAAGTCCTCGTCCTCCTTGGGCATGCTGCCATCCTCATCGACGTAGCCTGACTCGCGCAAGATGCGAACACCCTGAGCGAAGGGGAGAATGAGCGTGTCTTCCGGGTAGACAAGGTCTTCGTGCGGGAAGTGGCGCTTGATAAGCTCGCGTTCGGGCTTGAAGTTGTCCCTGAGAGCAGCAAAGATGCTCTTGAGCATACCGTCAATGACCCGAATGGCATCGTAGTAGTCGACAATCTCCATCTCGATATCGAGACCCGTATATTCGGTAAGATGACGAGCCGTGTTAGAGTTCTCGGCACGGAAGACGGGACCGATCTCGTAGACCTTCTTGAAGTCAGCAGCAATACACATCTGCTTGTACAGCTGCGGACTCTGTGCCAAGAAGGCAGGTCGACCGAAGTAGTCAAGCATGAAGACGCTCGAGCCGGACTCGGAAGCACCACCCTGCAACTTGGGGGTATGGATCTCGATGAAGCCATTCTTGTCGAGATGAGCGCGAAAGTTATTGCAGATGGCAGCGTTGATGCGGAAGATGGCTTGAGATGTAGGTGTTCGCAAGTCGATTATGCGGTTGGTCAGACGGACACGCTGAGTGATGACGGGGCCCTCGTGACGTTCGATCGAGTGATTCTCGTCACGGGGTGCGCCCTCGCCGTCCGAGTCGGCGCCGTGACTGCCGCTATCTTCGCCTTCGTGGCCGTCGCTCTTTTTGAGGACGAGATCGGCGTCGTAGACGTTGAAGGGGAGCGTCTCTTTGGGAGGAGCCACGAGGTAGAGCTCCTGGACCTTGATCTCGGCCTGCTCGGTGGTAGCACCAGTGATGGGCTCACGAGGCTTTTGCAGCTCACCGCGTACCAGCACGATGGACTCGAGGGGTAATCGCTTAGCCCATCGGACCATGTGACCGGTAATTACGTCGGTTTCTTCAGCCAGAACAGCTTGAATGGTCGAGATCTGCTGTCGCAGCACGATGAAGACGAGGTGTGAGCTGACATCGCGGATAGTGTGAATACGAGCACGGAGGGTGACTGTATCGCCAATCTTGTTGTCGTCGCAGATGGTAAAGATATGGGCCCACTTGTCGTGTTCCTTGTTCCATTCTTCGGGGTACTGTTCACCGTAGCGAGCACGCTGCTCGGGAGTTTCGATGGCAGCAGCACGAAGATCGGACTGACGACGGAGCATGGCGATCTTCTCCTTGACCTTTTCTTGCTGAATGGCCTTTCGCTCCTTTTCCTCGACCTTTTGAGCCCTCTTGATGGCACTTGGACGTGGTTCATCGAGACTGACACCTCGCGAGGTGGATCTACGAGTTCCGGGAAGAGTATGACCGGAGAAGATGTGCGAGAGACGAAATTTCTTATCCGTGTTTTCGCTTTGAGTCGAGTTTACGGTGGACTGAGCCGAGGGTGGCTGAACGGGAGTGGTCTGACCACTTGCGGGGTTGCTGGAGCTCTTGGAGTGTCCATCTTCGCCATTCGAGTCTCCTGTGACCTTGGCCACAGCGCGTTTCAACATCTTGACGTTGGTCTATGTTGTGCTTGCGGGAAAGAGGGATTGTCTAATTTGCTCTTTGTGATTCTGACGAGAACTCGCAAAGTGGTTTCTCTGGGTGGGTTGGTGACGGTAGCAGCCCACACAGTCGAGACTGGACGTGGAGGTGAAACCTTGTCGCAAGAGCGAATGCTGGAGGGAGAAGGGTGGGAGGTGGGGGGGTAAAGGAAAGCTGGTGTGCAGACGGAGAGCGTTGTTATAGCGATGGGTAAAAATAAAAAATAAAAAATAAAAATAAATAAATAAATAAATAAAAAAGAAAAAAATAAGGAAGTAACGCAAGGCACGACGACGAGAAGGAGGAGGAGGAGGAGAAGTAAGCGGCTAATATAATTTTGGCGGTTTTCGCAAAGCAAAGACAGAGCATGGCATGGAAGTGTCGCAGTTGAGCCTAAGCTCGAAGGGGCAATGACATTCCAGTATCAAACGACAAACCGAACAAGCAAACAGAGAACCCTGTTGTGAAGGCATTGGGCATGAGTTCGCAGCCGTCATGCCTATCAGTCACTTCCAAGTCGGTCTCGCCTGCGGAAAGACTCTTTTCTTTTCTTTTTTCTTTTTTGTTTTTTTTTGTTTTTTTTTTGTTTTTGTTTTTGTTTTTTTTTTTTTTTTTTTTTTTTTGACAGAAGCAGCCTTTCGACAGTGTGGAGGTGCCTAACGCCCTTTTAATTTCGGGTACAGTCATGTTTGAAGCTCGCCTTCACAATCACTATGATCAAACGACGATTAGCACCTCGAGCAAAGTAGTTACAGAATAAGACAATGGAGCTTGAGCTGAGCCACAGCATTGGCTAGTATACACAGTCGGATGAGCCATCCGCGGATACAAACGGTGCCTGCACGGGACGATACAGAGAGTTAACTATATCAGCCTCATTTTCGGGTCGTTTTGCGGAGCCAGTCGACAATAAGAGAGGAGGGAAGGTGTAAAGCCATCTGACAACGGTAACAAGTTGAACGAAGATGGAGAAGATCTGCTATCAAGCCATCGATTTCGAGCGAGCGAGCATGTGTGTGGGTAGGCAGATCCCGTGGTTCGGAAGCCATCAACCGCGGAGTTGAGCTAAACGCTCGTATCTTTAAAGCCGTCTCCGCCAGCCTTGCTCTCCACCTTGACTTAGCCCTTGGCATCCTTTGCGACTTGTCTCCAGCATTCGCCCGCTCTGAGGTCGCCACTTCAGCTCGATGCTTCTATCGACTCTTTCCCGAAGCCAAAGTGAAGCCAACTCTGACGTTTGAAAGTGAAATACAGCAGAACGAGCGTATTTGTCTCCAGGCTGAGTCACGAAGAGCTGTCTTTCGAAGCAAGCTGATCTCTTTCTATCGAGCGCAGCGAGTGACCTCAGTGTCGATCGCTTCGCAGCCATCATCTTAAGCCAGCTTCTGATCACGAGCAGACACAGGCTACTGCCTTGAACAACGTCTGGCGACGCTTTGTGATGAATTTCATATGCCGTGACGTTCTGTTTGCTTTGAAGCTCAATTCCACGGAAACAACCAGGCTGCACGGCACTTTTTCCCGATCCTAACTTGTCACAATGAAGCGCGAAGACGTCACAACGCGTGTGGTGCCTGGACGGATTTTGACTTGAGTTCAAACCTCTGTAATTTGGCAGGAATCGAAGCTTCACACTAAGAGGAGCGTATGCTGAGATGTTACCGGATTGCCTTGCCGAGAACAAGATATTGTCGCTGAACGATGGTCTGGCTATCTTCGGCGTTACCCTTCCGGGCTGTCGCTCAGTTCGCCCTTTTGTTTGATCCGCTGACATTCGACGAGCCTAGATCTCGTTAGAACGTGGATCGAGCAAACGACATAATACTGTGAAGCTGCTTGACGAGAAGTCGCCTTTTCAACCTGCTCCGGGCAAGGATGTCGGGGTGCTAGGGCGAGGCAATTTCCTGGCCAAAGAGTAAATACGGTCTAACAAACATCCGTTGTTGCGCGATGCAGCCAAGAAGAGGCTGCAGAGCTGCACTATCAGATAGCCAGAATTGGCCTCGGAACTCGGGATACGTGCTAGAAAAAATTCCACTTTGAGCCAAAAAGTTTGCAGCAAACTTTTTTTTTTTTTTTTTTTTTTTTTCTTTTTTTTTTCTTTTCGATACAGAATCCAAGGGTCCTCACTAACATCAACGACATCGTCATCAACAACCGCATCTCAAACCAACGACTACACCATCACAGCCCCAATCAGCTCAGCCATAGGTACTCGTGGATCGACGAATCTGGTACATCCTTTCAGTCGCTAATTACAGCAACCTCCACCCGTGTCTAGCGCCATGACCAAAAAGCGATCCCGTGCGTCCTCGATAGCATCCAACGAAATGAACTCCAACAATCACACTCCCATGTCTCACGAAGCCGGTGGAAGCAGTGGGGCAGGAGCTTCTTACAGCCGCGCTGCATCCGCGCTTCCCGCATCCGGCCCTCTCGTACACGCATCTCAGGATCTCGATGACTTCCAAGCTTCTTTCTGGCGCTACCAAATGGATCTGGTCGAACAAGGCGGTGATGCAGATGGAAATATCGTCGACTTCAAATCCGGCCTCCCCACACAGGGTCAGCTTCCTTTGGCGCGGATCAAGAAGGTCATGAAGTCAGATGATCAGGTCAAGATGATCTCTGCTGAAGCGCCTATCCTTTTTGCTAGGGCTTGTGAGATCTTCATCTCGGACTTGACGTGTCGTGCGTTCTTGATTGCGGAAGAGCACAAGAGGAGGACAATTCAGAGGTCGGATATTGCTGGTGCCATTGGAAGGTCGGATCTGTTCGATTTCTTGATTGACTTTGTGCCAAGGCATGAGAGTGTACCGAGTAGTAGGTTGCCTGGTGGTGGAACTGCGAAACGAGAGAAGACGGGTGAGGGGAAAGGCCTTGGTCGATCCAACGCCGGCGCCAGTGGTAGCAGGAGACAACATCAGCCTGCAACAGAGGAAGAGGGCGACGCATCGCGTGGCGACCACCTCTTCCACGCGATACCGGGCTCTTATGGCGATGCTGGAGAGACATCTGCAACAGGTGGTGCGGACTCGTTCAATGTCCCACACACTGCCGGCGAAGCAGGCAACAGCAACAGCAGTATGGCACACTGGATCCATGACACTTCGGCAGACGAACACTCTTCACAGCCAGACATCTCGACGCATCCACACAACGCGCATCACTCGCATCACCATTCGCATCACGGAGGCCACAACTCGCACGATCACCAACATCACCACGACAGCTCTGCTCATTACCACTCATCCGCACATCACAGCGGTCATCACTCACATCAACACTCTCTCATGGACTACGTCGCATCTAATGCCGGTACACCGAACAGCATCGGTGCAGGAAGTGCGAGCGGCGGGGCTTGGTCACATACCTTCTCTGGCTTCTCTTGAGGTCTCATCGTCTGATAAGACTCTGTTCTTTTCACATTCACTTCTTGCTACTCCGGCTTTTCAGATTTCACGCTTCGCTCCTTAATCCATGTACCATCGCCTCTGCATCAACCTGCTTGTAATCGTAGCGTTTGTCTTGGGAACTATATCAGTCTGTAACATCAACCTTTCCAAAGCTCAAACAGCCACCCGTGCTAGCATCTCGCATGAGATGCGAACCAAGGTCCTTTACGTCGCATTTTTTTTGCGGAGTTGGACGGAAGCAAACCGTTCTTGACAAAGCCTAGAAGCCGACAAGGGGGACACAGCTGCCGATACTCGCCATTAAGCTACAGCCACGGATCGTGCGTCCAGTGGCACCCTACTTCGTAACCGTTGCCATGTCGCCGTCCTGCATACCTCATATCTCGGTGTCAACCCTGGAGAATAAGCTGCATATGCTCCCACGAGCTTCGCCTTTATCTCAGTCACGTTGACACCCTGCTTAATTTCGGTCTCCCTGTTCCGAATACTCCAATCTAACATCCCTGGCCCCGGAAATACCGACGTATCTTCAACTGAAAATTATGATCACGTTCGTTTGCTTGGCTTGAAACAGGCACTTGTCGTTGTGAATCGTGCCTGCTCGGCAGTATGTCTGTGGAATGGTGCAAGTCTTTTGCAGAATGTGTTTCGAGAAGCAAGTTCAGACATGTGCGCTTCCTGCAGAAAGAGTGTTCGAGGGTCCAACTTTATCGTGTACCCCGCAGTTCGGATTCGCAGCCACATGTTAGGGTCCAGGAACGTTGTTCAAGCCATACGACGGTGCTTTTACCACCTTTCTGCGCTTAAACACACCTCGCACTCCCTTGCCCCTTCATATCCTACGACCAAACTCCATTCTTATCAACGTCGACTCCCCTTGAGACGAATGTAACCATGCAAATGCTAACCTGGGCCCTCGCCTTCCTTGTTATCCACCTAGCCCGAGTCGCATTCTCTCGCTTCTCCTGTTACAAACACATTCATCAACGCTATGGTTCACGCTATGCTCTCCCTAACGACCCCGCTTCTTCTTCCAAACCTCGAATGATCGATTCTTACCGCGGTGTTCGTGATGCCCAACGTATCAGTCGACTTTTCGCAACCGTCGACTTTCCTTTTCTCTTCACCAAGTCGCTCGAGTTTGCTCTTTTCCGATCTTACGGTATACCGACCATCTCCTCTCTGCTGCTGCACACTGGTCAGTTGGGTAAAGCGGAGAATGCTGCCAGGAGGTACGTCGATACTGCTACCCTGATCCAGGCATTTACCACTTTCCCTCTTCCCCGTCTTGATCTGCCGGATGGAGGTGAGGCTGAAGCGAACAACCCTGTCCCAGGCGAAGACAACCGGGAGCTTTTCGGAGAAGCCCTCGATGATCCGCGCTCAGCTATAGCTCTGGCCAGAGTCAACTTCTTGCATGGGCGATGGAGGAGTAAGATCAGCAACGATGACCTGTTGTACACGCTAAGTACGTTCATCATTGAGCCGGCCAAATGGATCGATCGTTGCGAATGGAGGAAGACGAGCGAGTTGGAGAAAGAAGCTCTCTTTGCTCTGTTCTACCATATTGGACGATGTATGGGCATCAAACGTATTCCTGAGACAAGGGAGGAGCTGATCGAGTGGAGCGTTAACTACGAGTGCCAACATATGGTTTTCGAGAAGTGTAACAAAGAAGTTGCGGACCACACTACAAATCTTTTGCTCTACTCCCTCCCCAAAGTTTTGCATGGTTTTGCGAGGAATATGGTTTCCTCGCTTATGGATGACCGGTTGCGGCATGCTATGGGCTACACTGTGCCTCCGAGCTGGCTCGTTGGGTTCAAGGATGCGCTTCTTCGCATTAGAGCTTTCGTTACTAGATACCTGCTCTTACCCCGCAGGAAACCGCTAGTCAATATCCCAATTGCTAACGACGAAGAAGGGAGAGTATTCTCGATCCAACACTTGCTCAACGAAGGGATTCCAGCAGTCTGTCCTGCATCAGGCGCACGTGCATCGGACGGCAAAACTTGCCCCGTTGGCGGTCACCTCCACGCTCCTACCCCTGCGAACAAGGAAGAAGGAGGTTTCAAACCGGCTGCGTGGAGAATGGAGCTCAAATGGTACGAGAATGAACCGGTTTACTCTCGACCCTACTCCAAAGGCTCGGTAAGGTGGTACGCAGAGGAGGTGAAAATTGTGCTGGGGTTGTTGAAGAGGGAGGAGAGGAGAGGCGCAAAGAAGTGGTTGCCCGTCACCCTACCCCCTCCTGAAGAGGTGAAAGGGAAGGAGGATAAGGGGAAGGGAGATGTCGTGGAGGGCTTGGGAGGGTTCAGGTTGGAAGAAATGGGGCCGAAGGGGTTGGAAGTGAAGGGAAGGAAGGAGGTTTTAGCTGATGCCGAGAGATTGTTTGGTGGCAAGATTGAGGGGAAGTGGGCTTTTGAGCCTTGATCGCATCCTACAACGCACATGCTTTGATTTGTTAGTTCCACTCTGATTTAAATGAAGATGGATGTGAATGCGAATGCTTCGATACAAGTACATATGTGTGTGTGCCATCGTGTCCGAATTGAACCTGACACGAAGATGCTGAGATATGATACTGGCATGGCTGCTTCTTACTGGGTATATTGGCCTTCCTGCCACTTGGTCTCAGCAATCTCCCTTCCCTCCTATTACCTCACCCACTAGTCACCCCTCGGCGCCACCTTCAACTCAGGAAAAGCCTCATCCAGCGCCGCATCCAGCTTATCCTTGTACCTCTCCACCGCCGTGTGTTGACCATAGCTATACTGATTTTCGCTCGCCAGTCTATTAACAAAGTTTCTCGTATGAATATCTGGGTTCTTCCCCGCATCCAGCATCTCCAGTACATCCTGCGGCACCATTAGATGTGCTCTATGCAGTTCTTCCTTGGTCGCATCGAGAGCAGCGAGAGCCTTGATACATTCGTTGACTTTGTTGGCTACAAGGTGTTGGGAACCTTCTTGGACGTCGGCTGAGCAAACGGCGAGTTGGTAAAGGAGGTCGACGACGGAGCGGACGCGCGTTTCGAGGTTTGCGCGGACGGCAGAGGTCGGATCGCTGGAATCAGAAGTTTGAGGATGTGCGTTGGAGGAAGGAGGTTGCGGGGAAGACTGTTGGGGTGCGGCGTGTGAGGTGGTGGTGGTTGTGCCGTTGGCGGTGCCTTGTTGAGGTTCGGGAGAGGGGGAAGGGGAGGTTGGGGTGATTTGACGTTGACGTCTTGCTGCCGAGGGCATAGCTACAAATCCTTGATGTGACAGAGCTCCACTAGCTGATGTCCTTGGTTGCTGCTCGAGAATCGATGCTATTGAGCAGAAGTCTGCCGACGTCGTTGCTGGTGGTGAAGATAAAGCTTCGAACGTGCTGCAATCCAAAGAAGGGTTTTGCCGCGGATCTCACCGAGACGCGAATTTAACTCATGTTCGTTCGGCCCAGCTAACAGTGCGGTAAAATCCGGACTCAGCCTCCACACTGCTTCATGCCTACCGCACCGGCCACTTCCAACACTTCCTGCCCTTCACATCCTCCTCTCCTCTCTTCCACATCACCTTATTCCACCCCCTCACCTCTACTCCGCGACCTCTGGCCCCATAGAGATCATCTCACAATGACAACCACCACCACCCGCCCCAAATGGGTTCCTTTGGAAGCAAATCCCGACCTCTTCACATCCTGGTGTTCCTCCATGGGCATGGACACCTCCAAGTTCGCCTTCCATGACATCTACGGCACGGATCCTGACCTTCTCGCCATGGTACCCCAGCCCGTTGCCGCTGTCCTTCTCCTCTTCCCTATCCACCCTTCCATGGAGAAATCACGCACTGAAGCCTCCGCTGCAGCCCCCGCCTCCCCTCCTGGCACCGAAAACATCCTCTGGTTCAAACAAACCATCGGAAACGCATGCGGTACAATCGGCCTCCTTCACGCCCTCGCAAATACTTCGGCCGTATCGGCGATCAAATCTGACTCGCCGCTCGATACTTTGTTCAAGAAGGCTCGTGCGACGAAGGACGCAGATGAACGCGCAGAGGTGCTGGTAAACTCGAAAGAGTTGCAGATGGTGCACGAGTCAACGGCGAGTCAAGGTCAGAGTCAGGCACCGGAGGATTTGGATAATGTTCTTTGTCACTTTATTGCTTTTGTGAGGAGCGAGACGGGCGAGCTGGTTGAGCTGGATGGAAGTTGGGGTAGGAAGGGACCGCTGGCGGCGGGGAAGAAGGTGGAGTCTCAGGAGGATTTGTTAACTGTTGCTGTGGAATATGTTAAGGAGAACTACGTGAGTGACCAAACCATTCCACACGCTGACCAACTAGCTGACACCAGCATACTGACACATTTACTTTGAACTACGTTGCGCTCAACAGATGGCCATCGACCCCAACAATGTCAACTTTAACCTCATCGCCCTCGGACCATCGTTCGATTGACCGAGCTCAACGCACATTCTGGATCTCACACACCTCATCTCGGAACTACGTCTGTTGTCGGTCACTGCACAAACACCGCTGCAACGCGTGTGTGAAGGCTAGAGATGCCCCTGATTAGCAGCCCTAACTGCATGTGCAGCAGCAGCAGTAAAGTCATCATAAAACGCAAACTCCAACCCAGACTCTTCCAGTGTCTTTTTCGCATCTTCACTACCCGTCCCCTTCATCCTGACCACAATCGGTTTCGTAATATTATCCTCCTTCGCCGCATCGATGATCCCTTGCGCGACAATATCCGTTCGAGTAATCCCTCCGAAGGTGTTTACAAAGATCGCTTTCACCGCTTCATCTCTATTCAGCGTCTCAACTGCAAGTTTTGCGTTGGTGCGATTGGCTCCCCCTCCACCGTCGAGGAAGTTTGCTGGTCTACCACCCGCAATGTTGAGACCGTCCATGGTGGCCATTGCGTTTCCTGCTCCATATCCGAAGCAGCCGACGTTGCCTTCCGGTTCTTTTCTGGAGGAGGTGAGGGGTGTAGGAGAAGAGATTTGGGAGAGTTTGACATAGAACAGACCGCCGTCCTCTGCGCGGGCTGTGTTCGGGTCTCGTGGGCGAGAGGTATGGTAGGGTTGGAGGATGGGTTGTCGTCGGATGCTGAAGTCATCGAACTCCAGGTAGGGGTTGAGGAGTGAAAGTCCAGATGAGGAAGGGGAGAGGATGAACGTGAACCAGAGTCCTTCATGAGTGTCAAACACTTTCCAGAGCTCTTGGATGACTGTGCGAGCTTCTGAGCCCAGGCCGTGAACAAGAGAGTCGAGGGTGGAAGAGGGGAGGGTGGAAGTGCTTGAGCGGAGAGTAGCATGTGCGATTGCTTCTGGATTTTGCCGACGGAAGTTGAGGAGTCCTAGTCCACCACGACCGAAGTATGTGCTATCGAGGGAGGAGAGGGAAGAGACGGTAGCGGAAAGAATGCTTGGTCCGAAGAACTTTCCTTTGCCTTCATCGTTGGGCCAGGTTAATTGAGGTTCGCGATCGGCTGAGATAAGGATTGCTACTCCTTCAGCCGGAGTGGTTGAGGAAGCGGACTCGACTTTGACTGAAGATGGAAGAGACACTCCTGCTTCAGTGAGGAACTTTGGGATGTCTTTCGATTCCAGGTGGAAGTCTCTTGCTGCAAGAGGAGCGACAGTTGCGATAGAAGATGAGACACAGGGGCGTGTTGCCCATCGCAGAGCTGGAAAGGCTCTTGTTGAGGTGCGCGACAGCATGATTGCTTGTCGTCAACACTATTGATGGTCGGGAGTCAGAGCCTAGTTTCGACGAGGATCGAAACTGTCGCGGTTGTTGATGACGAAGAAGAAGGTAATTTGGCACCGAAGCGCTGGTCGATACCATCAGCTTGCAAGCGAAGAAGAACAGTACTGTGCAACTGACCCTCCGAAAAAGCTCGTGGATACGTTCAGCGTGGTTGACGGTGAAGAGGAGCAGTATTGCCTGGCTGACTCTCAGGAAGAGCTAGTAGATACCTTGAGCAGACAAAAAGTGGGGTCAGTGCCAAGTGTGGAGCAGCAAGGAATTGCGGGTTTAACTCTGGCTACCTTCGGCTGCGGGATGGATGTGCGAATTTACGAAAGCTTACAGCCGGAAAGCTTTCTTCACCGCTCTGCTCCACTCCCTTGGTCTTGCCGATCTGTCTTCCCCGCACCGGCCACCATTGGGAAGAGGCGGTGGGCAAGCGGGGCGCCTCATTAAAGTGTTGTCCTTTGAGACTGATTGCAGCTTCATCATCACCACCGGTCATTACCTTCCGTTCCTGCCTTCATCAGGACCCACAAGTCAGACTGCCACGTCAAGCTCGGGAGCAATTGCGGACAGCTAAAAGCCATAGAGACAGAGAGAAACTGTAGATCGGTCGCTCCGTAGCACCCGCACCAATCTACTGACACAGACTAGCTGCATTCCGATTGGGACGAGACCGTATCATTGTGCTGCAAAAAGTACTTTGGTGACTTTTGGCGAGGAGGTGCTCATACCTTCCGCCAACTATCCAGGATGATGCACCCAGTCACAGCTCGGACGACCCTCGCAACCTCACGGAAGACCGCAGCTCTCACCTCAACCTTACGGCGTCGCTTCGCAACAACCTCAGCCCGATCCAACTACTCAGACACGATCTCCAACCTCGCCCAAGGCCCCCAAAGCAACGTCGTCGTCCAAGGTTTCACCGGCAAAGCCTCTACCGTCCACACATCCATCTCCCTCTCAATGGGAACAAACATTGTTGCAGGTACCTCTCCCAACAAAGCAGGCACAAGCCATCACGATCGACCTGTTTTCTCCTCTATCAAAGAAATCCTTGATGCAGGGATCAAAGTGGACGCAACATCGATCTTTGTCCCACCTGCTCTCGCTGCTGATGCGATTATCGAAGCGATCGAAGCTGAAGTTCCGCTCATTGTTAGCATTGCTGAAGGTGTACCCGTCAAAGACCAGTTCAGGGTGATGGAAAGGCTACACAGTCAAAATAAATCGAGGTTGGTTGGGGCGAATAGTCCCGGGTATTGCAATCCTCTGGGTTGTCGGATGGGTATTAGTCCGATGATCACCTGCGCTCCAGGACCGGTAGGGATTGCGTCAAGGTCAGGAACGTTGAGTTATGAGGCTAGTTGGGCGACCAAAGCACTAGGTCAATCTTATATTATCGGCTTAGGCGGGGACTTCTACCCTGGCACACGAACAACGGAAGCGTTGGAGTTCTTAATGAGCGATTCAGATACAGAGGCCATTGTGCTAGCTGGTGAGATCGGTGGTTGTATGGAAGAGGAGGTGTACGAGTTGCTGAATGACCAGAGGTGTAAGTACAAGGAAGGTGGAAAGTTTAAGAAGCCGATAGTGGGGTTCGTGGCAGGATTGAATACGCCGCCTGGTCAAATGTTTGGTCATGCAGGGGCGATTTGGAGAGATGGAACTGGATCAGCGATCGAGAAGAGGAAGATGTGGGAAAGCGTTGGGATTAGGATGGCGGATGCGATTGCAGATGTGGGCAAGTTGATTGAAGAGGAGATGAGGAAGTACGGGGTCCCCGTCAACAAGGCCTGATTCACTCGCTGCGACTCATCAACACCATGGAAGATCGGAAGGATGGAATCATACACACAGTTGTACACACCCAATGATAGGGGGCTTGAAAGTCTGAAATTGAGCCTTCCAACGGTATACAAAGGAAGCGAGAACCAAGGGACCAGTAGACTACCTGATGATACTGTTGGTGTTGGAACGGACCCTCGAGTTGGCGGTCGAGGTGTTGGTCTTGGAGTTGGCAGAAGTACGAGCGGTGGGGTTCCACTTTTCGAACTTGATAAACTCTCGGGAGTGACAGAAGATAGCCATCATCGAGGTGACTGAGTACCAAATAGTAGTGCACATGGCAAACAAGAAGATGCCGCCCATTCTGGTGAAGTGCGATCTGTTCCTTGCCTGAATGCAAGCTGGTCAAACCCATACAGATCAGGTTGACAGCAAGAGCGAACATCGACAACGAGTATCCACCAAAGTCCTCAAAGTACCGCTTGAGACCCTGAGTGGGGAGGTTGTAGCAGATACCAAATGCAAGCATGAAGACGAGCTGAGAATTGATGTAAAAGTAGAACTCGCGGTAGAGGAGAAGCTGGAAGAGACCGATACACGAACGCCATTTGTTGCCCTCCGAATAAGCACCACGACTAATGGAAGCAAGAGCGTGACGGAAAGCGACCTGGGTCCAACCTTGAGCCCAGCAAAGACCTTGCTTGACAAGAGCAGAGAGGGGTCTCGGGAGCAAGCTCGTAGGAGAGAACCTTGAGGTTGTACTCGAAACGAGCTCCCGAGATAATGGCGCGCATATATGAGTCGATATCTTCGGTCAACATATGCTTTTGCATACCCAGAGTGCGAAGAAGAGAGGCGTTCCAGTGTCCGTTGGAACCGCCGAAGAAACCGTAATCCTGAATTTCGGCACGACAGGAGTGCATAACACCGTAAATGAGATCGGATTCGGAAGCGATGAGTCGGGTCATGAAGGTATCGGAATAGTTGTAGATACAGCATCGACCCTGGATGATATCGACACCTCCTTGCATGAAGCGCTTGGCGACCCAGCGAAGCGCATCGGGCTCGGGGTAGTGATCAGTATCGTAGAGAGTAATGATTTCGCCCTTGGACTCGAGAGTGAGGAAGTGATTGAGGTTGTCGGCCTTGGAAGTGGACTTGGGGACCTTGAGGATGCGGAGGCTGGAACGCTCCTTGGCGAGATTTCGAAGTTCTGTCTCGACGGGCTCGATGGGGCAAGGGGTGTTGTAGCAAACGTTGATGGTCATTCGGTAAGGGGCGTAGTTGAGCTCTCGAAGAGCATATCTGGCTTGACGCCTGATGATATCTTGTTCATTGGGGAGGTAGGTGGCGAGAACGACATTGATCAAAGGCCACCCTTGACCTTGGTTGAGCTTGAAGCCGTGGACCTTGGCATGACGCCATGCCTTACGTGCGTTGATGGCAGGTCAAATACTCTGGATGGCTTCGGTAGACACCGAAAGCGCAGTGAACGTCTGTAGCGCAACGGGCGAGTACCAAAGAGCTCGGTGGAGTACGGCTGGGATAAGGAGGTAGAAGAAGAAGGATATCATCGAGTAGCAAATGAGCATGATCATGGGTGTCCAACCGTAGTACCATACCGAAGTCTGGCCGAAAAAGCCTTGTCATTGAAGATCCTGCCATGTTTGCGGTGTGATTTATCTGTGGGCCGGATCGAATCGGTGCTTGCGATGAGGTGTGGCTGGTTGCTCTACGGCCGCTCTAACAGATTGGAACTACCTTAAAGGGGTGAGAAAGGGAGAGTGAACGTCTTGAAGGAGTGTCTCGGTGAAGGGTATATGAGGGATGATTGTGACGGGTGAAGAAGAAGGATGTGTCTGCTTTTTGAGAATCGTCAAAGGAATGGCAGAGAGTCGCTTGGCGGAAGACTCGATTGGCTGGAGGGAGAAGGCGTATGTGGCTGACAATGAAGCTCGCGGTTCGAAAGGCGAGGCTCTATCACAAAGAAAATCACATTCATTCCTGTGACAATATAAGGGTTTCCAGACGGAAAGAGGAGGCGCTCTGCTGGCGTGCGAATGCGCTTACGCCAGATGGAATCAGAAGAGAAGCTCGAAACAAAGCGGCCAGGCTGAAAACGGCAGGTGCGGGCAGAGATAGGCAGAAGAGCTTGCCTGAGACACTGTTTGCGGAAGAAAGTCAACGACGACAGCTTAAGCTCGTGCACAAAGTCGAAGCTGTTGCAAGCAGACGGCGGCAAAGCATGGATTGCCGTCGCTGTAATTGTACGCCCGCACCCGACAGCTAAAGACGGAAGGCCAAAAGAGTATACGATACGGATCAAAGAAATGAGGTCAAGAGCCATGCCATGCCCTATACGGCACTCTTGAAAGGTGTCAGCCGTCCAAAAGAGCGCACGAAAACGAGGCGTCGAAATAGTTGAAGTAGATAAAGCCGCACAAAGCGTGGAGACAGTGAAGGTAGTGCTTACGGCCGAGTAAAAGGCCTGAACATCTTAGCACGGACCACATGTGTCACAACCTACTCAAGACAAATGCTTTGTTATGCTCCGCAGTCCGCTGCTCTTCTTTTGTATATATAGACTCCTAGCTCTCTCGCTCTCTCTCTCTCCTACTATCATCATCAACAAAGACACCTCAACCCCAACCACTGACGAATGACTCCAAGACGCTGACGAATGACTTCAACTGATTAAGAGTCTGACACTCAACGCAATGCCGCCATCGACAAGAGCTGGACAGACGGGAAGGGGCGATGATGATCAAACGACCACAAGCAATGGACAGGAGGAAGGATGGCTCACGCAGGTAGTCAGGATCCTCCAGCTGGCGAACCCGGCACTATCGGCAGAGGAAGCAATAGTACGGGCCATGGGTCTGGTCAACATTAGCAACCAAGCTCCACGCGGGGAGACCGAAAAGATCCCCAAGGACGTATCGAGCTCCATTGCTCACATCAAGAAGCTCAGCGATAGCAATTGGCACACCTGGGAACCCACCTTTATCGACTGCCTCCAGAGAGTGCATAACGCGAAGGAAATCCTGTATGGTACCGTTGTACCCGGGAGCGAGGAATACGATGAAGACCTAGACAAGGCACTCGTGGGCCTCATCCACGCCTGCTGCGATAACAGCCCGGATAGCCGCATCGACACCTACACCGTCAGAGGGGTGGATGAAGAAGTTCAACTTGGTAGCACACTCTATGCCAAACTCAAGAAGGCACTAACACTAAACGACGCTGTAAAGCGAGCAGGACTGCAGGATCGTATCCACACAGTGCGCTTGCACAATCGAGACGTTGTCAGACTAGGCAAGGAACTTGATTCGATCTGGAACGATGCGGCACGCCTCGGAAAGCGTTTCGACGAGGACCTCAAGAAATCAACTCTCTATCGCTGCACGGCTCAAGATTGGTTCTACGCCAACACCGTCGATGCACTGAAAACGGCCAAACCAGACTGCAAGTATGACGAAGCCTACCATGCACTGGCCAAGAAACAGCAGGATGGTGAGATCACTGGTCGTATTAGAGGAGCAGCAAGGGTCGCCACAAACGCGGAACAGGGGAGTGCCAACCAGGCGGAGCAAGGACCCAGGGGAAGGCGCGATCCTCGCAATCCCTTGGCCCCTCCAAAGTGCTATGCTTGCGGAGGACCAAATCACATTGCTCGAAATTGCACAAACGCACGAGGCACAAGCGAACCTGTCGCTCGTACGACACAGGAGGTGAACCACTAGGAACTCGGGTGCACCTTTCTAGCAGTCGACAGGGGCGAGCGATCAGCATGTGACACCTGGATCATCGATTCAGGTGCAACCCATCATATGGTAAATGATGAGAGAATGCTGCTCACCTCAACGAACAAGGTCGGCCAAATCAGTACGGCAGGGGACGAAAAGCTTCAGGTGAAGGCTATAGGAGATGCCTCCCTTCGGGTCGGTGAGGCCACCATCCAACTATTGGATGTGCTTTATGTACCGAAACTGAATGCTAACTTATTGTCCGTACAAGGCTTGATCGAGAATGGTGCACGAGTAATCTTCGATGAGTTTGGAACTACCATAAAGCAGAACGATGGTACCCAAGTACAATTCAAAAGGGACAGAAGACAGGGCCACTTCAAAGTGCGAGGACAAGCACTGGCCTTGGAACTGGAGGAAACACGAGATGGCGTCCCAGAGGACAACCAGAACACAGGAAAACTAGATAATGCCCCAGAGGGCAATAAGGACACGAAGCATCGAGACAGCTACCTATGGCATGAGAGGTTCGGACACCCAGGACGAGACAAAACGAGACAAATCCGGGCCCATTACCTAGGTACCGATGAGGAAATGGAACATGAGTCGAAGCACTGCAATGCGTGCAGTCAAGGAAAACAGACTCGAGCACGGATGAGCCAATCAGAGTCGGAAAGAATGGAGGCACCATTAGAGCTGGTACACGTAGACCTGATGACAGATTTCAAAGGACATGCCAACTACCACTATGCACTAGTTGCTGTGGACGACTTCTCCTCTCTGATCTACGTGGAACCACTCTGCACAAAGAGTGCTGCACTCACGGCGCTGAGAAGGTGGATAGCCAGGATGGAACGGGCAACGGACAGGAAACTCAAAACACTCCGCAGCGACAATGGAGGAGAATGGTGCAGCATAGCAGCCGAAGACTGGCAAACTCAAGAGGGTTTTAAGTGGCAAAAGAGCGTCCCGGGGATCAGCGTCCAAAATGGACGGGCAGAGAGAGCAATCAGATCGGTCCAAGAAAAGATGCGCTCGATGCTGATTGGTCGAGCTTGCCCTAGAGAGTTGTGGCCGTACGCAATCACAGCAGCAGCACACGTGATGAACCTTACCCCGTCAGCCACCAAAACCATTCCCCACGAGGCCTTCTATGGAACCACTGCGCACAAGCTGGCCCAGCAACTGCGAGTCTTCGGATGCTTGGCATGGGTTCATGTTCAACAGAAGGACCAGCAAGGCAAGCACGGAGCTAGAGCAAAGCCAGCCATCATGATTGGGTATGACGACGAACACAAAGCATGGAAGTTTTGCAACCCGGACCAGCCTGCGTCAATTCAATGGAGCAACTCAGCAACGTTCCATGAGGACAAAGGATGGAGTGATCGCCAACAAGAGGCAGTCAGGCCTGTGGTGACCGCGGAGGTCGAGGAGGAGAGTGTCACGCCAGCCATAGTGGAGGAGGAGACCAAATCAGAGGCTGCAGTGGAGGATCTCCTAACAGCCGAAGACAGCACAGTAGGCGCCGCCAACACAGCAATACTGAACCTGGACCCAACACTTGGGGAAGCAATGGATGGTGAGGATGCCCAGCTCTGGAAGGAGGCAATACGAAAGGAGCTAGAAGGACTCGAGGCAATGGGGACTTGGGAGGTGGTGCACCAACCACCAGGAGTACCACTTGTGGACTCTAAGATTGTGCTTCGGCTGAAGCTTGATGCTGACGGTGTACCTGTTAAGCACAAAGCGCGACTGGTTGCAAGGGGCTTCACACAGAGAGAGGGGATCGACTACCAAGAAACCTTCTCTCCAGTAGCACCCCTCGGAGCGATCAGAGCCATCTTAGCACTAGCGGTGCAGAACAACTGGGAGGTACATGCTCTGGACATCACTATGGCTTACTTGAACTCCACGTTAAAGGAAGCAATCTACATGAAGCCGCCAGAAGGATCAGGAGTAGCACCTGGCAAGGTGTACAAGGTAGTCAAGGGCCTATATGGCCTAAAGCAGTCTGGGCGAGAATGGAATCAGGAGTTCGACAGGTCTTTGCGACGCATGGGATTCTTCCAGGTAGAGTGCGCTCCCTGCATCTACACCAAGGGACAGGGTGAAGATATGGCCATTGTGGTCATCTACGTCGATGATACACTAGTCATAGCACCACGGCTGGAAACGGTCCTAAAGGTTAAGAAGCAGATTGGTCAGAGATGGAAGATGGAAGATAGTGGTGAGGTCTCTCACTTCTTGGGCATCAAAATCAGTCGAAACCGTGCGATGCGCACCATGACGATTGGTCAGTCAGGGTACATCGACCAAGTGCTGGCAAAGCACTTGGACAAACGCACGAAGCCGACCATGGTTCCAATGCAGAGCATACCGGAGGGAACCCTTGTCGCAAGCGCAGCACAACAGAAGGAGTATCCGGTGATTGTTGGCAAGCTGCTCTGGGTCGCCAACAGCACCCGGCCCGACCTTAGTCTCACCGTGGGTGTTCTCGCTAGGCACATGCGTGAACCATCGCAGGAGCATTATCAGGCAGCACAAAGGGTCTTACGCTACCTCGAAAGCACAAGGCAGGTTGGGTTGGTTTATAGGGCAAGTGAGTCGCAAGAGCCACTGGTTGCACACAGCGATGCAAACTGGGCAAGCGATGCCACCATACAGAGAAGAAGCACATCGGGGTCAGTGGCGTTAGTGTACGGGAACCCAGTAGCCTGGAAGTCAGCGACACAAAAATGCGTGTCATTGTCTGCTGTCGAGGCAGAGTTCATTGCAGCCACGGAAGCAACACGTGAGGTGCTCTTCCTCAAGCAGCTGCTACGCTCAATTGGCATTGCCACAGGCACACCGACGGTCTACTCGGACAACACTGGTTGCATACAGGTTAGTAAGGACCCAGCACAGCACTGGAAGCTTAAGCACATCGACACCAAGTATCACTTCGTCCGTAACAACATACAAGAGGGAAGGGTGCAGATCAAGTACGTAGACACCACAAGAAACTTGGCAGATGTACTCACGAAACCCATTGGGAGGCAGGCAATGCAGCAAGCAAGATCTGGGCTACACCTGCAAATACCGGCAGCAGTGTACGGAACGGGGTCCCCGAGCTATGCAACAGTGTTGAAGAACGGAGATCACACCTTGAAGCAACAGCATAATGAACAGGGTACATATGCTGTTGAGGGGGGGAGTTGAAGTAGATAAAGCCGCACAAAGCGTGGAGACAGTGAAGGTAGTGCTTACGGCCGAGTAAAAGGCCTGAACATCTTAGCACGGACCACATGTGTCACAACCTACTCAAGACAAATGCTTTGTTATGCTCCGCAGTCCGCCGCTCTTCTTTTGTATATATAGACTCCTAGCTCTCTCGCTCTCTCTCTCTCCTACTATCATCATCAACAAAGACACCTCAACCCCAACCACTGACGAATGACTCCAAGACGCTGACGAATGACTTCAACTGAAATGTCGATCTAGACCCGGAAAAAATTAAAATTCCGCCCGACTCAATTGAAGCGTATTGTTGTTTTTCGGTGATGATCATCTAAGTACAAGTTCGCATCCGGAGGTTCCCATGTCTTTCGCCACTTGCGCACAAGCAGAACTGATGCAAAATTTTTGATTTGGCCAGAGTCTTTGCTTTGTTGTGTCTCATTCGGCCAGAATCTTCAACTCCCTCCCTCAACAGCATATGCAACTGTTTCGTTATGTTGTTGTCTCAGCATGTGGTTTTGCAATGGTCCTTACAGGATGGCTGCATAGCTTGGAAACTTTGTTTCAGTGTCTACAGTTGGGGTCTGCAGGTGCAATCCAGGTCTTGCTTGCTGTATTGCCTGTTTCCTGACAGGTTTTGTAAGGATGTCTGCTAAGTTCTGCTTGGTGTCCACATATTTGACTTGCACTCTCCCTTCTCGGATGTTGTCATGAATGAAATGATACTTGATGTCAATATGCTTGAGTTTCCAGTGCTGCACTGGGTCCTTGCTGACTTGTATACAGCCCATGTTATCCAAGTAGACTGTTGGAGTACTGGTGGCAATACCAATTGAGTGCAGTAGTTGCTTGAGGAAAAGCACTTCTTGTGTTGCTTCTGTGGTGGCAATGAACTCTGCTTCAACAGTGGATAATGACACACATTTCTGTGTTGCTGACTTCCAGGTTACTGGGTTTCTGTACACGAACACCACTGATCCTGATGTACTCTTCCTCTGTATGGTGGCATTGCTTGCCCAGGTTGTGTCACTGTGTGCAATCAGTGGTTCTTGCAGTTTGTTTGCTCTGTAAATCAATCCAACTTCCCTTGTGCCTTCAAGATATTGTAAGACATGCTGTGCTACCTGGTAGTGCTCCTGCAACAGTTCCCACATGTGTCTAGCAAGAACACTCACTGCAAGGCTGAGGTCTGGTTGTGTGCTGTTGGTGATCCAGAGCAGTTTGCCAACAATCATTGGGTACTCCTTTTGCTGTGCCCTGCTTGCCACTGTAGTCCCCTCCAGGATCTCCTGCATTGGGGCTGCAGCTGGTCTTGTGCATTTGTTCAGGTGCTTCTTTAAGACTTGATCAATGTATCCTAACTGGCCAATTGTCATTGTATGCTCTGTGTGATCTCTGCTGATCTTGATGCCAAGGAAGTGGGAGACCTCACTGCTGTCTTCCATCTTCCACTTTTGACCAATTTGTTTCTTGACTCTTAAGATGGTTTCAAGTTGTGGGGCTATAACCAGAGTGTCATCAACATAGATGACCATGATGACCAGGTCCTCACCATGTCCCTTGGTGTAGATGCAGGGAGCACATTCTACCTGAAAGAAGCCAATGTGCTGTAGAGACTTATCAAATTCCAGGTTCCATTCCCATCTGGATTGCTTCAGGCCATACAAGCCTTTGACTACCTTGTACACCTGACCAGGTGCTACTCCTGATCCTTCTGGTGGTTTCATGTAGATTGCCTCCTTTAGCATAGAGTTCAGGTAGGCCATTGTGATGTCCAGGGCATGTACTTCCCAGTTGTTTTGTATGGCTAGTGCTAGGATGGCCCTGATTGCTCTGAGGGGTGCAACTGGAGAGAAGGTTTCCTGATAGTTGATTCCCTCCCTCTGTGTAAAACCTCTTGCAACTAACTGTGCCTTGTGCTTTATTGGCACACCATCAGCATCAAGCTTTAGGTGGAGCACAATTTTGGAGTCCACAAGTGGTGCTCCAGGCAGGTGACATATGACCTCCCATATGCCCATTGCTTCAAGTCCTTCCAGCTCCTTGCAGATCACTTCCTTCCAGAGCTGAGTGTCCTCCCCATCCATTGCTTCTCTGAGTGTTGGATCCAGGTTTAACACTGCTGTGTTGGTGGCACCAACCACATTACCCATGGCTGGTAAAAGGTCCTCTATGGTGGCCTCAGACATAGCCTCCTCCTCCACTGTGGTAGTTGCTGTGGCATCTTCTTCCTCAATTTCTACTATGGTTATGGGCTTGTAAGCTTCCTGCTGGTAATTGTTCCACCCCTTGTCCTCATGGAAAGTTGCAGAGTTGCTCCATTGGATTGATGCTGGTTGGTCTGGGTTGCAGAACTTCCATGCCTTGTGTTCATCATCATATCCAATCATGATAGCTGGTTTTGCTCTTGCCCCATATTTGCCTTGTTGATCCTTCCATTGGATGTGAACCCATTCCAGACATCCAAATACCTGTAGTTGTTGCACCAGCTTGTGTGCAGTGGTTCCATAAAAGACTTCATGTGGGATGGACTTAGTGGCTGATGGAGTAAGGTTCATCACATGTGCTGCTGCAGTGATTGCATAAGGCCATAATTCCCTGTGACAGGCCTGGCCAATGAGCATCAAACACATCTTCTCTTGAACTGACCTAATCGCCCTTTCTGCCCATCCATTCTGGGCACTGACTCCCAGAACAGTCTTTTGCCACTTGAAACCTTCCTGAGCTTGCCAGTCCTTGGCTCCTTGGCTGGACCACTCCCCACCATTGTCACTGTGAAGTATCTTGAGCTTCCTGTTTGTCATCTGTTCCATCCTGGTGACCCATCTCTTCAGCATGGGAAGTGCTGTGCTTTTGGTGCAGAGTGGTTCTACATAGGTTAGGGATGAGAAATCATCCACTGCAACTAGTTGGCATGGCCCTTGAAGTCTGTCATTAAGTCAATGTGCACCAGTTCTAATGGTGCCTCTGCTCTTTTTGACTCTGATAGACCCATTCATGCCTGGGTTTGTTTTCCCTGACTGCAAGTATTGCAGTGCTTTGACTTGTGTTCCATCCTTTCATCAGTGCCTAAGTAGTGTTCCTGGATCTGCCTTGTCTTGTCCCATCCTGGGTGGCCAAATCTCTCATTCCAAAGGTAGCTGTCCTTGTTTTCCTTGTATGTATTCATGCTCTGGTTGTCCTCTGGGACATCATTAAGTGTTTCCTCCAATTCCAAAGCCAGTGCCTGTCCACACACCTCAAAGCAACCTTGTTTTCTGTTCCTCTTGTATTGTATTTGAGTACCATCATTCTGCTTTATGGTGGTTCCAAACTCATCAAAGGTTACCTGTGCACCATTCTTGATCAAGCCTTGTATGGACAATAAGTTTGCATTTAGTTTTGGCATGTAGAGTACATCCAATAACTGAATGGTTGCATCTCCAACCTGGAGGGAAGCATCTCCAATAGCCTTCACTTGAAGCCTTTCGTCTCCTGCCATACTGATCTGACCTGCCTTGCTTGTCCAAGTAAGCAACATGTTCCCATCATTCACCATATGATGGGTTGCACTGGAGTCCACAATCCAGGTGTTGCTTGTTGGTTGCTTGTGCCAGCTGTTTGCTAGGAAGGTGCACCCAAGTCCCTATTGACTTGCTTCTTGGACCAGGTGGGCAGCAGGTCTGGCTGTGTTTGGTGCAGGATTGTGGGGATTGTTGCTGTTTGTGCAGTTGCATGCAATGTGGTTTGGTCCCCCACAAGCATAGCACTTTGGGGGAGCCATGGGGTTGTGGGGATCATGTCTGCCTCTGGGTGCTTGCATTGCCTGATTGGTGTCTGACTGTCCCATACCTGTGGTGACCCTGGCTGCTCCTCTAATGCAGCTGGAGATTTCACCATCTTGCTGCTTCTTTGTGAGTGCATGATAGGCTTCATCATATTTACAATCAGGTTTGGCTGTCTTGAGCACATTGACAGAGTTGGTGTAGAACCAATCCTGGGCTGTGCAATGGTAAAGGGTGGATTTCTTGAGGTCCTCATCAAAATGCTTTCCAAGGTGTGCTGCATCATTCCAGATGGAGTCAAGTTCCTTGCCCAACTTGACCACATCCTGATTGTGCAGGCACATGGTATGAATGCAGTCCTGCAGCCCTGCTCGCTTGACAGCATTGTTCAATGTCAGTGCCTTCTTAAGTTTAGTGTAAAGTGTGCTACCAAGCTGGACTTCCTCATCTGCACCTCTGACAGTGTAGGTGTCAATGTGGCTGTCTGGGCTATTGTCACAGCAAGTGTGGATGAGGCCTACAAGGGCTTTGTCTAAGTCTTCATTGTAGTCCTTGTTTCCAGGTGCAATGATGCCATACAGGATCTCCTTCGCATTGTGCACTCTCTGGAGGCAGTCAATGAAAGTAGGTTCCCAGGTATGCCAATTGCTGTCACTGAGTTTCTTGATGTGTGCAATGGAGCTTGATACATCCTTCAGAATCTTCTCAGTCTCCCCATGTGGAGCCTGGTTGTTAGTGCTGACCAGGCCCATGGCCCATATGCTTGCTTCCTTGGCCATTAGTGCTGGGTTTGCTAGCTGAAGGAATTTGACTACCTGCATGAGCCATCCTTCCTTGGGTCCATTGCCTGTAGTCACTTGATCATCATCCCCCCTCCCTGTCTGACCAGCCCTTGTCGATGGCGGCATGGTGTTGAGCTTCAGACTCTTAATCAATTGAAGCGTATTGTTGTTTTTCGGTGATGACCATCTAAGTACAAGTTCGTGTCCAGAGGTTCCCATGTCTTTTGCCACTTGTGCATGAGCAGAACTGATGCAAAAATTTTCATTTGGCCAGAGTCTTTGCTTTGTTGTGTCTCATTCGGCCGGAATCTTCAACTGACTCCACTTTGCTGCATTTAATACTGCTGGAGATAACGATCCAGCAGGACACGATCTGGTGACTGATTGGGGAGAGTCAATCAGATCAGAAATTGGGCAGGCCCACATGATGAAGATTGAGGGCAACAGTGGCACATCCATTGTCATAGACAGTCATTAGGTGGGATATTCTCACAGACAGCCACAAACCAGAATGTATATAGCTAGTGAGCAGAGAGCTCAAGCTCTCCACTATGTTCTTTCCTTATGTCAATATAGTATAGTGTTTAGCTCAATAAGCTTGGACACTGTACTGTGACTAATACCTCCCGATAAGGGTCGATCGGAGTTCTATATTTCAACAGGTTATGAGCCCAATAAGCCGATACACTACCGATACACTATCAGCAACAATAGCAGGTTATGAGCCCAAATCGCCGTTTTCACTACCTCCGATCAGACACTTAAAACGATGTCTAACATCAGCTACTTTCTATATGACAATTTCGTCACCCCGGTGCAAGATCTCTTGCCCTGGTTGCCAAAAATCCTTCAGAATCGCTTCAACCGAGTAATGGCAAACGAAGCGTACAGTCCCTGTCCAAAGTTTGGGGACAGGGTCCAATAGACAATAAATCAACTGTCTGATAGCATACCTTCCATCTGCTTGGAGGAGTGATCTCTCATAAGTGTCAGACTGAGCAAAACACACAGTGAGCAAGCTCAGAAGAAGGGCTTTTGATTGCAGTGAGTCTCGGAGCTGACTAATACTTGAGCAGACCTCCATGCTTAGTAAGCACTTGCTCCACATGATGCTCCATCGACTTGATCACAGGTTTGATATGTTCAAGCATGATCTGGGTGTTCCACACTTCCTCTGCAGCTCTGGCAAGCTCATCCCAGGTTTTTGGAACTGGCAAATGCTTACCAAGCAAGTTTTTGAACACATACCATATGTTCTCAATAGGGTTAAGGTCTGGTGAAGCTGGCAGGTGTTCCTGCATCTTAATGTGGTATTCGGCCTGCCATTGCTTGCAGATAGCAGCCTGATGACAGCTGCTGCCATCTTCAACAACCAACAGGCTGTCAGGGTATGCACTAACAGCAGTTATGGCATCCCAGAGTGGCCCATCGATGATCCAATCACAATATCTGACAGCTGTGAGGTTCTTGGCAGGATCCCATTGATTAGCCAACCCCTACCACTTCTTTCTTGGAGCCAATGGGAGCACAAACAATGGGGTTTTAAGGTTGTATGCAATGCTGGCCCATACCTGGATGCTGAAATGGCCAGAATGGAACATTGGAACCATGTTGTTGATGTCTTCTTGAGTGTTTTTCTGGTGACTAACAGTTAAATTTAGATACACCGATACAGAGGCCACTAGCAGGCGCTCGCTCAATCAGATAGTCTCAGATAAAAGGCTTGCATTGCTTATTGTATGATAGTGACATGACTTGGAGTATATATACATGCTCTGGGCACTCATCTGTGCTTACCTTGTCGAGTCATTCCCATATGCCACATATCTACTTTCATGTGTGTTGTCATGTCAATGTATTAGTCCCCACTAGCTTCGCATTCTGCTTGTCTTTCCTCATTGTTCTGTCTCTTCCCGATTTCCCAATCCTGTGTACTCCCATTCAATATGTCACATGTTGGCGATGCTGATGCATCTTCAACTCCCCCCTTCAATGGCATATCCAATCCCATCATTTTTGATATCCTTGTTGTATTGAGTCCCTTGAGAGGCTTTGTGAGTATGTCAGCCATGTTGTTGACTGTCCCAACAAACTCAATCAATATGTCACCATCTTGTACATGATCCCTGATGAAGTAATATCTAGTGTCAATATGCTTGAGTTTCCAGTGCTTGGCCGGGTCCTTGCTGACCTGTATACATCCTTGACTGTCAGTGTACAAGACTGGTCTAACTTCCATGATCCCTAAATCCCTCAGTAAGTATGAGAAGAAAAGAGCTTCTCTTGCCGCCTCTGACACAGCAACCAGTTCTGCCTCCACTGCCGACAATGCTATGCACTTCTGTACATGTGACTTCCAGCTGACTGGACATCCATATACATATGTGACTGCCCCAGATGTGCTCCTTCGTCCATTGGTAGGGTCTGAAGCCCAATTCACATCAGTATACATGACCACTGGCTGTCTCACATGCTTCTTATGCTTTCCTCCAAGCTCCAGGTGATATTCACTCATTTGGTTCAGATACTTTAGCAAGTGTATCGCCACTTGCCATGTGCTATCGATTGGTTCTGACATGTGTCATGCTAGAACTCCAACTGTAAATGAGATGTCTGGCTGTACCGTGTTAGACACCCATAGCAATTGGCCCACCAACTCCTGATATTGCTTAGCTCTCTCTGGCATACATTTGTTTCCTCCGACAGTGTTTGCGATGCTTTGCATTGGTATCCATGATTTTTCATTTGGCTTCTCCAACCACTTGCTTACCATGCCTTTAATGTACACTGTCAGATCAAGTGAAATTTTGCTTTGGCTCCTATCTTGCATGATCTTGATACCTAAGAATTCCTTCACCAGTCCATTATCCTCCATTTCCCACTTGCCCATGATCTCTGCTTTGGTATGGTCAACTTCCTTCTGGCTGGGTGATGCAATGAGCATATCATCCACATATGCTGTTATCACTGTGAGTCGATCATCTGTCCCCCTTGAGTACAGGCATGGAGCACTCGACATGCAGTGAAAACCGATCTTTTGCAAATGCATGTCTAACTCTATGTTCCACTCGCGACCTGATTGTTTCAGGCCATAGAGGCCTTTCATGAGCTTTAGTACCTTCCCTGGCTGCACTTTCATTCCGATGGGTGGCTTGAGGTAGACATCATGGTGTAGGCTCGAGTTTAGGTAAGCCTGCTTTACATCAATCATGTCGACCTCCCAGCCCTGTATGGCAGCAATTGCTAGCACTCCTCTGATCGATTGGATGGGTGCCACAGGTGCAAAGATTTCTGTATAATCTATGCCCTCCCTTTGCATGAACCCTCATGCTACTAACCTCGCCTTGTACTTCGTGGGAACCAGATTTGCATCCATCTTAATTTTCAACACCCAATGCATGTCGACTGTGTTCATATCATGTGGTAAGTCAGTGGTCTCCCATGTATTCATTGCTTCTAGCCCTTTTAGCTCTTTGCACATTGCTTCCTCCCAGAACCTCTTGTCCTCTCCAGCCAGTGCTTCCCGAATGGTTGGATTGAGATTCCTTTCCTTCTTCTTAAGCCCTGTCATCACTAGCCCAAAGGAAGTTTGTGCTTTGTACCTCGGCTCCTTGTGTTCCCCTTCTCTCAAGGTTGTCTCCATGCTCATGTATTCATTCAAGGGGTCTTGATCACCCTTGTCAAAGAGGTCCTCCTCCATGTACCCCAGATTAGCTAGGTCCTCCTCATTGTTTAGGACTGGAGGCAATTGAATGTTCACTGGCTTCCATTCTGTTTGGTCTGACCAGCATTGAGTTTCCATGAACTTCACCGAGTTGCTCCAGAAGGTGTTTGGGCTGTATTCAGGACTGTAGAACAGCCATCCCTTTCTCTCCAAGCTGTATCCTATGAATATAGCCAGGACTGCTCTCTGATCCAATTTCTTGTTGTGTCTCTTGGCTTTTGGGACATTCACCCAAGCCAAACATCCAAACACATGCATGAGGCATATGAAATGTTCCAGCGACTTTCTGAACATCAGCTGATAGGGGAACTCTCCATCAACATTAGGGGTCAGGTTCATCTTGAATGCTGCTGCCCAGATTGTGTATGGCCAAAAACTCTTTGGTAGATTTCTCTGTATCAATAATGTCCACATCTTCTCACCTAAGCTCCTGTTCATTTGTTCCACTTGTCCATTTTGCCTGCTATTGTACCCCACAGTGGTCTGCCATTCTATCCCTTTCCCAAGCGTCCATTCCAGTGCTTCATTGTTCCTCCATTCGGTCCCTTGATCAGATCGAATTGCTTTCAATGTTCTGTTCATCTGCGTTTCTAGAAATAAGATGATTCTCTTGAGCTGCACGAATGCATGACTCTTCCATAATAGTGGCTGTACATGCATGTACTTGCTATAGTCGTTGACCAGCACTAATATGCATGTGTACTCTGTCACATAGGATGAATCAATGATTAGGTCGATATGGATGAGGTCCAGGGGCCCCGCAGCTCTCTCACTGCTACCTTGCCCCATCCTGGCGACTGTACTCTTGGATTGTATACATGGCTCACATGTCAGAGCTGTGTTTGGGTCCAATGCTTCTACAGGTTCACCTCTCAATTTGTTAACAATTGCCCTGGACTTATCTCGACCTGGGTGTCCCAGTCACTCATGCCAGAGCTGTTTTGTGGAAACTTTTGGTCTCCATTCAGCTAGCTCGAATTCTTCGTCAACCCCTTCAAACAGCAGTGTTGACACAGCCATCGCATTTTGTTGCCATGTATCTCCTTGTATCTCTAGCAATCCACTCTTGCAGTTCTTTACTATTTTTAGCAGCATGCTGTCTGCCAAATGTATTTGTCCCCCTTTAGGGTCTAAGGTCACACATGCTCCTTTGTCTGTCAATGAGTTGGTTGACAATAGATTAATGTTGAGGCTGTGAACATAAAGTACATTTTGGAGCAGTATCTCCCCATACTCTGTTGATATGCTAATGTCCCCTACAGCAGTCGCTTCTAAGACTTCGCTTCCAGCAGTATATATGCACTTTCTGCACTTTCTTGGATGGATCAACATGCTGTAGTCATTAATCATGTGGAAGGTTGCTCCCAAATCCAGAACCCAATGGGTCGATTGGTCTGGTTTT